ATTTTACAAAAGTTACAAAAACGTTGTCTATGTATACAATAATTTGTGTATGTATAAAAGATGTTAGGACAACACTAAGCGGTAAGGGCAATGGGGATCAAATAAAGCCATTAGCAGACACGAGAGAAAGCTTGGTAAACAACCTATAGAAACGCTCGTCATTGAAATGTAAGGCCTTATTCGCATCTTTCTTCTTTCATTAAAAGCGAGAGCACGGATGCCGCGGAAATTGCATCCGCAAGAATTCAATTCAGACAGAACAGTCTTTAAACTGTGCATTTTAATCGTTCCTATTTACTATTAATTTAAAAACAACCAGGGATAGTTACGTCAACTGATTTTATTCTAGATGTGATGAAATGGGTTACTTTATGTATTACATTACACACTAGAAGTACGTTTCAGTGGACAATATTTTGCTATATTAAGGCTATGGAGCAACTTTTGCTGTTGCAAAAATTGGCAGACTCGTCCGGGGAAGTACTACGGCCTCACCGGCTTGTAGTATATAAGTGTTTTAAATAAGGCCCATTTCTTTAAAGGTTCGCGACAATTTATCCCTCAGGTGCTGATAGGTATGAATGGACTTACACATGGGCACTTAAAAACAAAATTCTTCTGTGATAAATACTAAATCCATAGAAGATTTACGAAACAAAAAATTAGTTAGAATTACGCGTGGAGCATACTGCTCACTCTTTCACTGTCATCACATTTATTTGCTGGGAAATTGGACTTGCTGTAATAAGATCGCATTTTTTAATCACAGTGACGTAAAACAATGAAATTGTTACGTGAAAAGATCAACTTCTCTCATTTATGTCCAACATATGGCTACAGAAATAATCCAATACCGTAAAATATCCGAATGTTAACGAAAATTTTAGTTATTTCTACCACCGTAGGGTGAACATAAGAATTTGTAGCTTCGTCTAAAATTTATACCGGAACAATAATGTTTTCCTTTCTCATTACAGGTGTTTGGAAGGCTGGTCCCTGTTAAACTCCACCTACGTCTTAGTGTAACAGTTTTTCTTGTAAGTATACAATGATATCTAATTTGATGATAAAATAAAAATAATTCTTATTAACACATTTTTTAAAATGTTTAACAATTTATACGTAATTCAAGAATAATCTTTCTGCTACTATCCTCTTAATATTCAGAATTTGCATTCCAATAATCGTGACTAATCAAATTTGAAACGTCGTAGATTGGCATCCGTGTAAAGTGCAGAACACATCAGACCTTACATTGCGTTGTCAAATGTCATCTGAGTTGCCAAAAGGATGGTTAAACTCTCTGAATTGATCAGAATGATCTTCATAATCATCAGAATCACCAATCGATAATCAGTGTTTCAGAAACCGGGCTTTAGTATGCTATTTGCAAATTACACCTTCATAATTCCTAAGATGCTTACTTGTGCTAAAATTAGCTTTATCTTTATCATTAATATTATTATTTTTTTTTGATTTCCGCGTAATTGCAGTATCAGAAATTTTATTTAAAAAAATACAAAAACTTGTCATCTACCCGTAAAGTGTAGCTACAGTTCACGTCCGACGGAAATTAGCTACCGGGTTATTTCTAACTAGGGCTGGTTCAATCAGATCTAAGCTGATCTTGGCCGATTGCTTCCAACTGGACTGAACCTGTTGCATCGAATACCAGGCTGACTAGCGGAACACACGTAACTGGATTGCACGATCTATTTACTATCTATAATGGATGTGCATCCATAAGTAGGTACGGACCATTAAAGATATGGCCACCGCAAATTATGTTATACAATGTTCGTCTTCCTGGTCGTTAAAGATTATTTTCAGATTTAAATGTAGTAAAGCGAAAGCTAAAGAAAAATATATTTACTTATTTCAAGAATAATGATTACTTATTTTCAAATATTCAATGTAAAACTGACTTCTGGTGTAATGAAATCAAATACAGAAATTAAAATATTCGATACATATCTTCCATCCTATGACAAAAATTAACCTAAAATTCCATGTTACTTTTAATGCTACTTTTCTTCATAAGCGATTTTATCAAAATAATCATTATATCAAAAAGATTAAATATATTGAAAAATAGCTGAAATATTGAAAAATTGAGCCGTGATAGCTCAGTGTCCGGGCGCTCGCCTTTAATTCAATATACTCGAGCAACCTGAGTTCGATCCCCGGTGCCGGCACCAATGAAGTTTTTAACTTTAAGTGCTGACTTATCACGTGCTCCGCGGTGAAGGAAAACATCGTGAGGAAACCTGCATATTTTCGAAATAATAACAAAAAATATTTCGAAGATATGTGAAGTCCGCCAATCCGCAGTGGGGCCGCGTGGTGGACTATGCCCTGATACCCTCTGTATAGAGGAGGCCTTTGCCCAGCAGTGGGACATGTATAGGCTGTTACTTTACTTTACTTATTGAAAAATCCTTCATATTTTATAATTCTCTTGTTTTTTTGGACACATTTTTACACAACATTTTCCAGTCCCAAACTAAGCAACGATTGTACTATGGGTACTAGAAAACTGATAAACATACTTTTCTTTTGTAAATAAATACATATTATAGATAAATAAACACCCAGACACTAGAAAAACACTATGTTCATCACACAATATTTTTCCAGTAGTGGGGATCGAACCCACACCCTCTAGCGCAGGAGGCAGGTACACTAACCGCTACGCCATTCAGGTCGTCTCTATTTTCTTACTTTGAAACGAATCAGTAAAGAACAGACAATAATAAAAAAGCAAACCTTTGCCTTAGTCAATGTTGAAGTCAAATGAAAAAAAAAATATAAGTACATCAAATTGCGTTAATGAATAATGAATTGAGAATGGTGATTGTCTATAATTTACTTAAAAATAATGAACTCGGTTGTTTGGTGAATACGAGATGAGAGAAAGTAAAGGACCAGTATTTCATCTTCCTTGCTTTCTCTCAGCGTACCAAACCCTTAACGGGGTATGGTTAAATCACGAAAGAAACAACAATTGGTACAGTTAAATAACTGAAGATGATACAAAAAACAATGAAAATTATAACATTGGTTTTGTTTTTGCCAATAATTCGAAACAATGCCCCCCTTTCAAAGTTGTTAACATTTAGAAAACTTAACATTAAATAATCTTCAATTTGACCCCAATTAATAACAAATGTATGCTTCACAATATTATTAAAATACAATAACACCAATACGATCAGGAAAAAATAAAAGTAGCCATACTAGTTTTTTAAGACGAGTTCGTCTAGTTCACCGAAACCACTTCAAGAGTCCTACATATTATTCGTAACCTAGAATTTACAATACATTTATTTTGAGACTGTTACGAGCAATATCCAAATTTCAACTTTACCTATATATATAAATAAATCATCCGATTAATTGAATAGCTGCAGTAGTGGAATTGGAACGTTTTAGAAGTTCCACATTTTTATTAAGTTTTTCATTTTTACCCATATTTAATATGACGTTAATAACCGTCCCCTTCTCATCCACGAAACTGAAGAAGCTGTTGTTTTATACATATTAATAGTAGGCGATCTGAATATACCTATTTTAACAAAACATGTTAAGTGTGAAGACCCGACTGGTATCATGAACAGTGTCATTTGCCAGAGGGTGAGGCTTCAATCTCACTTCTGAAAAAATATTGTGGAATATCAAAAATATGTCCTAGTTTACGATACAAGAGTATGTTTAGTTGCTTTACTTAGTATAATCTATTTAATAGAATAAAAGTGCCAAATATACTTCGGTTAATTTGGCACTAGATAAGACGTATATGAATATGACCAGAAATACTAATAATAATTACCTATGTACTTTAACACATGTAACACAACTTTGTTAAACTTAGTTAACGACAGCCGACCCGCATCGGTTAGACGCAGAGATGAAACGTAATTTGTTAATTGCGATGATAGCGGCACTCCAAGCTGTCTTCCGCAGGGACCCAACGGCATAGAAATCCAATAAGTCCCATAAATAATACAAAATAAGTAGAATAAAACGAAATTCAAGAAACTATCGGATGCACAATAGGGAGGACAAGACGCAATAACTATTTTGTGATTGTTAAATATTCTTAGTTTATAACAGAAAATTAATGTTACTTATATCTCAACTAATCGATTAAAATGTAAAATTTTATTTAATTTATCTGCATCGTTATCTGTATACAATGCTTGAAGTAGTAATCATTACATAAATAAAGACTACTTGTTTGTTATTAGAGTATAAAATCACGGCAAGCGTGCAGTCATTATCATTACAAGACGTGAAATCAATGAAACCACACATACCCGAGGTCAATGTCCGGTAATGACAAAAATAACAAGCGCATTGCTCTCAGTTTCAACAGAGCGTTACCGGCCTGCATCTCCTCTCTAAATAAAATTAAACTTCAGTTGACTGTTGCGCCTTACATATTACATTAAATAATGGACGGTTGATTCTGAGCAATAGCTATGATATTCGTTTGCACATCCATATTTTACATTAGACATAGAAGGGCTTTCCCTCCGAGAATATAAGGAGATTTGCAAGTCCCTTTCTTTGATACATACATAATTTTTCAGTTAATTAAATACGTATTTCATTATCAAAAATGTGTTTTAAGGTTGAAATTTTTAGTTGATGATAAAAATGTTACTCAACTACCTTAACTTAAATTTTATAAAGCCAAGTGGTATAAGTATCGATTGCGATGTTTGCACACATTACAATCCAACAGATAAAACTAATAATGTTGTGCAACATAGACATTTAAAATGCCGACCGATTGAACTTAATGTCAAACATATAAAAGTTAACTAATAACTAGGTTAAAGAAAACAATCTTAGAGCCACTTATTACTTATGGGTGCTTTTAATGCTTAAACAAATTAACTAAACGTTACATTGTGTGTGTTTTCAGGTGAGATCCCAATGCTCGTAATGCTGCAATCAGACGAGAGTGTCAGATAGCCGCCGTGCGGCCACGCAGTATGGGTGCAAACATGGGCAAGAACTCGAGCCTGCTCGACGCGCTGCCTTCCACGCAGGGCACGCTGCACGTCGTGATGCTGGGACTCGACTCAGCCGGCAAGACCACTGCGCTCTACCGGCTCAAATTCGACCAGTACCTCAACACCGTCCCAACAATCGGTTTTAATTGTGAAAAAGTGAAAGGAACTATAGGCAAGTCGAAAGGTGTCAATTTTCTGGTGTGGGACGTGGGCGGTCAAGAGAAACTGAGGCCGCTATGGAAGTCTTACACCAGATGCACGGACGGAATAATTTTTGTCCTGGACTCGGTTGACGTGGAGAGGATGGAAGAAGCGAAAATGGAACTCATACGTACCGCGAAATCACCAGATAATGCGGGGGTGCCGATACTGGTTTTAGCAAACAAACAGGATTTACCAGGCGCGAAGGAACCGCGGGAGCTGGAGAAACTATTAGGTTTACATGAACTAGTTTCGTCTCCACATGGATCGCGGGACGCGCACGCGTGGCACGTACAGCCGGCTTGCGCAATTACAGGCGAGGGTCTACATGAAGGACTCGAAGCCCTTTACGAAATGATATTGAAAAGACGAAAATTGGCGAAGTTGCAGAAAAAACGTGTGAGATAAACTATACTGGGGATCAATATGCAGTTTGGGTGTTGTCAAAATTTTGTGCATTGTAATATAGGAACTATTATAAAATCCTATAATTGATGTTTAACACAATATCGAAAGCGTAAAGACGGACAAAGCACCAAATATTGTTTTTACTATAGATGTAAAACGTCTTATGAAAGTATTCCATCATAATGTTGCTCAAGTTGTATTGAACATTTTGAAGGAAACTAATATTTTGATAAAATAAAAATTAATAACTAGTCATTTTCTTTTGAAAATAGCTAGATAGATGATGGATTTAATAATAAACATTTAAGTTTATTTACATAATAATTTGGCTTTGCAAAAGAATTGAAACGAAATTAGTTTCCTGAGAGGCTTAAAATTAAACCTTCAAAATCACGTGATTTGGCTCACATTTGTGGGACCATTAAATTAACAATGCCATATTGTAAACTCTGTATAACCTTACGTATTTGGTTCATTATTTTAAAATAATAGTTGTATAGAAAATGTAGTGCATTTTCCGAATGTGTAATTCAGTGGCTTTGTTGTTTGCATATTTCTACGTGTTGAAAACGCTTTAACGGTTTACATTTCGTTTTGTTAATTAATGCTAAATTTTTGTTTTGCAATACTCAACTTCTTGAACTCTATAAGATTGTATAAAGCGTTATCAATGTTAACGTCACCTGGCTTTAAAAAAGCGTGCAGTCTTTAGTATATCTTTATCGATGGAAAAAACTGTTTAGATTTTAAAAACCACAAGAAAATATTTTTCTTTATGGACCTATATTAAAAAACACAGTTCTTACATCTTGGTCTAATAAATACGTGTGGCAGTTTAAGTAAGCCTTAACATTCGGACAAATTATAAACGAAAATCACGTCGAAGCTTTAATTTTACTCGACTATATGCAAAAGTTACATTATATCTAAATTTGTTTTCCTATTTATTTAGAAAGTTTTATAAGGTATTTATTTATTTACTCGTAGGAATTTAGAAATAGTATTTAAGATCTTTAATAATTGAAAAGCTTATACCAGAGTTTATGTTACTCACCTGTAAATATGTAAATTCCAAGTAATTTTTTGTCAATACCAAGAAACCAAACATTATTATGAGTAGTTATGTAAATTTTGTTAGTATTGTTTTATTAAGAGCACACTAAATCAAATTATTATTGTTTTTTTTTTTATATCTTCATGGTCGGTTCTCAAACCCCCGTAATAAAATCTGTTTTCAATACATTTGGATTTTGATTTATGTAAAACAAAATAACGAACTACCCTGGCCTGCCTGTCTTATGCCTATGATGATTTATTTTATTCTGAAGTTATGGCCGTCATTGAAGGGCCATCAATTTCGTTCAAATCGGTGAAGAAATTCGAATGTTCCCTTTGATCTTCCATCAGTAATCCGATTTTATCAGCTCGTATTACTGACACAGCCTGTTTATTATTACACTTCTTTTTGGTGTGTTTTTGTGTGGAGAAATGTGGAGGGTCACCGTAAGGTAATCCATGTGCTCGAAGTAACTCTCGTTCCAGTCTATAAAAGAGTCGCAACTCTTTAGCAGCAACAATAGCATTTCTAGCTTTTCTCCGTTCTGTTTCCAGGCAGACATTTATAGCACCAGTAACTCGATCATTATGTATTGCATCCAGTCTTTTGGAATAATCCATATAAAATGTCTCTAAAGCATGGGCTACAGCTTTTATATTTTTATTAATTGGCTTTTCACCGTAAACTTTCTCATAACAAAATTCAAGATGCAACATGTTTTTTAAAACATCGGCAGATCCAACACTTTGATAAAATAATCCATGTAAAATCTTGAAAAATTTCTTTTTTAGGAAAATCCATCTCTGCTCAGTATGTTCTAAAAGGTTTTTGAAATCTTTTATAGCACCACTGACGACAACACTTTCTTCATTTATAATTTCTTTAAAAGATGTTATACTTTCATTTAACATTTTTGTGTATGGTGAAAAATGTGAAACATGCGTAAAATGATGTAACTGTTGTTTTTCAATAGTTTCAAAAACATTCATTAAATGTTTAGGTTCAGTAAAGTACAACGCTGGCTTTATAAATTCACTGCAACATTCTTTACGCATTTTTTCGTATATAACTGTAAAAGTGTCCTCATCGCTAGAAATTCCTAAGTCAAAACCCTTTGCTTCTATTTCTATTGATCTCGCAAAATCTCTATTTTTCGCGCGCCATAACGGTGGAGATAAATAATATAAAAACCTACCATACTTTTGTTGTACACCATATTTAAAGTCCAAGCCGATAAGTTTAGATGTCATAGTAAATTTTTTACCAGCTAGGTATTCCAGTTCCGATTTCTTTTTTTTAACCTCTGAAATTAATTTATTCCCTTTTTCTAATAATATCATAGACTTGTAATAGTCCTCAGAAATAAATTGATCAAAATATTTTGCTTGGTTCGTTACCCGTCTTAAGGTTTTTTGGAATATATCTAACTCCTTTTTCTGATTCACATCAATATTTAGATTATAATCTCTTAGGGACCCAATTTGCTGTCTTAATCGTAAATATTGATTTAAATGTGTTTTAAAAGATTTATATGGCAAACAGTGATATTTTAATGGACGCCCATTAATGCAGTCATAAAAATCTTTATCAATATCCAAAATAGTATTTACTTCATTCGTGGAACAGTTAATTTGCAAACGTCGTCGGAAATCCGAACTAATTATTTTATATTTCTCATGGACACGTATGTTGACTTTCTTTTTGTTTCTTACAAAATCATGTATCTTTGAATAATATTTGTAGGAAAGTAAAGTATGATCATTCTTTAGCTGACATACCGGCAAAGGTATATCTTCAGGTAATTCTAATGACTTTAAAGTTTCTTTCGAAGGCTTTTGCAGGAGTTTATGGAATTGTTTTTTTTTCGTTGTCACCATTACTAGTTTATTTGAAGAATTTTTTTCCCACTTTGAACCACTCCTCTGTTTTGGTATATCAATAATAACAGAACGTGCATCTTTATCCATAAATACAAAGTGGTAAGAAATTGATGTGCTACTTCCAAATCACGTAAAACTTCTCAAGTAACCAACTAGATTATGTATAAATAAATTTATAATTTACTAGCTGGCCCGCGCAACTTCGTCTGCGCTAAATCTATCGGGTCCATACGTTTCGACTTTTAACATAACGCCATCTATAAGATACTTAGTCAATCCAAGCGATAAATTTATCTTACACCGCCATCTGTTAAAATCTTATGGAACTCACAGGCTGCGTTCCACTAAGCGCCCACAACGATCACGCTCACGACCGCAGTTATTCCCGTTCACAGAACACATATACTCCTAAGGAGTATATGTGTTCTCGTTCCACTTGCTTGTGAGCGTTACTGCCGTAAACTCAAGTGGAATGGATTCTACAGCGTTTTGAGCGTCGAGGTAAATAATACAAACGGCGAAATAGAAAAAAGGAAGCAAAAGATTTAAGAGGTTAGGTTGTAATCTGTAAGCCTTGAAAATAAACTTAAATAATTATTTTTTTAGAAATTTAAATTGTTTATAGTGCTAATCTTTGCACTTATTTTAATGTTAAATAATTATTGTTTAAACCGATTTATATTGAAAAAAATTATAATTTTATTGAAAAAAATTATATTATATTATAATTTTTTATATTTAATATTAGTGGTGTATTTAATTAATTTACGTTCCTAGTAATAAATGTACGTAATTAAAATGTTTTTTGCGGTGACACTTTGAACTTAGACATTTTGAATTTTGAAAATGCCGCCAATTTTCTCAACGATCACTTCGACCCACCTTTTTAGATGGGTCGCCGTAAGCTTCGCGTGAGCGTTAGTCATGACGTCATAAGTGACGTTTTGGCCGCGACCGCGGTCGTTGTGGAACGCCGGGGCGGGAAACTCCTATACAAAGCCGATCGAGTATTTTTTGTATCGACATCTTCCTTATAGGATCTTGAAACAAATGTTATGTTTTCTTTCTTTTTAACTAGAGGTCACTATATACAAGTGATATAGTTGTAATACAATGTTATAAACTAGAAGAAAGGTGAAAAAAAAAAAATGTCACCTAACAATTTTAAAATGTCCAAATGTTTGATGTTATTTAATTGCGTGTGCGCATTTATTAATTAATCTTTGTTGTTATGCACTTGTGTTTATGGCAGTATGAATTGCAAATTTCTTTGAATTGAGTAAAAGTGTGTTTAGGGTCGAGTTGAAGATTTCTCCGCTAAACTTACGACGGCTTGTGTTTTTTACAATGTGTTGGACACCATTAATTAATTTTTGCGATATTTTGGAAGCTATTAGTAAGGTAAGTTTTGTGTTGTAACTTTGCCTATTTCTAAACATTGTGTATTTGGATGTGTGAGCACGGGTAATTTTCATATTCCATTTTGTATAGACTATTTATAATATTAATGTTATTTTTTTTACCACATCAGGTGTATATAAAATTGATTGCATACGCGCAATACATGTATTCTTTGTGTATTCCTGTTAATCCTATCATTACCTTGCCTATCATTACCTTGGTTAAAAAGCTAATAAAGAAAAAGTAAAGTTATAACAAATATATAACATAAATTTATGGTGCTGTACCCATAGCTCTGTTAAGGTTGTTGTTATAAATTGCTTATATTTGGTTGTTGTGGTATGGTTATTCCCCTATTATAAAAACCTAATATACATACGAGGTTTCCAAATACTTAGCTTTGTACCCTAACATTAATTAGACATTACTGAAATTAGGTACCAAAAGTGCCGGTTTATTTTCTGGCATTAATGAAATTTTTGATTTAGCAGGTAAATCTTTTAGTGTTAGATTCCATGAGAGCGATGTAAATTACATGCTCAGTCCTATGGTAAGTATTAATTAAACAAATGTATGAAAAACTTAATAAAAATATTTTGCGAAGGTGTGTTAAGTCCTTGAGCAACAGTTCAAATTCGCAAATGCGAAGTCAATAACAGGCCAAAAAGGAACCAACATAGACAAGTGCTAAAAGACACCCCTAGATCTGCAAAGTATAGTAATAATTATTTGATGATGTGTGTACAAATTTTTAAAAAAATACCCAATAACATGAAAATGCTAGATGACAGACAATTTAAAGTTAATTAAAAAGTTATTATTAGTTATGTTATTGGTTATATGTTATTTTTTATTTAGTTATTATTATGGTTAAAGATAAATAATTTTTACGGCATCAAAGAATTTTTTAATAAGATTTAATACTTGACATTATTTTAATTAATTTTAATTTTATTTTTTCTACTCTTTATTATAAATTGTGAGTTACAATTTAGAATTGACTGCAACTGTATTTTGTAAACTTTATATAAATAGTAAAGTTGATATGTGTAATATTTTGCATGCTATATAAAAATTAGCATAACATGTGGTACAATATTATGAGTTGTAACACCTTGTGAAACCATACTTTAAGCAAATAAATAAATAAATAACTTTTAAACAGGGAGACCATTGCCCATCTGTGTGATATTGTTATATATACGCTTTACTTTAACTTCTTTGTAAAAAAAAATCAATAATAAAGCTAAGCTTTCACTCCAATTATAAACTTTTTGTTGGAAACACACAATAACTAGTGAGTTTGATAAATCTATTGTATATAACCAGTTAACTTCCATACATTTTTAACATTTTTGACACAAATATTAATGAAACATTTATCTCTCAGGATGATGTAAGAGAAATGTTATTTATTTTTTAATTTGTGTATCTTATTATTTCAGCGTCTTCAATAATTTGGGAGTGTATATTGATAACCTTTTACCGTCTACATACCAACTAACTGCACTACCCACAACAGGTAAAAATTATATTTTTTATTTTGAAAGAAAATCCACAGTATATAAAAATATATAAATATTACTTACTAAAACTTGTAGCCAATTTGGATTTACATTCTTTAGCTATAGTAAAAATATAGTGTATAGTAAAAAGCAAATAACTTTTAATACTTAAAGATATTTTTAAATTTAAATATTAAGAAATAGTTAAAATTATTTTTACCTTCTCTTCTGCCTGAAGAGAAGGTAAAAATAATTTTAACTATTTGTATTAGCACTTACAAGAAGGTTTGTGTATGGCTACTCCAAACTATTAAGTTTATTAAACATTATTCTTAATTCATTCGATTGTGTTGTTGACATGAAAAGACGAAGAATTATGTATAAATAATAATACAATGTGATCTTATTTTAAATCTCTCATAACTCTTTTAACGGTGGTAGGGCCACGCAACGGTGTTCCACGAATGGACAGGTCCGTCTGGGTAAGTACCACGACCTCACAGAAGACTGGCGTAAAGTAGAAGTGTTGCACTTTTGCGTTTCGTCTGGTGAGTGAGGTAGCCGGGGCCCACATTATTAAAGAGGAGGCAACGCATCTACAACCCTATGGGTTGTGCAAATGTCCATGGGTAGGCGGTTATCACTTAACATCAGGTGAACCGCCAGCTCATTTGCCACTTCCTCACATAAAGCTCTAATGCCAAAGAAACGTTGTAAATCATTATGCGGACGCACTAAGAGTATCTGTGCCTATAATAGCATTGATCCCAAAAATTTAATTCAATCATTATTAACAGTAATAAACTAGTATTTTTTTTTTAATTGCTACTTAAAACTTTTTCTACTTATTAAACAAATTAGCAAAGCACTGATATTACGGACGATGGTAAGTGTCATGCTTGTAGCAGCAAAATTCATATTCCATGCCGCACTGTATTTAAAACTTAATAATTCGAAATCTGTGTGAAATCTGTGTGGCAATCCACTTTGCTCATCATTCTTAGTTATCAGATTAATAACAGGCATAAGTACGGTATTTTCTTAGATCAACTGTGCAAAACTGTTTCCTACCACTACATTTCATTACCACTATAAATTTGAATTATATTAAGTATACTTTATATTTTTCAGAAACACCTGCTGTTTTGGATGCCCATATGGATAACCCTCAATATGATATATATTTATACAGTCCAACTTCGGGTTGCAGGTTAAAATCAAGTTCATAATGTAGACATAATACAATGTCAGAAATAATTCATGCTTAAACAAAAAGCAAATAAATAGACTAAACATTCAATATTAATCAGAAAACAAATGATTTAAAAAAAAAAGAAACTTTCTATAAAGTGTACACTTTTTGCCAAATGCTCCTTTTAAGATGTGCTCATATTGTAAAATACAAATATTGCAAATTGCCTGTAAAGATAAAGTAATATAAGTAATATAAAATAAAAAATTAAATAAATAAGTATAAGTGATAATATAAAGTAAAGAGGGGTGCAATTTTTTTGACCGGTGCACATCAGCGACGGAACCAGTAATGCTTAGATCCCAAATTTATAGAAGACAACATATTACTACCATTAATGCAATGAGCAAATCACTGATATAATGATAAGTGCAAGGCTTGCTGGAACAAAAATAATTTTTTTCGCTACCCTTATCCATTTAAAACTTCAATAATTCAAAATCATGTGTGGTAATTCACTTTGCTCATCATTCTGAGTAAGTATATAATTGACAGGCATTTCCTTAGACAAATTGTGCAAAAATATTGTTTTCACAACTAAACTTCATTATCATTATAGATATTTATGTAATTAATGAAACTTTATTATTTTCAGAAACACCTACCGTTATGGATGTCCATGGTTTACATTCCAACTACCGGTTGCAGGTAAAATTAATCTATACAGTAAATTAAACAGGAGTGTCTGTTTGTAATATTAAAATAACCGCTTTTTACTAAATGCATGTGGATGTTGACATTTTTTACAATTTTTGTTCCGGTTAATCTCTGAAATGGCTGGGCCGATTTTGACGGAACTCAGTTGCAGATACCTGATGTAATAAGGAGTAACTTAGGCTACTTTCATTTTACAAATTTTAATTTATTTATTTTAAATTCCACGCGGACGAAGTCATGGGCACAGCTAGTTTATAATTTAACAGGAAAACTCTATGCTTATACAAAAATCATGTAAAATTTATCATCCTTTAAATCTTATCCTTTAAACGAGCAATTCTTGTATATATATATATATATATATATATATATATATATATATACAGGGTGTTACAGAAAGATGTTGTAACATTTAAAGGCGTGTATATATATCAGACTTTGAATCAAATGGCATAATTTTAAAATACGAATCTAAGCATTTTTTGTATCAACCCTGATTGTAGAAGTCACTGACCGCGCATCGGTGTTATCACTCCAAACTCACAACGCATACATCTGATCGCCCGACTTATTCCCCTCTCCCTCCACTCCTCGTTACGTCATTACCCCACTTCCCGCTCCTCAAGTTTATCGGTCCCCTCCGCCCGCCCCTCGCCAACCAAACTTTGACAACGACCGCATCGCGATGCTATGAAACAACGTGCTTATCATCAAAATTTATTTGAATTTATCGGATTTTGTCACAACAGATAGACACGAAGTAGCTAAACTGGTAGTCCATGAGCCCTATTTAATATGTTATTGACTTTTCTTTTGATTAAAGATAGGTATTCATTATAAGGAAATAAAACACAGACACACTATTTTTACTACGTTTATTTTTCAAAGCAAATATCCGCGTCATACCTACATAAAAACATTTTTTACATGGAATTAATAATAGAATCCTATAGTTGGTCAAACATATTCACAATGTCCACTGTAACTTATAATTTTTTAGTATTGAGATTATGAATTAAACATTAAATTGCTTGCAGTGGAAGGTACAAACATTTTAGAAGGTTACAACTCACAAATCTTACAACGCCGATAAATTTATTCAACACAACATCAGTGAGATACATTATCATGTTATAGCGGATTCATAATACATAATAATGACAAAAATAAATTTCGAATTAAGTAAGTTCAATGTAATTATAAAGTTAAAACAATAAAATCTTTATTTTAAATAAATAACCTATACCTAGACATTCCAATGAGATCAGCGTTTACTAAGAAAACTCGTGCTTATCGGTGTCGGTCGGTTCCATTACGCGATAATATTCTTTCACTGTTATAGCACTTTATAGCACTTGGGATAGTCATTGTCACTAACTTAAAACACACCAAGGTCAAGGGTTTAGGGGACGACGCGTATAGGGCGTGGACGCGGGCCGATCCTACCAACTCCTTTTTAACACAACTGGCAGCTGTTCTAAATTTATTTCAGCATTGCTTGCTGTCTTTTGGCGTTTCTTCTTAATACTTATGGCGTCAAAGACTGCCTGTCATCGAAAAAACCAATAATGTAGTTTCAAGGTAAATCGACGGCAATTCTCTCCGCAACACCGAATATCATTAAGCAATTTCTTAGCATATGCATTTCTGTCATCAATAACTAATCGAGAATAAAAAATAAAAATCACGAACTTGTCTTCACACCGTAATGTCTAAAAAGTAACTGATTTCATTAAAAGTTTAAATAACACACGAAGCGACGGCATATTTTATGTATTGGACTACCTAAGCGGCATTCGGCTGCTTATGTCGGTAAGTACATAAGAAACGTTTGTTGAGGACTATTTCGCCGCTCGCATAATAACGTTACCATGTCTACTGAGTAATATTACAGGACGGGAGAAAATAATTGGCTATTTAATTTTCAAATCAGCATAGCTATAACAAAAACTTTTTGTGAATCAACATTTAACTATTGCTGGAAGGTCAGATATTCTTTTAATGGTATTTTACCATTGATATTTTTCATTTGTAGTAGACAAAAACCAAACAAAACATTTAGAATCTAGTTGACTTTCTTTAAAATACCACAAAATAATCTACTGTTTAGAGCTTTTGGCTCATTTTCAAGTATTATTTTAAGCTTAAGTTATTTTAACTATTATGCAGACTATTAACTTCATGAGAAAATGTGAAAATTTCAGAGCAAAATTATTTTCATGTGATGGCAGCTTACAGTTTTGTTTATTTTTCCTATCAAAACTGTAGCACAAAGTACGGACTAAGGTCTATAAAAATTCGGGATGACCGAACATCGGGATATTGCGATTCCACGCGGATCGGTACATCTGGTAACACTAGTTCTAGGGAGTGCGGTAAATACAAAGGCGTTCTTTGTTTGACGCCGACCATCCACGTGGACTGATGGATTTGAATAGAAGGTCATTCAAAACACCTGTAATTAGATCGAAGAATCATAACTAACTATAAAATGATAGTTATGCTTATGGATCCATGAAATTACTTTTTTTACTTTTTTCAGAATGCTTTGTACACTGAATAAGAATTAATGCAATGAATTTAATTGGTACCGAAAATTAAGTTTAAGCTGTTATTATGGACTAAAATTTTTATTGACATTTAATAAGGTATCCATCTAATATCAAGTTAATAGTATTTGTTTGGTTCCGCATAATAAAGAAAAAGTTCATGATTTCTTAGCAGAATTTTTTAATTTTTGTTAATGCGCGCGATAAATAAGTACACGTGCTGCCACCAACCGAACAAGCTCGGAGCCCGAGAGTCGATGTCTTTCACATCGACTCAACGCGTCGCGTTAAGAACGCTAATTTATTTAATACTTTCCGCAAAAACTTTTAATTGTTCAATTAAAAATATTGGCGCGAACCTCCATGCCTTCATTTAAAACAAAAAAAAATTACAAATTATTTAAAAATATAGTCCAAAATTATTATTATTATTTTTAATTTTTATGTCTAAATGCTTATTTGTATTGAACATAGTAAAGTCAATTTGTATAAATTTCGTATTTTTTTTTGCCCAAAATTATTAAATATGAAACAGTGCCATGTTGTAGATTGAATTATAACTATTTATGGTTATCAGTTATTTAATTAACGATAGTACGTGTTGTGCCTATTTGTATTAGACAAATTAAGAGTGAACACATTTTTAATTCAATAATTTTATTTAATTTGACAGTACATGTATGTGAACAAATGATAAAATTTTGTTATTTTTGATATCCGTGACATCAAAATAATTATCTAAATTCAACAATTCTAAACACAGCGCCACCTGGACAACCAAATTGATAAAAATTTAAATTATAAAATGATCTGTCGTCAAAATTTACTAATGTATTGGGTTTTTCTTTCTATAAAGTATTTTGGGTTTTAAAATGCTCGATTCATTAATCTTCGAAATATCATACGAAATGAAATTCGAAATACAGTAATCACTACATAGTATAAAACAAGGTGGTCCCGCTGTCCGTCTGTCCCTATGTATGCTTAGATCTTTAAAACTACACAACGGATCTCGATGCGGTTTTTTTAATACATAGAGTGATTCAAGAGGAAGGTTTATAATTAAGTTTAATAGGTACATTGCAATTGCACGGGTGCAACGTGCGTAGCTGGGGCCGGTCTCTGATTAAAGTATAATAATATGAATAGATTAATGAAAAAATAATGAATTCCATCAATCACTGTCACTACATAGTATAAAACAAAGTCGTCTCGCTGTCTGTCTGTTCCTATGTATGCTTAGATCTTTAAAACTACGTAATGGATCTCGACGCGGTTTTTTTTTACTAGCTAGAGTGATTCAAGAGGAAGGTTTATAATTATGTATAATACATTGCACCCGTGCGAAGCCGGGGCGGGTTGCTAGTAAAGGTATAATAATATAAATAGATTAATGAAAAGATAATGATTTCATTCAATATGTACTGATAAAATAGTCTATGCTGTTGATAAAAAGAGCATACAAATGTATGTATTACAATTAGTGTGACAATGATATTATAAGTAATCTTTATCTGAAATCGATCAACCAAACACTAACTTTAGTTTATGACCAAATTTCTAGTACTTACATAAATAGGCTTTCTTTTTTGAAGATCATTGGCTAGCATAAATTCATGGAAGGAAGCCGTATATTTAATATTATTTTCATATTTTTAAATTTTTTGTATTATTAGGTAGACTAAAACTTTAAAACAAAATAAATGTCTTTTCTCATTTATTTTTATAATTATTGTCTTACCAAATCAATACTTTATTCTACTATTTTAGAGCAGGAAGCCTCTAATACAAAAAATCTTATGCATAGTTAAGTAACGGTTACATGTTACAACCACGACATTCGATCAAACGACTGGTAGGTTTTATAAACAAATCGTAGCCGTTATTTTTGTCAGCAAAAATGAAAATATGATTTAAAATACTCGTTTCACAATTCAATGACTACGTGGCGCAGTTGACAAGGCTTCGGCGTCAGGCGTCTTGGGGTCGATTCCCACACGGGACAACTATTTATGTGGCCCACAGATAGTTCTTTCGCATCTGGGTGTTTGTCTGCGTGAAATTTATGTTTGTAAAATGTCCTTACAACATAGGATAAAAAGTAAAGTAACAGCCTATACATATCCCACTGCTGGGCAAAGGCCTCCTCTATACAGAGGGTATCAGGGCCCCACTGCGGATTGGCGGACTTCACATATCTTCGAAATATTTTTTTGTTATTATTTCGAAAATATGCAGGTTTCCTCACGATGTTTTCCTTCACCGCGGAGCATGTGATAAGTCAGCACTTAAAGTTAAAAACCTCATTGGTGCCGGCACCGGGGATTGAACTCAGGTTGCTCGAGTATATTGAATTAAAGGCGAGCGCCCGGATACTGAGCTATCACGGCTATAGGGATACGGATATCAACACAGGATAATTATCCTAAATTAAGGGCAATTTTTAAAAAAAAAACAAGAAAAATAAAATTACAAACCAATATAAATCAAGAAGTGAACTAATTGTTACAGGTCTTATTTAAAATGAATATTTTGAAAATTTATTTATTAGTTTCAGTATAAAATTCCATGTATTAATTTACAATAAGTGTATACAAATTCTTCAGAAATAAAAGTATAAAAATAGAATTTCATAGATCCAAAACTATCAGTTGTGATACTTCGAACCAATTACACGTGTTTTGAATGACCTTTATGTCACTTTCATCAATCTAAGTTAAGTGGATTGTCGGCGCGTGTTGTAACAGTTAACAAAGACCACCTTTGTACTTACCGCGCTCGTTTCAAGTACAGTTACCAGATGTACCGATTCTCGCGGAATATCCCGATATTCCTTAGTCTTTACTTTGAGTGTCTTTGAGTTAGAAAATTAGAAAAATTTATACTTAAATTGCAAGCTAGTATTACTTTAGTATTTTTATTAGAAATTTTTATACTGTCTCATGGATTTGTAAATAATCAAATTAAGGTTTTTTATTTTCCAGCGTTGTGTGTCGCCTTGATTGAAGTAGTGAAATGGAATGGTTAAAATAATACAAATAAAAAATAACTTATAAAATACTTGCAAATGAGTCCAAAAGTTTCTAAATTAGGTAAGGCGATTAAATAGTCAAACGGTTATGTTTGAATTTTGTGATATTTTAAAGAAGGTCAATTAGTTTCTTAAAGTGTTATTTGATTAGTTCTTGTAGTAGTCAATGGTAAAATACTATTAAAAGAAACCGAAAAAAAAAAGTTTATTACTTTATTGCCTATTAAACCCCCGTCCTAATATTTTAATCAGTAGACATGGTAACCTTATTGTCGACGCAGCAAAATAGTCCTGCACAAACGCTGCTTATGTGTTTAACTACATAAGCCGCTTTGGTAGGTAAATAAGTCGCTTTATTTGTGTTATTTAAATTTTCGAATCAGTTACTCTCCAGCCATTTAGGCATGAAGTCTATTTAATGATTTTTATTTTTTAATTATCGATTTATTATTGATAAAAGTTGTCACAGACATAGTCATATGCTCAGTAATTACTACATGATATTATTCAGTGCTGCGGATAGAACTACCATCGATTTACTTTGAACTTTACTACGAGTACACCAACTTTTGACGCAACTGTCGCTTCTACCTACGAATTATTTCTGCAAAGATGTTCTGGAGTTCGGACGTATGCGCGTACTATTTGAGGCACACCAACTGCACCACAAGCATTTGCCACAAGCCGAAACAAAATGGCAAGTGAACAGCAAGCAAGAATGCTGAAATAAATTGATCTGATGATCATTGAGTTAAAAAAAAGGAGCTGGAATGAGCGATTGCCCGAAGCGCCTGACCGTGTACGCGTCGTTTCTTTGCAAATGAAGAAGCGCTCCGGTTTTATGGGAATTTTTATTCGGACTTCGGTGTGTTTTAAGTTGTGACAATGTCTATGTTCTGACATGCTATTACAGTGAAATAATAGTGGCCCGCTATCTAACTGAAACCGATAAGCACGGGTGTGCGGTTGACTCAGTAAACGCTGATCTCATTAGAAAGTCTAGGTATTTAATAAACATCATTTTATACCTTACACTGATCTTAATTAAAAAATATTCTTGTTATTGTTATCCGATTATGTATCATAGATGTCGTGTTGAATAAACTCATCGGCGTTGTATGATTTGTTACCTTTCAAAATGTCATTGTAAAGCCTTTAATGTTTATTCCAAAATTTCAATAGTAATTAGTTGTAAGTAATTGTTAAAATCGTGGACATGTTTGACCGACTATAGGATACTATTAATAATGCCATGTAAAAATTGTTTTTATGTCCGACGCGGACATGTACTTATAATAATAAAAGTAGTAAAAACAGTGTCTTTCTTTTATTTCCCGATAGTGAATACTTATTCAGGAATCAAAAGAAAAGTCAATCAGATTTTATTATTAAGGATCGCCGCGAACTGCAGCGCGATGCGGTCGTCGTGGCAGTTTGGAGACGGGTGGGGTCAAGGTTACCGAGGTGGGGTAATGACGTAACGGGGAGTGGAGGGAGAGGGGAATAAGTGGGGCGATCAGATGTATGCGTGTGTGAGTTTGGAGTGATACACCGATGCGCGGTCAGTGACTTCTACAATCAGGGTTGTTACAGTTAATAAATTTTTTAATTTTTATCGTCAAAAAATGCTTAGATTCGTATTTTAAAATTATGCCATTTGATTCAAAGTCTGATATATACGCCTTTAAATGTGACAACACCTTTCTGTAACACCCTGTATATATATAGTACCTGGAGGACCGAGCTTTGCCCGATTTGTTTTTTTTGGTAAATCGTGTATTTTGGAAATTGCTTTTTGATACAAATTACTGAGTAATGAAATATGCATAATATTGTTCGATCTTACTGACGTAATAATAAGAAAATATGAACTGGTGTTTCTCACAAAAGAAAGAAAAATAACAAAATAACAAATCGACAAAAAAAAAAAATAAAGAAAGCAATGATCTGGTATCGAAAAATAAGTGTGTAAATGATCGTGATACGAACCGCGGCCGTCTGTTTTGGGGCCGCCCGATTACCGACCGAGGTATTATAACATTTTTTTTTTGCGGTGAAATTTACCGTCATATTCGAATGATATTTTTCATTCCCTGAAAACAGAGATAAAAGGACATTTTCTAAAAATGTAACCTAGATTTCGAATCTAGGTTAATCTCTAGATTTCGATTATATATATATCTATATTTTTTTTATTTCCAAAATACATGATTTACCCAAAAAACCGAGCATAGCTCGGTCCTCCAGGTGCTTTTCAATAAAATGTGCACATTCTGTGACGGAACCAGTTATGTTTAGATCCACACATTAAGAGGCAAGCCTATTGTTGACTACATGCGGTACATGAGGTACATGCTACTGCGAATTTTCTGACAAGTTGGGCCAAATGGTTGTGGTTTTTTATAAGGATCTTATGCTTATGCTGTGAGACCACCAAGGCAGTTATGAATAATAACATTAAAAATTATATTAGGCTAACTTAACATGGGAATATGAACCTCTTTTAATATTCTCATAACTAATGTGCTAAAAGCAGTAATGCTGTTATTATACTAGATATGTGAGATGTGTATGAGACTACTAATTACATTAACCATACAGATGTTATTAGTAGTGCTGAATCCCATATATGATATTGAACATACAGTTGACATAAACATTAAATTAACGACTCTTCTGGTAAAACTAATTTGGAAAACAATATAATCCACACAAAAATATTTTCATAATAAGTAAATAATAAGCTAATTTATATTTATATGTTACAGGTACAAAGAAAGTAACAACTTAAAGCAAAAAATTACATAATTAAGAAGTAAAATTAGTAGAAAAAAAGAAGTAAGAATTACAAAAAGAAACAGCAAATACCCAGAAAATATATTGAAAACCATGAAGAACACGAGTCTTTTAGCTAAAATATACATATATTCAAAAATAAGAAACACTAAAATATCCAAAGGGACCGTCTGAAATGATGTTTGGACGATACAACAATGAATATTATTTTGTAAAGTCCGTACCTATCGATCAATCTAATTTAATGTGGGAAATAGTTGTAAGATCAGTGTAAAAATGTTATTTTAACAATCATAGATATAATAAAAGCAAGAAATAAATAACATTGTTTTACTTTCACATGTAATTGCTACTTCATACTTAGTATACTTTAAGTTCTTCATAATTATAAACGTATATCTATTAATGTAGCTATATATTTTATTTATATAATAGTTACATTTAATAAGTTCACAATTTCGTGATGAATGCCTAATCAGTATGGCATTCATCATTAAATTGTGAACTTATTAAATGTAACTATTATATAAATAAAACATATAGCTACAATAATAGATATACGTATATACATCATACAGGTATACACCGAATAAGAACCGAACAAGAAATATAGATGTCGCTAGCCCGCAATGTTGACCAAAATAATATGCGAGATGGCTCTCTATTTCTGTAGTATTACTTTACTCTAGGGGAACGACCAAAGGAGCATTTTGATCGTTGTGGGCGCTTAGTGGAACGCAGCCACAGATAACTCTTTGTCATCTAATAAACAATACATTTGCAATAAAATAATATTGAGACTATAAATTAAGATGTAAGCTTTATTTGATTAAAATGGGTTAAGTATTTTAGTAACAAACAACGTGACACGTAATTTATATCTATAATTTATTATATTCAAAACATATTTTTTATTCCATCAAATTCCAAAAAATTATGTCAGTCTACCGATTTGGTCGTTACACTTTGGAAAATAGGCTTCACAAAATCATGATATTCTTTTAAATAAGGTGCTGGATCCATACCCTCGCACCATTCAGTAAATAGTATTAATTCATCTTTTTCTTTTTGTGATAATTTATATTTTCCGGTTGTAATAGCTTCTTTATTTGGTGATGGTGTGATAGTTTTATCATCGTGCCCTTTATTATCTTTATGCCCCTTTTTATCTTTCTTATTGTCAATCTTTTTAATCATGGGCCTTGAGAATTTAGCGGGCGGTAAAAATGCTTTATTCATAGCGTTTGTCATTTCACGAAATGCTTTCAGCTCCCGCTGGGCTGCATATGCGTTCATCATCGTTTTTAAATCTTGAGAAAAGAAATCATTCCTCGCTTTATTCACAACTTTAAAATCTAACGAATCCAGTTTTAAGTTATAGTTCTCATACATTACCTCTAAAATTTTCATTGGATCTTGAAGAGTTTCATGTCCCTCTTCACATTTACCAAATATTTGTTCGTACACATATTCTATACATATTTTCAATTTCAAAGTGTCTGGACTAGCAACACTTTCGTAAAATGTGTCATTTAATATCCTGAAAAATTTGTGTTGTAAATGGCTTTCATTATAATTTTCTCGAGCTATCTCGAAATTTATAGTATCAATATAGAATTGAAAATAATCAAGTTCATGTTTTGTTGCTTGTTTTAATTGCCTAATTCTGTCTTGTAATAATCTGTATGGTACATTAGTTTTCGATAATTGTGTCAAATATTCCCTACTTTGTAATTCCATTGTTCGAAATAAATACATCATTTGTTCTGGCTCTCTAAAAAACATGTGTGCTGGTAAAGGACTCTTGAATTCAATATTTGCCATTTCTATTATTTTATCTATATCTAAAGTGTCAACTAGATCATTGTCCGTAGCAAAATTTCCGGACTCGAACTGCAGCGATTGAATTCTATCTCTCAATGTCTCATCATAAATTTGTCTCCATGAAAGAGGAGCAACAAACAATAGAAACCGTCTATATATCTTTAAAACACCTCTTATGGCGTCTAATTTAAAAATAACATTGTTAAGAATGGTCATTGTCGAAACATAACCCAGAAATTGTACATTTTTTGAGACTAATTCTGAAAAAATTTTTTCAGCTCTTGTAACTTTTTGACATGCTTTTTTATAATCCTCTGTTAGAAATTTTTGAAAGTTCTTAATATGATGTTTCAATAGATCTCCTATAATATTGTGCTCATTTGATTCTTCCACAATACTTTTATCAATGTTTAAAATTAGATCACGCCTGTAGCCTATTTGTTGCCTACTCATAGCGTAACTGCGTATGTTATTTAAGTATACTTTAATATCATCAAAACACCGCAATGGCCGACCTTCAATTACACTATAAAATTCTGGATGAATTTCCACAACTGCTTTTACATCATCAATTGGGTCCTTTACAAAAAGCCTCTCAGAAATATCCCTCGTTGCTGCAATACGCAAATTATCTTTCATATGCAATGGCTGTGTTAATCTTCTGTTAAAATAATTTTTTTGCTGATGGTCGCTGAATTTAATATATGAAAGTAGCTTTTCAGATCTCGGTTGTCGAAAGGGTTTCAATTTTTCTTTCTTTTGATCCGTGCGGGTTGCATGTTGACGATTAGTAAAATAATGTTGAGTGTTGGGTACATAACGACGCCTAAATATTATATCTAACGTTTTTAACGGCACCATAGGCTTGTGTTTCTTTTCAAGACACGACATTTTTTAGAAAACAACTTAAAAAGTACAGGAATACAATAAAGAAGTATACGCAGTAGTAGTAGAACTATATAAATCTGACATTGATATGATGATAACGTCTCTTCTGGCATATTTGTCATATTCAGTTTTAAAATAGTGGTTCGATTTATCTTTATTTATTTTTGTGCCAAAAAGAAATTAATAAAAAAACTTTATGACACTAGTAATTGTGAAAATCATTAAATTCTAAACACATCGGAGTTTTCTTTCTGTGGTAGGGGGTTATGCAGCAGCTTCTGCTATTTCACAAATGGGCATATGATCGGCTTGAAGAAGAATCATATTAGTATACTTTGTTTCATCTGGTAAGTAAGGTAATCGAGGCCCACTTTTTATAATGGTCGTTAACACACCTACAACACCTGACGTGTTTTAGATGTCCATTGGCTCAAACTCAGGAGTCAGTCTAATCACTTAACTCAGGAGAACCGACTTTGCTCGCTAACTTTATACTAAAACAATTTAAAATCGATGCGTAAAGCAAGGAGCTAACAGAAAAATTACTGATGTCGTAGGAATACAAATCGGAAGGGAAAACTTCTTACCTCCACAAACTTGAACATTATTTTTTAGTTTGTTAAGAATATTTATAGAATATATTTTATTAGAAATTATTTTTATCAGCATATTAAAATAGTCATCAAACTATCATTTATTATGATTCGATGTTTCTCTGATATCACTGCGCGCCAATTGCGGATGAATTTATTATTAATAACAAAATGAAACTTGGAATGTGGGGTGAGGCAGGGGGGGTTGACCTCACCTTCCATTTTTAACCTGTATATTTGAATGATCTGATCGAGGCGCTTAGTGAGCGGCATGTCGGGTGTCACATAGATAGAGTATGTTTCAATAACGTAAGCTACACGGACGAAATAGTACTGCTAAGCGCTTCGATCTGTAGACTCAGAAACTTGCTTTGTATTTGGGTCGAGAAAAGTTACTGAGGTGCCACCTATTAAGCTGAATGGAACCCAGTTTGAACAGGTTTAAATTTTTAAATATCTAGGTGACTTAATAATACCTGCCCTGAGGGACGACGCAGACATTGAGCGGGAACGAAGGGCGATATCGGTCAGAGCTAATATGGTGATCCGTAGGTTTGCACGATGCTCTGCGTATGTGAAGATTACTCTTTTTAGAGATTACTGCACTTCATTTTACACCTGTAGCCTATGGACTGACTTTACTTATAGATTGTTCAGCGTCCTTCGGGTCCAGGACAACAGTGCAATCAGGATGTTGTTAGGGCTCCCTCGCTATTGCAGCGCATCAGCGATGTTTGCCAAAGCACGCGTAGACTGCTTCTTTACCATAATAGGTAAGCGAGGAGTGTCGCTTGTGCGGCGAGTGCGGGGGGCCACCAACAGCATGCTGGCAACGCTGGCGGATCTGCTCGATTGTACCTACATATATTAATCGCTGTTGTGGACTTAACGTTGCACACAGATACTAAGGTAATTGGACCTCGTTAGGATGAAATTTTTGTATGATGCATTTTATATTTGTAATGGTTAATTTTTTTTGTTTTTTTTTTTTTTGAATATGATAAAGTGTAATTTAAAATGTTGATGTACATGAGTAAAAAAGGATTTAGATGAACTTCGAAGACGTGAGCAAAATTTCAATAGTTGATGGTTGGGTTTTACCCATCGCCTTGGGATCGCATTGTCAGCTAGTGCGCTGACCTAAAAGACTTCATATTACTGTAAGCGTTTACTGCGTGGCTCGGAATGAAATTAATAATTTTTAAGCTGTCGGAAGCTGGAATTAACAATGACACCAAAACGTAGTGATTCCATTCTCTCTGATTGACACCAAGACGCTTGGCACCTCAGTCCAGCCTGTAACGACAAATGCTGCAAAGCATTCGAAAGGTCAGGTGCTTTTTTAAATAAAAATGGTTTATTTTTTTAGCTTTAGTCTTTAGCATTCAAATCCGTAAAATAGGTACATCTTGCGCAATGTTTTCGAATATGTTCCATGATTGAAGGAACAAAACATTTTTCAGCCAATGACAGCTCAGTCCATTATATTTGGAAATTCACATCCATTTGCTGCCAGTCGCTATTTTTTTTATAAAATGAAGATGGTACATAAGCTCACGTTTCATCTCATGATAGGTGATAGCTGCCGCCCATGGATATTTGCAAACCCTGCAGTGTGTTAGATTTGTTGCCAAATTTAATAAATTGGGAGCCGGTTACCTCACTCAATAGATGAAACGATACTCAACTTTACTAAAAGTGTTACTCTTAAATTTCACGCTGATCTTCTGTGAAGGTGTAGTACTCCCCCGAATGGATCTGAACATTCATGCCACAGCGAAGACTGTGTCGGGGTCTATTCCACGCTATACACAAATACTCCCTCCAATCGGACAGAGGTTATGGTGCCTCGTCTGTTTAAGCTGAAAGTAGACTAAGTCAACCGCGATCCCAACAATGGTCACGCTTCGCGATACCTGACGAGCCAAATACTAGTTACATAAAACTATATCGATTATGTTAATTCACTTATTTGGTAGCTTACATACGAAATGATGTATCTTTTTTTTTTTTAAAATTCGACGTTTTATAAGAACGCGTAAGCGTCTATTGGAATAAAGATATTTGGAGTTTTAATTTTCCCTTTGAAATAATTAACAATAAATGATGTAAAATTATTGTAAGACCATAATCTATAATTATACGTGATAATTATAATAATAATAATACGTGAAGCAATATCTCTGTACCCCTTTATACGAAAATTGCACAGACGGAGTATGAAATTTCCAACACTAATAGTTCATATTGCACAGAAGGAGTGCAGAATGCTAATATTTTTTTTTATTTATGCAAAAAAAATACATTAAAACATTAAAAAAATTTCACACACTACCATTGTAAAACTGTCCAAAATTGGATAGTATATTTGTCTACTGTTTTTGGATAAAAAACATACACCTTATATATATATATATATATATATATATATTAATATAATCATAAAATCGATATTACAATAATATTATTTGGAAGTACTAATGTCCCTAAATAACAAATATATACTTAATTCCTACTTACTTTTATGTTACAAAATATAAAACAAATTAAATATATTTATACACTTTCAGAAAGATTGTAAGATGATTTTAATCTTTTACTTAATTTGTCAACGTCCTTTAATAATTTCGCAGCTTCCTTCGCCTGTTTCATTTTTTTAGCTTCTTCTTCATACGTACATTTCTCTATAAATTTGATATCATTTAAATCAAATGCCGACAAGTCCATCATTATGCAGTTATATTCTTGCTCTAAAGCTAAAACTAGTTCTAACGGGCTTAGCTTCGTTTCATTGGGACCAATTACTTGTTCATAAGCAAATTCTAGGTCGTTAGAAATTTGTAATATCATTTCAGAAGAAATTAAAAATTTTATTTTTCCTTCTAATATCCTAAAGAATTCTTGTTTTAATTCTGTTTCTTTTTCAGCATTTTTATCTATACTTTTTTCCACCTCATGTATCTGAAACAATTGCATAATTAACATTTAAAAATATTTATAAATATCATATATATATTATTATTAAAAAAGATAATTACAGTCTCCTGTATATAATCCAATTCTAATTTAAGTAATTTTTTAAGAAGCCCTAGTGACTTCATAAATTTAATTTTGTCACAACGAATTTCTTCTGTTTTTAAAAGAAAATTCAAATTTTGTTTTTCCAGAAGTTGAAAAATGTTTAGAATTTGTTCTGGAGTTTTAAAATATAATTGAGGCAAAGGAAGTTTTTCTAATCTCTCCTTTATAAGCCTTATATCAATTTCGCAAAACATGTCAGATTCCATTGTAAATATTTCAAAATTACTCCCAATTAATACTAGTCTATGATCGTCTTGCCATAGTACTGGTGCGGCTTTGTAGAGGAAATTTTGAAATGACAATAATATTTGCTAACGTCTCGTGAATGTATTGAAGCTTAGATTTAATGGACGCGTATTCATAATTAAACTTCTTGTTTTCTTCAATTTGCATTGCTAACTCTTTGGCCAAAGTATCTGATTTCTTCATAATTAATATAGTCTTATTGTTATCATCTGCCAAAAACTTGTTGAAGCTCTCTTGGCAATCATTGAAGTGTCGCGATGACATATCATAAACTTTTCTTTCCGCTTTTATATCTCTTTCTATACGCAAAATCTCGTCTAAAACAAAACCGTGCAGAGTTCTTTTCAGAGCAACTTCTTTAATGTTTTGTTTGTACTTACGAATAGATGTAAAAGGCCTAATCGGTCGTCCATCTACTAATGAATAAAAGTCAGAATCTACATCTAAAATAGTCTTAATTTTATCATCTTTTGATTGTTCTATTGGTGGAAGCCTAACACCAGATTTTTTAGATATTTTCCTTAATAATGATCTGTTTTCCATCGACACAAATTAAACACCCAGTCGTTCTGAAAGTCTTACAACTTGTTAAATCTGATACGGTTCCTATGAAAAGTTTGATCAATATAACCATAGTAACTCATTTAGGTGAAGGGGTTATTTAGGTTAAGGCTATTGTGCTATTCATAGCAACATAGAACAGGAAGATTTTTATCCTCGGACGATGTTTTCAGATGATGTCCTAAGACTGGAAGCATAACATCATCTTTAACATTTCAATACTAATCTACACTGGCCTTCTCCATAAATAGATTTAAGGATAGGATACAGTTCGCGTTATTCGTTAAGCTACAGTTGCGAGATTGGAGTAAAAGGCCAGTGTTCTTTCTTATCTTCACTTTATTTCGAGACTTCAATAGGTGCCCTCTTGCAGTCGCACAAGCCTTCCACTTACAATTATTGTCATTCACTTTTCCATTTCTTCACTATCACTTTTTACTTTGCCTTTTCATCGCTTTCCTTCTCTTTCCACTTTGTGTATTCCTTCATCCAAGCGTGCTCCGTGCCTCTTTTATGGAGCCGAATTTCAATTGTTTTTATGTAGCATATTCCGGAATAAATTTTTTTTATGCATTTAAAACCAATGATGTTTTAATAAAGTTGGTGAATGCCCATCCGACGTTTAAAAATTGCTCAGGTTTATATTATATGACATATTTTAATGAATGTGACAGATGATATAGAACGCAAGATACGGAAAGAGAGTCTATAGAATTACATCGATTGGTGTAATTTGAGCTCCTCAATTTTAGTGCGCTAGTGTCATATCTTTGTATATAATATCATTGATAACAGTCTATAGAATTGCAATCTAATTACACCAATTGCCGTAATTTGAGTGCCTCAGTTTCGGCGAGCTAGTGTCATAATATCTACCTCGTATCTTTATATATATAATTCGTCTGTATGTGTGTATGTCACTGAACTCTGTGCGAACGACTGGACCGATTTTAATGAAATTTTATGTGTCTTCAGGTCGATTCGTGAATGGTTTAGATTCACAAATTCAGTCCACATCTTTTCTTTAATTTTTTTATTTATAAGTTGTTTACGTGATTTAAGTCGTGTGTATAGGACAACATGTGCCCGGTCCGCTAGTTTATATATAATATTGTTTAAAACTGTGAAAACTTAGACACTTGACAGAAAATTCTATGAATGACATGACATTGGCATAATTCCAAAAGAGAACCAAAGAAAAAAAGGTTGACCAAAAAGAATATAATCACTACGTCCAACGTTCATTAAACACTACAATCGAATAATCGTAATAAAATATATTTTACAAAAGAAAAATTGAGAATTTAGTTATATTTATTAATGTGTACACAATACTGTATAATGCATCATTGGATTTTTTTTAATGATCTATATATAACCAATCAGTCGCCTTAATTTAAGAGTTTACAATGTGATAAAACTAAGTAAACAGTATCAATATCAGAAGCAAGCTTTAGTCACTATCCGAACTGACGATACTTTGTTCTTCATCCCTTTCAGTATCCTTCCCCTCTTCATCGACCTCTTTTTTGGAAATCTCCCAAGGCATAACTGGTAGGGGCTCCACGAAAGAATCGTCTATCTTGAGCTTGTATAGTAACCGCGGCGTGTAATGAGTTGGTAAAGGCCAGACATTTTCTGTAACAAGGATCATTTAAGTTGCTAGCTAAGGTAAATTAGTATCAAAACGAACGCAGAGTTATCCCGACTGCAGCAGCTATACAGCTTAGCAGGTGATGGCAGTATTTTATACACCACCATGTGAAAAAACACGTCAACGTGCTCGCAGGTTGAGTTTGAAGTGTTATGTTTTCGATTTAAATTCTTTTGAGTAACGTGATATATCTTATCCTTTAAACGACCAATTCTTGTATATATATATATATATATATATATATATATATATAATCGGAATCTCGGAAACGGCTCCAGCGATTTTCATGAAATTTAGTATGTGTGTAGATTCGGGGGCGAAAAATCGATCTAGCTAGGTTTCATTTTTAGAAAATGTCCTTTTATCCCTGTTTTCAGGGAATGAAAAATATAATTCGAATATGACGGTAAATTTCGCCGCAAGAGAAAATGTCATAATAGCTCGGTCGGTAATCGGGCGGCCCCAAAACAGACGGCCGTGGTTCGCGTCACGATCATTTACACATTTATTTTTTTTTTTTTCGATTCCAGATCATTGCTTTCTTTATTTTTAATTTTTTGTCGATTTGTTATTTTGTTAATTTTTTCCCTTTTTTTTTAAAGTTCTTTCTTTTGTGAAAAACATCAGTTCATATTTTCTTATTATTACGTCGGTAAGATCGAAAAATATTATGCATATTTCATTACTCAGTAATTTGTATGTAAATGTAATTTCCAAAACACACGATTTACAAAAAAAAAAAAAACACCGAGCAACGCTCGGTCCTCCGGGTACTTTTTATAAAAAGTACAAAAATTTAACGTTTACAAGCCGGAATAGTCTTCTTTAGTCCAGTTCGAATTCTGGCAGAGACGAAAAAGTTTTGCGACAGTTTTATGTAAACATTTTAATTTTAGAATATTAAAGACACCATTTACCGAAGTAATAAACGTAGTCATCCACTCTTCTATGAAAATTCAGCACCCGCCGTAGTTCCAAAATGTGCTGTGATTCCAGCAGGAAGTCCAATAGTGTCACTTCGGGCAACGCTTCCATCTTCGGATCGATTGCGCTCAAACCTTCAAATGACAACTAAAAATCCAACACGATAACCTAAGTGCTTTTTAAATATCTTATTTAATAAAGACCTAAAGAAGGGATCTTAAAAGAATCAGTACCAATAGGTGTTCCAATTTAAGTAAAAGCAATTTATTTAAGACGCATCGAAATAAAAATGAAACAAGCATTTCTATGAGAAATAATTCTCACGTGAATTATTAACTTTACCCGTTAATTTTATTATTTCCCTGTATAAAAAGTTTACACCTATTATGGAAATAGCCTATGCTGCTATCTTTTCTATAGTTCGGAGAACGGTTTTCGCAATCCAAAATTTCATAAATATTTTAGCGGAGAAATATAAAACATACAATTGCCATTTACTCCTTTACTTCGGATTTGAAAAAAGTGTGAAAGACGCGAATCAAATTTATAATTTAATCGAAGTATTAAAAAAAAGCAGTAGACAATACCAGTCATACGACTTTCTTAGCAGCAATAATAAACATTAGACTTTCGTTGTGCTTTAAATTATTCAGTTTAGTCGCAATATGGTGCCTTACGTCTGGATCGTTCTTTGCGAGGACACATAGATTTTTGATCTTGTCAAGGAACACGCGCAACTGTTCCATGTGCGCTGCCAAAGGCCCGTGGACATCCAGATTGCCAACGAGCGAAGGCGGACGGGCGATTAGAGCTCGCCAACCGTTGAACATTCTCTGAAGGTTAAAAAAAGTCAAAATAATCGTATCATTGAAAATATATGTATCTAATCACTACATAGTATAAAACAATGTTGTCCTGCTGTCTGTCCCTGCATGAATGCTTTATAGATCTTTAAAACTACGCAACGGATCTTGATGCGTTTTTTTTTACGAAATAGAGAGTTTCAAGGGGAAAGTTTATTATATGTATATTGTATAAAACATTGCACCCCTGCGAAACCGGGGCGGATCGCTATTGAATATATAATACTTGCTTTTCGCTCGCGACCCGCGTTGAAGGCCTAAAATAAAACCTATATTTTTTTTTAATTAAAAAGAATTCTATGTCCTTTTTAATACATCTAAGAATATGTGTACAAAGTTTCATGATATTCGGTTGAGTAGTTTGGCGTAAAAGCGTAACAAACATACATTCACATTTATAACATTAAGTAGGGAAGTAGGGATATAGTGAATAAATAATGCAGGGGTGACATTGGCTTTGGCGCACAAGGCTTGTCTAAATACTATGTAATGTAAGTATGCTTGTAAACAACTGCGCGTTACAGGTGTAAACTAAACGATAAGTTTTATTTTATTTCTTAAAAAGTAATCATGATTATTTAGACGTTCAACATATTAGTTTTGTTTTTTAACCGAAAATCCAACGATATGTTTCATTGTCACCGTCAGAGTTACAAAAAATATAACTTAAATGGACTGATTCAATTAAGTATAATGCAATATTCATATTTTCACAAGGCATAAATCAATAAATTTTAGTAACATTGTGGATTGTCTGCATATTGCTCTGATATAAATTATCCGTAATATTTCCGTTATTCAATCCATCTTATAAAAAAGAATGGTATATAAAAAAACGTTGTTCGCACATATCGTCCTGTGTTAAAATGTTTTCAGTGTAATTCCAGAAAATAACCGTTCGTCACATTAATATTGAGCCATAAATCTATGAATCTAATAGATGTAGGTAGTTTATCTTAGAAACATTCGTGAAAACATACCGTTTGTATAGAATGAAAAACCATTAAACCTTTCAACCGTCTGAAGATCTTTTTTTCGGGCATAGAACTGTCTTTGTTTTCTAACATTATTGAAAGAGCTTGCCCTGTGTTGTCGTCAATGGCCATTTCTTCTTTCTCTGTATCTTCTATTTGCTTAATCCATTGCTCTTCAAGTTTTAACAGGAACCTTAACTGACGGTGAACTGTATCTTCCGACCCCTTTCAATATCAAATCATTAGTATTAAAAGCACTGTAAACACACTACAAATATATTTTATAAAAGAATAAGTTGATCATTATTTATGACTATTCTTTGAAACAAACTTATTATTTAGGAATCAGACAGGCAAGATTCTACTGCGCTTGTGCCACGCGTCTACTTCTAATTTTAGCTTACTTAAATTAGCCTACTCGTCTTAAGATCTCATTGAATGTAAGTAGAAGTAAAAATGTACTTCTACCTTTTGTCTTTTGTGTGATTTACCGGGGACCAGGCTACTCAACATAAGCAACGCACTGCAGTCCCACTGGTGTTGCTTAATCTTTGAAACCCTACGGGTGTTGCATATGTCCACGGGCAGCGGATATCACTTAACACCCGCTGAATCATCAGCTTGCTTGCGACCTCAAGTGAATTCCTCTTTCCTTTCCACCATCGCAGTCTTCTCAGTCCAACGAATTGCTTTTCCTTATCCTTCATAATAAATACAGCACAGACGGAGCCATCATCTACAATTCCTGTCCCATAACAACGTATCTTCAAGATCAGAACTACCACTGGAGACTAAATGGCTGCATACGATCCGGTGGTGTGGGCAAGCCCTAGTCAATACGTAATTAAAAAATGTATTATTTTACAAATGTTTGTGAAAAACACATTCTAACCTCAATTATGTGTACAAAATAACTGTCGTACACCAGAAGCAAGCCGGTCACATTTATTTCGCAGTAGGAAGAATTAACATCACATACAGTCTTGGCAAAAAGTTCAATAACTTCCTCCTTTTTCAATCTATGTTCACCTGCATATATCATACGAATGGCATAGGTTTTCTGGAATAAGAGTTAAGCGCAAGTCCGTAAAGTTGAAAAGTTTTTAAAAAGATCTATGTAAGAGTAGATTCTTTTGAAACATTAAATTTACACGTTATAAAATCCCACGATGCTACAATATCTTTGTATAGATACTTTTAATAGCTAAGAATGTTTTTTGAGTAACTTTCGCACTAATCATAGTAGTTTCTTCTCATCCATTATTTCAATGTTTCTAAGTGTCTTACCTACATTGTTTGTTTCAACATCATCTATGTAGCATCATCAGTATCAATATATGTAGGTCAATGATAGCATAAACAAAAACTGAGGCACTCAAATTACGCCAATTGGTGTAATTAGATTGCAACTATATAGACTGCTATCTCTTTCCGTATCGTACGTTCATAATTATCATCCGTCACATTCACTTATATATGTCATATAATGAGCGGAACAATTTTTCAACGCTGCGAAGTGTGGACATTCGTCGCCTTTATTTTAATAAATGTTTTTGAAACATTGATGTAGGCATATTATGACAAAATTAGAAATTAAGTTTTGAATACTAACCAAACCAACACGTTCGAAATTTTCTTCTACGACATTTAAAACTGATCTTGTATTAAGATCAGGCAATGCCATCTCAGAGAAGAGTACATCATATTAATTCCGTCATTAAAATTTTAATAAAACAATATCATTCACAAGACTATTTGATTATATCCTAAATAGTGTATTTGGTTACCATAGAAACTGCTTCAAAATGTTAAAACTGTACTTAGTAGATTATACAAAATAACAAGAAGCTTTTCTTTCTTCTACTTTAATATCAATATAAAACAATATCTAGAATATTAAATCTAACTAAATTACATGTTATATAATTAACGGGAAAGGTCACAATATGCAATAGGTGTATTTTGCGACCTTTCAAAAGCTTTCGACTATGTAGACCACAAAACCCTCCTTCAAAAACTAGATTATTATGGCATTCGTGACATCGCCCTCAATCTCATTGCCTCCTACCTTAGTAAAATGGGTGTCCCCATGAAAATGGGTGTCCCACAAGGATCAATCTTGGGCCCATTATTATTCTTAGTGTATATAAATGATCTCCCCTTTTATGCCAGTGAGTTATATGATGTTGTACTGTTTGCTGTGTCGAATTATGACGACGTGAATAGTGCACTTTCGTGTATCCTCCACTGGTTTACCATTAATAATATGGTGTTTAATAGTACGGCGGTCCTCACACATATCGGGCAATTGGAGACAGTTTGAGCGCCTCGTTTTAGCATTTCTTCATCTAGTCAAGTACGCTTGAACGAGTAAAGAACCTGCCCTCTAATCCCCAGCCACAGTGAAAGTCTAGAACGTAAACCTTTCAAAAATTTCGATAGGCAGACCCCACAGACTTAAAATTTCAACAGCAAATAGCACAAATACGTAATCTGAACTAAGAAGAAGAGACTCATATTTGCGCCATGTACTTACTTCAGCTGCGCTGATGCCAACCCGGCCCTGACAAAATACTATCTAAATAATACTAAATAATAATAAAAAATACCGCATCAAGATCCGTTGCGTATTTTTAAAGATCTAAGCATACATTGGGACAGACAGACAGCGGAACGACTTTGTTTTATACATGAAGTGATGTCCATGGCCGGTGGTATTCATTTAACACACAACTGAACAGCCTTTTTTTTTTCGTGTGAAAAATCCTTTATGGATCCCACTACCACTGGATCGGGGGAGTGGCAGGGGTATGTGGGAGTCCCGGTGAGAAACGGGTACCCACTAAAAAACCCACGTTGCACCTGTCTCTGTCGCATCGGCCGGGGACACGGGAACACGTGGACGCAATCTTCCGCGACCCCGGCGCGACTATGGCCCTGTTTAGGCTTCGTCTACTGCATCGTGCTGTGCCGGTGCAATTGGCACAGTACACGTCTCGAGCCCCATATTGAGCGACAGACAACCCCATGTCTGCCGCTCAGGGTCTCGCTATCAGGGGGAAGGTTGCGCGCGTAGGCCAGCCTCCTGCACCCTGGTCTCCGGCGGCGGATTTCCAGGGTGGCAGTTGCCTCCCTTTCTCTCTCCGCGGCCTCCTTCCGGGTGATAACGTCCTCGCAATATGCGAGGACAGCACCCCACGCTCTCTCGCTGTCAACCATAGCGCGAACCACGGCTGGCAGCGAAAGGTCGTGCCCCACGATAGCACATAGCTCTCGGCTCTGCTCCGTCCAGGCTGAGCACTCCTCCAGTGCGTGTTGAGCCGTCTCCTCGGCACATACGTCACAGTGGTGGCATTCTGCTGTGGGCTCCCTCCTAGCCACGCGAAACAGGTACCTCCCGAAACAACCATGTCCCGAGAGGATCTGCGTCGCGCGGTAGGTCAGGGTGCCGTGTCGTCTGTCCAGACACTTCCTGAGGACAGGAGGTATGGCCTCTACGGTTCTTAGGCCGGCCCTGGGGTGCTCCAGCCTTTGTTCCCACTCCCCGATGGCGTTTGAGCGCAGGCGATCCCTGCGCTACCCCAACTCCTCCGGGGCCGGCATATGGCCCTGGGCTTTTGCAACCTCGCGCCAGGAGTGCAATGACGCGAGGATCTTAGCTTCCAGATCCCTGGGCAGAAAGCCGGCCAACAAGCAAGCCGCCTCACCGGAGATTGTCCGGTAGCCCCGTATGGCCCGAGTAGCCAACACCCTCTGTGACAAGTGAACAGCCTGCTCGCTTGACAACTTTTCACTTATCCAAACGTGTACTTATTTATGCACATAAGATTTACTTCTTTAGCGTAAAAAAAGAAAAATAATTTTATCCCTTTAGCTAACTCTTTGTTTGTGAAAAAATGATTTAAACAAAAAAAAAGTACCAACTTCAATCTGTATTAGCACTAAAAAGTTTGAAATAATACTAAATTGTCCAAACACCCGGAGAGAGGAGGCCTGAGAAGGCCACAATCGCGCCGGGATTCGCAGAAGATTGCGTTTTCGTATTCCCGTGTCTAGGGCAAAAGTGACAGCGCAGATGCAACGTGGGTTTTTTAAGAGGTACCCCCTTGTCACTCGGGATTTCCTATTTTTCTACAAATTTTAATGTTTCATCTAAAGTGCTTGGAATAGCACTGTAATAATTTTAATTTCAAATTCTTATCAGCCTCATATATAGTTTTTGAAGAATTATCGTTGTACAACGATTTAAAATTTTTTGTTTGCTGTAAAGGAGATAAGAATAGATGCACTAATCATGGATTAATTGCGAAAAACAATGTGAATAAAATACGGACGAAAGACTTTTAGTCGATTTTTCTACCAATTTTAAACTAATATAAGATTGTAAGAAAACAATAATTTCCATTACATTTATTTGTGTTATATTTACATAAATTAATAACATGGAAAATTAAAACTAAACTTCCTACTGCAACATTTGTTTTTTAATAATCATCATATTTATTAAAATTATTGCGATTGCGGAATCTATTCCACCGTTTATTCGTGTCCCAACGAGAAAACTGTTTTGGTTTAAATTTCATCTGATTTTCTTTGCCTTTGGTCACGTTGTAACTTCTTGCTAAATCTTCTAAATCTTTTGGTACAGGCTGCAAGAAAAATTATATTTATATCAGACTTACTGACCAAATTTGCCAGTTTACAAAATTCCGCAATTATGTAATTCAAATTGTAAAAAAAAAACTACAGATTCCCCACAAATTCCCCTCAAAATTATTTTAACAATTGAAACAGTTTTGAAATTATGAACAATTTTCCATACTTGAATAAATTCATTTTGTATTTCGCTACACGCGTTTTACAAGTGTAACTAGTAGGTATCCCCAAATCATAAAAAACTAACATATGATTTGAAATAATCTCAACGTAACTAGCCCGATTATCAACAAGCAATTTTATATACTAAGAAGAATTAGCCTCAAACCTATCAAAGTATTTTATAATGGGGAGATGTCAAATGCCCACATTTTCCACACATAATGCCAATGCCATAATTAATCAATTAGCTTAAAATTTCCTACAGTTTTAGGAATTCCCCACAAATTAGTTAACTGAAACAAAATTGAGAAGTAAGTAATTTGAATATGGATATGAAAAACATTGTAACCAAAGCACTTTTAACATTAACTTTCTATTTAATTCCTTAGGTAAGCATGATCTGATAAATACCACAGACATATTGTGTATTTATTAATTAACTTTTTATTGCCTTTTTGTTTACCTGATTAGCTTCTTTCAAAATAGACATCAAACTTTTTGCATGTCTTGCATCATCATCAATGAGCAGTGTATGGGAAATGCCTTTATTTTGAGAACGGCCTGTCCTTCCAATCCTATGTATATAATCTTCTGATGTGTTAGGAAAGTCATAATTGATAACATGTGTCACACCATCAACATCTATAAAATGGAGATCATTATAAAGCCATTCATGTTTTTATAAAATAATATAAAAATTTACTTTTTCAATTTGATTTAGTGGTTCCATAATAATTATTTATTTATACAGGAGTGAGCCGTGATAGCTCAGTGTCCGGGTGCTCGCCTTTATTGCAATATACTCGAACAACCTGAGTTCGATCCCCAGTGCCGGCACCAATGAAGTATTTAACTTTAAGTGCTGACTTATCACATGCTCCACGGTGAAGGAAAACATCGTGAGGAAACCTGCATATTTTCGAAAAAATAACAAAAAAGAAATATTTTTCAAAGATATGTGAAGTCTGCCAATCCGCAGTGGGGCCGCGTGGTGGTCTATGCCCTGATACCCTTTGTATAGAGGAGGCCTTTGCCCAGCAGTTGGACATGTATATACTGTTACTTTACTTTACTTTCTTTTTTACAGGAGGGAGGCTTTTTTAAAGGTGCCCAAATTTACACAGGAGGTTCAGACTCCGTAGTATAATCGTTTATTGAAATAAAAACCCTTAAAAAAAAAGCACTTGTTCACAATGTGTTAGTCATTCATAAATACCTAAATTTCACTGTTCATAACTAGCACGCACATAAAAGAACTTGTGTGCATGTTAGTTATGAATGATCGCGCGTAAAATAAATGAGTTGGGTATAAATCACGCACTTTTTGAGATAAGTTCAAATGAATGTAATTATATATATTCATAGTTAAACTATAGAAAAATGATGACCGAAATACAAGCTCAAAAAAGCAATTATTGAAGTTGAATCTGTTTACTTCTATTAGAAAAGCTACAGATTATTTAATTTTCCATCATTTAGTACATACCTAAACCTCTAGCAGCAACATCTGTTGCAACCAGGATGTTAGTGTTCCCACTTTTAAATTTGTGTATTATTGCATCTCTCTGATTTTGTGTTTTATCACCATGGATACCAACAGCTGGCCAACCATTTCTTCGGAGTGTTAGTGCTAGAGTATCTACAAACCTCTTTGTGTTTGTGAAAACTAATACTTTTCCCACTCCCTGGCTAGATATATCATGCATAATACTTCTGAACCTATAAAACAAAAAAAGGATGCATTTTTTTAATATAACGCTTTAGCTTCATAATTAGGCATTATTTACTTTAATTAATAAGCCCTTAAAAAACAATTGAAATCTGTAAAACAACCCTATTATCTTGGTCAGTTACTTATTAGCTAGTAATAAGCATGTATAAGAATTATTTATGATTAGAACCTAAACCAGAAATAATTCTTCATAAAACTTTTCATCAACAACACATTTCATATAAGAAAACTTGTGTTTTCCTTTAGAATTAAATTTTTAACTATGTTAAGTAATTTCAGTAATACATTGCCTCAATTAAAGTTAAGTTAAACAAAATCTACAAAACTTAAATCTGTCTCGGAATTTCAAGATTTTTTTACTAGAGAAATATAGGATTTATGTTTGTTAATTATGGAAATTTAGGATCTATTTTTATTTTCAGTGCTAGTAGATGAAATTAGGTTTAAAGTGAATTAAAGATAAATGAACAAAAACGTTTAGCACTGCGGGATTCATTTATCATATTGTTTATTTATCCACAAAAATTCACATACTAAATTTTATCTTCCACAGAAATTTGCCAGTTCAATGTGCAGTAAACAGTTCATATCTAAATTCCTTTTTGTTTTGTTTTTACTACACTAGCTACTTATGTTGCATACAAAATTACAAAATCAACTTACTTATCCATTTTATTTTCCTGGTCACAAATATGAAAGTTCTGTTGTATATTGTGGTTTGCAGATAACTCTGTTGAACCAACATTAACCTGTATGTACTCTCCTAAATAATCTTTTGCTAAATGTTGCACTTCTTTAGGCCAGGTTGCAGAAAACATGAGTAATTGTCTTTCATAGGGAACACCTTCAAGTGCTTCACGAATTTGTGGCTCAAACCCCATGTCCAACATTCTATCAGCTTCATCTAATACAACATATGTACATCTGGCTAATGTTGTTGTTTTACTTTTCAAAAAATCATTTAATCTACCAGGTGTGGCTATTAAAATGTCTACACCATCCTGTAACTCTGCAGCTTGTTTTGCTCTGCTTGCTCCACCATAAATACATAAGCACCGCACATTCAATGATGAGTGAAATTGTTTACCGACTTCTTCTATTTGTCTTGCCAATTCTCTAGTAGGAGCCAATACTAACACTTTTGGACCACGGCCTCTTTTTGACTGTTTCTCTTTTATATGCACCACAGCTGGTAAAAGATATGCAAGTGTTTTTCCAGTACCAGTTTGGGCAATACCAACAAGATTTTTGCCACTCAACGCAATTGGCCATCCCTGTGACTGAATAATGGTTGGTTTACATAGTCCTTGTTCTTTCAAAAATGTTTTTATATAACCCGGAAACTCACAGTTCTCGATATCTCTAAAAGGGCTTGGTACATTTTCACCAATTATAGTTATGTTATGTTCGTTATAATATTCAACAAGATCTTGTTGGGCGGTTTGTGTAGAATAAAATCTTTTATCAAAGTTTTTTTTCAAATGCAACGTGCTAAGATAATTTTTGCCAAAACCATCGAAAGATATAACCCTTCGGCTCTTTAAATTGACTTGATATTGAAGAAGTTTTATATTTTGATACACTCTAAAAAGATAAAAAACAGATTTAAATCGTTATTATGACATAGTTGATATATATTACATTACATATTAAGTGTTTACTTACGACCTGATACTATTACGCCGAAGAAACAAAACAGTTGTATTTAAAGCCATTCTGTTCAAGTAAGCATGTCAGCAAAACCAAAACCTAACCAAAAAACTGTCGACTGTCTTGTTGATCGATTTTAAAAGGTTAGGTTTCAGCAGGAGTACGGAAACTGCTGAACAGTCATAGCATAGATCAGTGATTCTCAACCACTGTGCCGCCAAATTTCAAAAGTGTGCCGCCAAATTTTGCAAATATATAAAAATGTTAATATTATTAAATTATATCATTTAAAAAGAAAAATATTTTTTGGCATTAGCCAACATTAAAACTAAAAAAAGATCAAGATTGTTAAATGTAGAAGACGATATGAGAGTAGCATTGTCATTTTTACTACCAAATGTAAAATGAAATTATCAAAAAACATCAAGCTCAAATTTCGCATTAAAAATATTTTTATTATTAGCTTGTAATTAATCCCTTAATAAACGTTTAGTTATTATTGTAGTATATATTAGTTTATTTCGTATATTTAAAATTTTTGTCATAAATTATTTATGTGTGTTGTAGTAAGTAAATATTTTTTATCTTTTTCTTTGTGTGCCGCCAAATTTTGAAATCGTTAAATATGTGCCGCAACAAAAAAAAGGTTGAGAATCACTGGCATAGATCATAGACAGATCGATAGAATATGAATTACGAAGGTACAGATGTTGTCACGATCAAAGTAATTTGCATCTGGCGCACAGATGCAGTAGAGATCCTAACGCATTATTGGCGATAGTAATCAAAATTATGTTTGTTCAGTATTTTTAGGAAATGTAGCAATCTGTGAATAAAATATTTGAGTTGACAATTTGCTTAGATATATGAACAAAAACTATCGGCGCTGCGTATTCGCGAAATAAACAAAATTTTGTCTGAGCCACACCCAGTGACGATCTCAGTTTAAATTATGTGCCTTTGTAGAGAAGTTACATTTAAATAAAGTTAAGTTTATATAAAGTTGAAAATGGAATCCGCCATTGCACAATTTTACACCGACATTGCAATGTTTAGGCTTTAAGTTCAGTATTTGGAGAACTTTCAAGTGTTCAACTTAAAAATTCTCCAAATACTGAACTTATCAGTTTGTTTTCGGAGAAAACGACTATATGATTGCGAACATACCGAGTATGTTCGGAAAACACACCTGCCCATTTTTCACTAACAGGATATCCATTCTGCCTTCTCAAATTTTAACAGAACATCGGAAAATTCTTGGGCCTGTTAACGGAGTCCGCACGTTAACTGTCAACCGCAACTTAGGTTTTTGAGACCAGAGTTATGAACGCTTCTGTGAGGCATTTATTTGAGGCATCTGAGCAATGAGAGGAAGGATTTCGAAAATCTCTAGAGGAAACAACTGTGACATTCCCCCAGAGGCGGATTATCCTTAAGACAAACTAGGCATGTGCCTAGGGGCGCGAGGGTACAAAGGGGCGCGCGGGCGGAGTTGTGAAATAAAGAAAATATTTATAATATAGCATAAAATTAATTGCGCCAGTAATTAAGCCACCTAATTACACAATAAAAACTATTACTTTTGCTTAGAACCTCAATTTTCTCCAATTTATAACAAAAGATAAACTTAACGGATAGGACTGACTAAAACTTGCGCCTTCAAACAATCTTATCGATGGTACATGATCTCTGATTGAAGAAGGAAAGATACGGCAAGTCGATCGCGACTTGTGAGTATCAGAATCGGACGTCCCTGTTTCTAAAATTGCGGTGACGAGGGTGCGATGCGGGGGCTGAAGCTAAGCAGTCAGGCGCGAACAAATGCGTGGAGAGTGACACGACTTTCAACTTTTTTGTCTTTGACGCGAGCTTTTTTCTTGGATAACTTATACTTTCATTCCTTAGACTACTAAAGCTAAATGGAACGCAGAACCGGTGGGCTAGCCAGAACGGGTTTGAGGTTCCCTCAGTGACTACGGCCTCCCCCGTGTCCCGACGACATCCCGGGTCGAGCATGGGTACTGGCCCTGGAGGACGTTGTTTAGCACCTGTCTGGCTCAAGCAATTATCCCACATAGGTGGAAGACAGGCAGACTCGTCCTCATCCGGAAGGAAGGGCGTCCAGCGGACTCCCTGTCTGCCTATCGGCCAATCGTGCTTCTCGACTATGTGGGCAAACTCTTCGAAAGAGTGATCGCGGGCCGCATAGTCGATCATTTGGTGTGCGTCGGTCCGAACCTGGCAGACAGACAGTTTGGGTCCGCAGGGTCGGTCAACTACCCACGCGGTGCTGCGAGTGACGTCGCTCGCACACGAGGCGATTTTCCAGGGTGAGGTTGTCTTGGCGGTGTCTCTCGACATCACTAACGCCTTCAACACCTTGCCCTGGGTTTGCATAAAGGAGGCGTTCCGGTACCATGGAGTGCCTCTCTACCTACGCTGCATCATCGAAGCCTATTTGTCGCACCGTCGTGTGGTGTACCCGTGCCAAGACTGCCACTGGACAACAGAGTTGACGTGTGGAATTCCAAAGGGTCGGTGCTAGGGCCACTTTTGTGGAACGTAGGGTATGATTGGGTCCTACGTGGCGCCTACCTCAAGGGTGTCAAGGTAACGTGTTATGCTGACGACACCCTTGTCACCGCCCATGGCACCAATTTTAGCCAGGCCGCTATTCTTGTCCGCCGCCGGAGACCAGGGCGCAGGAGGCTGGCCTACGCGCACAAACTTCCCCTGCTAACTGCTGCCCCGTGGAGGGCTTGCCGAGGCGGAGGCTTGCGGAGGGGTGCCGTGTTTATTGCACCGACACGGCACCATTTGGCTGGACCGGGTGTCTAAACACCCGAAGAGAGGAGGCCTGAGAAGGCCACAGTCGCGCTGGGGTGCGCGGAAGATTGCGTTCTCGTGTTCCCGTGTCCCCGGCAAAGCGACGGCGCAGGTAGAACTTGGGTTTTTTAGTAGGTACCCCGTAACTCCCACATACTATCGCTGCCTATCCACAAACCGGCGGAGGATCCACAAAGGATTTTTCCCACTTAAATAAAAGTGGCTACGGCCTCCTCATGCTTGCGTCAATTATGGCATGTCCCCTACGGGCCGTGCGATGGGTCCGATTTACTTGAGTCCCCTTCTTCGACCCGGTCGATGAGGACGTTGCGAGGGCGACGCTTTTTGACGTTGCGGAAATCCCAGAGGGTTGGGATGATGTTCAACTCTGTCGAAGAACCTTTAAGGCTGAGTACTGTATGTATCAATTGTGTAAGTCACAATCATTTCAGTGATGTAAAAAAAATTTAGTGTCTGAGTAATAGATGTATGTGATTCAGATAGTGCTGGCTTGGCCAGGTAAAAACCTGCCATAGTGTGTTGTCCTACCCATATCCAAAATTATCTGGAACTTTTATATTGGATTTTGTTAGGGTTTCGGATATACAATATGGTTATGGCTAAGATGGCCTATAGCAATCTTGTTATGGGCCAACATCAATAAAAGTAAAAGTAAAGTAACAGCCTATACATGTCCCACTAATAATAATAATAATAAAATATCTTTATTCACATAGACGCTTGCGCGTTCTTATGAAACGTCAAAATTTTACAAGAAATTAACACGTTCGTAAGTTACCACCGGTTCGGAAAGCAGTTTCTGTTGAGAAGAAACCGGCAAGAAACTCAACAGTTGCTCTTTTTTAAAAAATCAGTTTACAATATAATAGTACAGGTACAATAGTCTTGTTTTAGCCTACGTGAGTATCAACAGTATTAACCCCACACATTGGCGTCGTCAAGATATTCGGCAATAGTATAATAGGCTTTAGCCATAAGTGTACTTCTAATTTTTCGTTTAAATTCATCAAGTGGCAGACTTAGCATCGACTGTGGGATTTTATTATACATGCGCACACTTTGCCCCATGAACGATCTGTTTACTTTTTGTAGGCGAAATAATGGCGTAGTTAGTTTGTCCTTATTTCTAGTATTTAGTTTATGTCTGTCACTATTCTTTTGATAATTATTAATATTCTGTTTAACATACAAAATATTACAATAAATATATTGAGACGCAACAGTGAGTATATTAATCTCTTTAAAAAGATCTCTGAGTGTATTCCGGGCTCCGATGTTATAAATTGCTCGGACAGCTCTTTTTTGAATAATAAATATTGAATTTATATCAGATGCACTACCCCACAACAAAATGCCGTACGACAAGATGCTGTGAAAGCAACTGTAGTAAACAAGTCTGGCAGTGTCGATGTCTGATAGCTGCCTAACCTTCCTAATTGCAAAAAACAGCGGAGCTTAACCTATTCGCAAGAGATGATAGATGGGGACTCCATTGGAGCTTTGAATCTACTGTGATTCCCAAGAATACAGCGGACTCGACAGGATTAAGGGTTACGCTATTCAATTTTAAGCTAAAACTTTGCCTTCTTACGTTGGGAAGGGCAAAAAGAAGGCATTTAGTTTTTTTAGCATTTAACACCATATTATTAATGGTAAACCAGTGGAGGATACGCGAAAGTGCACTATTCACGTCGTCATAATTCGATACATTTCGGTCAACCTTAAAAATAAGCGATGTGTCGTCAGCAAACAGTACAACATCACATAACTCACTGGCATAGAAGGGGAGATCATTTATATATACTAAGAATAATAATGGGCCCAAGATCGATCCTTGTGGGACACCCATTTTCATGGGGGACCCTGCGGAATTTACATCATTTATAGATACTTTTTGAATTCTATTATTAAGGTAAGAAGCAATGAGATTGAGGGCGATGTCACGAATGCCATAATAATCAAGCTTTAGAAGGAGGGTTTTGTGATCCACGCAGTCGAAAGCTTTTGAAAGATCGCAAAAAAACACCTATTGCATCTTGCGACCCTTCCCAGGCGTTATAAATATGTTTGACAAGTGCGATACCCGCATCTGTTGTCGATCTGCCTTTAGTGAATCCATATTGCTCATTGTGAAAAATTTTGTTCATATTAAAATGTACTAAGAGCTGATTTAAAATTAGTTTTTCAAAAATTTTACTCAGAGATGGCAATATGGAGATAGGTCTATAGTTTCCTGGATCATTTTTATCCCCACTTTTGAAGACGGGGATTATCTTACTAAATTTCATAAGATCTGGAAATATTCCAGATTCTATGCAGTTGTTAAAATATTAGCTAAATGTGGTGCAATGTATGGCATTATTGTGGTCATTAATTTTATGGACATGCCCCATAAATCCCCTGTATTCTTAAGATTAATAGAATTCAAAACTTTTATAATATCATAAGTATCTACGTGATTAAATTTAAATGTGTGTGACAAAAGGTAACATTATTTCTTAGAACGTTAATTGCATCTATGGGAGATGATTTGAATGTACATGTGACATTAACTGCAATTCCTGAAAAATTGCTTTCAAAACTACTTGCAATTTCATTATCTGATGTTATGGGAGTATTGCCTATAACCAGTTTTATAGGTTCCCTGAATATCTTGGGTCTTCCAGATATACGGGAAATGATGTCCCATGTGGCTTTAATTTTATTGTTTGAATTTATTATTCTATTTCTTATATGAATAGATTTTGCCTGAATGCAGACTTTTTTAAATATTTTTGAGAACATTTGTACCCTTTTATGAAAGTTGGGGTCATGATTCCACTGCCTCATATTATATAATTCATACAGTGAATCCCTACTTTTATATACCCACTGTTGCCCAGTCACTAAATTTTAATTTTGAATTTTTAACAATTGTGCGCGATTTAAATATATCATTATAAGAAGATATGAGAAAGTCAACCATTGATTTATAAGAATCATTAGGATTATTGACTTCTATATCTTTATTTAACATATGATGTGCCACTTTGTCTTTAAAAGAATTTATTCTATTAGTAGTGACTGGTCTACACTTGATCTTATGTTTGCTTGTAATAACTTTTTCATTTATTGAAAATTTTAAACCAAAGTGGTCAGAGCTCAGATAATTTATAACATATTTATCATATACATTATCGTGGCAGAAAACGTTATCTATACATGTGGAGGATGAGTTAGTGACACGAGTTGGTTCATGAAAAAGATTATTAAGTTTAAATGAACTAAATAAATTTAAAAGTCGTTTACTAAGATGTGTCACTTGTAATAAATCCACATTAAAATCTCCACAAACTATGACTGATTTACTAGTTAAACACAGTTTTTTAAGGAAATCATCCATGACACACTCAAACTGGTCGAAATCACCGGAGGGGGGTCGATACACGCATACTATAATATACTGTTGACTCTCAACGCAGGATAATTCTATAGAACGTTCGACAGAGTGCCATTATATCCTGTCGATTTTTACAGACTATATCATTTCTAACTAACACAAGAGAGCCACCGCGTATAGCATTTACTCTTACGAACCAACTTAACATTTTATAATTCTCTATATTTACAATATTACAATTCTTATGTAACCATGTCTCTGTGAAGCAGATGATATGGATGTTAAATCTTCTAAGAAACAGCTCAATTTCAGGTTATTTGCCACCTATGCCTTGTATATTTTGGTGTACAATATTTAATTTAAGTGGCTTAGGTGTTGTCTCAATGTTTAGTTTAAACTAACATTGTTTTTTGTAAAATTATTGCTAAGTAAAATGTTCTTAGTTGTACAATGTACAACTGGGTTTTGTATATTATATGCTACTAAAGTAGCAATTATTTTCTTATAATATAATGGCAAATACAAAGTATTTTTTGTCACCTTAAAACTAGACTTAATAAAACTATTTATGTCAAAATAAAAGAAAGCGTCACTATGACGGTGAGTTGTATTATATATAGTCATGTTAAGACTATATGTCTTTATTTTGTTCCTCTGTAAGGAAGGAGGAATATGGAAATGCGCATATTATAAATTTACACTTAGTCTTGTAAGTAAGCCCAGTAATATTTCCATATTATTGATAATTTCCTGTTTCCTAACAGATGAACTATCCCCATGAAGTAGTACAATAGTACTATTTTCATTTACATTCAATGTCAAGATTTTATTTATATTTTTCTGGAAACTGGCACCCGGTGAACATATATTGTATACATTATTTATATAAAAATTAATGAATATTAATAATCGTCGAGCAATTACCATTTCTAATGGTTAATTAAAAACAATATTCTACGCTAGCTTCCTTCCGGTGGATTTGTAGGTTGATTGATCGCTTTGATCATATTTTAGTTTAGAGAAATTTTTCAATTGTTTTTTATAATTTGATACAACATAGCTACATGATAGATGTGTACGTAAACTGCCGATTTCCATCTAGACATTATCGGTTTAGCACAAAAAAGAATTCAATAACAAAATGAAAAAACTATAAGTCATCAAAAGATCTGGGTATTAATCAAAGAAACAAATTATCATAATATTTTATTATTTTCACAAGATCAATGAACAAATTGGAATGATATTGTAAATGTTACTATTTCCTGAGTTTCTGGATACTATTAGTTTTAGTGGTAGTTTTTTTAATAAATACAAAACTGAAGGTAGACAGAAAATCGTAAAGACAGCAAACACTAGCTAATCCTCACTAAAATATCACAGAAAAAAAATACCGCCTAACAATAACTTAAAATGTCATACACTCACAATTAGCATTTACTCAATATTCTAGTAATACAATATTGATAACATTAAGAAGTACTTCGATAATTATGGAATAAAGTGAATATATCAGCCATTATCCATACCAGTCTACATACACACACAGATGTATACATATTCCTATGAGGATTTGCTACTTATTTAATCTAATAATCGTTAAATCTCTTGTGTCCGGCTCCCCCAGCTTGTCCATTGCTCCTGCCAAAATTAGATCCGCGTCTAAAGGAACCACCTCCACGTCCACTGCCGTATCTGTTCCTGTTCCATCCTCCACCACCACCACCACAACGGTCAGCCATTGTTTGCAGTTGTGGACTGATAGTCTGAAAGAAAACAAGGAAACTGCACTTAGTTTGAATCCAAATTAAGTATTATTTAAATTAATTTTTAGATTTTTTTAAGTTTTCACATAAGTATGTAACAACTTTTGAGGATGGGATCTAAGTATGATAGGCACATAGACACCGAAGGCATGAAGCTGTATTTCTGTACCTCATACTTGCATTCATGTCACGCTATTGAAAAACGTACCCATGCCAAAGGTATGAGGAGGAAGTCATAAACAAATCAATAAATTATTACCTGATTAGCTTCTTGTAAAACATTGACAAGGTCTTTAGCTTGACGAGAGTTGGAAGGCGTAAAGAAAGCATATGAGGTGCCTTTTGATTTTGAGCGCCCAGTTCTACCTATCCGGTGAATGTAATCTTCCGAAGAGTTGGGATAATCGAAGTTTATAACATATTTAATACCATCCACATCTGTAATCATAATAAGACATGTTAATATATAAATTCTTTCATGACAAAATCTTTACAAAGAATTTATAAAAATTGTGTCATAAAAAAATTTACGAAATGTAACTCATAGCAGTATTACTTACATAAATGAGTTACACAACAAATCAAATTCACAATATTTGCCTCTCACTGAGAAAACCCTGGAGTCTTGTTAAGGGCACATTAACTTTTTTTCGTTTCATTAATACTTGATATATATATATATATATAGCCCCCTTCAACTCCATTGCGGCCGAAACAGAAAACCCTTGACCTCTTGCCGATCATCTCAACCTGTGGTCAAGTTTTTCAACGATGCACCAGAAGTTCTTTATCAGATTATGGATTTAATAAATTGTCAACAAAATACGTAGTGCATCACCAGGTTTTCCTTACTCTCAAGTGCATCCGTTCTAACGGATATACCATCAAGTTTCCGGCCTTGGGTCCAATCATAGTGAAAGGCACTTTTGAGGCACCATAATAATGACGAGTTATTGCATTCTGTAGTAACACTACCACTGCATTAGAAAAGTCTCATCTAGAAATCCATTGCAGTATCTTGTCCAATAATTTAGGACAGTAATCAGAAAGAACACAATAACTTTCCGCCAGTGCCTCTGGAAGTACAAAGAAAAAATAATTAATAACTATACATAAATATAGGATGCAATAAGTAATTTATTCTAAAATATGCAAATTACTACTCAATAAGGACAAATTCTTACCTAGTCCTCTGGCAGCAACATCAGTGGCAACAAGAATGCTGGCTCGCCCTTGTTTAAATTGATAAAGGACATCATCTCGTTCTTGCTGTGTTTTATCTCCATGCATACATACAGCTGGCCAGCCAAAACGTCTGATATTTCTAGTAATATTTTCAACTTTTCTCTTAGTTTCAACAAATATTATAGTTTTTGTACCAGGCTCTTGGCTTTGGCCAATTTCTTGCAGCAACACATTTAACCTACAAATAAATAGTTATTTAAAACAAACAAACCAAAATAAAAGTTTAAAATAACGAATTTTCACTTCAGATCTTCTTAGAGGTTTTTAACTTATTTTAATCAAAGAAACTTCATACTATCACAAGAATCATCATTGAAAATTAACTTTGTAATGACAACAAAAAAACTACATACTTGTTTTCTTTCTCATGTTCTTGGCAAACATCAACAATTTGTAGAATATTATGATTTGCGGATAGCTGTAGTGACCCAATGTTTATTTGTAAATAGTCACCCAAATAATCTTCAGCCAATTTTTTCACTTCTTTAGGCCAGGTAGCTGACCACATAAGGGTCTGCCTATCAGGACGAATTTGTTCAATGATCTTTCGAATCTGGGGTTCGAAACCCATGTCCAACATACGGTCAGCTTCATCCAGCACTAGATATGTGCAGCGCTGTAAATTGGTAGTTCCCCTCTCTAAGAAATCAATAAGCCTGCCTGGTGTTGCTATGACAATTTCTACTCCCCTTTCCAAATCACGCGCTTGCTCTCTTTTCGGGGCACCGCCAAATACACACGTGTTGCGCACGTAAGCTGCATTTCCAAAGTCACAGGCGACTTGTTGAATTTGTTGCGCCAACTCTCTTGTAGGAGCCAATACAAGGGCAATAGGGCCATCCCCACGCCTTATTGGTGGTTGATTGTTAATATGCACAATAGCAGGCAAAATATAAGCCAAAGTTTTTCCAGATCCAGTCTGAGCAATTCCAACGAGGTTTTTCCCAGACATAGCTATGGGCCAACCTTGGGCTTGTATGGGTGTCGGTTCTTTGTAACCCATGTTGCTAATATTTTGCATCACATAATCAGGAAAGTTTCCTTCTTCAAAATGCTGAATAGGATTTGGGACTTCGAGCCCATTTACGGTGATTTCGTGCTTGTTTCTATATTCTTCAACTTCATAAGGTGATCTTTTTAAAACTTCTGGGGGTGGATTGTAGAAGTTTTTATTGAACGGTTGAAGAGACATCGAGTCCCAATTCGGTCGACGCATGTTTTGTCCACCAGAAAATTCTTTCTTGCCACCTCCAAATCCACCACCACTATTACCAAATCTACTTCCTCCACCACCACCACTTCCAAACTTAGATCCATTGCCGCCATATCTGGAACCACCGCTTCCACCGCGACTATTGTTCCAGTTTCCGGACCTATTAAATATACAAGTTATTAAAACATATGAAAACAATTTTTTAAATTAAATGGAGGCCCCAATATTATTCGATATGTTGGCAACAGTACAAATTATAACTAACCCAAATGCAATATGGCGGGTTCCAGTTATAACGCTTCTAATAATCGATATCACACATACGACAAGATGGCGGAGGCCACGCCATGAAATATTAAATAACAATATTACTGCCTACTTTTACTCTTCTTTAAACTCAATCAATTATGGTAAACATTTCAGAACTTTTGCTATTCGCTATCAGATTCTTAAATAAAAACTAATTTATGAATTGAAGATGTTAAAAAAATCGTTACACCTACTTATAACGAAATAGCAAAATTAAACTAAAATGTTGCTTCCATCCTCCACATGCACACAAAATCAAAAAACTATAAAATTTTAACCGTAGGGACAAGGTAGGCTTTTATTAGAAACAAATTTAAAGTACGGATAATGGCTGACATCCAAAATGGCTACTTCTTAGTGATCGTGTAAAATTATTACAGAAAGATGAAAACAGGCGAAAATTTTAAAATCAATACATGGCTGATATTATGAAATTTTAAGGCTTATACTCACATTTCTGAAAGTCAAATTTGGTTTTAGATGTTCTAGATGAATTTAGATGTTGTTTCTTCTGATGAAGCAGGGCCGCTGTAACAAAATTTCGTAAAATCAATACAACTGGATCGATCAAGCAGACATTAATTAAAAATATATTCAGAGAAGTTTAATTAGATTATAATTTCTAATGAAGACAATTATGTAAAAATACAAATATTAAATATTAGCTGAGCATAACATAAATAAAATGATTAGCGACCGACGTCTTACCTCGACCGCTGCTTTTGCAAGAAAGAAAGTCAATAAAGAAACAGACAGCTTTCAGCTGAGGCTGAGCCGTACAAATTATTGAATTGAACTAGGGATGTTCGGAAGTATCGATGTTTTTAATGAATCGAATCAATCCAATACATCAATACTTTCGATGGTAAAACTTCATTGATACTCTTCTTTCCACATATCAAAAGAGGAGGATTATATTTCGAAGGCATAAGATTAGTGTTAAACGAAAAATAAACAGAAAATTGTATTGCTGTATGCTAAACAGACAAAATCACATTACAATTTTAAAGGTCTTAATTTATTCGTACCTTTACGATTCATTATATGTATTACACATAAATAGTTATTTAAAACAGACAAACCAAAATAAAAGTATAAAATAACTAATTTTCACTTCACATCTTCTTAGAAGTTTTTAACTTATTTTAATCAAAGAAACTTCATACTATCACAAGAATCATCATTGAAAATTAATGTTGTAATGACGACAAAAAAACTACATACTTGTTTTCTTTCTCATGTTCTTGGCAAACATCAGCAATTTGTAGAATATTATGATTTGCGGATAGCTGTAGTGACCCAATGTTTATTTGTAAATAGTCACCCAATTTAATATCATGAGACAAACATCAAAGGTAAATATAAAAAATGAGTGAGTGCGTGAGTAGGACTTGCGCACGAAGGGTTCCGTGCGATTATCTATAAAGCCGGCAAAAAGATCACGTCTGATCACTTAAATATTTTTTCATTCTATTTATTAGTATGTGTTGCATGTCTATTATTTATTTCTTAGGAGTGAGCTATACTAGGTAAAAACAAGTACCTGTTACGCCTGGTCCTGTTACTTAAAAGTAACAGTGATAAATACCTGTTATAAAATATTTAACAACAGTCTATTATTTCATCTATGTTGTAACAATTTCTATAACTGGTACCATAGAGTAACATCTGTTACAGTATGTATGGATGTTCGGTTTTATATTTTTGTTAGGAAGACAAGTCCGTACTTCTCTTTCTAACAAAACTGTAAGACCGATGCAAGAAAAAGAAAGAGTTTGTGACAGTGACAGAATATTCAGTAACTACTGTGACAAGGCTTAACAGTTTTTGTCTCTTTCTAACTAAGGTAAAAGTCGAAAGCATGAATTAAAAAAAAAGCTTGTGACTGTGTAAATTTTAAAGTTTTTTATAGTGCTAATCTCTGCACTTAAGATTGAACATTAAAACATGTAGAAAAAGTACGAAAAGATTGTCGCCGCCGTGGGAATCGAACCCACGTCTTCGGCATCTTCTCATACTTTTTCTACATGTTTTAATGTTCAATCTTAAGTGCAGAGATAAGCACAATAAAAAACTTTAAAATTTATAACAGCAATGGCGACATCTCTCGTTCGAATTATCTTTGTAAAACGATATTCGAAATTGTTTGTATGCTGGAAAGGATATAACAATAGATGCGCCAAGCATTGCTTCAAATGCTAAATAACAATGTAGAAAAAGGCGTTAAGATTTTCGTCGCTGTGGCTATCAGCCGTTTAGCTCAGTGGCTAGAGCGTCAGGCTGCGAATGCCGAAGACGTGGGTTCGATTCCCACGGCGGCGACAATCTTTTCGTACTTTTTCTACATGTTTTAATTGTGACTGTGTGTTAAAGAAAAATTTGTGCGGAATAGGAACTGTTATTAGTTTAAGTTTGTCGGTAAGAGGTACAGTCTGTAACTCAAGATACCTGTTACATTTACCTGTTACAATAAACACGCCTCGCTCCTTGTCACATGTCGTTCATGAGATACAGCGTGGTGGTGGTCATAGGTGGACACCGGAACCTTAGTAATAGGGTCCCGTTTAACCTTCTAGGTACGAAACCCTCAAAAGGTGTGAGTACGTAATAAGTTCTTCTATAACGTAACAATACTTTTTGGAGGTCGGTGTGCGCGCGCATAGTAAAAATTTAACTCTCATAATTTTTCTAAACGCGTCAAGAGAAGTATAACTTAATTTTTTTTTAATTATTAGTATTTTTATAATTTAAGTAAATTAATTTATTATTAATGTATTAATCAGTAATAAATGATAAATATTTTTTTTTATTTTAAATGTATAGTTCAGATACATACATACAGCGTACATATTTAAAATTCGGTTGGCTATGTAAACGCCTCATAGCCGTAACGCGATTTCGTTGCATTGTCATCCCCCATACAAAACGACAAGTCAGCTGTTAACAATTTGTTTGGGAAGTTATTTTTTTTTTAAATTTTCTATACTGGTTCTATAGAAAAATATATTGGATTAGAATAGTGCAGTACAATCAATACAAAGTTAACAGATAGGTACAGAAAGTACTTCATTTAGTCCACATTGTTATTCTATGTATCGATAACATTGGTGTTTTATGTGATACATGGGACAACATCGATACAACGATTCGCGATATTGACTCGAAGAAAATCGATGTATTTCAACCCGAATCAGATCGAGAGAGAGACTAAACGAATGAACATGAGTTTATGAGTATCATTCATAAACTAAATTGTCATTCTTAATGTATAGTTTATTTAAAAATCTTTTTGTGAAAATAAATTCATTATAAACACTCAGAAGCCGTGATAACTCAGTGTCCGGGCCCTTGCCTTTAATTCCATACACTCTCGAGTATATCTTTATCCTTTAAACGAGCAATTCTTGAAATGAAATGAATCTTATCATTCAATGAAAAATATCATTCGAATACGACGATAAATTTCACCGAAAAAAAATGTAAAATAAAAAGCTCGATCGGTAATCGGGCGGCCCCGAAACAGAAGGCCGTGGTTCGTCACGATCATTTACACCAAAGAGAATGTAATCACTACTTTTACATTGATTTACACACTATTTTTTTTTTTTTACTTTTTTTCGATTCCAGATTTCATTGCTTTCTTAATTTTTAATTTTTTGTCTATTTGTAATTTTGTCATTTTTTTTCCTTTTTTAAACTTATTTCTTTTGTGAGAAACATCAGTTCATATTTTCTTATTATTGCGTCGGTAAGATAAAAAAAATATCATGCATATTTCATTACTCAGTAATTTGTATCTAAATATAATTTCCAAAATACACGTCCTACTCAGTAATACGGTCCTCCGATGTACTACTTAATTAAAGGCCGAACCTGAGTTCGAACCTTGGTGCCGGCACCAATGAAATTGTTAATTTTATGTCCCAAATTATCACGTGTTCAGCTGTGAAGTAAACATCGTGACCTGCATATATTCGAAGGCCGCGTGGTGGACTATGCCCTGATATCCTCTGTACAGAGGAGGCCTTTTCCCAGCAGTGGGACATGTAAAAGCTGATACTTTTCTTTCATAAACTAAATTTTTTAACGCAACAAAGTGTTATATTTTAGATATGCATGCATTATAATAAGGGAAATTATCCCTTATTATATGCATGCATTATAATAAGGGAAATTATCCCTTATTATAATGCATGCATGCGCAAATGAAGATTTTTTTAATCTATTATTGTCATTCTATAATCCTTTCTAATAAACATTCACTGAGCGAATGAGTGACATTCACTCATTCATTCAACGTTTAAGACTAAGTTGCCTCGCGCCTATGCTGACTCCGTGACTAATTGAAAGAAATAAAGTTTATACTAATATTTTTAGCGTCTTTTTGTGTCGTGGATGTATTAATGTACTTTAAGATATTAAGATTTTTTTCAAAAGGTAAACTTATTTAAAATGGCTATGCAACCTCATAGTAAGAAAAGAGTATGCTATTACTATGACAGTAAGTACATTTTTATAGTTTAAAATTAACGTAAATTAAATTATTGTCTTAATTTATTCTCGATTTTTTATGGTAATTATAATGCAATGCGATTATTTTATTTTAAATACTCATTTTCATCTTGATTGTTTTAAGTGTTTGTTTTTCAAGTCATTTAAAGGCGTCTGTATCACACTCCCGTGCCATTGGTTAGATGGCTGTTGTACTCTTTTCATTCGCAGAGGTACAGACTTTTATGTGTCAAGCCATTAAATGAATTGAGTAACATATTAATATGAGGTAAAATTTGATATGAATGTGAAATTTAGTATTTTTACTGATTCTTCAAATTTTAGGTGACATTGGTAATTACTATTACGGACAAGGACATCCCATGAAACCACACCGCATACGCATGACTCATAACTTGTTACTGAATTATGGTCTATATAGGAAAATGGAAATCTATGTATGTTTTGACCTTATCTTAAAAATTTTATTAGTAATAATTATTTTAACTAAAATAATATGCCTTAAAGTTTCTGTTGAAATTAATAATTGTGTTTTTTATTGTTCAGAGACCTCACAAAGCCACTGCTGATGAGATGACTAAATTTCACTCTGATGATTATATTCGCTTTCTTCGTTCAATCAGACCTGATAACATGACTGAGTACAACAAACAGATGCAAAGATGTGAGTATTTTTCTTACTTCATTGTCAAAATTAAGTATATATGAAGATGATGATAGTGTTTGTACTGTTGGAATTCAACAATTTCATTATTACTTTGTTAAACGCTTAAAATACAATCGTTTTTTTATGTTTTATTTAATGTTTCAATACACATTTTAATTGATAGAGAAATATTACTAAAACAATATTTACAAAGTGAATATAGGCGGATATTTAGATTATGGCAATAAAAATAATTAAATCTTGTGATATAATTTATAATCAATATCATAATGTCTTAATTAATTCTAAATTATAGTTTCGGTAATTTTTCTCTATAGATTGAAAGTATTTTTGTATGAAAAACGCACCTGCCCTTATAAACAATTACCTTATATTTATTTAACTATTTTAGTCAATGTTGGTGAAGATTGTCCTGTATTTGATGGATTGTACGAATTCTGCCAGTTGTCAGCTGGTGGTTCAGTGGCTGCTGCTGTTAAATTAAACAAACAGGTATAGAACAAAAACTTTGATTTCTTTATATTTGTGAATACAGAACAGTATCTAAAAGTACATATTGCATGAAATATTGATGTTAAATTTGAAAATTATGTAAGTTAAGATCAAGTTACTTCTATTTCTACAATCTAGAACTCCACATACCATGCTCTTCAATATTTTTTGAACCCTGAAAAGTAAATAATGTCCTTGTGTTGACTTACATCCAAATATTTATACAGGGAGATTTTTTGAGAAGTGGCCAAATTTACATAGGAGGTTCAGACTCGGTAGTATAATCCTTTATTGAAATAAGAAACAAAGTTTTTTTTTTTTCAAAAAAAATGCCATTCTATTTCCTTTAAAACAGAACGTATTGACAATGCGGTAGCCATTCATAAATACCTAAGTTTTACTGTGCACGAACTTGTGTGCGCGTTAGTTATGAATGATCGCGCGTAAAATAAATGAGTTGCTTTTTGAGATAAGTTCAAATAAATGTAATTAATTACTTACAAGTGATTTTAAGTATTTATCATATTATTATTTATTAACATTACATAACATTATTTATGTCTAGAATTTAATAAAAAAAATGGGTACACTTAGAAAAGCTACACCGTATATTACTTCAAGTTAAAATGCTTTACATCATTATCACCCTCCTGCCCTTATCTGATCTAGGTGGGGTCTACAAAAAGCCAAAACCACATAACTGTATAACATGATTCACATGTTGATTGTCACAATCATATTGTAAGTGGTTTTGGGTAAGTTTTTTAAGATCCTTTGCCTGTCTGATGTCAGCCCTCCTTGAAAACGAACACCCAGATCTAAAACAATTATCTGTTATTTACACAAATACTTGTGCCGTGAAGCCAATAGCAAAGTTTACATAGATTATAATTATATATTATTGTAACATTTTACGAAATTTATTATTTCTTTTTCTATCAGGCATCCGAAATTTGCATAAACTGGGGTGGTGGTCTTCACCATGCTAAAAAATCTGAAGCATCAGGATTTTGTTACGTCAATGACATTGTGCTTGGTATTCTTGAACTGCTCAAGTATCACCAAAGAGTTTTATACATTGATATTGATGTTCACCATGGTGATGGTGTGGAAGAGGCATTTTACACCACAGACAGAGTTATGACTGTGTCCTTCCACAAATATGGAGAATATTTCCCTGGGACAGGTTCGTAAAATACTAAACCGTTATTAAAAGTCATATTTGTTACTTAAGGTTTTTAACTTCTTGGTCTATTAAAATATGTAGAAAAAGTGCGAAAAGATTGTCGCCGCTGTGGGAATCGAACCCACGTCTTCGGCATTCGCGGCAATCTTTTCGCACTTTTTCTACATATTTTAATGTTCAATCTTAAGTGTGCAAAGATTAGCACTATAAACAATTTAAATTTCTTGGTCTATGTTCAAAAAAAAGAAGATGGAAATGCAGATGCTTTATGCAACAAATATTAATTTTCAGGGGACTTGAGAGATATTGGTGCAGGCAAAGGCAAATATTATGCTGTAAACATCCCCCTGCGTGATGGCATGGATGATGAATCTTATGAATCCATTTTTGTTCCCATAATTTCTAAGGTTATGGAGACATTCCAACCAAGTGCAGTGGTGCTCCAATGTGGAGCCGATTCTCTTACAGGTGATTTTTTTTTTTTCGTAATAATTTATTTGTTCGTAATGATTTCGTGTTATACATTTTTAAATTAATTTACATATAATATTCTTTTATTGTTTATCCAGGTGACAGATTAGGATGCTTTAATTTGACGGTCCGTGGTCATGGCCGTTGTGTTGAACTGGTGAAAAGGTTCGGCCTACCCTTTCTTCTTGTTGGCGGCGGAGGGTAAAAAAAATTTATTTTTTTTTATTAAAAAGGTGGTAAATGTGCTGACAGGTCACCTGTTGTAATAATATAATATAATGAGAACTGCCGCCCATTGACATATGCAATACCCTTAGGGATGCAGATGTATTTCCACACTTACTAAACTGTGCCCCGGGCTACCTCACTCACCTGATGAAATGCAGAAGTGTAACTTTAACTTCTACTTTACGCCGGTCTTCTCTGAGGTCTCCATACTTACCCGGATGGACTTGCCCATTCATGCAAACAGTAGAGTTTGATGTGACCACTGTCCTACTGACCTACCACTGTAAATATGAATTATTATTATTGAATCAATCTGAGCCATGCTTGCTAAAGCTGTGTCGCACGAAAGCCAAAAAGAACCTCTGCAAAATTTCTTAACCAACTGAGTGGTCACAGATTCGAATAAACCATTTGCACACCATCAGTCAATAGTTTCAAGAATAGACTAGAAAGAAACATCTTCAAACCTCAAGACACACACGCATCAGCTTAAAAGCAAATGTGATCTGCAATTAATTAATAATGATAAATATAAAAAGTTAATTATACTCAAAATCCTAATATACATATAGTGTTTTAAAAAAAGGGTACATTTACTTAAATCTTAGTAAAATCTATACTTCTTTTGGACAGTTACACAATACGCAATGTTTCCCGTTGTTGGACATATGAGACATCAGTGGCATTGGGTGTTGAAATAGCCAACGAACTGCCTTACAATGACTACTTTGAATACTTTGGCCCTGATTTCAAGCTCCATATATCACCCAGTAATATGTCAAATCAAAACACTCCAGAGTATTTGGAGAAAATAAAAAATAGACTGTTTGAAAACTTGCGTATGTTGCCCCATGCTCCAGGAGTCCAAGTAAGTTTATTTTTATAAATATGTTTTAAAGATATGTAACATTTTTATCTTAAACATGCATCTGTATTTTTGTGTACTTTTTCATTGCTATAATAAGAAATTTTTTGCAAATTCTTTAGGTTCAAGCCATTCCAGAAGATGCTGTTAATGATGAATCTGAGGATGAAGATAAAATTGATAAAGATGAAAGGCTACCACAAAGTGAGAAGGTATAAATAATTAACATTTCCCTAGATAATAGAGTTGGAATAATACATAAGATAACAAGTAAATCCATAATAAAAATCTATTGAAGCAAAATATAATAACAATTACCAAGGTTTTTGTAACATTTTATTGTATTAAACCGTTTCATTTCATGTTAATTTGCTACAGGATAAACGCATAACTGGTGAGGGAGAGCTATCAGACTCAGAAGATGAGGGTGAAGGTGGTCGGCGCGACAATCGCTCGTACCGTGCGCCGCAACGGAAACGTCCGCGCCTCGACAAAGATCTCACTCAACACAAGGACGATGCCAACAGTTAGTATTACTTCATATTTTTTGTCTTCCTTGTAACATCAGAGTCATCAGAGTCATCACCATTGCCGCCGGCCTATGAGGTAGTTGGCTCTCTACTTGAAGGTGCCTAAGTAGTATCGATCCAGAAATACGGCTGATGACAATTAAACTATTCATTTATCTGTGGCTTTGGTGGGCAGGATATTTATATTTAGCGCAGCATGTGTTAACATTATTTTCATATTTCCTAACAATTATAATAGCCATTCTATTAATTTTATATGTTTTATGCATAGATGAGGACGCAAAGGATGATGTGAAGAATGTCAGCAACTTGGAAGAACCCAAAAAGGATGTGACACCTAATGCCTGATCCGGGCGATAAGTGACGCTGTGAAGCACAATGGTACAATTGCAGGCCATCCAGTGTTATTAAGTGACCATGGCATTTTAAAAGGATGGACAAGTCACATTAATTGTGCATAATACCTCACTACAAGTGTATGTGCTGTCATAAAGTTTAAGATGGACCTGATCTTGGATTTTGAAGTTTGGTGAGATAAGAGAGATAAGATAATCAAAAACTGTTTTCCTATTATTCAGTACTTTTATACTAAGTCCCAAGTCCCTTGTGTTCATTGTTTTGATCCTTAATGTAAAAGAAATCTTGTAGATGTGATGTCATTTTAAAATGTCATACCAACTTCTGGTATACTTATATATTCATTTCAGTTGGAGTTTATTTGTATAACAACAACACTGATATAGATATGTAAGTTGTACATCCATAGTTTAGATCTTGGGTTAGTCTTAAAATTATAAAAGAGCACAGTCATATAAAATTTTGACATGAGTAAAAAATATACTATTTTGGTTGTTTTACCATTAGCTTTCTTTGATATTGACAATATTTAAGCATGAAATTAACTTTCTATGAAAACACCTAGAAGATAAATTGGTTTTGACCATGCAGAGAATGTTTTGATGGTGGTTTAAAATTCTTGGTAAATGAAAATGGATAACAGGAAAAATTAAACTTAATAAATACAAAACAAACTTTATTATGTGTTAAGTAAAAATATCAATATATTTTTATAATAAAATTGTTTCTGCTGCCTTTTTAATATTATTAGATCAGTAAAATTAAATTTCATTAAGGTACATGTACACTAATGCAATAAAATTACTAGAATAAGTAATGTATCAAAGTAAATGTAAATTACTTTTTATATTATTACCTCCATAAATTGATGTGTGGAAAATTATTAATGCAGTATAAACGACGAGTAAGAATGACAATTTGGAAGTAATACATGTACAAAAACTTCTTGCATTGTTGCGAATCTCATAGCTGCTTTTTATTCTGAAGAGTAAACATGTCTGTAGAAAGGAAACATTTTTTTGAAATATATTTTATTGTTTTTTCATTGCATTGATTTAACTTTGATTTACATTATCTTAAATACTGTACCAACAAAATTTTTATTATTCATTACTTCAAAAGTGAATTGCTTTCAGAATGTATTATTTATTTTATTTAATCTACATGTAATGTAAATCCCTACTTATAAAATTATGCTACTTAGAAAATCTTTCAATTTGGCTACAGAAATAATCACAAAACTATTTCAATATCTTGACTTATAACTCTTATAAACGTATGGCAGGTAAAGTGATATGTGCGTAAAATGAGTTTACCATTTCGAAGCAGCCTCCAGCCCCTAAGCTATCAGCCACGCATATTTTATATAAATTAAATTAATAAATTAATTTTATACAAAAATTACCATCATATCCTTTTCACTTAACTTGTCATACCATATATGAATCCAAATAATAAATGTAAACATGTTACACTTGAGCATTCCTATTTACTTGTATTCAAAAGAAAGTACCTGAAATTAAATTGAATTTAACCTATCACTAATAGCTACAGAATTTTAATATACATATGTTTCAACACACAGAAAAATAAATTTGTGTGTTGAAGAAGTATGTTTGTATATTTAAAAAAAAAAACAATCAATGTGTTGACATGACTTGACCTAATTTATAACATGATATGTATTATGATCCTTTGAAACAACTGATTGTTTTTAAAAGATTTTATGTCCATTTATCAATTATCCAAAGTTTCAAGGATAATTTCTGTGTAATTTTTATTTTTTTTTCTTTAATTTTTCCGAGGACTCTTGAAATCAATATCAACAGTAAATGGAAATATTAGCAAAAATTATCTTAACAAGTTAATATTTATTTAACACCATCTAAAAATTTTGTTCATGAAAAGGTATATAAAAATATGTTTGCATTGATGAAGGTAAAAGTTAAATAGATTACTACATTCTTTTTATATTTGAAATAATAGGTAGTAGTAGTTATTCCAAAGCTATGTCATTACAAATTCAACTGCCTTTGAATACTAAATGTGAAAGTGAGGATTATTTAAGTCAATGTTTGGATGTAAGCATATAAGCCAAATTGTCTCAAACTTATGTCATGACCTACTTATAACTTTCTTCGAAACAAATTGCGTAATAACCATTGATGAATAGTCTGACTGCATGGAAAAATCCCCAAGGCGTTAAACTATAATAAAATAACTTTACATGACGGATCATTGTTCAAACTTATTAATTTGAATCACTTTTGTTCACAAACAAAATGTTTGAAACATTTATACCAATTTTTGTCTCTGCAAATTTAATCATTTATTTGTGCAGTCAAAAATTGAATCTACAACATGAATAATACTTATATGCAAGATTTGATGCTTTTACTTGATGAAAGAGTGTTTGCGTGAAGTGCTTGAAATTTATGCGTAGAACAAATAAGACTGTAAATATAACTTTATTTGTTAAATATACGATTAGCATAAATGGGCTTTGTTTAAATATATCCTTAGTTTTTAGTTTATATTAAATCGTGTTGCTGATTGCGCTTAAATTAGAAATTTCCACTGTGGTAGGGCCACGCTTTCGGTGTTGCAAAAATGGGCAGCTCCGTCCGGTTAAGTACACGACATTATAGACCGGTGTAAAGCACTTAAGTTATACTTCTGTTTCGTCTGGTGAGTGAGGTAGACGGGGCCCACTTTATTAAAAGGTGGCAACATGTGAAACCCTACAGGGGTTGCAAATGTCCATGGGCGGCGGTTATCACTTAACGTCAGGCGAAACACCAGACCGTTTGCCACTTTCTCGCATAAAAAAAATAGTGTACAATTAAATGTCTAAAAGATTTCGATTAAAAACCCTTTTATTTATATGACTGAAACCATTTATTTTCATAGCATAAAATGATTTAAGTCATACCTCTTTCAGGCAGAAAACAAATAGTCCAAATTGAATATAAAAATAACCTTGACTATTTTGTTCGCTGACGATGTTTTAATAAATCACTGAGATTGCTACTCCCACTCTTAAATTCATTAAACCAATTGTAAACAGTGGCACAGAATGGAACTTCATTATTAAATGCCAATGGAAGTTTATGATAGCTTTGTTGTTGAGTAAGACCACGACTCAAGTGGTAATAAATCATAGAACGAAAATTTTCTAGCGTTAAATCCATTTTGAGGTGTAACAAAACTTAGAATTGCAGCCGATTCACAAATGCATGTAATATGTTATCACATTATGTTAACATTTAACAAAGAGAATTCTTTTAATAAGAGATTCAAAATTTTAAAGTTTTCATTGGGAATGCCAGTACTAAAAACTTTCAGTGTCACCCTGGTATCTGCCACTTCCTTCTTACACCCAATTAAGAGATATTTTGGACGGATTTTTGAAGTTTTTATTTGCCTATTACAATTTTAATGTGAATATTATAAAATTGAGAATTTTAAGAATAACTTGACATTGGCGTAATTGTGATAACTCACAAAGCAAGCCATTAATAAAAAGAAGAAGAAGAAGAGATATTTTGAGTTAAGGTATAGGTCCATGCGATTTGCTGCAGACCAACAAGCAAGCCTATCTAAATCCTGATTTTTTTGTTTACAGCTTTGATCGTATCCTTTGTATGAAAACTCGAATATAGTTGTAAGTCAGCAGTTTATTAGTCTTGAAATGTATTTGAACTTTCATTCATAAATTATTAACTTTCTTTAGAAATGAAATAGGTAGTAATAATACACTAGTTTAATTTAGAACAGCTACTGCACAGGCACGGACACACCACGGCACGAATGGGCAGGTTCATAGAAAACCGTGAAGTGAAAGTATTGAAATTGCCGTTTCATCTGGTTGGTGAGGTAGCCGAGGCCAACATTTTGATAGGTCAACGCATCAGCAAACCATCGGGTGTATTTGATGTCCATGGGTGGTATTCAATTAACGTCAGGTGAACAGCCTGCTCGCTTGATATCTTTCACATAAAAAATAGCTGTAGATTTTGCTAGGGTTTGCGAGGGCTATATAGTCACAAGGTATCTTTCTTATATATATATAAATATCTTTCTTTACTTTTGCCAAGGTTCTCGTAGTTTTTAGGAGTGAAAATGAGGTAATGTGGATGTCCATGAACACTGGGGGGGATCAATTGAATAAAAAACAACTGTTGTCTGTATATTATATATGTACCTTAAAACAGATTATCACAACGCTCTAAAATAAATTGCACCATAAAATAAAATGTACCTAAAATCAGTCTGGTACCAAGAAGCTATAACACAATCTGGAATGAATATAAAAATACTATAAATAATTTAGCAATAGTAGACTGTTAAACTACGATTTACGTACAAGAAGATGGGGATCAGTAATTGGGTTTTACAAATAGTTATTCTAATGAACACTTAACTTTATGGGAGCCGACTACATTTATCGTAAAATTGAACATTACATCACCGCGAAACTACACTAGACTAAAATCTTTTCACTTCATTCTAACTTCATATTTTAAATTAATTCCAGTTTATTTCTTTTTCATACATAACCTTATTTCTTATACGTACCAAGGAATGTGTATAATGGAAGATTTCTCTAATAGAAAAATTTATGTCTGAATTTTTATATAAACCCTTATCACTTTTGAGTTAAATTAAATTGTGCGTAATTAATTGTAGGCCATTTCATATGACTAGGCGTTTATATCAAATAATTAAAATAAATTCATTTAGGAGTTCGTAGGAAGTATGAACGACAAATTTCCCATTGGTAAAACTGCGAAGTGTACAGAGTTTTATAGTTTGCTAGGTTTTCCCATTTCACATACTCCTAATTGAATTTTCACAATAAAATTGATCTGTTTTAAACACAAAACAATGAATAATTAATAAATACATACAATTATTATATACCAAACGTGTTTCACTGACATATTTATCTTTGTTTTCACGCTAAAATCGTAATATTACAGAAACATTTGTTAAGAGAGGGATCCAGATTGTACGTTATTTTGCAAAGTATTTGTTATGTGCTTTCAAAAGTACAAAGTTATTGAAAATAAGACGGTAAAAAAATACATGTGACCTTTTAAACTTCACCTTATGTTAAATCGCATTTTATTTATCAACGAAAGCTAATGTAAAAAATGGTAATTATTGTAAAGGCGTTTTGTTTACAATAAACAAACGTCTACAAGTCTTGCATCGACACCATTTTAAAACAAACGTATTTGGAAGCCATGAATAAAATAAAAAGTAAGTATGTAGATATATATGTTTGTACTCAAACATGCAAAAAAAAAACACTAAATTATGAATAAATAGGTATTTGTAATAATTATTAAATAAGCAAAGTATATTTGATACTAAATCAATCACAGTAAATATCAAATGATTATATATTTTTAATTCCTTATAAACAAACTATGTATAGATATTTGACTTTATAATGACAAACAATCTTGTTTACAAATTATCAGAATTGCATATGAACCATAATGTTTGTTAATAGACGGTGTGGTACCAAAAACGGGCCAACAGACCTTACGTTATTAATGAAAATTTTCCAGCTTTCAGTCTGAGAATTTCTACATCGATGCATAATGAACACCCATGTGTCTGTTTAACATAATATGGTATTATAAAGGGGGCTATTTAGTTACTATTCTAGACCACCTAAAATGCTATCTGGCACAATCGTGAGCTTTAGAGGATAGAATCCACAATTAATGTTTACACTTGCACATTAAACCCTGCTCAACTTATCACTTGGATGACTCCGTTACGCTTTGTCCTTTGGCTTAGGCTTCTGTGCCTTCTGAAAATAAAGCATATACTCAACATTGAGACTATTAAAACATTTAAAATAATAAAAGTAAAACTTACCCGGAGTTAATGGATGATCTCGAAGCATTGAGCCTGTGGCACGAAAAAAAAAAGAGTTTAAATAAATGAAAATTCTTTAATTGTTATATTACATTACGTATATTACTTACGTAGAAACTGACTACTTGCATACCTACAAGTATTTACTGTGCTCTAGGGACTATGGCCATGCAATAATTGCGACAATGCAATAGTAAATAATAATCAAAACTATTTACCACCATTTTGTATGTGTTTTAGACAGGAGGTACTAGATAGGCAATAAGGATTTCTTGAATTTACGCGAACGCTGCACATCATAACTAAAACTTGCTTACGGACTTCGTGTTAAAGTTTTTATAAATCAGTTAAATTATCCTTTATCTACAATATTAATTTTATGATAAATGGTCCAAACTCATGAATCATGTCATGCGGGTTATATGGTTACTCACAATACGACGCGTGTATTAACGTACATTATCGTGCTGACAAAGCATGCCGTAATGACCTGAAATCGCTTTAAATGAACTAGGGTAGCGGATTACTGTGTGAAAATATAAATCACATATAGCCATTAGGATATTTATGAACAGTGTCAATTCGGAGACAGCGTTATGCTGACTTGATACAATCAATGAGGTGGAATTGCTATACTAGTCTTCTCAATGATCGCAATAGCGATCATTGAGCAGACTGCTACTGTGAACTCCCAATTATTTAACGATACCTCTATGAGACTCAGTGGCAGTAATTTCGGATATTGCACGCAATAAGTGAAGTAAATAACTGACACAATTACGAGATTACAATGGTAGACAGGAGTCAATGCCCGCTATTACGTTTACGCACGAGAACTGTTAGGGACAGACGTAAGGAAACTTATTAACATTAGCTTTAACCCACAAAAACTGTATTCATAAAAAATGTGTATATGTATAGTTACGAACTTTCGTTGTTTTTTCGGTATACAAAAATTATTTGAGTTTGGCAGGCATTACTTGTGGGTTACAGCCAACTAGTTTTACTACACCGAAATATGGTAACATCGCAAGCGGCAAGCGGGCGTTTTACCTATGCGGGCAGCCGGCACATCGACTAGCTCAGTACAGAATAGCGTCAGAAAGTTGGTTACTGGTTAGTGCGGCGCCGGGGGTGATGCCCACGATGCTGCCGCCCACGCACGCCTCCACGCCTTCTGTCGACCACCACCACGTGCGATCAGACGCGAGGCCCAACGGGGGACGGATTTTTATTATTATGGCAACACTTAAAATACATTTACCCTCCAATTACTACATTGGTTACTCCGAACATCATTAATTCATCTAAATGTGAAACATACATTTCATCTATCGATAGTATTTTTTTTTATCTACCACCGTTTCGCAATGAGTTTCCTCTACCGGAGAAGAAATGGGCGAAGGAAACTCCATAGGTGTACTCTTTTTTTGTAATTACATACATTTTTATTTGTTTAGAAATCTTTTAAAGAGCTTCAAGGTCGCAGTGGCCGTTGGGACTTACTACTCATTCTCTACAAACTAATACAGAACTGTTGAGCCTTGCGTTTGACTTTTTGCCGTCACTAGAATTAAAAACCTGATTAATCTGTTACACATTTATTTTTACCCACATACCTTCCGTTGCACCGACAATCTGTGTCATTATATTAATTTCTATTAGAGAACATATTATCTTAGTAAGTAAAAATACTTTACTTCTTCCTCTTGCTCCTAGTGATAGTTAATAACATAAAAAATGCAAATGTGCAATTAGTTACATATACACATAAATAATATTTATAAAAACGTGCAATAATGATGATATTAAATGGGAAAAATTAACTAAACATTTTTGAAATATGAATTAAATAATATACATGAAAATATCGGTTTATATAGGTCATGTAAAGAAAATTTAATCAAAATTAATTTTAAAGTTATTCTATTTATTGTATTATCTTCACCACTCACACATATGCGGGCCTTCGTAGTACCGAGGTAAGAATTTAAATCGTATTATATTTGGAGGACGATAAAAGTAGTATATGCTGTCGCAGATCCCTAAGTTAGTAATTAGTAATAAACAAAATATGACATGCCGCCCTGTCATATTACATAAAATACAAGTCACAAACAAAATATTTGATGCAAAAAATACACTCATGTTTTGTAGAAAATTTTCAACGCCGTAAAATAAATTATTTAGATTTATTTTTTTTATTACGATATAGTTAAACCGATTAAGGAATTCTTCGTATTTTACTAACAGTTTCTCATCACTGTTTAAAATAAATACTGTTGAAGGAGCTAGGCAATTTAATTAATAGCGTGACGGCCCGAGCCGAGGCTCCGCTGGGAGCCCTCGAGCTTAGTCATCATAACGCGTAATAATGATATGCCGAGGTTCAGGCTAGGCGTCTCGTGCGCCAGGCCACCTCAAGCCCGTCGGAACTGTAAAGGCCCCTAAGGCCAACAGTGGCTCATCCAGCCCAAAAAAAATAAAAAAATAGGCAATTTAATGTAACCAATATCTTGAGGCAGCGGCCTTAAGAATAATAAATAAAAAAAATAATGTTATATGAAAATGTAATCTAATGTAAGAGTACTAATGTATATTATATTTTAATCTTGACAATTTTTACTAATGCTATGACCTAACAGGGTCCATGATGATTCTTAATTTTAAGTTAATACCACCTAAGCTACACTGTGGAATACAAGTAAAAGGATTAAGAATAAAGAACATTGTTATACAGGATGATTTTATAGACGACGGACATATTAACAGAGCATTTGCAGAATTAGATTCTAAATTTGAATCTGGTACGTACTTGTGACCTCATTTTGGATGTCACGCATGCCGTGGCGACGCGTCGCAACGCTATATGGTGGTATATATATACAGTCTATATGCAGTAGTGTGTACGATTAATTACTCAAATTTAAATTAATTGTTAATAATTATTTATTAATTATTAATTAATTTTAATTAATTGTGTTTACTATAACCGAAGTCACTGATTAAACTAATTAAGTGGTCACGATTTGAAATAAATTCGTAATAAACCTTACGTATCGTAACACTAATAATAATTTTATCATTATGACATATTTAGTTCCTATCACAATCTGTTCTTTTCTGCATATTACTTTTACAAAATAATGTCGATGTTTTACATTTGCCAGGCGTCCCGTGACGACATTTTTTTCCAAGATTATTTTTAATTTTTTCAAACATTATGGAGACCCTATTAGAAATACCTACACTACCGTCTCAATACAATATCCTAGCCGCTGATCTCAGTGTGCCGTTGCTGTTCGCCGTTTGATTTGTTGTTATCTGTAGGGTGACCACTCTTAAGGGGATAAACAAACAATGTTTGAATTGATATTTTTCTGGTTATTTCTTGCCAAAATACAATATTAATATTTTTTTTAATTACGGAATGCTCAATTAACATTATGTCAAAGTATGTACTTCGTCTAAAATTAAACTTTTTTTTTCACTGTGTTGTGTTTTTATTTTTGTAATTTTAGTGTTTAAGTTTTGTACCATTATTATAAGGTGACGGAATAAATGTCTTTAATGTCTAAAAAATCACCCTGTACATACTACATACATACATACATAAGTATCAGATAAGCAAGCGGTGCGGGCGTGCGGCGTTTTACCTGTGGTGCAGGCGGCGGCGTTGTCGGCATTCACGCCGGCCACGGACCAAGGGCGCGCCTTTCCCGGTGTGCGTGCGCACCCGTTGCCTATTTACACGCGCACACCATGTTACGTCACAGCGGGCACACAAAGCGCATTCGCCACCCCCCAACTCAACCGACCGGCGCATTGCATTCTTTTATTATACGCTTGTATTGTATTACAGACATACTCATGTGTAATACAATGCGTATGTATGCGATTACACACAAGTATATAATCAAAGATTGCATTTTTACCCCCGACGTAAGTGGCGTGTTGTGTCTATGTATGTGTGTGTTTGATGATGAAGATGGTTCTTAGTTAATTTGAGTATTTTTTTAAATGTTGAGTTGGAATAGATACATGACATGGGTAAGACAAAGATAGGGCACGATGAGATGAATGTGTCGATCTTTTCCATTGATGAGGCGGCAAGAATTTTTGTAAGTGTAATATGCGCGCATAACAATGGAATTTATTATGGTTTTAAGCTGGCGATTTTAACTCGCAAGTGGATTTTCCAAAAACTGAGCATTTCTTCTTTTTTACTGGATATTTATCATGTTCACCTTTCTAGAAAATAATGCATATGGTTGCTAAAGATCGTAAAGGTTTAAAATAAATTCAGTAGGAGAGTGCATGTATATTGAAAATGTCTTATAAATAGCTTAAATTTAAGTAGAGGCAGCGTTAAAGTCAAAAGCTGTTATTGTTTATTTGTATGGGCCAAAAAAATCGCACAACCTATGTAAATTAAAAGGCACAAAAAAACAGTCGTTGGTTTTATATCTTAAAGGAATGTTATTATGATGAATGATGTTATAGATTTATAAAAACGATATCTTACTTTCTGGACCTAGTGCCTTTTAATTTCCGGCCAAGTTGTTATTCCCAACAGGACATCACAGTAGCGTTTCGCTCACAAAAGACGTAAGCAGTGGTCCGTGCGAAAGCAGTGTAAAATTTTTTAAAGTCATTTTTTTTTTTCAAATACAATAGGCAAAGAATGATGGTACATTATTAATAATAATTAATAACTAAAACGTTAATTTCATTAAATTAACTGAATTTTGAACGAACATTTGAATACTCGCTCATTTTATTTTCGAGTACGGATTAGAGAACTATACGGCACAAAGCGAAGAATAAAGTGTCGGAGCGTAAGAGAACGATAAAAGCGCAGCGTGAAGGTCGTTATGGGCCACGAAACCAGCATGTCTTCGAGCTTACGGTCCGATGAAGCCTTATATGGTGTGGTAACTATGTGTAGACCGAAAGCAACCCTCCATTTATGAATGACGAGGCAGTTCCTCATTGGAGCATCTGTGATCATTAGTTTGATAGCGGCGCTCATCCATGATCATTGCTTGCTTGGGAAGGAACGGGGGCAACAGGACTCATAGATCATCATCGGTTCGGAAGAAATGGGGACGGCGGAGAACATCCGTCATCATTGCTTACATGATGGTAACAGGGCTCTTCCATGATCCATTGTTGAGGAAGAAGTGGTTGCGGCGGAGCTCACGGAGAACATCCGTCATCATTGCTTAGGAAGGATTGGGGGCAACAAGGGCTCATTCATGATCATTGCCTAGGTAGGATTGGTGGCAGCAGGGCTCTTCCATGATCATTGTTGAGGAAGAAGTGGTCGCGGCGGAGCTCACCCATAGTGTTGACGTTGTCGGAGGAGCGCGATGGCGGCGGCGTGGTGGGCGCCCGGGCTCCCACGTTGTCCGATGACTTGCAGCGGGACACCTCTGTGGCAACGATTTCACATGTTATGCGTACATTTACGTAACCCGTTACTTTTGGAACAGCGGAGCTAAGATTTCTACACTACCGTAACAATTTGTCATTCATTATCCGCTTCCTGTGTATACATATAATTATGTATATTATGGTAAATTTCGTAATAAATTTGGCATTTAATAATAAATTTGGTTTTAATTACTTGAGATTGGTATCGGCATAGGCAATTTATGATATAATCAATATCACTACACTTTTACTTAGTGATCTTATTAAATTTAATTTTGTAGGATATAAAATTCACATATTATGAATTATGTATGAAACTAAAACTAAAAGCAAAAACTATTTTATTACTTACCGCATTCCAGTAATACCGGTGTACTCTCGCCCGATGTTACACTGTACCTATAGAGTTACGATAAAATTAGTACGAATTAAAATTAATATTGTTCCATTAGCGAAGTTGAAATATTCATTGTCAACGCCCTGTCTTAACAATACGGAATGACGAATTTATTTTTAATTATTACTTTAGAGTAAAAGAAGTTAACTGGAGGATTGGTGCGCAACGGTGGAGCGGTCGTACCTGTAGTAGTAAAGTGAGGATTTAAGCAGCCAGTGTTCTTTTATGTTCGAAGGTGACAAGCGAGCTCACATTTCACCTGATGTTAAGTGATAGCCGCCGCCCATTGATATTAACAGCACTTTCGATAAAGTGGGCCCCGTCTACCTCACTCGCAAGACGAAACGCTGAAGTGCAACACTTCCATTTCACACTTCCACTTCTGTGAGATCGTGGTACTTACGCGTACGGACCTGTCCATAAGTGCAACAGCCGAAGCTATTGCGTGGCCCTAACACAGTTGAAAGCGTTTCACTCCGAACTCTCAACCCGAGCTCGTAACAGTGCGACGTACCAGTCCAGCGAGTAATCTGGGTGAGTATTACTCGCCCGCGAGTCCGGGCCCAGCACTCACATGGTGTCGTCGCGCTGCAGCGTGGGCGAGTGGCGCAGCGGCGAGGGCGAGGCGAGCGAGGAGAGCGAGTGCAGCGAGCGCGAGGTGAGCGGCGTGCGCGCGGACAGCGACGCCTCCTCGCTGCCGGGCGGCGTGCGGCACGTGCGCCAGAACTCGTCCAGCCCTGGAACCGAACCATGGTAAAATTTATAATATTTATTTATCTATTTAAGCTTCGTTGCTACACCTTGAGCTAAAGGCTACAATGGGCGGACTTAATGCCTAATGGCATTTTATACTAGTCAACCCTTGTCATGGTGAAGTCTAGAAAATGAAGACTATAAAAATAAAAGTTAATAAATGTGCTCCAAAATATAACATATTCAGTAAGTATAAATATGGAAATATATAGATATAGAAATAAATACATGTTCGGATAATAAAAACATAAATGGAATAAGCGAAATAAAATCAATTCTTTTACCAAGTAATCTAGAATTAATTTTCCTTTTTAAAAAATATATTCATTGTCAGGAAAAATATAGTACAAGTTGTCGACATCGTTTTTGCTCAGTCGATGTCCATAACATTTACAATTAAGTATAGTACATTAACTTAAGTTTAACACCTATAGCCGCTTACACATTACAAATCAAGTCGATATTTTTTACAATTTAGATTATTCGTAATCAAATTGTATATTTCAACTATTTATTTGAAAGCTGCAGTCTGAATTAGACGTATTTTAATCAGGGCCGTGCCTGACGGGCGTTCATTGCGTGCACCGCACGCAGGCGGCCGAAATTAAGAGGCGGCCAAATCGTTACAAGTTGTTTACTGGGCAAAAATACAATCGGTTTGTTTTCATTAAGATACGAAGTAAAAAACAGTTTCTCTAATCTAATCTATCTAAAAAGAGTTTCTCAGAAATAAGAAAGGTATAAAAACTGATTAGGTCGTTGTAGTATTTATATACCTAGTCATGCAGCGAATCCGAATTTTTTCGAACATTGCACGAGCGACGAGCCGAAATAGTTTTTTCAATTGACCGGCGTCGCGTAAGCGGTCTTATTCGTCTTATTAGTCGTATTAGTCTATAGACTAGCGAGGATAAATCGTTATTTGTGTCCTGTGTGTGATCCGATATTATTAAATTCTTTAATTTAACGAATAAAAATAAATTGCTTAATTCCTGAAAACTTTTAGTTGTGTGTTCGTGTGGTGAAATTTAATAAAAAGTTTATTTACTCGACAAAGACTGAAAAAGGTAATACACAAAAAAAATTTGGGTAGACTTTCACTTTTTGGGCCCGGGAAATTTTGGCGGGTCTTTTTGGAGGGAAAAGGCCTTTTGATATGAAATTCTTAAATAAATAATAAAAAATATTTAATAATATTAAAAAAAATTAAAAAAAAATTAAATAATAATTATAAAATAAATAATAAAATAGTGCAATTATTTTATTATTTTATTTTTTAATTTTTTTTCGTTCTCGATTCGGTTAACCAAAAACTGATTTTTTTCCCGGTTTGATGCCCTGTGTAAAATAATAAACATTAAAAATTAAAGTAGTTTTTTTTAATGTTATCCTGGGGGCGGCCATACAGACTGGCACGCAGGCGGCCATATACCCAGGCACGGCCCTGATTTTAATACATTTTTAAGTAAATAAAAGTGTGGTACCTTCATCAATATCCTGCGATTGGTCGGTGATAGGTCGAGAGGGAGCCCGTGTCTTAGCTCGTCTAGGACGCCCTGTTAAAAGATATTTAATTATTTTTCAGGATAAAAAGTATTTACATTAAATAAAGAATAATATTTTACTAGAATTAACACTAACTAAATATCTCTCATCAATCTCGTCAGTCCAATGTAATATTGCGTAAACAATAGAGATAGCCTATTTTCAAAAACCTAACTATAGTGTCTTTAATTCAATGAATATTTTAGCTTTTAGGCGGAAGTTTTATGTGTATGCATACTGGAGCAAATTGTTTTATCTGTTTTGTATGCATTTTTTTAATTCATTAAATAAAGTATATACAATTGCTTCAAAATACTGTTAAGCTCGCCATACTGAGAATACAGTTTATTGGAGAAGTTTCACTCGTTTATCCTTACTAATATTGTAAAGGCGAAACTTTGTATGTATGGATGGATGTTTGTTACTCTTCACACTCACACAAGTACTACTCTACTACAAGCACAGTGTGCGTGCGCGCGTACGTGTGTGTGCGCGTGTGCGCTTGCCTTTGACGAGGTGGCGCAGCGTGTGCGCGGGCAGCTCGGCGAGCGCGTCGGCCGCCTCCGCGTGCAGCGGCGGCAGCGAGAGCATCTCGTTGCTGCTGCACTGCTGCTCCGCCACCGACTTGGGGCGCACGCGTCGCAGGCCGCGCTCGCGCCGCCGGCACCCCAGCGGCGTCGCCTGTACTCGTACGCGCGTACAGTGAATGAGTGTGACAAAAAGTAAAGAAACGCCCTTTAAATTTTCCACTGCAGGGAGAAGGCCTCCTCATTGAGGACAGAGGGAATGAGTGTACGACGAATGAATGATTTTTTTTGCGAAACGCTAGCAGGCGGTTCACCTGATGTGAGTGAATACCGCCGCTTATGGACAACTACGATCGATGGCTTACAACAGATGCGTTGATAAACTTTAAAAAAAGTGGGCCTCGGTTACCTCACTCACCGGACGAAACGCTTTAACACAGTAAAAAGCTCGATAATAGTAAAAGCGCTTGGAAAACTTGGGCAAATATCTTATATATTATATTAGTAATTAGGTGAACGCTTTACTGTGACGTATAAAAATGAAGTTGAGAATATTTCTATGTTTGTTTTCTGTTTTAATAATATAGCAATTATTAACAACTAGATCGTGTATCTTTTTAGCTTTAACAGAGAACTGACTGACAACTAGTGCAATTGTCCTTTCAAAACCGGGGCGGATTTGATCCTTTGACGCGCATACGACAGATCTTTAAGCATAAGAAAGATTGCGGCCTACCTACTTGCTGTAAAGCACCAAAAAATAAATGAAGTATAGGAATAAAATGATATAAATCAAGGCCGCCTGATTTATTATAATTTTTACGGAATATATAATCTGCGCGATGCAAAGAGAGGAGAAAGGCGCGATTACTAAAAAAAATAAATCCCACCAATTTTAACAGTAAAACCTACTACTCAGCCTATAAGGAAATCCGCCCCTGTTCATAACGCTTATAAAGTTCAAAGCATAAGCCAGCAACGAATTTGTGGATAGAATGCGTTCAAAACTTAACAAATCTGCTTACCAAATTCAAATAATCCAATTTCTTAGCGTGGAAAAATACAAAATAATTAATTACAATTTTAACACAAGTCTAATCAAATAAGAACAGGAAAGTTGACACGAATCACGATCAATATGTTTGATACAAGTCATAACATCATTTTTTTTTATTTGTAGCGATCCATAGATAAAACTCATGAAACCATTCTTCTATCATTCAAATTTTACCATTTTCCTACGAAATTGCAACATTATGTTCAATAAAGATTTTAGTTATCTGACGGTTTATCAAACGATTAAAATAATGATTTTTATCGAACGTTTGATATGCTTAAAAGACGTTTTAACTAATATTAAACTTCGATAAACGTTTTGTTATAATAAGGTTAATAAGAAAGTAGACTTCACGAATTTTCCATGAAATAAAAACAAACATGTGTGAGCACGAGTATATATCGTATGTCAGAAAGTATTACTGAGACACAAAATATTTTGTTCAAACACTTACCCCAGAATGTGAAATGGGCGTAAGGAGGTCGGGGATGTCAACTTCGGAGCTTGGAATCGGTTCGGTATCCACATTTTCCACGCTCTCGCAAGCTGCGAGCGCTAAGCTTTCCACGGCCTCGCTGAATGAACGTTTTTAAAGGAATTAGACATGACTAAACAAAAAATTCAAACGATATTATGTCCAGTAGTTTGCATATATGGTGGAAAAATATTGTGTGATGAACATCGTGTTTTTCTAGTGTCTGGGTGTTTATATAATTATGTATTATACGTATTTATTTACAAAAAAAAAGTATGAGTTTTCTAGTACCCAAATATTTATTTATATGATATATTTCAGCTATCTTAAATTTTCTATCGTCTTGGTTAGCGCAGTTACTAACTTATTGCTTATAATTATAAGTTTGGAAATCGATCCGTACGATAGAAATGCTTATAAAACTTAGTAATACTAACTCCGGGTTGGATTGTTTCACCATAAAATGCAAATTATGTGTATAAAAGTTTACTGCATGAAGAATTAACATGAGCCATGTAGCCACAGTCAGTAAAGCAATATAACTCTTGTGGCAACAGTTTAAAGTATAAATTATAACATTATCCTGTTAAAACATGTAGAAAAAGTACGAAAAGATTGTCGCCGCTGTGGGAATCGAACCCACGTCTTCGGCATTCGCGGCCTGACGCTCTAGCCACTGAGGTAAACGGCTGATAGCCACAGCAACGAAAACCTTAACGCCTTCTTTCTACATTGTTATTCAGCATTTGAAGCAATGCTTGGCGCATCTATTGTTATATCCTTTCCAGCATACAAACAATTTCGAATATCGTTTAACAACGATAATCGAACGAGAGATGTCCCCATTGCTTTTTATAAATTTTAAAGTTTTTTTATAGTTCTAATTAATCTCTGCACTAAACATTGAACATTAAAACATGTAGAAAAAGTACGAAAAGATTGTCGCCGCTGTGGGAATCGAACCCACGTCTTCGGCATTCGCTGCCTGACGCTCTAGCCACTGAGCTAAACGGCTGATAGCCACAGCGACGAAAATCTTAACGCCTTCTTTCTACATTGTTATTTAGCATTTTCGATGCATTGCTTGGCGCATCTATTGTTATATCCTTTCCAGCATACAAACAATTTCGAATATCGTTTAACAACGATAATTCGAATCTAGAGATGTTGCCATTCCTTTTTATAAATTTTAAAGTTTTTTATAGTGCTAATTTCTGCACTTAAGATTGAACATTAAAACATGTAGAAAAAGTACATGTAGAAAGGATATCTGTGGCTATCAGCCGTTTAGCTCAGTGGCTAGAGTGTCAGGCCGCGAATGCCGAAGACGTGGGTTCGATTCCCACAGCGGCGACAAACTTTTCGTACTTTTTCTACATGTTTTAATGTTAAATCTTAAGTGCAGAGATTAGCACTATAAATAACTTATAATTATCCTGTGTTACAAGGACGTTTACAAACTATAAGGTTACAAACATAAATTTCACGTGGACAAACACCCAGATCCAGAACAAATATAATTGTACAGGACAACTATTTGTATGACGCACAGATAATTATCTGTGGGTCACACAAATAGTTGTCCTGTGTGGGAATCGAACCCACAACCCTGCTACTTTACTTTACTCTTTACTTTTTTTTACTATGTAACTGTGGTAGGGCCACGCAACAGTGTTCACTGTTGCACGAATGGGCAGGTCCGTCCGAGTTAGTACCACGACCTCACAGAAGACCGGCGTGAAATAGAAGCGTTACACTTTTGCGTTTCGTCCGATGAGTGAATTAGCCGGGTACCCTCTTTATTAAAAAGGTGGATGCGCATCTGCGACCTACGAGTGTCGCAAATGTCCATAGGCGGCGGTTGTCACTTAACATCGGGTAAACCACCAACTCGTTTACGACTTTTTCACATAAAAATTAAAATATTACATCTAGCGAGGGCTTACTTGAGCAAATCCTGCAGTGCGGAGTTGCAAGGCGCCATTGCGTCGCGCACCGCTTGAAGCGTGACCAGCTCACCGCCGCCACTGGCGCCGCCCATCGCCGCGAACACCTCGCCGCACCGCTGTGGGGAAAGCGATCTGATTCAACCACGGCGATTGTTGTTATTGTGCAAATATCAAGATCTACTGATCGTAAAGATGTACTTTGTAATTAACTAGCAACCCGCCCCGGGTCGCTATTTATTTACAAAGTACCGCAATGTATCATAATGCTTCGCACGGGTGCAATGTATTATACATATAAACCTTCCTCTTGGATCACTCTATCTAGTAAAAAAACGCACCAAGATCCGTTGCGTAGTTTTAAAGACCCAAACATACATAGGGACAGACAGACAACGAGACGACTTTGTTTTAGACTACATAGGGATTTTACTTTTTAGTGTTAATCTCTGCACTTGATGAAGCGGCGGGCTCGCACAGGTAAGTACAGCGTCCTTACAGAACTCGACGGTCGTTATCACTTAACAAAAACCGGCGGAGGACGACAGAGGCGTGTGGGCAGTGGAGGTGGTCGAGTGTAGATAGTCACCGACAACGACAGGGGCATTCGAGGTGTCTAAGTGGGCGGGCGTGGAGCATAGCAGCCACAGACTGTGACAGGGGCGTGAGAGGGGTGTGGAGGGTGAAGGTGTTCGGTCGCAGCACCTGCAGGTACTGGTGCAGCAGGTGGTGCGCGGCGGCGGCGGCGCGCTCGAGGGCGGCGGGCAGCGGGGCGGGGGGCAGCGCGGCCGCCGCCTGCGCCGCCAGCGCGGCCGCCGCCTCGCCGCCCGCCCACGCGCGCTCCAGCGCCAGCGCGCGCAGCCGGTGCGACTGCGACGCCGTGCTGTTGCCGGCCAGTCTGCGAGTGCAGCAGCGTACACGGATATAGTTTATTAGTGCCAAAACGCAGACTGTTTTTACCCGACCGCGCCAGAAGGAGGGTTATGTTTTTCGAGACTATGTATTTATTATGTACGTATAATTGTTTGGCACGCTCTGCAGTCTGAACGGCTTGATGGATTTTAGCTTGAGAGGTGTCGTTTGATTAGTATTTATTGTGAGTGACACTGGGCTTAAAATAAAAAAAAAAATTGCACACTAAACCAGGCGGGTTTTTTAGTTTTTTAAAATATGTTCTACTTGTTGAGTGATTTATCCTGTTTAATTAAAAGCCAAATACCCGGTGTTTAGTACTAAACATCAGCAGCATTCATGGTCATGGGACGATATTTCACGTAAGACATGTCTACGTCGGAACAGGACTAGGAAAAGCCAACACATATTATATCGCAGTGTTTGATGAGTAAGCGAATGTAGTCATGTGATATACCTGCAACCAAAGAGTACATTATTAATAATGCCTGCAACATTCTGTACCCGGCCTCAAAGATATCGCCGTATACCCGGTGCTAAAACCCAGTGTCAAAATACCTATAGGTGTTAGGTATGTTCAGGCCTCCTTTTGGAGACTCGATCGAATCGAACGAACTTTGGAACATATAGATGTTTTTTTAGCAATCAGTTTTTTGAAATTGAGATTTATTCAGTCTAAAATAAACTCTATTTTTAATAGCGTAAAGAACCTAATTACCAAAAATATTACTGTTTAAAATTATCATCATCAGGTCATAGAAATAAATAATAAATTTATCTCAAGGAATTATTTGGTATAAAATGCCACAGGCGGTCGAGCGCAAATGTTATGAAATATCGCCACCATCTGGCGAGTCGGCGCTAGGTCCGCGTACTCGCGAGCGAAATCGACAATACCTATCGGGTCCGGAACGAGCCCCTGCCGTACATACCCGGTCTGCGTACTGGTACGCTGAAACTGGGTATTTATACCTGTACCAGTATATACGCCTCACCTCTAAGCGAATGAATGCTCGAATGAATATGTGAACGATTGAAAACGTAATGTGGTAACGAGTCAACGAATGATCACACCAGTAACAGTGTTAATATTGACCTCTCATGAAGGTCCCGCCACAGCGTAGCGACCCGCTCGCTGGCGCCGCGCCCGCCCGCCGCCGCGTCGCAGCCGGGGAACTCCACCCTCCGCACGCTCACCGAACGGCGCAGCGCCGTCGCGATGTCCGTCAGCCCTGTTCGACACAAAGAAACATTTTTCGTTACGTTGCATTCTACATAAAGATACCACGGCAGTCCTTAAATAAAATATATATGTCTAATAATTATATTACATAATATTAGTGCTTCAAAGATTGAAATAAGCTATCCTTCATACAAGCATACGAATTATTATCCATCCATCCGGTAGTTTGTCTGCTTCGCATTAAACCATTTGTCGAGCTGGAACGGTATTTCTTTTTCTGTCTAGATTGAATATCAAATCCCAAAAACTGTATCAAGGAGCCGTGCCTTCAGAGTCCCGCACAACACGTGTTCGTTATGTTGTAATTTACCTGTAGACAAATGTGCGGTTCATAATTTATTGTATACTTCATTGTACACCACAAAGTATTAAATACAATAAGTATGAAATAAGTCTTAGAAAGTAGGTACAACAAGGCGGTCTTATCGCTAAAAATCGATCTCTTCCAGACAACCTTAGGACGAAGAAAAATAAACTAATGAAAAGTGAAAATGAGCAATAAACTTACTTAATAATACCAAATTATACCAAAATAGACTAAAATATAATAAAATACATAAATATAAATACGTATAAATAGAATAAATAAATAGACGAGAGAAGAATTAAATCTGAATATCATACAGATTGTCCTATGTATTTTGTAAAAACTTTGCGCTCCTGAGCTGCCAACACGCGCGCACGCACACACACACACCTTGCAGACTGAACGCGTTGCGGTCGATGTGCAGCGTGTGCAGCGTGCAGTTGCACTGCAGCGCCTTTGCGAGGAGTCGGGCGCCGGCATCGCCCGCCACGTTGCCGCCGACGTCCAGCGAGCGCAGCCGCCTCGCGCCGCCCAGCGCGTTTAGAAGCCCGTACAAGTCGCCCTACGATTACGATGAAAGGGATTGGTTTAGTATGGATTAGTATGCGCCAACGACCACTTTTTTGTATATGAGGTGGCAATCGAGCAGGAGGTTAACCAGATGTTAAGTGATAACCGCCGCCCATTGACATTTTCAACACCCGTAGGGTTGCAGATACGATGCCATTTAATTAAGTGGGCCCGGGCTACTTTATTATATTTAGTCGCGCCACTATCAACATCTGTGTTAGATGCCTCGATCTTAACGGCGCTATTTGTATGTTTACCATACCGGCTTTAATATTTCTTCTCTGTTCTGTTGTCAACATCGAATATCCTGTGATATTATGTTATATACATATGTCATTAAAAGGTGATCCGCGGCGCGTTTCACAAATTTAATATAGACATTACTTACTTTTTGAACTAATCTGTTTTAAGTTATCAAGTATCACGGTGCTTAATACAATGTGTCAAAAAAACAATGATTTCTTTTAAAATATACCTTTAGTTTACAATCGCTTAAATCTAGTGATGTTAAAGCTGTGTCAGGCTCCTGAAGAACATGTACGAGCGCCTGAAATAAGAAAAAAGATTGAATATGAAATTATGCAAATTAGTTTTACATAATTTATTTATTTTGCAAAATTTGTTTATATTATGTAAACAATACAATGTGCGATAAGTGAGAACATATTTGCTTAACTAGTATATCACCTGATGGAAAACGAAGTTAGGGGAAAGTGATATATGCATACATACATACTTAGTATAACGATTTTTTTTCTAATTCCCTTCAGTTTGTTATATCGAGTTTTCACTATACATATTCTATTAGACTTTAAGGCCTTGGGCTTCAGAGATCTAGGACATCAATGAAGGTCCCAAGTCCAAGGTTCAACCAATTAATATGGTACCGCAAGGGAGATAAAGCGAACCCAATTCAAAATGAACTTTCGGTTTCATTAATGACGGAGTTTTGAGATGGCAAGCATTGAAAAATTTACAACCAGTTTCACAACCTCCTCCTGTTTTGATGCCGGTTTAAAACTGGCGAGACCCACTTACTTGTATTAAAGGAGGCGCGTAAGACCTTTTCCCGGTCAGCCTGCTCAACGATAAATGTGTAATTGAGTGATTCTTCCCTATAGCTCTGACTATGCCGGATAATTCATACTCCATACCTAGAACAAACACGGAACACGTTAAGCAGGCTATTACGTTCTAAAGTTGATACCTGCGATCTTCGAAAATTCTTTTGTAGAATGTTGAATTTTTGAATCGATTCGCATTTATACGAAAAACTCGTAGAAAACGTTTCTAATAAAAAAAAATTAAGAAACATTCTCAATATAATATACATACGCATATTTTATCTGTACATATAAATATGTGTTTCATATGTATCGTATTTTTAAATAAGTTTACTTTATTTTATGTGAGGTATGTATAACATAGATATTTAAAAATTTTAACGATTGCTTTTTTTAAAATTATAACAATTTCTTATATTTAAACTTCTCTGGACCACGCCTAGATTGACCGGCAGGTAATGTGGCGTGCAAAGAGATTTCAGACAGGGTATGCTGATCAATTTCTTCTGAAGTGTCGTGTAAGTGGCCTTTTAAATGTCTGTGAGATATTTTGTTTTCTTTAACTAAACTTTACCGTAACTGACGATGTGGCATACAATTTTGCGCACACGAATAATGCTGACGGCATTAAGCCCGCCTAAATCTTTTCATACCCTGTCATCTGTTCATTATTTCACTATAACTCATGACGGTGGATGTTCGGAGTTTATCGAGCTGCGCGCCATCTATTAGTGATTTAGTTAACCATTTAATTAGTTTATATCCGAGCCTTGTACATATCTGTGCACAAAGAGCAAACAAATGAATCTGTGCGACGCACTGTTGTCGGAGAGGTCCAGCGATTGCAGGCAGCGGACGCCGTGGATGCAGGACTCCAGCACGTGGGCGGCCTGCGAGGAGCACAGCACGCCCGACAGGTTCAGCTTCACGCCCGCCGCGCTCTCGTTGCACGCCAGCCCCAGCAGCAGGCTCCTGCGGGTGCAGGGTTATGCAGCGGTTAACATGCGGAGGGTGGAGGTAAGGAGCGCTGTGATTTCGTAAAAGCCACCTTAACGGAAAGGGCCTGTTGTAATGTCGAGGAATACATTGAGTCATTGAGGACAAGGATGTGTGGAAATGACTCTTGCTCTGCACTAGCAAGTCCCTTGGCTCCAGCTAAATTATACTAAAATACTTTTGTGTATATTAAAATAATATTGTGCATACTTAAATAATTTTTGTAAAAAAAAATATATGACCGCAGAGTTTCTTGCCGGTTCTTCTCTCTTTCTGTTCTAGTTCAGTTCTAGTTCTAGTGAACTGGTGGTAGTTTTTGACGTTCAATAAGAGCTTAAAATAAGCCTATGTTGAATAAAGAAATTTTGACTTTGACTTTGAAAGTCATGCAACGGTATACATGCGGAGGGTAGAGGTAAGGAACGCTGTCTCATATGAGGGAGCGGCTACAGAGGTATGCAACGGTACACATGCGGAGGGTAGAGGTAAGGAGCGTTGTCTCATATGGGGGAGCGGCTACAGAGTTATGCAACGGTTAACATGCGGATAGTAGAGGTAAGGAGCGCTGTCTCATATGGGGGAGCGGTTACAGAGTTATGCAACGGTACACATGCGGAGGGTAGAAGTAAGGATCGCGTCTCATATGTTCCACAGCTACAAAAGTGTAATTAACAGTTCCAAAGCCCCCGGAATGTCGCTAGAGTAGCAAAAGACTATTTACCTTGTTTTATTTCAATACGTAAAACTTAAGTTACCGATTTTATCATGGTGTTTTTTAAGCCAGAAAAACATCAGAAACGGATTTTAAACCAGACGTTTCCGATGTTTTTCAGCGTTCGTGGTCACGAGCTGGACTGTTTAAAATAAAAATAAAGCGCAATAAAATCCGTAAATTAGTTTTATTAAAATATATAATATTCGCGTAAATAAAAAAAAATAATTTAAGTAGTAACATTGTACATACTACCGTACCGCCTTTTTTATGTGTACCTGTCTATCCGTCTGTCACCAGGCTGTATTTCACAGATGATATATTGTCACTATAACAACAAATACTAAAAAACTGAATAAAATAATATTTATTTATGTGGGGTTCCCATACAACAGACGTTTTTTTTTTTTGCCGTTTTTATAGATTATGTTACGGAACCCTTCGTGTGCCAATCCGACTCGCACTTAGCCGTTTTGTATTTTATGTGTGAAGGTGGCAAGCGAGATGGCCGTTCCCCTGATATAAAGTGATAACTGCTGCCCATGGACATTTGCGCCAGCCGTTGCCACCTTATAATAAAGTACGCCCAGGCTACCTCAATCACCGGACGAAACATAGAAGTATGACACTTCCGTTTCACGTCGTTTTCCTGTGACGTCGTTGTACGGCCGGAGCTGTTGCGCGGCCCTAGCGCAATTAAATCGAGCGGACATAATATGAGGGGGACCCACTTGAGCACGTCGGGCGGCATCTTGCAGTAGGAGAAGTCGAGGTCGGCGAGCGCCAGGCAGGCGGTGAAGAACTGGCGGAAGGAGGGCGGCGGGTCGCGGGGCCGGCGCGCCGTCGACCAAGGGTTGCGCCCCACCAGCAGCGAGGACAGGCGGGCCGCGCAGCCGCGCAGCAACGCGCCCCACATCTGCGTAGCGCCACCGAGTACCGAGTTACACCCGTACCGATCGATAAGTGTCGTACCACAGCGTACCAGTCACTTAGTCCAGGAGGAATCAGCGCATGAGTACCGAAAACTATTTCACCTCAATCTTTTATATAAATATAAATGCATGTTGCCATTCGTCGCGTTAGAAATTCGGTAGCACAGTAACTACAGTTATTATGCTATGGAATCTCTATCGCGTCGCACCATAGCGTACCAGTCACCGAATTTACTGCGCTACCATTCTCTACCGCGTTGTAGTATAGCATACCTACCAGTCACCAAAGTTACATCGCTACCGATCTCTACCCCGTCGTACAGCAGAGTGTCAGCCACCGAAGTTACTGTGCTACCGATATCTACCGCGTCGTACTACAGCGTACCCAACACTGAAGTTACTGTGCTACCAATCTCCACCCCGTCGTACCGCAGGATACTAGTCATCGAAGATACTTGCTACCAATCTCTGCCCCATCGTCATAGGGTACCAGTCACCGAAGTCACTGTACTACAATCTCTAACGCGTCGTACCACTGCGTACCAGGCACCGAAATTACTGTGCTAACAATCAATACCGTGTCGTACCGCAGGGTACCTACCAGTCATCTAAGTTACTGTACTATGAACCTCTACTGCGTAGTAGTTTTCCTAAGAATAACAAGCTATAATTTGCTTTCGTTAGCACACTTCGCGTAAGCAACATTGTCTCAGATGCATTGTAGCGCGGCATAACGGAAGGGTTTGAGTGTGTCGTGGGTTCGACTGACACGTAAGACAAGAATTTTTGAACTCATACCTGGTGTGCATTCATTCTCATTAGCACTTGTTTTTCATTTTCCAAAAAAAAAGAAAAGAAAACTTGCAAAATGTTACTTACATTTTCAAGCGTTGTTTCGGTGTTTGTAAGGTTTAAATGCGTCAACACATTCGGCTGTGCGAGGAAATTGTAGAGATTCTGTAAAAAAAGCGTCCTGAGTGATTATGCTCAAACTAATTTAATACAACAAGATCGAATCACTGACAAAAGTTACTTTACTCACATGTACATCATCTTTTAGGTTGTTATTGGAGAGATCCAAATGTGACAAGGTCGAGAGGTGACATTGGCTGTCGTTCAACATGGCGGCTAGATGGGAAACAGTCTTGCCGGTGAGTCCGCATTGCGATAATGCTATATGCCGCAAGCCGTCTGGATTATTCGCCAGCCCAGTAAGTATACTAATAGCACCTGAAATTGAAGTTAAATCAATTACACGAGTGTCCTTAATGTGGATTAGGCAAATTTAAACATAATAAAACCTATTAGCTTTGGGTCCATCCAACTCGTGAAAACTAACTTTTCCACGGGGTCGGTACTAGATAAAGCCTCTTCCTTTCAGCCACTACCGAAATTGGTGTCAAATAACTAGATGGTGTTGGAACTGACCAATCAATTCAGTTTTTTCAACCAATCGACGCACAAAACAAATGCCGATCGGGCATTGAGTACACCCTCTTCGTAGGACGCTAAGCTGACTCAAGGCACCTTTGTATGACGGAACTTTATTACTAAGGCTTCGCTGTCTATCTGTCGGTCACCAGGCTGTATCTCATGAACCGTGACAGTTGGACAGTTGAAATTTTCACAGATGATGTATTTCTGTTGCTGCTATAACAAAAAATATTAAAAAACAATAAAAAATATTTAATTAGAGCTCCCATACAACAGACATGATTTTTCTGCCGTTGTTATAGATTTTTAGAATTCATGCGGCCGACTCGCACCTCGCCGGGATTTATTTCAGAAGGTAGCAAGCGAGATGGCAGTCTACGCCGCCCATTGACGTCTGCAACACGTGTACGGTTGCAGACAAGTTGCCGCCTTTCACCAAAGCGTCGCCGCCGTCACCTACGTCCGTACGGATGGAGACGCGTTGCCGTCTTTCACCAAAGCGTCGCCGCCGTCGCCTACGTCCGTACGGATGGAGACGCGTTGCCGTCTTTCACCAAAGCGTCGCCGCAGTCACCTACGTCCGTACGGATGGAGACGCGTTGCCGTCTTTCACCAAAGCGTCGCCGCAGTCACCTACGTCCGTACGGATGGAGACGCGTTGCCGTCTTTCACCAAAGCGTCGCCGCAGTCACCTACGTCCGTACGGATGGAGACGCGTTGCCGTCTTTCACCAAAGCGTCGCCGCAGTCACCTACGTCCGTACGGATGGAGACGCGTTGCCGTCTTTCACCAAAGCGTCGCCGCAGTCACCTACGTCCGTACGGATGGAGACGCGTTGCCGTCTTTCACCAAAGCGTCGCCGCAGTCACCTACGTCCGTACGGATGGAGACGCGTTGCCGTCTTTCACCAAAGCGTCGCCGCAGTCACCTACGTCCGTACGGATGGAGACGCGTTGCCGTCTTTCACCAAAGCGTCGCCGCAGTCACCTACGTCCGTACGGATGGAGACGCGTTGCCGTCTTTCACCAAAGCGTCGCCGCAGTCACCTACGTCCGTACGGATGGAGACGCGTTGCCGTCTTTCACCAAAGCGTCGCCGCCGTCGCCTACGTCCGTACGGATGGAGACGCGTTGCCGTCTTTCACCAAAGCGTCGCCGCAGTCACCTACGTCCGTACGGATGGAGACGCGTTGCCGTCTTTCACCAAAGCGTCGCCGCAGTCACCTACGTCCGTACGGATGGAGACGCGTTGCCGTCTTTCACCAAAGCGTCGCCGCAGTCACCTACGTCCGTACGGATGGAGACGCGTTGCCGTCTTTCACTAAAGCGTCGCCGCCGTCGCCTCCGTCCGTACGGTTGCGGGCGCGTCGCCACCGTCACCTTTGTCCTCGATGTGGTTCTGCGAGAGGTCGACCGTGTGCATGGCGGGCGGCGAGCGGGCGCGCGCGAGCGCGTGGCCGAGGCGGGCCGCGTGGTCGTGGCGCAGCGCGGCCGCCCGCCAGCTGAGCCGGCGCGGGGGCGGCGCCGCGCAGCGCACCACCCGCGAGAGCGCCTCCCACGCCTCGCCGCCCGCCCGCACCCCGTCCCCGCACACGCCCTCGAACCACGTGTTGTGCTGCAGCGCGATCAGCAGCGGTATCAGGTCCCTGCGGACGCGGCGCGGTATGTGTAAATGCAAAATTTCTATATTAAATACTAGCTGACCCGGCAAACGTTGTTTTGCCATATAAATTATTTCTAGGAAATTTGACAGGTTGACAGGTACACATTATATGGGAAAATAAAATTGTCGCTATTTAGATTTCCCATGCGATTTTTTCATAATTTCTCATCGTTTAAACCTTCCCTGGACTGCCACAAATATTTCAAAACCAAAATTATCCAAATCGGTCCAGCCGTTCTCGAGTTTTAGCGAGACTAACGAACAGCAATCCATTTTTATATATAAGATATAGCCCTAATTTAAGCTCTTCGTCGCACTCTTCATTAATGACGGCCGTGTCTAACTACAGTCGGTTTCCATTGCTGTTGGTAGACAAGGGCGGTGGTGTCGGTTGGTGCTGTGGATGCATCAATAGACGGTAATCAATTAACATCAAGGGAATCGCCTACTCTAGCGAAAAAAATCTTATATTCTTTTTCTATTTCTGCTTCATACGGTTGCAATGAGCTAATATTAAATTACATTTCGTATTAGCTATTTGATTAAAATAGGAATGGATGTGACGAATGTTATTAAATTTGATCTCCATCTGTAAAACTTTTACCCTTTCTGACACATAGATTGATTTATAAGCTGACTTCATCTGCGTTTTGACCTTTTTTTTATTTTAGAATTGGCCAGCGCTTGACTGCCATCCCACCTGATGGTACGGACAGCATAAGAGTGGAGTCTCGCCGAACGCTTAGTTGTCCGGTGATGGAAAGGGGCAGGAGGAATCGAATCATGCTATAATCATCAAACCATAAGGGGAAGGCATAGACAGCTACGCATGCTCAATCTATTACGGCGTTATGGACTATTACAGATATGTCTATTGTCTTCATCATTTTACTGGGCACGACAACGTGACAATAGCTTATATAATACCACAATGGTTAATATAGTATTATCTGATTGAGCAATTTTAAGAATACACCAAATTTGAATTGAAAAACATCCTTCTGTAACAAAGGAATGTTTCCAACATTGCTTACGGTGGTTCGACGATTACTTTATAGACAATTAGTACACACTTTTTTATCTTTAAGTCAAACTTTAACCGATAAAACTTATTTTTTTAAAGCTTTACTAAGAATATTTCACATTAACATTAGCGATTAAATAAGTAAAAAAGAACCAGATGTATGTTGTCATTACTTACATTGGTTCGACGATTACTTTATAGACAATTAGTACACACTTTCTTATCTTAAAGTCAAACTTTAACCGATAAAACTTATTTTTTAAAGCTTTACTAAGAATATTTCACATTAACATTAGCGATTAAATAAGTATAAAAAGAACCAGATGTATGTTGTCCAACATTTAATATAAAAAACTTCGTATCAGTTTTCGTTTAACTCGCTGGCAGCATGCGATATTTCCATGATATAATTTATAACGCATAATTGGGCACATTTTAAAAAGCTGCGTTCCAATTTCAAAACGTTTAAGTGTTTCAGTTATAATTTAGTAGCAAGCCAGTTCTGCACCAATTGGACGTGGGGTTAACATAACGAAACAACAATTTTGTTATAAAATTTGTTTCGTATGGCGTAATAAAGTTTTGCATTTGTAGCAATGAATTATTTTTTTATTGAAACTTCTAACTCTTCTATTGTCATCTTTATAATTATTGATCTGAATGCAATTTCATTACAGTTAAAATTTATAATCTAGAGTTTATTTTAGCACCAAACAGTAATTACCTTTGATCCAAATGGTCAAAGTCCTTCAAATGCAACATTCTGATGTCGTGTGCCAGGTATATAGTGTCGATATCCCAAGCCACCTCAGCTCTGGAAAAATTATAAAGATTAGCACAAATTATTACTTTCGATGATTTATGTTTGAATCAATTAAAGGAGCAACATTCAATAGTAATTTTTGAACAAATAAATATTAATAAACTCTCTATGTCCCGATTAAAAATAATCAAATGAGGAAAGCAGATTTTTTTTAAATTTATGTATACATTTCTTATAAATACTATTATATTATCAATTGTATATTAGTATATTACACAGTAATTCTGTATTAAACATGATACAAAAATCTTGACTCGTATGAAAATTCAAGCTACCAGGAAACGAAACGGCGATCCGGTTGCTACAACCAAAATTATGGTCTCAGCCAAAATTTTAAACTATCTATATTACCTAAAAGGTGTTTGACACAGGTCGCACATGGCAGCATATTGATTGGAGAAATCCCCACAAGTCGAGTGTTTCCGCGTACCGCTCACTGGTTGTATTTGGAACGGCAAATTAACCTGCAAGGGGAATTTCCAGTTAATTTATTAATCTCGTAACGTTACAAGTAAAGACAAAGTGTTACATAACTATATGGTAATTTATTGCATTTAGGAAAATATTGCGCACTGTTAAGAACAAACAATTTTATATTTTAAAATTCGTAGAAAATAAAGTCGTTAAAATTTTATATTTTAACGACTTTAATCGAGTCGGAGTCTATCTTTTGGCCGCGGATTCTCATTCTCGGAGGCGCATTCCCGAAGTTTCGAAAGTTTTCGAAACTTCGGGAATGAGATTTAACAAATTGAACGCAACGATGATCATAAACAATTTGATTTAAATTATATTTGGTTAAGGTGTGCCAGGGCGAAAAACAGATCGTGTCCTGGAATTCTTTTAGACTTTTCAAGAATGCAGAATTTCAGCAGATGTATTACTTAGACTTTAAGGCGTTTATCGACAAAAATTTACATAAAACTAATGGACTCGGTGCGTAGATATTTGAAGGAAAACTTTGTCGGTCGAATATAGCTTCGAGCAAGTGCTACACCAATTAGTATTGCGCATCAGTAATCAGAACGCGTAAGTGTTCGAAACGTGGTGTGACTTAACATATTAAACGCAACAAAAATCATAACAAGTTTTATTTAAATTATATTATAACATGTCTCATTATTATCAGCTATATTCGGTTTGATTACGGTGTGACAGAGTAAAAGACAGATCATGTCCTGGCTTCCTTTTGGAGAATAAAACATTTTTTTTATGATTTAAGTTGGCAAGCGAGTTAGCGGTTCAAGTGATAACCGCCACCCATGGATATTTGCAACACCCGTAGGGTTGCAGATGCGTTGCCACCTTTTAATAAAGTAGGCTCCGGTTGCCTCACTCACCAGACGAAACGCAGAAGTTTCAACACTTCCACTTCGCGCCGGTCTTCTGTGAGGTCGTAGTGCCTCCCCGGACGGACCTGCCCATTCGTGCAACAGCGAGGACTGTTGCGTGGCCGTACCAAAATTAAACATTACGGCTGTTTTACTTATCCTTAAAGGACAATGTCAAAAATTAACGTGATACTAATGCTGAGTGCATGTGTGTAAATTATTTGAAGGAAAACTGTGCCAGTGGAATTTAGCATCTACCAAGTAGTTGTTATACCAAATAGTATTATGCATTAGTAATTGGAATGCGAGATGCAGAAACGCGAAACGCAGAGCTATTCGTACCTATCCCATTATGTTATTCACACAATCGATTCTGTATTCACGCAAAACGGTCATATTAAGTCAGTATTCATTATTAAGTAATTTAGAGACAAGAACATTTAAAATAATAAAGGATCGCTTTGTTTTCTTTTTTTTACCAAATGTCAATGGGGGTTCCCAAAACAATCACTGAGAAATAACTTTGATCAAAGAAGCAGCAGTTTTCTAATATTAAAAATTAGTTTCTTTAACAATAACAAAATACTGAAATGCCCATCGTAGTCCAGATATGAAATAAAAATATTCTCTACATTTGTATTTCATATTGTAATTGGGACTTATATTAAGACCATTACATTGTGGGCTGAAATACAATTATTATACTAATCATACATAAAACTTGATAATTGAAATAACGATCAACGGTATGGACGAGAACATTCATTAACAGACCAATTAAGCAAATGAAAGTACACTCACCGACTAAATTGAAAAACACGCCGTGAATTTAGTCCGCAAATAGAAATAAAGCAGTCAGATACAGACCTTGGAAATAATGTCCTCCATGGCCACATTAGGAAACAGATCGTCAAAAGCCGCGGCCAACGCGTGTATTGCATTGATAACGCCATCAGATGATCCCTCCTCACCTAAAATCGAAGTTTACATAAGTACTAATGATTGGATATACATATTTCATATATTATAACAAAAGTTTTCTATTTTATTTGTTTTTTTTAATTTATCATTAACTTGTAAGAGCGGGGCACATCCCCTAGGATTTTAAATTATCATGAAATATCCTTTTCGCTATCTCCTGTGGCATTCCATGCCGCCATTCCAGGTGAATCGCGCTAAAAATAATATCCAGTATAGGGCGTCCAGTAATCACGTGGTGGATTTTTTGTACCATTTTAATTTTTTTTTATTTGATTTTTGCGTTGCGAAAAGGATTGTTAAACTATCTGAATTGATCAGAATGATCTTGTTAATAATCAGAATGATGATAGTAGTTTTCTTTATCGTATAAAATTCATAGCGAACGTCAATATTCTTTACATTTACCCAAAGTCACACGCTGCTTTTGGATTTAGAAATCGCGCGCTTGAAACGAAAAAAATTAATACACGTGATACCTCTGGAAATCACTCGATCAATACACGAAAATCAATAAAATAGAATTGTTCTTTCTAGCTTCACAGCATTTCTTAGCTAACTTAACATTATTTATCAAGTTTTTATTACATGTTTCCTCCTAAAGTAAATAGGGAAACACAAAGTTGATATTTTTTTGTTTACGGTTCACTTCTTCCAAAGGCAAAGTCAATGACTTTATAAATATATTCGGTTTGTTTTTAATAGCGAAAGCATTTCGATATCTTTATTTTATAAGTCGGATTTCGGCAATTGAACTTGAGGCTAATTAAATATGCATAACAGGATATAAGTGAAATTTTGACATACTTATCCTGTTTTAAATATAAATAAAATATAGCCTAACAACCTTGAACATTTTAAAAATTCATTTATTAGAGTTATAGATGTAGTTTTTCACAATAAAAAGTATTGTTGTAAATTTTGAATTTTGATTTGTGAATTTTCAATGAAAAACTAGCATTTTTCATTGAAAATTCACAATTTTTTCAAATCGTGAAACGACAGAATTTGATGTACCTGCAACTTTCACGGGCAATATTTTGTCCTTTTGTTGAATAAAGCATCTATAATTTTCCAGCTAGATGATGATGATTTGACTTTTTTTTTTATCACAAACAACAGATACTTTATTTTTTGGAGACACCTCTTTATTAATACTAGTTATACCTATATAATAGGTGGAGGGTAATAGCCACTAACTATCATGTACAAATATTCTTATATTAAATTTAACTTGAAGATAAAATAATTGTGTTAGGCAAGCCTTACATATTATGATTACTGTCCAGCAACTAAATAAAAAATATGTCCTGGCTATGTATAAATTGTATCCACGGCCAGTCACAACTATAATTTTTTTTAGTGTAACCAACTGTAGCTACACTGGTACAATGGTTATTAACACAAAATAAAAATTCCAAATTATTTCCAATATTTCTCTGATGGAGAGAGCATATCATTGTAAGTAAAGAACTATATTTTAAAATTTTTAATATAAAACAAATCTATGAAATACTGATAAATCAATGGATTATGATAACAAAATTTACCTTTATTGTCAGTTGCTAACTTAATGCAAAACTGCTTGATTTATATTTATATGTCAGTGTCATTTGCATTGTCTATTCAAAGAGAATAAAACTAAGTACTCACCAATAAGAATGGAGACTGGTTTATGTTCATGTATTAAAGTAATTGAAAGATGATTATGTTTCTTACTCTCCAGGGCCTCTACTTCCATCAAGTGAAATCCATTGTCAATCTAAAATTCCAAACAAGTCAGATAATTAAGAATGCTAGAATGCTAAATCTTAATAGATGTTCATTTGAGACTTGAGCATACCTGCTTATCTCATAATTTTAGATATAAGTATGTCATAACAAAAATTTACTTTTGTATTTTTTTAACAAGTTACCAAAATAAGCAATTAAGGAATTAGCTAGCATATTTGCCAACTATGTTATTATCAACTCCAACACAAACCAGTGTATGATAAAATATAATGATTAACTCAGTCAACGCAATTTATTTATACAATGGCATAAAGCCATAATTTGGTCCTTACAAAGTTGTTTCAAAGCTTATTATTTGAAATAATTACCCTTGTTGGTACTTTTGTTGTTGTTATAAAAATTCTAAATGCTGTCACCACCTGAAAGGAACATTTATTATTAGAGTTGTATAACAAGTATATATTATAAGGTATACATGAATATTAAGATTTAAAAATTAAAAACGTATTTACATAGAAAGTGACTACTTGAAAATCATTAAGTTATTACTTTAAAATATACTGTTAGAAGTATTTCAAACATAAATTGGATACAAATTACGCCAAGGCCTCTTTTATAATATGATCAGATGACTCGGTGGCGCAGTCGCTAAGTTATTGGTTTTGAGGCAGGGGATAATGAGTTTGATTCCCACACGCGACAATAATTTGTGTGAATTTGTGCTTTGGTCCCAAGGAGGTTAAATGTCTGGCAGACGGCCAGACATAAAAAAAACCTAGCCTAAACCACTTACAACATTATTCACATTTTGTGCATCATGTTGTGCGGACCCCACCAAGCTGCGATAAGGACACAAGCATGATGATAATGGGAAAGAAATTTACACAACTAAAATTTATACAATGGCAGTCAGTATTTTGGCATTATATTAAGCTTTATAATTAATTTTAATGAGGGATAAATTTAATTCTAACAAGTAAGCATAATCAATAATAAAAAAAAATTAATTAAAAATTATTTATGTAAAGGAATATATGTAGTATAAAAATTATATCAAAATTATTATTATCATTGTAAACTACCAACCAACCAATACCATAATTTTATTTTTTAAATATGACAGAAACTATTCCAAGGCTTAAAATGTGAGTTTGTTTAGATAATAAATTATACACATATTGAAAATATACAGCGTGTCGTTACCATCGCGACCATAAATGAACACACGTCTAACGCTACTTGCCAATAATCATAAAAAAATATTAACGTTAAACAAAATCCATAATTAAAAAAAAATATTTTTCAAACAAACTAATTAAGTAAAAAGAAACAAAATTTGTTACACCTATACAACTCGCGCCACAGCGTCGCATTACAAGCCTCTCCTTCTAACAGTATGTTTTATCTCTTTTAAATTTATTCAACCCATTCATATGCTTTGTGACCTTTACAAATGAACTTTACGTTACAGTTTTATACGTAAGGGTGTTCTAAAATTGTTTGTTTTGGAAAATTTAATAACTCCGTACATATTGATTTTTAAAGAATGTAAATGTTTAATACAATTTTAAAAAGTTATCCTCTACATGTGTGTTCATTTATTGTCGCGGTGGTAACGACACGCTGTATACATATTAATTAACAAAAACTCATGGAACATTAAAATATGTATAAAAAGTGCGAAAAGATTGTCGCCGCTGTGGGAATCGAACCCACGTCTTCGGCATTCGCGGCCTGACGCTCTAGCCACTGAGCTAAACGGCTGATTACCACACCGACGAAAATCTTAACGCATTCTTCCACATTGTTTTCTTAGCATTTGAAGCAATGCTTGGCTCCATCTATTGTTATATCCTTTCCAGCATACAAACAACTTCGAATATCGTTTTACAACGATAATTCGAACGAGAGATGTCGCCATTGCTTTTTTTTTAGAAACGCACTTTTTCTACATATTTTTATGTTCAATCTTAAGTGCAAAGATTAGCACTATAAACAATTTAAATTTCTAAAAACTCATGGAACTGAAAATGCATCTTTGGTAACAAACCAAGGCTCTTAATAAGATTTTTTTTATAAAGAGCCCATTTCATATAAAAGAATTCACTAGTATTCTACACTATAAAACACTTTTGATGAATTTTGGTAACTAAAAATACTTAATTTTAACATGCAGTGTATCAATTTAAGATGCAACAGTTCGAACTTATAAATTGTTTATTATTATTGTATATTGTTTATTGAGTTCTAACAGTTATTTTGTATTAATCTGATCTCAAAATTAACCAACTTGGCCTAACCAAAACAAAAATCAGACCATGATTAATTTGAACACAATTACTTTATTCACAAAAACAGTTTTAATTTCATTTTTATTTATTTTTAAACGTAAAGTAACAGCCTACACATTTATTTTATCATACCAAAATGAGGCATCACAAATAAGAAGTAAATAATGTGACTGGTACCTTACTATGAAGAAAACATTTAAATGTAATATATTGTGTATGTCACTACTATCTCCATTAATGTAATGGTTCCGACAAGAAGCCCACCATTAATTGGTACCATAAAAACATCCATTGTAGTTGTTTGTGTTACAGGGACACACATAGCTGGATAGTTAAAGAGGCACACCTAAATGACTCATACTATTGTCCTCACTTATCATAATAAATTTTAAGATACCATACCTAAACCAATTTAATTTTATGTTATGTAACAAAAAATAAATCTTTATCTTTTGTTACATTTATTTCATATACAAATTAAATAAAAATAATATCACTGAATGATGAATTCTACATTTAATTCTGATTAATCTTATAATTATAAAGAGAAAAATAATATGTACATTTTTTTTAAAACATTATGATTTATAACAAAAAAAAATAAATAAAAAGTCTATACTTACTAAAACCCTGTTGTCAACTTTATCTCCTCTTGATTCCATGCGAATCAAAGATTTAAAAAGAATTTTAACATTTTTCCCCAAAGCATTACTAATGCTATCTATAAAGGAAAAAAGATTATAGAAATACACTTGAATTAGGATGGAGTTTAATTAGTATGCGTAATGTACATAATAATATCCTTACCACTTAACTCTGTAGTTATTTGTGATTTTGTTGACATTTTTGTTATTTTCTTTAAAGTCATTACTTCAGTAAAATTATGTGGTATCAATAAACACTGCACCCATATTCACCTTGCACCTTTTACTTATTACTTAACAAGTTAAAATCATATTTATACATATTATAAAATAAACAAGGTAAGTATTACTATAATAAAGTGTAGTAATTAGTTATAGATTTAAATTCACCATTACGTTAAATAGGTAGAGCACCATTCACAGAACCAATTCTCGCACAACATAATAATAATTTAATAAATAACACCAGCCAGCAAACAGATAATAAAAACCAGATTTTTATTTTAACAGTGTGACCACTTAACACTTTGGAGATTTTAGTTGCAAAACTATTTCCTAACAATTTTTTTTTTGTAAATATATTTTGCTTGGCGGCTTTGACTGCTGGACTGCTCAGTCGGAATAGGCGTAGATAAACGACATGAAGACTCAGGAGTAAAGTAACGAACTCGACAACGACCTAGGGCGCTGTAAAAATACGTTTTTCAAAAGATTTTTTAACAAAATCTATACATTTTATAGAAGCAAAAAAAATATATGATAATCTTGATCTTACATTCTAATGGACCATTGTTTTCAAAAAATATTCTCGATATATTTTTTCGATAGAAAAAAATCACGAGCGTACCTCTAAACGTGAAATTGAAATAAAAAAATAGATATAATGAATGAACAAATCTTAGTGAAATTAATATCAGTGGTGTAGAATATATTAATAAAAACCTGTCTTAATTTGTTGATTGAAGTAAGATATTTATAAATATTAATTTATTTCATTAATATTACATTTATATATTACTCTTCCAACTCCACACGTTGAACAGAGAGCGCTGAGGCGCCTTGCTAGATGGATCTATGCCATTCATCCCCGCTCACTGTTACGAAATATGTTTCGTATTTATTTATTATTGACAGTTTTAATTTTATTAGACTTTCGAAAACATGAATCTAAAAAATATATATTCACATATTTCGTATTTAAAAATTATTTGTATGTATTAACAGTTGTTAATTAATTTATTTAAAGCATAATTTCAATGTCTTATCTCGTGATTGGTTGGTCTATCAGTCCTATACATACAGTGTATAGGACCATCATTCTTTATGGATTGAGTTCAAATCCCTAAATTTTTTGTTGTGCTTATTGTTGATTTTTGTGAGGTTCACCTGATGTTAAGTGAATACCGGATACCGCCGCCCATGTACATCTACAATCCACCACAGCGATACCGATGCCTTATCAACCTTTAAAAAAATGTGCCCCAGCTACCTCACTCACCACACGGAACGTGAAAGTTATTACTTTTACTCCTGACTTCACACTGGGCTTCTGTAAGGCCAGATATATAAAAGTACTCTTTGTGTAAGGCCGTGGTACTTTACCGAATGCGCCTGCCCCAGCCCATTCTTGCAACAGCAAAAGCTGTTGTGTGGTCCTACCTGTCCTACCACAGTTACTTGTTTTGTTATTGATGGGAAAGATTTATTCCCAATCAATGATGAATTCAATGAAGATAAATTATTGACACATAGAATAATAAAAATATATTAAATTAACACGAAATACATAATTATAGAAAGACAGTTTTTACAAAGACGTTTTTTCTCTCGACTGCGATTGACACACACTGGAACAGTACAATTTTCAAATGTAACACCTGTTATCTGTAAGTGGCCAGTAATCCTTAGCGGAATGTTATGAAATCTCTAACACTCCTCCGTAACATTGCGCTACTCATAAGGCCACTCAATCACTCATTCGATACACACTCAACACTTACACAAATTCATACCCATGCCTCTCAAACATAACTCAAACTTTCCTCTTGGCAGGGCCTTTGTGAATATGTCAGCTACCATCGACTCTGTTCCCAGATACTTCAGACTGATCACTTTGTTGCGAAGTGCCTCTCTGATAAAGTGAACTCTAACGTCAATGTGCTTTGACCTCTTATGGCAAGAGTCCTCACTGTTTGCCATAGCTATTGCAGACTGACTATCACTACTCAGCTTAATAGTCTTGTTAAGTCCAGTTATTTCTCCAAATAACCTCTTAAGGAAAACTGCTTCTCTTGCAGCATTTGACAAACTAATATATTCCGCTTCTGCACTTGATAAAGCAACTACTGTTTGTTTTCTGCTTTCCCAAGTCACAGGTGCAGACCCAAATTTAAAAATATAACCTGAATAGGACTTGCGATCTGTTACATCACCCGCATGATCTGCATCAACAAACCCTTCTAAATCTCTTCCACTTTGTTTAAACACCAGCCCCAGGCTTTTGGTGCGTTTAAGATAGCGAAGAACTCTTTTTTAGTGTCTGCCAATGTTGCTCTCCATAGCAACTATTAAACTGACTCAAGTAACTTATTGCAAAAGCTACATCTGGTCTTGTGCAGACTGCCAAATACATTATAGAACCTACTAATTCTTGATAAGGAATGTTATTAGGCGGCTCATAATTTGTTTCCACCGGTTTGGTCAACCTATAACCAGCAATGAGAGGTGTAGAAACAGGTTTGCAGTCCTGCATGTTAAACCTGGCTAATATTTTCTCTATATAGCCTTCCTGATCTAGTGTAATGTCATCTTCAGTTTGTTGTAGACGCATTCCCAGAAACAAATCCGCTTTACCAAGATCACGCATCTCGAAGGTATCTCTTAACTCCTTCTTGACTTGCTGCATCTCTGCTTTATTGTTCCAAAAAATCAATAGATCATCAACGTACACCGCTAGGATTATTAGCCTGTGTTGACTTCTCCTTATATAAACACATGGTTCGTTGTCTAGCTGAGTGAACTTCAACTGTTTCAGTGCTGAGTCCAACCTTTGATTCCAAGCTCTTGGGGCCTGCTTCAAACCGTACAACGACCTTTTCAGTAAGCACACGTAATCCTCTTTTCCCTTCTCCTCAAAACCTTCAGGTTGCTTCATGTACACTGTCTCTTCAATGTACCCATTAAGAAAAGCGGTCTTCACATCCATTTGATCAATTTTTAATTTATTCTCGGCAGCCATTGCCAACAGAAGACGCAATGAACTATGCCTGATCACAGGTGAATATGTCTCAAAGTAATCAACACCTCCGCGTTGTTTGAAGCCCCTCGCTACAAGCCTTGCCTTATATCGTTGCTTGTTTCCAGCTTCAGTCTTAACTTTAAGAACCCACTTGCTATCGATCACGTTTTGTTTTGGCTCTCTCTTTACTAGCTGCCAAGTTCGATTCTTGTGAAGAGCATCCAATTCTTCCTTAATAGCCTCACGCCAAAGTAAGCTGTCTGTCCCTGCGAGTGCTTCTCTGACATTTATAGGTTCCTCCAAACCAAAACCACTCTCTCCGGGTAGAACTGCTTGATATAGAACGTGATCAGGGAATTGTCGTGGCTTTCTGTTTCTCATAGGGTATCTCCGTGCATCCGTTTGATCACCTCTATGATCATTTAGAATAATAAAAATATATTAAATTAACACGAAATACATAATTATAGAAAGACAGTTTTTACAAAGACGTTTTTCTCTCGACTGCGATTGACACACACTGGAACAGTACAATTTTCAAATGTAACACCTGTTATCTGTAAGTGGCCAGTAATCCTTAGCGGAATGTTATGAAATCTCTAACAGTTATTTGGCAACATTGTATATATATTAAATCTTATTATATTTTGATCTTATTTTGAAAGGTTATTCTAATACGATTTATTGTACTTATGTTATAATATTTTCTTATTATGGTGGAAAACCATTAAGAATTAGTTAAAATGAATAAAAACTATGAAAGATGTACCCATTGTAATCGCAGAAAATGGTTAGCATCTGGTTGTCTTCGTAAGTGGTTAAAGCCAATGGAATGTAAACATTTACAACGAAGCATTGATAGCAAAAGAGACTTCAACAACACAGACATTGTAAACTGTGTGATCCTTCCAGATCGAAAAGCACCTGTAAATACGAATAAATTCGTTAAATTTTGGAAGAACAAAATTTTCATAACTGGCAGTGTCAGGACTTTACAAAGATATTTTAGTACTAAGAACAATGGTGGCGAATATATTTGCAATCTTAACAAAACGACAGATCCATCTTCATCTACGGAAAAACGAATAGTTTCGAATAACAGCAATGATATCCGAAAAGATGTTAACTTTGAAAAAGTTTCGGTGAAATGTCAGCATTCAGAGGGTCATTCAGTTCTCAGAGGTCATCACCAACATATGTCTATCGAGACCTGCGCTATATATTGCCAGTTATCTAAGTGAGTATTTTTTTTTTACTCAAAACCAGACTTGTATGTACTTCCATCTTTTTTTTTGTGCTAAAAGATGGCCAAAGTGAGTTAGCGTAGTTCACCTGATGTTAAGTGATAATAGCCGCCCATGGGCAAGACCCGTATGGTTGCAGATACTTTGACACTAATAAATTGGGTCCTGGTTCCCTTATTTACCAAAGAAAATGCATAAAATATAAGTTTTCTACTTCACGCTGGTCTTCTGTGAGGTCATAGTACTTCCCCAGACGAACCTGCCCATTCCCAGTCCTATCTGAGCTGTGATGTAGATTTATTTTATAATAACATATAACTTAGGTCTTACTAACATACTAATTACAAAAAAGAAGTAGTGACATGCATAAAATAAAATTAAATATTTGTCTACTCACTATAAAACGTAATATTGTGTTAGTCAATCTTTATATTGAAAAACAGAGACTGATATGGCTGTGACTTGTGATATAAGGTTATATTCTTAATCCCAGTGACATACCATTTATTGATTTTCTTAAATGTATAAATATATCACTGCTATATGTAGGGTCTTTGTTAAACACTAGGGAATACAATCAGCTGGTTGAAATGTTGATAACATTAATTATCTCTCTACCCAAGAGTTACAAAGTCTGATAGCTTGTGATCCTATTATAAAAAAAGATGTCAATTTTTTTCAGTGTTTTATTATTATTATACTTTTATATATTTATATTTATACTTTATGTTTATGTGTGGTACCGAGTACAGGTCATTGGTAAAGAAACTTTAGTCTATTATGGAGAAAAGGCTTGTTTGTCAGTCAACAATGTTTGCTCCATACTAATTGAAATGAAAGCTGGGCATTGCAGAAAATGAAGTGAAAGCAAGTCATTTCTGTAGCATGTATTCAACAATACTTCAATAGTATTTAATAAATAAAAACCCAAAAAAAATGTGGGTTTAACTAAATAGTTACATATTTTTTTAAGCACATATCATTTGAAACTTAAAATTGTCAAATGGGAAGAAGTGTGGATTAAAAGAGAATGGTCTAAGGAAAGAGAAATACCTGAATAGTAGGTACATACAAAGTAGTAGTTTAATAAGCAATAGATCTCTACCTTATTAGTTTTTTCAATTATTTAGTTCAAAAAGCATTATTTTATATTTATTTTGTATCCAATGCATATCCATTATCAATTTAACAGCTTCTGCTATTGCTTGTATCTTGTATTAACTGATGTTTTTGCTTTCAGTCCCGAGACTATTAAAGCTTCATCTGACGCAGAACCGGTGGGCTAGCCAGAACCCACGGGTTTAGGCCCTCCGCTGTGGGTAGGGCCACGTGTGCTCATGCGTGCGTTTAACTATGGTGTGTCATCTAAGGGCCATCGAGGTCGCGGTTCGCACCGAAACCCCGATGGCCGTCGATTGTGCCGTGCAATTAGCTAATCGGAGGCTGGGAGCGGTGAGCCGGAACCGCCCCGGAACGCGGGTGTACCTTGTGTACGCGTTGTGTTGGTCTCGCCGTGCTCGGAGGCGAGGGCGAACTAGTGTGTTTGTTGTTGCACTAACTGTGGGTGTAGTGTTATCCGGTGGGACCCCCGGCGGTGGGTCCGACGTATCTAAGTCCCCTTCCTCGACCGGGTCGATGAGGACGTTTCGCGGGCGACGCTTGTTGACGTTTGCGTTTCTGTCGGGTTGGTAATTTGCTGCGCCTACCACCAAAGGGTTGGGATGATGTTCGGCTCTATCGAAGAACCGTTCGGTCAGGTATTTAAAATATTCGCGAATCGTCGGGAGTCCGCAATCGTTGTGCAGGTCGACGTTGCGTTGATACCACAGCGCACCGGTTGCGCGGCGGATGAACTTATTTTGTACTATTTGCAAATTGTACAAGCGAGTAGGGTGCGTGTGGGCGAAGGTCATACATGCGTAGGACATAATAGGTCGTACGCAGGTCCTATATAATAATAATTTGTGCCTTAAGGGCATTTTACTTTTAGCGTTAGCTAAATTGTGTAACTGGCCGGAGACGAACGCGGCTCTATTGCGAACGTTATTAATGTGCGTAGTAAATGACATACGCGAGTCGAAAGTGACTCCTAAGTATTTGACCTTTTTCTCCCAGGGGAGCGGTTGGCCATAAAAGGATATTTGCCCCAACTTTCTGCATTGGCGAGGGCCATTATAAAGATGTGACGGGTAGGTACTTCTTGTGAAGTGAATCGCCACACTCTTTTCGGGATTTATTTGTATTCTCCATTTGCGGAACCAATCGCCGGGGCGGTCGGCGGCGCTTTGGAGTCGAGTGGTTAGTTGACTAAGGTTGCGATTTGAATAAAAGAGCGCCGTGTCATCCGCGAAAAGCGCGAGATTGACGTGAGGGTCTTTAGGTATATCGCTCGTGTAGAGCGTAAAGAGCAAAGGTGAGAGGCAGGAACCTTGTGGTCCGCCGGCCGTGAGGCGGCGGCTTGTGGAGAGGACCTTCAACTCAATATCGAAAAGAGCGGTTCGACAGGAAGGCCCGGATGGTGTGTACGAGCCTATCTGGCACTTTGAGTGTGTACAGCTTGTTAAGCAAGCCGTTGTGCCAGACCTTGTCGAATGCTTTTGAGACATCAAAGAAAAGAGGCCCTGTACTAATATGTTTAGGGTGATTCAAGCCTTTTAGGATATGTTCCGTTAGGCGGAATAGTTGATCGGGACAGGAATGTCTAGCCCGAAAGCCGAATTGTTCCGCCGGCAGAAGGCCGTTGAAAAACACGTGCTCATTGAGCCTGTTTAATAAAAGCCGCTCGTAGAGCTTCCCCAGGCAACTGAGGAGGCTGATGGGACGATAACTAGAGGGCTGGTTGGCTGGTTTATTCGGCTTGCGAATGCCGATAACCGTGGCTTCTTTCCAGTCGTCCGGAAAGGAGCAACTGGAGAGTAAAGTATTGAAAATGGTCGCCAGTAAACAGATAAGCGGCCCAGGGAGAGCTTTGAGAATTTTGTTACTAAGATTATCTGGGCCTGGGGCGGATTTGGGTTTTAAATTTTTAATAATATCTTGGACCTCTTCGGGGGTCACAGAACTCAAAGGATCGCCTTCCGGTGGAAGTGCAGCCCTAATCTCGATTATGCGGTCCACCTCCGTTAGGTGGGCTGTATCGGTGTGTTCGCGCGATGGCATACATTGCTGCTCTAGGTTTTCCGCAAGGCATTCGGCTTTTTCGGAGTCATCTAGGGCAGCTGAAGCGCTATTAGGTCTAACTTACGGCGGTAGAGATTCGCAGGGGTCTGCTTTCAGACTGCTGGCCAACCGCTAGTAGGCGGTGTGCGATGGCTCGATGTCCTCTAGGAGGATGTTCCACGTGGTATGTCGGTGTTCCGATACACGATCTTTGACTCTAGCTATAGGCGTCGAAGTAGGTTTCGGTTCGATTCCGATCGGTATCGATCGAAAGCGCGTTTGGCTGCATTTTTCTGTCTAATTAGTTCGGGCGCAGGTCGGGCGGAAAGTTAAACCGTCGGTCGCCCGACAGTTTCACCGTCCGTTCCGAGTCTGCGACTGCGGAAGTAATAGATTCTCGGAGACTTGCTATCGCTCGATTTGCGTCATCGAACGTAGCTATCGTCTCGGGTAAAATGACTATGTCCTGGGGGTCCAAGGCCCTGAGTTTGACCTCAAGACGATGCCAGTCCACTACGGAATTGGTCGGAGGGACCGCGCCGGCGTTCTGGACCAGTTTACACAGGACGGGCCTGTGATCTGAATCTAGTTCATGGATTGTCTCTATCGACTCGATGTCGAGCGAGACCTCCTTGAATAACATGATATCTAGGATACTCGGTGTCGCGTGTTGGTAGTTACGTAGTTGGTTGGTAGTGATACCTAGTGGGAGTCGCAGGAGCGATTATGCTAAAGTTTACATTATCGGATAAGCTAAAGAGATGCTTTCCGTTGTTATTTGGGATGCTGTGGATGTCCCATGAGCTGTGTTTGCAATTTAGTCTGCTATTGCATGAATGGACATGCTCACCCAGGGAAGTACCACAGAAGACCATTACGAAGTGGAATATTATACTTTATACTTTTGCATTTCATCGAGTGAGTGAGATAAGCATGGCTAATTTTATAATATTTGGCAACATTTGCAACCTCTGAGGTGTTGTAGGTGTCCATGGGCAGCTGTTTTCACTTAACATCACGGGAACTGCCTGCTTAATTGCCAACAATATATGAGTATGTAATTTCCCACACTTATATACAGAAGCATTGCAGAATGCTATTTTAAAAAAAAATGCAGAAAAAATACATAGTATTTGACACACATATGCATATATACTGTTTTGTTTATAGTTAAAGTCTGTGGTTAAATTGAGAACAGATTAATATTTTTCAAATTTCTAATATAAATTAATTATGGTCGAATTTTGACCACTGGGGGACATCTAGTAAATAATTAATATATGAAATTAAAGTACAATGTTTAAGTTTTTTTTTACTAGAAATAAAAGAAAAATGCATATCCATGTTTTATAAACTATTATAAGTATTATCTTCAGTAAAACTTTATCAAGTTGGAGATTTATAAAAGATAATTATTTCGATTTTATTCCAGACATGGGTGGTATTGGGGTGGAATTACATCTAGCGAAGCTGAAGAACTATTGGCTGGTCAGCATGATAATGTATTTCTGGTTCGAGATTCATGTGATTTAAGGCATATACTTTGTGTTTCTTTCCGCTGTGTTGGTCGAACACTCCATGCCCGCCTGCGACACGCCAATGGACTTTTCTCATTAAATAATGAAACATTTGTACCTGCTAACCGAATTTCAGAGCATTGTGCAACAGTTGATGTGAAGTCAAATTTATTTGAGATGCCAGTCAAATTAGCAAGGCCTCTCAACAGGTAAATAATTTTAATGTTTTCATATAAGAATGTGCCGAAACATCGGTGTTTAATACAAAAGACCTTAAAATCATTAAGAATAGCAAGCATATCATTTAATAATTATGTTGGCATAAACAAAAGATCAAATGTTGTAGTTAAATTCTTCAGTATGCGAGTGACCTTAATGAGCATTATTACATTGAAATATTTATTACAGACGCCAATCATTTTGTTTAATACCATTTTAATGCTCATTAATAAGTTTTTGATACGGTTATGAAATAATATAATAAATTAAAAACAACAAACATACTAAGTGAACTCTGCTAATGCCTAATAAAGTCACAATACAGACTGCTATTTTATTATATGTCCCATGCTAACTTCTTGCTTTCAGTTTTACAAGAATATGTATTTAAGAACATATTTATACTGTTATAAGTTTAAACTAAACTATGTCTGTATAAAGCTATGATTTTGATTTATGCATTTTAATTTGGCCTGAATAATATTATTGTTTACATAATGATTTCTTATGAAAAGTCTAATTTAATCGCTATTTTATTTACGGTTTAAGTTAACTACAAATAATTCAAAATAGCTTTTGGACACATTATTCAGTAACTTTAAATTTAAAATCACAATTTTGTAGTCATTATTGTGCACTCTGCATATTGTGCGGACTGGTCTCTTATAAACTGATAACAATTGTAATTTATATTCACAAAAAAATCTTTAAAACATTACTGTAAATGTCAGAAATCAGTAATACACAGTTTGTTATTATGTAAAAGTTTATTAATCTTTGATTGCAGCACAATTTGTATATCCAAAATCTTTCCTTTCCTATACAAAAAGGCATATGATCTTATAGATAGAAAAGCTGTTTTAATTACATACATTTATATGTACTATAATTTTAATTTTGCTTTTTTCAGATTTGCAAAACTAGACTCATTACAAATGATCTGCAGATTTGTCATAAGACAAACAGTTGCCACAGACATATGGCATAAGTTACCATTACCGCCAAATCTCATATCTTATGTTACTTTGGGAAGTGATTACATTGTTCCATCATAGCCATTGTTTGACCTACTGTGCCTTAAAAAATTCAATGCACTGTTTATATTTTAAGACTATTTACCTATTAAAGGCATATCCTTGTGTAGTGTTTATACAATTTATATAGAAAGGATAAATATTTTAATTATGGTAACAATCTTGTACTGTGATTCATGTTAATTTTTATAATCTATAAAGGTCTCAATAAAATACGAAAATGAAAATCAATAAACTTACAATCATTTATTTAACAAACAAGTATACTGTGTCATGAAAACAACAAAAAACCTATGTCTATCTTCACTTCAGTGTGTTCAAGCCCAGCATATTTTTTGCCTGAAAAGTCAAATAAAATTATAATCAAAAACAGATTGATAGAATAAGTTTCCTATATATAACATCATTACATGGCTTAGCATAGTCATTATTTACAAAACAAGTCATAGAAATATACAAATGATTACATACTATTTCTTTTGTAATATTTCAAATACAGATAATCAATACAGAAAAATTAATACTTGTTAAAAAAAAAAGAGTGAAATTAATACATACTGTAACAAATGCTGCAGTCAATGTTTGGGGAGCAACGGACACAGGGTTCATATTAAGTGCGGTTTGTATCAGTTCTGCATCCCTAATTCGTGATTTTACGAAACTCTTCGTAGCGCTACTGTCTTGAGTATTGTCTGTTAGGTAAAACAATTCTGATGCTTTATATATACCAGCTAGACCCACTCGCCGAATGTACCAGTTGAACTAAAAAAATATCTGTTTTTACGTTTTTTTTAAGCATACTAGCAAGTGTTTCACTAACAAAGTTTATACAAAACCTATATACATCTCATACATATTTTTTTTACTTTTGTGGTAACAATTCTAGTAGTGTAGTAGTGATTCAATGAATGTAAAAAAAAATTAACTTACATCAACACTACGATCACCAGAATGATAGCAAATGTCATCAACTAGTGAAAGTAATGTTGCTAAACTATTTGGAACATTATTAGGAAGAGCTTGAATTGCCATTGCCTTTGGCCAGGTACTCCTAAAACAAAATATAGATTAGCTATAGGAAATTGGTTTTTTATACAAAATAATAAGCTAAACCTTATGATTTAATTTTTTTTTAGTACAATTTAATAATGCTTATGTAAGTTTATTCCTGAGCTTCACAAATTCTTACAAAGAACCTTTACATTGTTGTTGTTTCACACAAGGAACTTACTTATAGATTAGCTATGGGAACTTACTTGTAGGGCTGTATCATTGAAAGTCTTGTCATAATAGCATTTTCAATGAATATTGCTGGTACCTTCAATTCTTTTGAATCTTCTTTGGCCCACTGTATAGGTAAAATAACTGTTTACTAAGTAAACCTGTACTGAATATAATATATGAATAAAAAATGTTACCCAATGAACTTACACCTTCCATAGCTTCAACCAAGTTGTCATTACATTTAACATTAAAATAATGAATAAGATCACCTCCGCCATTTGGAAATAAGCCATGTGTAATGCCTGGATATCCAGCAGCTTCTGCACCTTGACTCAGAGATTCCACAGACCAACCAGATTTAAGAACAAAACCTAGGGCTTTTTCTAATATTTGTTCTTTTACATTTTGTTCATACTGCTGTTCATCACTATCCGATGTTATTGTAGGTACGACTACTTCACCTTTGTGAAATTCACTTTTTTGACAATATCCTCTAAGAATTGTTTGAGTTTTATTTATAGATACTATTGAAAGAGGCAACATTAGTCTACTGCATTTTTGGAAAGCTGTCAACAAAACAAATACATTTTTCAAAAGCTTTATATTATCTTAATTACATTAATCTCTAGAAAGATTTACAAAATTATATTTTTAATTATTTGTGTACATGTACATTTTGAATTCTGGTAATGTTAATGCATTCCGATAATCTAGCTACTAGACCCTCAATTAAATGAAATGCATTCAATGCTGAATGTATTATTTCTTTCTTGCTTTCAACAGGTATGTTATCCAAAACATTACCCCCAATGTTGATAGACACATTATTAACATCCATGGAATTTGTTTTTCCTTCAATAATATCCTGTAATTTTACTTCATAATGTGCCTTGGACATGTTTAATCCAGTTCTCAACTTATCCAAATAATCCTCTTCAATATATGATAAATTATCTTTAATACCAGTCTTATTTAAAGCATCTTTTAAAACAAGATATCTTAAAAAGTTTAATGCAGTTATAATTTGATCTGCCAATTCCACTAAATCTGATTCTGCACCATGAGGTAAATCACAAATTTTTCTTATCATATTCATAAGATGGACACCAGTAAAGACATTGTCAATTACATCACTTTTAAAAGCTTCATCAATAGAGTTCTTGTATAAAGTTATAGCATAGCCTATCATGCCAGAATGATTTGAAAATTCTAATATGTATTTAATAAGCATTGTTCTCCCTTTATAATCAAACTTATTTACATGTAAACCTATCAATTTAACTGCATTTTTACGCAGCATTCCAAAATTGGAATATATAGCTACTTTAACTAAACCTTTTAACAAATCAAAATGCACAGGCAATCTTAAGAAAGTATTAGAAGCATTATTTGGATAAAGATTTAAAAGTTCTTTGCACAAACACAAAGCTTTGGAGATTGGTCCATATTCCATAAAACCTAACATATGATTAACGGTTAGAAGTACAGTATGAACAATATATTTATAGCAGTAAACCTGTGGAATTGCACTATCTAATATTTTATAATGTTGAGAAAAAATAATATAAAACAATCCAGACAGTGACGTCATATTGATTTTTTCTGGTTGTTCATATGGTAATATGTCTTCATTAGAATCATCATTGATGTTGATAGGTTTCGGTATTTTTTTTTCTCTACTACTGCATAATTCAACATACATTAAAAATTTAAGTAAATTCTTTTCTAATGCACAAATGTCATCAATGATTATAGAACATGTCTGTCTTACTTCACTTTGTGCATTAGAATCAGGATCTAAATCAATGTAAATTAGTGGCTTTCCCAGAAGGCTTATAAGAAAAGCACAAATTATTTGCTTTGTTCTGATTGTATCTCTTTCTGAATCTAACTCTTCAATAAATGGCTTGTAAAATGGTGGGATCATTGAATACACTTTCATGATTCGTCTAATATTATTATCACAATCCATAAGTAGGCGCTCTTTTCCTTCTAAATGGCACTGTGGTGTAGGAATAGTTTCAATATAAGTAGTAATGGAATTTAAACACCATTCTAATGACCGTCCACGTTTCAATGTTAACTTTTTTAGTAGCTGTTGTAGTGGAAACAAAATAATGCTAAATTGCGCATCATTTTTTGCAATTTCAATTTTTTCAATAAATTCTAATAGTGCTTCTTCAGGAGTTGCTTTTTCTATAATAATGTTTAATAACTTTTCACAGGTACCATGCAAAGATGGCTTTATGATGATAGTGTCATCTTGAATCTTGCTTATGATAATTGATATCAAATCCCAACAATTATCTTTGAATCTTTGTGCAAAATTTTTATCGTAAGGCACATTTAAGGCTTCCTTATATTTTCCATTATCCAATAATGATGATATTAAATCCACAATGTCATTGTGTTGCTCCATTTTTAATATTAATAAAATATACTCAGAGTTTGTTTGATTTCCCAATGAACTCTGAAATTAATGCCTTCAATTGTAGATTGTTTACATATTGTTTACTACAATTATTACTTCCATGTTCCATGGATGTCTCGAAAATCCTTTGAAAGATGGATGCAATGTTTCTTCTAAAATTGCTATATTTTCTAAGAACTCTTGAGGGTCCAGGATTGGTATCCAAAAACTATATTTTTTTGTTTCCAAACAAAATTTCACAAGAATGGTACAACTGAATTATAACTATTTAATATTTAGTTACAAATAAACAATTATAATATTCTTTAGTCCTAATCACGATTTACTAATAACACTTAAATCAAATAATATGCTTTTGTAAATTATGACTGCAATAAAAAATCAAATATAAATAAATTGTATTTTTCAAATGTTGTTGATTAACATACAGCTAATATTAATGAGTACCTAGTTCTAAGGAACATGGAAGTAAAATAAAATTTAAAAAAATAAAAATTTACTCACAGTTTAAAACTCTTGATAGCTTGTTCATGGTGAAAATATTGTATTTGGTACTTTATATACCTCAATAATTAAATTGAAAATATTAAGAATAAAACTATCCCAAACGGCGCAATTGGCAATTTGACTTTGATGATTGTTTGACAATGAGTGTGACCAACTGACCAGATTTCATTTGACGAATCTACTGTTTGTCGAGGTTAAAAACTACTGAATTCTACCAAAAGAGAACGAGAAAATACTAAAAATCTAGTATATTTTGTGCTGTCGTGTTAAAACCTAAAAACATGAATGTTTTCTTGATTAAACGATAAAGTAATAAAAATAACGAAGAAACCACAATAAGTAAAGAAACCAATATTTTTTTTAAGTTAAATTCTTAATAAAAATATAATTAAAAAAATAAAATAAAACTTAAAGTTAAGATTCTTCGTCTATATGTTGGGTAAATTTGTCATAAAGCTGTTTTGAGTCCATTAACTTGATCATACTTCTGTTAGAATCAAATCTCCTACATCGTCCTCCCAACTGATACCTCGTAACCCTTCTTTTCCATGCATTATTGCATGTAACATTCTTATTATTAAATCGATTTCGATCTTGATTTTTAATCCTATTAATATCGGAAAATATTCTTCTTTGGCGTTTGACAAAGGTAGTATCGTCATTTGCTTTACAAATCGGGACAAATTGCCTAGTACTTTGGTTTGCTATTAGCATCACATATTTGGCTGGCTTCACTCCAAAATGTATCCACCATAAAAGTTTCAGACATCTAACTAGCAGTTGACAGTGATTTTTTTTAACATAATATAAAAATTTTACCTTCCAATAAAATTCGTATTATGTTTCCTAAGACGTCCGAAGTCCATTATGAGAGTACATCGTCTGATTTCCGCTGCAGGTCGCAAAATTTTTCTACTTCCGTTTCCTAAACCGCGCCTACAACGCCCTCTATACTCCTTTTTGGAACTAACTCACAAGCAAAGACAAGCCGCCGTATTGTGACATTGTTCGGCTCATAATGATAGATGTAGCCCCATATACAAAAGTACTCTGTGATGTAGCCCCAGGAAGACATTATCTGGACTTTGGACGTCTTAGGAAACATAATACAAATTTTATTGGAAGGTAAAATTTTTATATTATGTGTTCCGATTGACGTCCGAAGTTCATTATGAGAGACGTGTTTGTTATCTCCTGGTGGCTTGTATTTGTAATAAAGTAATATTTATTTAAACGCAACAATGTGATTCGTTATATTGAATATAAGCAAGGCATTAAGTACATAATTTAAAGTAATTTGTAACATATAATATTGCTTATTGAATTTATATCGACATAAATCAAATATTTTCCAATAAAATATTAAGATTTAGGAAGAACTAGCAGTGGCTATAAGTGAATCATGTCAATCTCAAGTCACTGTCACTGTCAATGAGCTACTGCTTTACAAGTAATTATTATCGAACTTCTAAATCACCTATATTACTGGAAGCCACGATTTAAGTTATTCTTTCTTTGACTTAAGTTATGGCAGCCAAACAAAAAAATATTTTTACACGTAGTAAACCACTTATCGATATATACAGTGGTGTAGATCACGAAGGAAAAAAAGTGCGATACTTGTTTTTGTTCATATTTCTTTACTTATTTATTCTCATAGCATTATATTGCCAATTTTATATAACTTTAGGTTGAAGTTCGCGAAGATGCGGAGCAAATAGTAAAATGGCATGAAATATGTGACGCGCTGGTCGCTGCCGGTTATTACCGAGCACAGTTGCAAGGCCTCTCTGCATTTGATAAAATTGTGGGAGGTCTCTCCTGGTGTATTGAGCTTTGTGACATTGATGTTGATATAAGTCTTCTTTTTGAAGAAAACCTGACAATTGGGAAAAAGATGTAAGTAGTTAATGAGAAATACAATTTGTGGGAAAGATATTAAAAATTCATACTGTTGACATACATAGGAATAAAAATTCATGGTACGACTTTCCATTGACTTCCGTCGAATTGAGTGGTTGGAGGAGGGGTATTAGTACCTCTTAAAAGGAAAAGTTGCGGAGACCGTTCTACAGATGTCAATGGAAAAGGGAAAATTCATTTAATCATTCAGATGTGGTTGCAAATTTTATGGACTTTTAAGGTTATAAAATTGTAGTTATCATCATCTTCTTTTCCACTAAGGTGACACTTTATTACACATAAAACCTATTGTCTACACTATATTACACTTAATCATTTTAAGATGGTGCTTTCTTCTTTTAATTACAAATTATTGTTAGCAATTGATTTAATCTTTTCTTCACTATTGTTTTAGTGCTTTAACTGAAAAAATTGTCAAAATATTGCCAACAATGAAGTGCCCTTTTATGATAGAGCCTCATCAAATACAAGGCTTAGATTTTATAAATATTTATCCGTTAATTCAATGGCTTATTAAATATTCAAGTGAATTTAGAGAAGTGAAAGAAGATGAATTAAGAAAATTTGCTGTGTTGCAATATGACAAAGATTATATATTTGAATGTGATAGATCCTATTATATACAAAAGGAAAAACTGTTACGAAATCTTTCTATTGTACAAGTAAGTATAAGTTATTTATAAATTATGAACTTATCATCAATTAATATTTGGAGAACCATTTTATAACTTTAATTTCATTTTATCATAATTTTACTTAGACTTTAATGCTCAATGTTTTGTTCAAAGTCATAAGATAGAAGTTGTTTAACATCCTCGTGTCTGAAAATCATTATTTAAGTCTAATCTATATAGCAAACTGCCAATAAGTCTGTGTAGTGGTTTTAATAAAATTAATTAAAATTACTATAGATAGATAGAGATTGATTATCTTCTAAGATAGAAGAAATTCGAAAGTTCGTAAAAGCCAATTTTTTAACATAGTGATCATGATGGCAATTGATTGAAATAGACTCAAAAGCTACATTTTAATAGTTTTTGTCTCTGTTCCATAGATAATTATTTTGAAATCTTTTAAACAATATTTGGAATTTGGCAGAAAGAGAATTTATTCAATTATTTCAAATTTTAAGGAAACAATCACAAATCTATGCAATAAAATTTTGTTTGCTTATATAAATTATTTTTACTTTAAAATTTATTTTACCAACCATTCACAGTTCATTATTTTTTAATTGCAGAATCTGTACAAGCCATGCAGGGTAAGGAAAAGGAAAGGTGGATTTCCTACAAATGAATTAGAACAAGTAAACACTGTACTTTCCGAATATGATCAGCGGATGTTGATGCATGTCACAAGTAATAATGAATCCAAAAAAGATGAGGATCTAGATTTCTTAGTAAGTACTTAAATGTCATTTGTATAAAAAGCTTGTGTAATTACAATTAATTTAATATCAACATTGAACTATACTTTTGCAGTATGACTATGAGAAAACCTTAGCCGATCCTTCAGAAGTCACTACTACAGTAAGTGAAAAAAAAATGCAATTATTTCAAATTTCATGAATTAAATTTCCCAATGTGAGGGAAGGCAAGTTCATTTGGTACTATGCAAAATTCTAAAAAATTATTTATGCATGATATTGATAACCAGAATAAGCTTTCAAATCTTTTGATCTATCATTAAAATTGTTTAGTCCAAAAATCAGGTTCTAAGAATTATTTTTCGACACCAGGCAAAAATTTCAGGTGCATTTTTAAAATTGTGATATATACTTATTTGCTCTATATGTTTTTCTTGATTAGGACTTATTAAAATATTTTATCTTTTGTGAGTTAATTACTTGGTTTTTATAGACCGACAGTGCAAGCATTCAAGAAAATAATAGTGAACCCCGTGATATAAAGATGCACTATGCAGTATTACATTCTGAAATAACTGGAGACATTCCAAAGGAGCTTGAAGACAGTGAAAAATTGAAATATTCTGATGACATTACCAAGCTTACTAAAACAATAGAAACAATGGAGAAAGAAGTGGAAATGTTAAAAAAGGTTCATGAGAGTAGAATGCATGATGCAAAGGATAAATATTCAAACACAATAAGCAAGCTACAATTAATAACTCAAAAACTAACAAATTCAGATAACTTTGGGTAATAATATCTTTTCTTAACTTATATATTTACTTTCAGAATCCTTAATTGATTTTTTTTTCTTAGTGACAAAAATGCCAAGGATTTCTTTTCATCCTTAAAGGAATTGGCTAAGGAAAGGAATGAACTGTTAAAAATTATTCAACACAGAGAAATGGAGCATAAAAAATTAGAAGAGGAATTAAGGTAAGAGATAAATAAAGTCAATTGTGTTTTTTTACAATATTAGAGCAAATCTTATACATGATGCTTATTAATAAAATAATATGCCTAACTGCTTAAATTTCAGAAATGCACAAGACTCAAATATAGAAGTAGAAGAGCAACCCTTAACAGAAACAGAATCAAAAGAATTTCAAGAAAGGGAGAGAAAGTTAAAATCATTCATTACTAGTACAAGACTGGAGCTTGGCAAATTAAATAGACAAATTATGAGGTATTCAGTTGCAATTGATGAAATACCTGGTACAGCAGAATTGTTGCAGTATGAGAAAAGATTTGTGGAACTGTATAATCAAGGTAAAATAATAGTCAACATATTACAAAAAATAAAACAATGAGTTGAAATAATATGTAACTAATGGTATCTTTTGTTCTCTGTAATACACACATCAAAAAGGTCTGCACAACACCAACAAAGATTTCGACGCGAAAGTGTTGGCTTGGGCTGTCATTCAGCATGAGTTTAGCATTCCGATTCGAGGGTGCCCGAGAGGGCCGGACCTCGGCTCGATCGGTAGCTGTTGACTGACTGGGATTTTTTCGGTTATCAGACACAATTAGTATACCTTCTATATATATATATATATAAATGTAATCGCTACATAGTATAAAATAAAATCGTCCCACTGTCTGTCTGTCCCTATGTATGCTAATATGCCTAGATCTTTAAAACTACGAAACGGTTTTTTTTAGGTTAGGAGATGAGGGAGGGGGAGGGGGAGAGAAGTACTTTGTACTTTTGTACTATGTAGAAAAGTAAAATATTTTCTTGTATATGGCCTGTATATTTTCGATATAAAACATATTTGATTTAAAATTTAAATTACAGAGCTATCTATAGTAAACCGTAATTTAAACATCGCGTGTTTTTACGTTTCGTTTAGTGACTCCATCTCAGTCGGACCTGTGTTGATCTGGAATTATTTTATTATTCCTGACAATAATTCCACTCCTGACAATATTTGCAATATCTTCACTCTACACCTGATACTTACTGAGTACTTGTCTTATCAAAGATTTTGTTAATAAAAAACAAGTTATGTATATATCCCATATTTTATATATAAATTTTTAAGTTCTCAAGTAATATCTTTTGATCATCACCTGCCATCTACTTATCATCATGACAAGTGTTGATCAGACTAGATGATCGACACTAGGCATCAAGTCCACCAATTTTATCTCTTAGCTTTTGGTGTTAGCAATGAAGAATAAATGAATGTTGACTGGTAGATAATGCTGATGGCATTAAGTCCTCCTCTATACATATTTTGTGTGCATGAAGTATAAATAAAATAAACAAATGTGTTTGTACATTGTATTATAATAAGCTGTTTTTTGTTGCAGTTGCTTCAAAACATAAGGAAACTAAGCAGTATTTTATATTTTATAACACCCTTTATGAAGTTAAACTTTATACATCAAAAGAACTTAGTCTACTTAATTCCATATTGGATAACTATGAAGAGTAAGCTTGTATTAATAAGACATGTATTCCTTTATATATAAACTATAGAATTTTTATGACTTTATAAATATTTTAGGGCCATGTCTTCTACAAGAAAAAGAGAAGAATTTATGACCCAGTTCGAATCAATAGTTGATTGGGTGAATCAAACTGTGAGAAAAGTGGAAGAAAAGTTTAATACTGAAAAGGAGCAAAAAGCCACCCTGCATGCTGAGTATACACGGCTTATTGAAGTTCAAAGACAGTATGCAGCAGCCTTGAAAAAGTTGGCTGCAGAAAGACATAAGATCACCAGGGAGATTAGAGTGTTTTAAAACTTGCAAAACATCCTTACACTTACATACAGACAAGTAAAATAAGTGAATTAACATTGAGTAAGCTATGATCATCTAAGAGATTTTTTGTTATAAATTTTAAATGAAAATCATGTCCACTTTGATATTCCTATTGGATTGTACTAAAACTCTACCTCAGTGATGTTTAATATAGTCACATCATAGCATAAGATTTCTTTTGAATGATCCGCTGATGGTACAACTGCATGGCTTAATACCATTATATGGTATGGAAAATATATAATATATACCATAAATTGGTTAGGTTAAAGAAAATCTAAATTATTTGATTAAGATACAGCGTGTCGTTACAAACGCGACAATAAATGAACACACGTCTAATGCTATTTGCCAATAATCATAAAAAAATATAAACGATAAAAAAATCCATAATAAAAAAAAATACTTTTCAAACAAAGTAATAAAGTAAAAAAGAAACAAATTTTGTAAACAACTGACTGATTCATACATTCGGAAACTTTTTCAATCGTTGCTACAGCGTCGCATTACAAGCACTAACACATCTAACACTTCCTTGTCTCTTTAAAATTCATTCAACCCATTCATATGCTTTGTAACCTTTACAAATGAACTTTATGTTACAGTTTTATATGTAAGGATGTTCTAAAATTGTTTGTTTTGGAAAATTCAATAACTCGGTAAATATTGACGTTTAAATGTAAATGTATAGGACAATTTTTAAAAGTTATCTTAGTATTTTAAAAGTTATATAGTAGTCTCTATATGTGTGTTCATTTATTGTCGCGGTTGTAACGTTGACACGTTGTATATCTGTGACTTAGCACCACAGATTTTTAAAATTTCAGCCTAAGAATAGTTTTGACAGAGGTGACAATAATTCTTTCAGACAGAAATTTAAAGAGACAACAATGAATATTATTAATATATCTCTTTTTAATTTATATTAATTACCTAATGAAAGAGTAAATAAATATATTATTCAAGTTATACTTCTTATGGCGCGTTTGAAAAAATTATGAGAGTAAAATTTTTACGAATCACGCGCACATCAACAAGATGAAGTTTGTAACAAGTGAGCAACTTCGATCAACTTCATGGTATTACCATGGAAACTGATAAAAACTTTTTGAATTTTACCTTCAATGCAAAGTCATTTTATTAAGCCATTATTAATTGCATTAATGTCTTTTTCAAAGACTACCGGCACCGCATAAAAATATCCGCAGTGGCCACGTGGTGGATTATGCCCTTATACCCTCTGTACAGAGGACGCCTTCGCACAGCCGTGGGATATGTATAGGCTGTTACTTTACTTTTTTGTGTAAAATACACAGACTGCTGAATATTATATACAAAATTATAGAACTAATCCTGGTTATTGGTAGAATTTTCTAGTCTTTATTAACAAAACTTTATATAGGTATATACAGGAACTAAGAGTTATCATTTATATAGGAAGACTGAAAACAATCATTTCTTTTTTGTTTGTAAACTTTTGATAATAAAAATCATTCCATTACACAATTTACGCCCTGTTTTATTTATTAACTCTGTTTAACAAAGTCCTATTTACTCAACTTTAAACTTACTTTTAATTTTCCTTTAGATTTTTGACGCTGCACAACAAATTATAAAAAAAGTTCGCCTCAGCACTTTGGCGTAAATATTATAAGTTGTATTATTTAGTAATGTGAATAACATATGCTTATAAGAATTTCTCAAAATTCTAGAGATAAAAAAAAGTTCAAATAAGGTGAATAAATCCAATTTATTAAGATAAAACTATTTTTATCACATAGGACCTAGCCTATAAAGAATATTAGCATAGCCCTGAGGAATACTGGGTGTGAGCACACTCAAAGAGTTACAACGCTGCTGTGCGTTTGCCCTTTATGCGAGGTGTTATGGCCGTGTCCGTGGCCGTGACTGTGGCCGTGGCCGTGGGGGGCTGTGCCTGATTTCTTGTACATGGTAAAGGAAATTAGTTCCCGATTGGCGTTCGTCATCGCCATCGCGTGCGACACGACGTCGTAGCCGAACAGTCCGTGGAGGCGGTTTACCACCATCAGTGTGAGACCCTTCTGCGTGATGCGAACGGTCTTCTCCAATTCCGATGACGTAGCTATCGCCATGTTGAACGACGAGTTAAGCTCCTGAAATTATAAAGCAGTAACGTTTGTACATGTTTTATTGAATACTTTCCTACCAAACTACCAATTTGAAGAAAAACCTATCACAATCAATGTGATGTATGTAATCACTGGTTATTAGTCATCGCTTAAAGTAAACAAATCATTTATGTATTCGTTTTAACAATTATCGCTAATTTTATAATAAAACAAAGTAAGCAATTTAACACTGCCGTGTAATATATTTGTAATTTTAGGATAAAAAGAGTATGAATTATTAATATGCTATGAATAAAACTACCCATTTGTTTCTGAATTGAAATGACATTTTTATAATATACTAGCGGACCGGACAGACGTCCTGTACACACGACATAAATTCGACAACTTGGTAATAAAAAAGAATTGTTGTTGTCCGAATAATTGTGAATCTAAACCATTCTCGACTCGACCAGAAGACACAAAAAAAATCATTGAAATCGGTACAGCCGTTTAGGAGGAGCTCAGTGACATACACACGTACAGTAGAATTATATATATATATATATAAAGATTTAAAATAAATAAAAAAAAACATTATTCCACATGCCACTTTCTTCCGATTAATTCCAATTAAAGTCAGATTATGATAATACCTATAAAGTTGGTACAAATAAAACAATCAGAATCTGTATCTTGGATTAATTATTCTAGTAATATTACAAGTTTAAACAGAAAGATAAACAAGTTAAGTAACTTGACCGCTGTTAACGTGACGGTCAAGCGAAATATTTGTTTGTTTTATTATACGCAATTTTACTTTTACCTATATGCATATAATGCAGCAACGTTATAAATAATACAAATGGTTTTACCCGCACTAACGTAGCTCGTTCCTCGCTTTTTAATCCGTACACTGTTGCACCTTCATCCTTCGAGAGATGCGGTGCGCTTAGGCTGCCCATTACCATGATATAAGGCATTTTGATGTGCAAGTTATACGAGTCGACATATATAAGGAACAGTCATCTGTGAATGGTAGATTTCATTTTCACAGTAGCGGCGTCACAACTTAAGTTCTGTTAGTCTGTATTTAATATGGTGAGCACGCGGTCAGCACCGCGACAGGTTGTGCACTCGTATGTGAGCGGAGCAGTCGTAACTCGTACGTGCCGTCTATGCTCACAAAGCCGTTGCGTACGGGCAACTTACAGGTAACGCGTGTGTTTGTGGGCTCGTGGGTGACGTTGCAATGTTCGTCAAATCGTCACATGGCCTTCACGGCTGTTGCTTGCTTGTTGCGTTCGCGTCACTCGCTACCAGCGTACCTTCTCTTCATGTTTTCCGTTCAAATTGTCCATTTCATCATATTTTTAACGGAATTTAATAACATTTTGAGTATAATAAGCAATTGGACCGAAATTCTTAACATTTATATACGGTACCATTAGAGTTCATTTGGAGGTAAATCTTCTAAATGTTTTGTGCAAAAAAATTTTTTTTCAGGTCGTGCCTAGTTTAATTTATACACTAGTTATGAACGATAAAGTTTCTTACAACATAAAAGTGGAACTCCTTTTTTAAACGGTTTTATTTAGCTCGACCCGTACGGAATTTATTTGTTTATTTATTTGGGTCAAAATTAGAAATTGAAATTTAAGCACCTTCCCGTTGTCAGATTGATCTGAAATTTGGTACACACATTTAATTTAGATGACAATACAATATTGTAGTTTTCAGTGCACATAAAATAAAACTGTTTAACTTAAAAGTTTTTAACTAGCTAGAGCGCCTTTACAACAACTGTATCAGATTTATTTTCAGTCTTGGGAAATATGATCATATCAGTCAGTGTCGCACACGTCTTAAGTGGCTTACTATTCAACAAAGGCGTAGCTATAGAATTTTGGTTACTCTTTTTATCTTAAGGATAAATTTCAATACCTCTCTCAATCTAATGAAAGACATCTTCGTTCTTCATCTAATCTAAAGATTAAAATTCCTCTCCACGCCATTACTTTCTTTCGTAAATCTTTTACTGTTCAGGCTGCACTGCTCTGGAACTCCTTATCTGTAGACATTCGAAGAGCACCTTGCAGAACCTCGTTTAAGCGGTTATCATATATATAACATATCATAAGAATATCATCAACTAGTGAAGTGGATGTTGCCGTTTGTTACTAATTATTACATACGCGTGTGTGGTGTGTGTGTGTTTGATTGTGCGTGTGCGTGCGTGTGTGTGTATGTATATATGTATATAATATAGTTGTTTTTATATATTTATAGATTATTCAGTAGATATATATTAATGCATAATTCAAAAGTTTTTTATATTACGTAAGTATTTTCATATTATTATTTAGTATTTATAGTCTTTTTTAGCTTATTGCGGCTACCACAATCTCTCACCACGCCCCGGGTTGACTGGGAGAGAATGCCCAAATGGCATTAATTCCGCCTTTTTTTAAAGGTTTTGCAATAAAGCATAAATAAATAAGTAAAGCCTCAGGTACATGGTTATTTGCTGCCACGTATTGGTTGGTATATTTTAAAAACAATCCTGTGAGGGTAGTAGGCAAGGGCGGATCCAGCTTTGGTGCCGGGGGGGGGGGGGGGGGGGTCACGTAGTCGTGGTCAAGTGATAAGAAGCTATAATTTAATTTTTATAATCATAGATAGAATTAAAAAGTAGGTACTTATCAATTCGGATGTTTATATTTTGTTCTGTTTTGCTCGTACATAGCGTTAATTTTAAATATTGAAGGTACTTACATAAAATCTATATATGTGTGCAAAAAAAATATAAAAACATTGTTTAACAATTTTAATTAGTGGTCCACCTATGTCTTGGACCCAGCCCAGTGGGGGGTCATGACCCCCATGACCCCCCCCCCCCCCCCCATGGATCCGCCCTTGGTAGTAGGTACCTATAGCCTTATTTGCATAGGTGGCAAATGCAACAAATACCAAACGTCGTTTATCTCCAAACCAAGTTGGCAAATATTTAGAATAAAACATGTTTTTTTTTTTCTCCTTTATTCGTTTTGCAAAAATGAATCGATATGATATTTTTGAAAGATTGCAAAACTTGCATGGTATTTTATAATTTTCAACGTAATACAAAGACTTCAATTTAAATACACTAGTGCTCTACGAAACTTTATAATGAATCAAACATTTAACATAGTGTAGTAAAGTAACAACCTATGTTATCCTACTACGGGCAAAGGCCTTCTCATTATATAGGGATTACAGGGTATAAGGGCATAGACTACCACGCACCCCGGCTGCTGATAGGCGGATATCACATAACTTCAAAATATTTTGATTCCTCATAATGTTTTCCTACACTGTTGAAAACGTGTTCAGTCAGCACTTAGAATTAACAATTTCATCGGCACCGGCACCGGGATTGAACTCAGGTTGCTCGAGTATATTGTATTAAAAGGGAGCGCCCGGACACAGCTATCATGGCGCTGTACACATATACTTAGTGTAGTATGATAAAAATGCGAGAAAAATCTAATATTGAATAAGATTTGTCACGTTAGTTGCATATAAAAAGTGCATCTTAAAACATTGTCAGGTTCAGAACTTATCAGTTTATATCAAAGCTCCGTAATTACCTAACATGTCACTGCTTAACACTGCTTAACATAATTCGTATAGTAATACGGTGCGTAATGGTCTCCTTTACGCATGAACTTAATATAAACACTACATAAACTTACTTTACACATAAAATATGAATTTCTATAGTCCATGTTTACTCATACGTACCGACGTTTCTTGTTGACATTAAAATGATGTGCCAATACTTACAATTAAAGGAAAAATGAGACAATCATTCTGGCAGTAAAGATTGGTAAAGATCAACAGTCTGCTTCTTTGTAGTAGTGTTAGTGTATTACACGTGTAAACCTAGTGATTACATTCTTTTTGCTGTATTAAGCATAAATATTTTAATTAAATGAATAAGGTCTTATATACAACTATAATACGTAGGTATCTAACAATTTGATTTTCGGCAACAAAATCATGGATAATTAAATCAATAAAATTGGCTATCGACAATTTGAATGACAGTAAATAAAAAATTCAAGCTGGTAGATAGATTGTGTCATATTTGAAAAATTGTACTTAAATTATTTAAAATAAAATTATAGAAAATCGTCGTTTTTCGAGTGAAAATATTGTTTTATAATTATGAGCCTTCCTTCTTTAAGTAGCCCGAAAAACATTCAATTAGGTATGTTACATAACTATGTTCAACATAAACATTGTAAAACCTAGTTATATCATTTTTCGATTATTCACGGTCATGAATAGAACAAGTGGTAAAATTTTGGGTAAATGTAAATAACTTTAACTACGGCGTAATTCAAATCAAATAAATTTTAAACGATAGAGAAAACTCACTTATGAATTTATCAACAAGCAGAATTTGGCGGTCGCTTATAGTTTTCGAAAAAATAAATAATGAAATAGTGTGATTTTACTATAGAAATCCGCCATTTTTTGTTGTCAATATCGTATTTCTTGGTGGTAAAAAAAAAAAAAAACCTGAAGGTTAAGGCGGGAGCTTCGCTCCCGCCTGAACCTTCTAACCTAATCTATCCGAGTCGGATTCGCTCTGTGTCGGTTATGTGACTCATTAAATTTAAAAAATCGGAATATCGATACGTGTATGAATTCATTAGAGATTTATCTCTATCGTTTAAAATTTATTTGATTTGAATTACGCCGGAGTTAAAGTTATTTACCTTTACCACGTTTTGCAAAAATCATTAAAAGCTAGTTTTAACAAACAAGGATGCCGTATGAAATTAAACGTAATTTACTTATTTTTAGTGTTCGAGACTTATCAAAAGGCCCGGCTCGCATTTGCTCAGTCTATAGCCGAATTAGCAACTAGATCTGCAAATGTTAAATGCCTAGACAGGGCTGGAGTACTGGGTATGAAAATCTGTCCCTCTTTTGTCTTAAATATAATATACTTATTGTTTTTGTTACTTTTTACACGAAATGGTGGTCAGCGAGTAATCTGTTCACCACGGATATTAAGGGATTACCACCGCCCATGGGCAAATAACTGAGGAGTAACAGGTGCGTTGTCAACTAATAAAAAGTGGGTCTAGTTTACTTCTAACTCACTGGTGTAATACTTCGACGTAACTATGCTGTATATATATATATATATATATTTATATATACAGCGTGTCGTTACCATCGCGACAATAAATGAACACACCGATGGTCCCTAGGTAAAGTATCGAATCTACAAAATTGCAATTTTTTTTTTATTGCTGTTTTGAGATCTCAATAATAGTAATTTTGTAACAAGGTTTTCAAAAATTTTAAAAAGTCATTGTGTATGCGTTTTTTAGACACGTATAATAACGAAACGTAACAGTCTATCCGGCGTAAAGCAACGAATGTTAACTTTCGCGAGATTACGCTGCATCGGCGAGTGTGAAACAAGGACGGAACTACCACTATCGCTAGTTTACGCCGCAGTGATGCGCGCCTGGCGTGCAAAATTCTTATAGCTATTTTTTTAATGGTTTTTTTATTCTCTATTAATAAAATATATTGTGTGATGAGAAAGTTACCCTCCCGCGTAATATATCGAATCGTGTAGATTCGATTGTTTATGACGGGTTGTAATTTCCTAATAGTATCGAAAGTACCGGTTTAGATTACCTACGTGGTTTTTTCATAATATAATTCTATCGAAACTGACGATTTCGATACTTTACGTTGTATTACAAAGTCAAATTTCAATTGGAAGTGCCACTTTCGATTGTTTTGGGTGGATTTTATTTCTTTTTTGTAAAGATTCGATATAGGTAAGTGCTTATATTAAAGTGAAGAAACTTACTTATAATATTTATTTTCTGTGATTCATAAAACTAGACTTTCTTAAATAATATTTTTATTATTTTTATTTAATTTACCTACTTACCTTCTACTTTTTTTAGAGTCACCGATACCCATCAACTGCGTCTTCAATTATTTGAAAAATATAAAGGATTTGTTTAGACGATGAATTGATGGACCCAACCACAGTTTAACTTCCCATGCAACTCGGTTATCATCGAAGACAGTGACCAAAGTTCATCAATTTTCATGAATAGCAGGGAAATAACTCTATTACCTTCCCCAGATTCAGAAGTCGGGTCTCCCGTACAAGAAATAATATTCTATAAATAGGGTTATTGTTCGTCACTTTGACTTGAGGTAATACTATTATTACCTGAAGTCAAAATGGAGAACAAGAACCCGAGTCTTTAGAGTTAGGTCTTAACAGTTAGGTGAGGATTATGCTAAACCTATAACATAGTTACCAAGTGCAGACTCATACATAACTGTTTCGGAATGTAATTCCGAAAGAGTTATGTATGAGTATGTAGCAGTAGGAGTACAGGAAAAGAAAGAAAACCCATTTTTAAAACTAGCTCCGGAAAAAAGATCAAGGTATCCCGTAAAAACGAAAGTTCTGGTTAGCAATACCTCAGTCGAAATGGAAAGGAAATCATACTAGTTAGGCAATGGGAGTTTATCAATAAGTTCACCCATAAAATTATTAAAACCAAGAAAACAACTTACGTCCCAATATTTTTTTACCAGCACATTTACACCACAACAGGTTTGTGTGTAAACATTTTTAAATGGCTTATGTATTCATCCATACTCACGAGACATTGGTTTGTTTTATTATAAGCTGAAATTTTCTGCATTTAAATTTTTTATTTTACTTTGGTATGTAACTTTCGTTGGCTGTTTTCGATTTAGCTTTTAAAGAAGGTACCAGTACTTCGTATCCTCATGTAGCACATGTGGATAGAAAGTACCGGTAAAAGAGGAGCTAATGAAGTAAGTAGCTGTTTGAAGCATTATTTAAACGCAAAAGATAGATCAGGGTGCTAAGAAATTCTTACTTGGTCCGATAATTGTGTGGGCCAGAATAGGAATAGAATCGTATATTCGTTATAAATGCAGTTGTCAAGAGGATTTAGCGTAGATATTGCTCATCGTTGTTTAGAGCAGATATAATCTAAGAAAAAACTAATTTACGCTCTTAACCGATGATCGTACGCATTAGTACGACGGGCAAAGGCTGAACGGAGACCCGACAACGTTGTAGAAGAAACCAAGAGTGATGTTTACGACTTTAATTTTTATTAGATGACAAAAATTGGAAAAGAAACAATACAAATGAAAATGTGAAGTGGAACAGCATTAAAGATGTTAGTGTAAGAAAAGAGGTACCAGATTGTATTTTAAATGTGATTTGAAGTGTTATTTTTGTGTAAATACTACTATAGAAACAAGAAGCCGCAAAAAGAGAATGTGTCGGCCGACGTCGTTTTTTTTATGTGAAAAGTTGCCAAGCGAGTAGACGGTGACCTGATGTTAAGTGATTACCGCCGCCCATGAACATTTGTTACACCCGAGGGTTCAAGATGCGTTGACAATCTTTTGAAGATTGGGCTCCGGCCACCTCACTCACCAGACGAAACACGAAAGTATTATACTTCCACTTTACGCCGGTCTTCTGTGAGGTCGTGGTACTTACCCGGACGAGCCTGCCCATTCGTGCAACAGCCGAGGCTGCTGCGTGGTCCGACCACCTCTTAAAAAATCTTTATTCAGATTCACTACTTTTACCAGTAGCAAAGTATAAAGATTTGATTTCTTTATGTCGTTGATAAACAATACCCAAAAAATAATGATATTTCATAGGTTTTACGGCAACGGATTTTTCTTTTCATCTGAAATATGATATATATTTTTCTGTATTCTCTATTTATGATGTATAATATTTTTTGTTAAGACAGAAATTCGAGATTAGTTGTTCTGATGAATATTTTTTCTGAATTAGTATTACGTATCTACCAATGAAGTCCTACATTTTTGTTTGTGTCCTAAATTTTACCATAGATAAGTTGGTAACAAAGACTGATTTTAAATATTATTTACATCAACAATTTATGCATTTGTTTAATTTGCAACACACTTGAATAAAGATGTTTTACGTAATTTATTTTCTTGTTTTTCTATTACAAAACAATTGTAAGCAATCTACGAAGTAAATAATCCAATATGGCACTTTCCATAAAACATTCCTAACATAAGCCAACGTAAAATAATGAAATCGGCAGATTCGATACATTTGTGTATATGCGGTTCCCTGTAAATAATCGAAAGTGCCAGTTTCGATTCATAAAGCAAGTTCATTTACACTGTATACTATCGTAACTTACTTTTCTCGAAAACTATTTATAATTATCGATTTTTGCAATAACGTAATAATTAATAAGCCGCAACTCACAACTGTGAATCCAAATTTTTATGAAGTTCTTATCATAAATGTCAAAGTTATGCAAAAAATAAACTTTAAATCGCTCTCCTGAAAAGTTGCATTTTTCACTTTCGATACTTTACCTAGGGACCATCGACACGTCTAACGCTACTTGCCAATAATCATAAAAAATATTAACGTTAAACAAAATCCATAATTAAAAAAAAATAATTTTCAAACAAACTAATTAAGTAAAAAAGAAACAAAATTTGTAACATCCTATACAACTCGCGCCACAGCCTCGTATTACAAGCCTCTCCTTCTAACAGTATGTTTTGTCTCTTTTAAATTCATTCAACCCATTCATATGCTTTGTGACCTTTACAAATGAACTTTACGTTACGCTTTTATAGGTAAGGGTGTTCCAAAATTCTTTGTTTTGGAAAATTTAATAACTCTGTAAATATTGATGTTTAAAGAATTTAAATGTTTAATACAACTTTAATAAGTTATCCCCTATATGTGTGTTCATTTATTGTCGCGATGGTAACGACACGCTGTGTATATATATATATATATATATATATATATATATATATATATATATATATATATATATATATATATATATATATATATACAGCATAGTTACGTCGAAGTATTACACCAGTGAGTTAGAGGTAACCTAGACCCACTTTTTATTAGTTGACAACGCACCTGTTACTCCTCAGTTATTTGCCCATGGGCGGTGGTAATCCCTTAATATCCGTGGTGAACAGATTACTCGCTGACAACCATTTCGTGTAAAAAGTAACAAAAACAATAAGTATATTATCGACGTGTGATCATATTTTATTGTCGCGTTAGTAATGAAACGCTGTATATGAAGTATTACACCAACGTGGCCCTACAATAGTTATAAGTCCTACACATTGTTTCGCTTAAATCCGCTACTAGGTTACATTAAAATGTTTAATTCAAAATAACGAAGAATCGACAGAAGTCGCAAAGAAAATAATATCCTGATTCGAATATCGAGGAACCCGCAATAGTCCCGCAATATACTACGACCTAACAGAAGACTGGCGTGAAGTGGAAGTATTGTACTTCTGCGTTTCGTCTAGTGAGTGAGGTTGCCGGGGCCCACATTATTCACTGTCACGGCAACACCTTTGGGTGTTGCAAACGTCAATGGGCGATGGTTTTCACAACATCAGATGAATCGCCAGCTCGTTTGCCACCTTTTCATATGAAAACAAAAAAAGAATTGATGAAACGATCCCGTAGAGCTGCTGCGGCCCTTAGTTTCGGATGCCAGTAGCACGGTCCGCCAATGCGCCGTTGTGGCGGCAGCGAGGTTGGCCGAACACGACGAGGGAGTGGCGCGGCACCTGCTTAATGGGGGCATGGTCACCACCACACTTGAAAACCTTCAAAAATACAACGTGAGACCATTTACTCACATTCTACAATGCACTAAACACCTACTTACTAGCTTTTTAAAGACTTCAGCGAATTGATTTACTATATAGATCAAGCTGATACCCACGACTTCCTTTGCTTTGCTTTGATGTTTTACTAACAGGTAATGTATTTTATCTAGAACGGCAAGAGAATACACATCGCTGAACACGTAGTGTTGTAGTGAAGCATTTTTTTCGTACAAGTATAATAGGTAACTAAATTAAATGAAGATATTTATCACAATAACTTTTGGCTAAATACATATCTAAGAAATAAAATTTAGAAGAATTCATAAAATAAAAATAAAATAGCCTCCTCAATATTGTAACTATTATTGGGCGGGTAATTAATTATTTTTTATGCAACCCGATTTATTGTATACAACCCGAATCTATTTGAATTGTTGGTTTTCAGGTATATTACAAAAGATCTGCTTTGTATTTACTGAGAGCGATTGCAAAGTAAGTACTTAAGTTAACCATAACCTAATTACAGAATTTATATTTGAAAAATTATCATGATTGTAAAACTTGTACTTTACGTTATATTTAAATTATTTTCTCGTCTTAAGTTCAATAATTGAGAAAAGTCATGTATCATCACCCAATCCCGTGAAAGCTAACTTTTCTACGAGCTCCATATCCGATGACGCTTTTCAAGTCTATAAGGCTGAAAGCGAAAACATCAACCAACAGAGAAAAAAAAGAGTCGCCATCGCATCATCATTATTACTTCCACTTTACTTTTTCTTCATTATGCTCTTTAAATGTTCTTTATATTTTCTTAGACATAATGACGAACTTGCGTCTATGATTGTGCGGCTGGGCGCATTGGAACATATAGTCACATGTCTTGAGGACTTTGACACACAGGTATGCGACCAATGTAAAGTCGATTATATTATATTTAATGATGTTTTTTTTCTAATACATTTTTAAATTTTAAGGTGAAGGAGAATGCTGCCTGGGCTTTAGGTTATATTGGAAAGCATAACGAACAGTTAGCTGGCCAAGTTGTTGACGCTGGGACCCTACCTTTGCTAGTACTAGCATTTCAAGAACCCGAAATAAGTCTTAAGCAGGTCTGCACTAAACACTAAGTATTTGCTTTAGGAATTGGCATTTCTCATGAAATGATAATATAATAATGTTTTCCAGATCACGGCCGGCGCGCTTGTTGATTTAGCACAACATAAACCAGAGGCCGTAGTGGATGCGGGTGCAATATGCCATTTAGTGCGTGGTTTGGATAACTCAGACCCTAAACTGAAGGTGAATTAGGAGGAAGGAGTTTATCTTATTAAACTATTCAGACGAAAAAACATTTATTTTAAAACGAGACTTCGAAATCGTAACCCACGATATTGTTTTAATTGACTTCAGTATTTACCTTAAATAATTTGCAACGATGAATATCTTGAATATGAATATACAATGAAAAAATAGATAAGTACACGTAGAGATTTTATAGTTACATTTTAAATTTCGCAACCTTGAGATCATACTAACAGTATATTTTACATGAAATCCGTCCAGTTTATTCAATGAGAACTCATATCTTAAGACGTAAAATTTCTGTCCATGGGACTTTCCCATGCCCTTTGCTGATACTTCAATACATTAAAGATTTATCCTCAATGTGCAAAATATCCTTTCATTGCTTCAAAACGAATCTCAAGGCAATTGTATTTTTTTGCAAATATATATATATATATATATTGAAAGGTAGAAATTATGTATTCTTAGTTGATAAGCTCAATAGCTTAGGGAGTCTTGCTTTAAACGTAGGGAACGACTGATGTTCGAGAAATGTTCCATTCTTTTGTTGCCACAATCCGAATTTGAACGACGAAAGTTTGAATTTGTCGACGTCAAAGTTCTGCACCTTAATCGGAAAATGTGTCTTCCTTCGCTTATAGAATGCTTTTTCTTTCGCTAAATGCAAGCATTATCAAAATTGGTTGTGCACAATAAATTGTCTAAATTTGAACGGAACCCCCAGTGCTTTGTCTACTCGCATCTGGCCAGTTTTCTTTACGTTTACGAGTGTTTGTCGGGTGAGCAGCGCAGCGCTTTAAGCGCTTTGAGCGCTGTGGCGAGCGCTCGTCCTGAGCTGGCCGAGGCTGTCGTGGCTGGTGGCGCGCTGCCCCCTGCATTGCTGCACGCCGCACACAACTCAGCGCCGGTGCGTCGCGCCGCCGCGTGCCTACTGAGAGACATTGTGAAACACTCCATCGATGTTAGACTTCGAACATTTATTTGTCTTTGTAGTTATACTTCTTTTGGTGCGTTTGGGAAAAATGATGAGAGTGAATTATTACGATGCGACACCTAAAAGCGACAGAAACTTCATGGTATTATTATGGCAATGATAACACCGTGAAGTTTGGAATATTATATTCGTTGGTTGGGTACGTCGCGTGTCGTCGGCCGCCAATGCCTCGGTCCGCAATACCGTCTGGTATTGTCTCGACGAACCCGTAGCTGATAATCTTCTTAGTTTTGTAAATGCACGCATATCTTCATGCTCTGATTGAAGTCTATCAAACTCGTAGGAATTTTCTTTTTCCACGAGCTCTGTGCCCGATGAAGCTTCATACAGCCAACAGACTTCAACCATAAAAAAATAAAAAAAGAATCATCAGAAATAATAAGAACTATACCCACGTGTTTCTTTCGACATTCAAGTATGCTTAGTACTTATATGGTGGGATTCGAATCGGCGACTTGAATGTAAGTCCAGCCCACTCAGTCCTGCGTATCACACGTCGCATAATATGGATATTATATCACACGATTATCGATGTGGTACTCGTGTCGTAGTTTATAAACAGCATCGTTGACCGTTAAAGTTTGTTTACCATTGTCGAGAATTTAATTTACTATTAACTACTAAACGCGACTACTACTAAACGCGACGAAATTAGTTTATTTAATAAATCTTTTATTCAACAATTTACGGTATTCAGTGAAATTAAGAGATTAGAACATTTAAATGTAAAGAATGTTGTTTTAATTTTATTGTTAGTTGGCGCAATTGGTTGTGAATACGGGTGGATGCGGTCCACTGGTGGAGTTATTGGCGGAGAGTCCTGGTGTAGCACGCGTGCCAGCGTCAATGGCGCTCGGCTTCATAGCAGGACAGTCGGATCAGCTAGCGATGGCGGTTATCGAATCTAAGGTTCGGGCATTCGCCTAGTTATGGATTAAAAGTGTTGATTTCATTCAACCCCACACTTAACACTTTGACAATTAAAATATTCTCAAAATATATTTAAAAAGACTCAAAGGACATTAAAACCCAATGTCCAATAATTTGGTTGGGTTTTATGTTAAGTTTCAGTTTTGTTTGTTAAAATGTGAATTAAGAAATATTTTAAACTTTTCAGGCAATTCCACCCTTAGTTGATATCCTCCAAAATGATGAAGCTGAAGAAGCTGAAATCTGTGCAGTTGCTTGGACATTAGGTCACATCGCTAAACATTCTCCACAACATAGTTTAGCTGTTGCAGTTGCTAATGCTTTCCCAAAGTTGTTGCAGGTAATATTATTTGATTAATATAAATTCATCTTTATAAATAAATACAGATCAAGGTTTCGTCTTACTGCAATTAAGAATTATTTCATGTTTCTGTTTATGCCTACTATTCTTTAAATTTAACACTTTGTTGTTATTATAGCTAAAAAAAGTTTTTAAGATAATTATAAAGAAAAATTTAAAAATCCCACAATATTAAAATTTTCTATCTTTCAAAATCTTTTTTGTCTCACATGATTTTTTGATCACAATGAGGAAATTAAATTATTGCAAAGGCCACAGTTTTTCCAAGAATAAAAGAAATGGCTTTAGAATTATCAATTACTTTTGGCCCATCTCATTAACTACTTTTCTTGTAGTTATATACAAATCCTAAGTCTTCTGGAGAAGTTCGTGCACGAGCCTTATGTTGCTTGAAACAAGCACTGCAATGTTGTTTACATAGACCAGCACTTGAACCACTACTTCATGCAGCGCCAGCTTGTGTTTTAAAATATGTTTTGGCACAATATGCAAAGGTAATTAAAACTACTATGTTAAATAGTACCTAGATCTCTATAATATGTGAAATTGCAAATGATTTCTTTTAGAATATAGGCCTTGTATGTCAGCATTTACAATTTTATTTTTTATTTAGACTGATACATAAATAAAGTTTAATGATCATTTAGTATTATGATATTCATTAAATAAAGATTTTTCTTTTGCTAGACTTGTAAGTCCTGTGGCAACTTTGGTTTTTTTGCTTATATTAATTTTTAATTAACTTGCAAACTAAGTAAAAACAATATTTTCTAAAGTTATATTATTTTCTAAAAATAAGTCTAAATTGAATAAAGAAGTTTTGATTTTGGTTTTCAGTCAAATACCTTTTGTATAAGTATAAATATGATGTTCTTTGAATTAATGAAAGTGACAACTGTATTAATTTTTGTATTTATCACAGATGCAAGTTGTTTAAGAATGAAAGATTAATAGACAGGCCCATCATCAAGATTATCATCTTCTTCATCATAGTCCTCGCCATTGTCGAAATAATTATTCGCATAATCAGTGCCTTCATCAATTTCATATTCTTGTTCTTCCTCGTCTTCTAATTCTTCATCATCATTATCATTTTCATTTTCTTTTTTGATGGTATCTTCATCTTTGTTTTCCAATTCTTGTTCTGTATTTTCCTCCAAAGTTTCTTTCTTTTCTAGTGTTTGAAGTTTTTTTGTCAAAGTATTTGCATCATCAAGTTTTCGTTTACGAGCAGTCATTCTTACTCTTCCAGCTTGTGGCCGTAATTCTGCAGGCATGTTTACCCATATACAATCTAAGGTTTTTCCTTCTTTGGCATCGAGTGCCAATTGCTTGTATTTATCAGAATAACGTTCTATTCCATCGGTACGAGTGTTACGTTTAACATATGCTGGCGATTCATGTAAATATTCAATAAATTGATCTTTCACAATAAGCATATATTCTGTTGCAGCGTCGCAATTTAGAGGCAACGGTTTTGATTCAAGCTTTGGAAATAAAGGCGGTGGAGCAAGCGTAGCTGTAGTATTTTCTCCTCGTGCAATTCCGAGAGCTTGCAGTTGTTCATTTGTCAATGATAATCCACCACCACGTCCTCTGCCTCTTCCTGCCATTTTTCATTCAAACACCAGGACGAATAAAACAAATTATTGAACTTCACAATGACATACTTAAAACAGTGTTTTTTTTGATAGTTATTAGTTTGTTTCACAATACAATAGGTTATATTTTTGTTTATTAATTTTGAAAGGTATAATTTTTAAATTTTACTTGAATTTGGTCATAAACCTTTCAGTCTTATATAGATTTGGTGGAATTTTATTTAAAATTACAAATTATTAAAATAAAAATATCCTGTAAGTTCAAATAACACAAATTATTATTTATAGTTTTAAATAATATTGGTAATATAAATATATAAAATATATCTTATAGATATTACCAAATGACGCAAGAGCTCGGAGATTGTTCGTATCAACTGGCGCACTAAAAAGGTTACAAGAAATCGACACAGTCCCAGGCACTTCACTCAAAGAATATATAAATATAATAAATAGTTGCTTCCCTGAAGAAATAGTAAGGTAGGTTATTTTGAAATTTAAAGTTTTTTTATAGTGCTAATCTCTGCACTTAAGATTAAACATTAAAACTTGTAGAAAAAGTACAAAAAGCCGCTGTAAGAATCGAACCCACGTCTTCGGCATTCGCGGCCTGACGCTTTAGCCAATAAGCTAAACGGCTGATAGCCACACCGGCGATTCCCACAGCGGCGACAATCTTTTCGTACTTTTTCTACAAGTTTTAGGTTATATTGATTTATATTTTTTATTTTCGATTGCGTTATGAAAAAATACAAAAAAGGAATATAAACTGTATAATCAAGCATGAAAATATCAAGATCTATAATATAGTGTTCATAATACATCGCGTTCTTGCTTTGCTTTCATATTTTAAACAATTTAAATCAAAGCGGATTATAGATTTTTACTAACACGGTATAGTAAAAAAAAAATATTAATTAATAGCTTTACCGTATTTTTTTTATTTCTTCCATTTATCTTTTATTTTTTCTTGGAAAGTTTTGACTTTTATTTAATTTCCAGGTATTACACCCCCGGTTATTCAGACTCATTACTGGATAGAGTAGAAGCTTATACACCCCAGGTAAAAATAAAAAATATGTTAGCCAAATAGCAATTCACAATGAACACCTAGCTTGAAAAAACTAGTTGGACGGTTTGTGACTACCAATTTTATTCATTTTTATTTCCAATTTGCTTCAGATTCCAGAGTTGTTTACGGATCGAGTGCCCAGTGATTGTCAAAGTGAAGTGACTTTAGAAAATTAAAATGCTATTATGTATATATTTTTTAAATGTTTTACTTTGTTTTACATTTCGTTATTCATTCTTTACCCATAGTCCAAATAGTCTTTTGAATTTTCACCGTCCTTCCACCTATTGCAGTTTCTTCAATAGCCATAGATTGGCTTATCAACCTGTAACTAAAAAATTCAAATATATAAAAATATTGTATCACCACAGATATGAAAGTTTTCGTACCCAACCTATCAAATTCCGAAAAACAAGTGCACTTAGCAGTAATACCAGCTTATAATATTTTTGTGAACCTTTTTTTTTATGAGTTATGCGGCGACGTTACCTATACGGAACCACTATGTGTGTAAAATAATGTAATAAAACATTATAATGTTATCCTAAAGTAAAAAAATCGTATCGACTGCTACTGTCTAATTAGATCCAGTTTAAAAATACTTGTAAAATAGCTGAACGTGAATTTTGTCTTTGCTGACTACCGCAGGTGCTAGAACTAATACACTTGTATATCATTATCATTCTTACCTGAAGTGAGAACTGCCAAGAACATTCAATATCTTAACACCTTCAACGTCCGCTTCAAGCGTTTCATCCTGTATTCTTTTGCACGTTATATTCATATTATTAAGATTAACTTCTAAACGTGTCATATGAGTGCGAGGCAGGTTCTGGAAATGTTAATAAAAACATTTATTTTAATGTTTTTAAACCATAAAGCAGTTGTGTCTTGTGGTGAATGTCTTCATCCGTCGCAGAACCCGTAGTTCCTCACTATTTTTAAAATTGAGCACGTGGACATGAGTTTATTATAACGAAATAATTGTTGACTACCTGCTGTTGTTGCGTTTGGCTTGGTGAGAATCGATCTAGAATGCGGGTCACGTGTACCATTATATTGATCTCGTCGTGCTCATAGATGAGGGCGACCTTTAAGGTGTTGTATATTTATTATTGAGTTCTACTCTCAGTCGGGGTGTCAGTAGGTGAAACACATGACTGATAATTTTGATAGCAACTTTTTTTATAAGTTTATGATACCCTCTGTTCAGAGAAGGTTATTGCCCTTCGATGATGAGATTTTAATTTAATTCTAAGGGGAAAAAATCCTGTCTTAGTGTTTTCATATGTTATATATTGAAATCAGCATAAATAATATAATGCTTTTAAACACACCGGTTCAACCTTTGCATTGCTTGTCAGTCCAAATTACTAGATACGCGGATAGATAATAGAAAAACTAAAGAACATTGTCCGTCGATAGAATGTTTACATAATATTATTTTATCGTTCGAATTTAACACGTTGACGCGATGTTTATTGAGATTTATAAGTTAAAATCCACCAAATGTTAATCAACCGCATAAATGTTTGGAAAATAGGTACCTTTATTTTGCATGTCACTTCGCCAGTTGATTCGAATTCAATAACTAGTATGTATTCCATAATTAATTTCTAGATAGTTTAAATAAATTTATACTTTTCGAAAATCGAATCCAGAGTACCGTCCTATCAATCGGCAATGCGGAAGTGGTAATGATAATGACGTTGTATTAATTGCTATCGTTATAAAACAAATGCATAATAGAACATCCTGTTTTATTGATATTAAACGAAAGAGCCGCGTCGGTATAAATTAGTGTCGACATTTAATAAACAAAAAGCTTTTAATTTCTATTATTAACGGTTTATAGAATCGTAAAACGGTTTGAATTAGTCAGAAACCAACTGTTATTTTTATGATTCGAATAATGATTAATATTTAGTTAGTATTTTTCCTATACAATGACCCGTATAAGGTAATGAGTATATCATTTGCTTTGCCACCTTATACGGTTCCTAATAAAACTCTCGTGGATGTGAATTGACTAAGTTAACGTCTCTGTTAATCCTCCGAGAGTAACGAAGAACAATGGTGGCGCATGGTCACTTATCTTGGATGCATGATATACTGTGTGGTAAGTTTAGTCCCACAGGTGGTGCCACTCGTGCGATAGGAACTACTTCCCGACCTGGCATCTCATCTGCTGATCCGAACTAGCTTAGGTTGTACAAGACATGTTCACTCTCGGTTACCTTACACAGCCCTAGCGCGGTACGCTTTTTTATACGACTACCAAAGGAAACGTCTTCAGACCCAACATAACCTTTTTTTGGTATCGGGGGAAATCTTCGAAACATACGCTGGCATTAGAATATAACAGGGTTATGTGGGGTTCTTACCCACTAAAAGCCCCTGGGTAGCCACCTGTACGTTTGGAGGAACTCCGGGATCTCCTATGGAACGGACTGGTGTCCCTCGGTACTGGACGTGAGCACTCCTCGGAGAAGGGTAAACCTTCCCCGATTCCCTAGCCATCTAACAGCAACTCAAGGGCACTTCAAGCTGCTGCCAATCCGTGTTCCCTTTTAGTCGCCTTTTACGACAGGCAGGAGATATCTTAGTCCTATTCTATGAGCCCGAGACTACAGGGCTGAGGGGGCACGTCTGCCCCTGCCGGCCTGGCGTTGCCGTCTCCAAACGGGGTCGGCCCTCTCCCTTTCTCGCTCAGCGATCTCCTTCTGGAGCATAACAGTTTCACAGAAGAAGAGCAGTGGACGCCAAGACCCAACATAACCTGTCTCTGCAAGCTATCGTGGAAGCTGGACGCTACGTCTGGAATAACTTATGGCAAGGAATTCGAGAAAATTTAACAAAATAATTGATGGTAGGCGGGGTTAGCTTTATCATCAAAACGTGTAACAACTTTGTACACAAAACACTTTTACTCAAAGAGTGACTTAGTCTGTTCTGTGACCATGAACGCTGGACAGGGTTCGAAACGTCGGGAATTTCAAATCAAAATAAAAAAAACAATAAAATCCGTAAACTAGTTTCATTTAATAAACGCGTTTTCTTTTATGGATGATGTTAAATACAGTAATTGAACAGTGAATGTTCTCAATGAAGTATATTTTGGTGAAAAACTAGTAATTTTTATTTATGTTATGTAGGTACATTTTTTTATGTTAGAAGGTAGCAAGCGAGCTAGCGGTTCACATAATAAGTGATACCAACTGCCTGCACCTGCGTAGCCACCTTTTAATGAAGTGGACCCCAGCCACCTCACACACCAGACGAAACGCAGAAGTATATTTATAACACTTCCTGTTAACACTGGCCTTCTGTGAAGTCGTGGTATTTCTCGGACGGACTTGCGCCCATTCGTACAGTAGCGATGTGACAAAAATACGGTCAGTGATCTGAGTGACTATGGTGTGAATGCAAGGGCGGATCCAGCTTTGGTGCCAGGGGGGGGGGGGGGGTCACGTAGTCGTGGTCAAGTGATAAGAAGTTAGTTAAATTTTTATAATCATAGATACAAGTAAAAAGTAGGAACTTATTTTTAACCGACTTCAAAAATAAGGAGGTTATCAATTCGGTTGCTTATATATTTTTTTAATGTAGGTATGTTCGGGCATACCTTCGTCATATATAGACGGATTTGCAAAATTCTTTTTTGTTCGTAACATTTCGTTGCTTTTTATTATCATATATTATACAGGGCATGCATTTATAAAGGTGCCCAAATTCATACAGGAGGTTCAGTTTACGTTTAGAATTTAATAAAAAAAATGGATGCACTTAGAAAAGCCACCCTGTATAGTATTTTTTTAAGTAGCTATTGGTAGGCTTACTTATTTTTGGAATTTATTTTATTTATTTCTTCGTTTCCAGATTTTATGTAGTCGTATTGGTTATAATATTCTCTATTCCTCTACCCCGCACGCTGGCTCCACTTTAATGACAAGTAGCCTAAGACGGGGACTATCTAATCAAAGACAGAATCCACATTCATAAGAAATGTAACGAACAAACTTTATTTCCCAAAGATGGTCTCGCATACTCACGTCCGCTAAACCACCACATCACCCATCACAAACGGTCCACCCGTTAAGACGAATCAAACTCGACGCAGTTGTGTTCTTTAATGACTGAGTTCCTATGGCCACATTCCAGCTCTTTCATCAGAGACTGGTTACCATCTAATACCAAAGAACTCGTCATGACGAATCAAACGAGCCGAGACGCAATAGGGTGGCGTCGTTTCTTTACTGAGTTCATATGACTATCTTCCAGCTAGATCAGACCCTGGTAACCATCTAAAAATTAAGTACTCGCCAAGACGAATCAAACGAGCTGAAACTCGATGGAGTTGAGTCGTTTCATTACAGAGTAGTCAAAGGAACCTCCCAGAATAGCCTCATAGACCTCACAGAAGATCGGCGGAAAGTACTTCTGCTATTTGTCTGGTGAGTAACTCACTCACGAGATACTTTTTCTCTTACTTATTATAAGGAGAAAACGCATCTGCAACCCTATGCATATGTCCATGGACGGCTGAAGATGGAGCTCCATCATCAGATCCTGGTTACGAATGAAAGACAAACGATTCAAATGTACCCAAACGCGATGAGGCTCTGTCGTTTCATTTCGAAATTCCTTTGGCCTGCTTCCAGCTCCACCATCAGATCAGCACCATGTCATAAAAATATTGCATTGTCTATCGATTCACACATGTATACAAAATTTCAGCTCAACCGGTAACCGGGAATCAAATCAAATTTAATTTGCAAGATTTGATTTGATGATTTAACATTAAAATATTGTAAAAATGTTCATAAAATGAAAAGTACTTGGCCAAACTATGGTAAATTTTTATGGGACCAAATGACAACTATTCTGCATAAAACTAAAGAAGATACACGTAAATCGGATCAAATCACAACTTAATCGGTGTACATACATCGAAAAAATATATACCAATCGAATTGAGGAACTCCTCCTTTAGAAGTCGGTTAAAAATATTATATTCATTTAATTAAATATTAAAGGTAGTTAGATAAAATCTATATTGTGGCAAAAAATATATAAAAACATTATGTTTAACAATTTTAATTAATGGTCCACCTAGGCTCTGGACCCAGCCCAGGGGGCGGTCATGACCCCCATGACCCCCCCCTTGTTTGAATGCGACTTAATATGAAAAATCACTGTGACAAAATCACTTCGTTCCATTGCCTGTCACTGTTTCAGTCACACATCACAGTGAAAGTGAATGAAACGGAGCGATTTTAGAACAAAGGCAAAACGCGATGCGATCGCTGCGCCTGGCCGGCGCTGACGTAGAGTGCCGACGCGCGCTGAAGGGTTCCGATCTCCGAAGTTTATAGCGCGTAGTTTGTAGTTTTACTTCGAAAATACGAGTAGAAGAGAAATTTTCTTCAAATTTTTTGTCGTGGTTTAATATTTGTATGTAGTTCTTATTGTATATACAAAGCGTAACTTATAATTTAGGCATGTAGTGAAGTAAGAGTATAATTTATAACATTTTTAGAGGTTTCAAAATTTTATTTATTACCACTTTTGTTATAAAATTTGAAAATATATTTTAAATATAAGTTAATCTCTGCGGGTAATAAAAGACTGCGGGAGTGCGGGGCACAACAACTTCTAAAAATCATGTTTTGTGAGCATTGTGACATGTCACGAGTATCAGTCAGTTTGTATGATCGAAGTGACAAATTTGCGGTGATTTATCACTGTGATTTTTATGGCACTGGAACAGCGGTCATAGCGATTAAAAAGTAGCACTTTTTCTCATGCTTATCGTACAGTTAAGGCTAACGCGCCTTCAATGTTACACGAATGGACATGTACGTCCCATCTAGTGTTGCATATCGATAGACAATCGATTATCTATCGATAGTTAAGGTAAAAATAGCAATAGTATCGGTAGTCTATCGATAGTATCGAAGGATCTCCAAGTGCCAATACTATCGATAACAGCAATTCTATCGATAGTAATGCATGCGATAGTATTTCAATTTCCATTAGTTTTTGACAAAACCTATCGATAGCCTCGATACGTTTGTACTATCGATAGCCAGTAAAAGGCTATTGATAGTACAAAATCATCATTATTATCGATAGATTAATGGTCTTGGCAATACTGTCGATAGTATTGCTGTTATCAATAGTAGTGGCACTTGGAGCCATCGATACTATCGACAGTACTGACTTAGACAATACTATCGGTAGTACAATCGATATCATGAATAGTTTTCGAGGTCAACTATACATGGTTGTGCAACATAATTCTATGAATGCGATGGGACTAGCCATCGCATTCATAGAATTATGAAACGATCATAGACAAAACGCGAAACTAATTACAACTATAGTATAGCTTCAATCCAAGTACGGTGAAACATACAATCTAGTTAAACTTAAATTTGAAGAATTAATTTAGATTGCATTAAACGCTTGATTATAATCGGGTTGGATTGTATTCACTTAATTATAGATTAATGACTTAATGGTAGATTTTTGTTGACGTTCAATAAGAGCTTAAGTTAGGCCTATATTGAATAAATATACTTGACTTTATAATGATAGCTCTAAATCATTAAAGTGACCCAACTGCATTTGGATCATTACGGTAGAACTTTGAGACATTTTTTATGAAAATATTTAATTCAATGAACCAAAATAATCTGGTTCTTAATAATTTTAAGTAATAATTAAACTGCAGCCATTCAAGTCGATTTAAAGATTCTCGTGCATTTCATTAATGGATCACGTGACACTGTCCTTTACACGTGTCAAATGACGTAATTATAGTATTAATTTGAAAATAAAACAAACATTATACCAAACAATTTTTATTTACATGTGACAAGGCCCAATAACTATTCTTCAGGAAGGGTTTTCTACAAGAATTTTGTTCTCGCTATTCATTTAAACCCTGAAAATAAAAAGTATACTACGTAAGTGTACAGTGAAAACTATTAATGATCAAATAAAACATTAAGCTATTCAGGGTTTATAATTCTCCAAGAAAATTGCAGATATATGCTTGTCTAAATTGCTCATCATTGTTGTGTTATTATCAACTCTTAGCCAACATGTCTGTCCACTAAGAGTTTGATATGATTTTATTAGGTTTAAAAAAAGATTAGTGGGACAGAACTAAAAAAATAATAATTTACCATATGGTACTGGCAGTAAATTACAGCAAGACAACTATTGCACGCCAAGCTGTAAAAAAGACAAAAAAATAATTAATATTGTATATTTTTCTTAAAGATCAACAAACGCAACTTTTGTTTCAGTTGTTACCATACCAAATTTTCCCCATGATTTTGTGAGACAGGGATAACTTTGTAAATCATCATTTACTTTTCAAACAGAAATGTATTACTTTAATAATAATTCGATAAATATTAATTCTTAAATAATAATAATAACAATCTACATTTATTACTAAGAAAATATTACCTTTAAACTGTGAACTTGATGGACACACAATCTGGCAGGCAGCCTGCAATATAATGAAATAAGAAATTGTGATCATATTTCTTAAGTGTATTTTAAGTTTTGCATAAGTTTGATCAATCAGTTGTTACCATACCATTTTTTTTTCCCCACGATTTTGTGAGACAGGGATAACTATATTTATCATCACTTAAAATAATTTTAGTATTTAAAATTTCAAAGAATTTTTTAATCATGTCAAAAGTAGGCATGCCGTATGCCATCAGATGTTTAATGATTATCACAAACCAGGGATCTACTTTTAAAGTGGACCCCCATTACTTCACAAATTAAATTCAAAGTATATTACTTCCAGTTCGTTGTGGTACTTGCCCTGACAAGGTTATCCATTTTGCAATTCCAGTATGCTGGACCACTCAACAGATGCTACTCTTGTGGCCCTAAGTACATTGAATTTTTTCAATTCATGTCAACATTTGAATACTTGTAAAATTACTTTCTAATAAGTAATAGAATATGTAATATTTACCTTAACTTCAGTAACTAGGCTATGAAGATAATCTGTAACAAATAAATATAATGCAGATGTGAATTATGGTATCATAATAAAATAGGATAGGAGATTTCAGAAAGCTATCAGTTACTCATTTTCACCAATTTTATAATTATGATATATGCTTGTGTATAGCATCATTGAAATAACAGTCAACTTTGAACTAAGCTTGTACTAGAAGGTACTAAATAATTCCAGTTTTTTTAATGTGATGGGCACTAATTTCTTATAGCTATATACGCCAAAACTACAGGGAAGTATAAAAGTTGAAATGACAAGCCAATTAATCATACATAGAAATGACATTTACTATTGTATATTTTTTAGGTTAACTTTAAAAATAATGTATATCATAATCATTTAAATTCCCACTTGTTACTTCTCTTAACCTGAAATAAATACAAATTTTTTTTATTGAAATGGCATTTGTTGTAAAATTATCATGAATTGTTTAATTTTACTCAGTTCTTCAAACTACACATTTGTTCAGACTGGGGCGATAAATTATCATCATTATTAATTCTGCCTTAAAATCAATGTAACTGTTCCAATTTATAAACTGACCTGATATTCGAAACAGGTCTTATATTTTCAATCTGAAACAAAAAAAGAAAATACTATGATGAGAACAGAATTTTTGTCATGAGTGGTGGAAAATATTTAATATATCTTCAGAATATCAATCAGCAACTATTATTTCAGACTGGGGCGATAAAATTATCATCATTGTAAGTTATCAAAGTTTGAAACAATTCAACATTAATAAACAAATAATAAATGTATATATTTATAATAAAGTTTGTTCAAATAATTACAGAACTACATTAAAAATATTTAAAATCATGTTATTTGTCTAATATAAATTAATGAATATATGACACCCAACATTAAATCACTATAAATCTAGTAATCTTTCACATAGAACAATAATTTATTTAAGATAGCAATTCCAAATTTAATCTTTAAAATACAGAACTATTCTATAGTGAAAGTTATAGATTTGAATTGTATTTGATCAGTATAATCTAATAAAAAATTTTACTTACTTGATGTTTTACTTGTTGGAATAATAGTAGTACCTAGGAAGGAAGTGGTAACCTATAAGAAAAAAAAGACTACTAAATATTTGGAGTCATCCAATTTCACAATTATAAAATTTTTAAATACTTAATCAGAAATTATCAATCATCAAACTACAGCTAGGGGCGATACTTATGACATCATTATTGATTTGTAATAATTGTGAGATTTGAAAAAATAATAAATCTTACCCACTATTATTTATGTCCATTTTCGAGTTTCCATATTTATAAATCTGCAAATCAAAATAGTGTTGTTTAATCAAATTGAATCCAACATTCAAATTTTAAAGAAAATTATTATTGTATTGTCACACTCAACCCTTGGATATATAGCTATAAAAGATATAAATCTTACACAGAGTGTGATAATGTTCCTAACCAGAGTCACACACGCTAGTTTTGTCTTAGCATGCATCGGCTTTGGTAGGGTAAAATTGAACAGGCTAAAAATTATCATGTCAGTTTTAATTCTTTCAAATATTCTCATGAGATGTGTGAACTAAAGGCAATTTTTAAAAAATAAGTATTAACTTTTTGTGATATCATATTATACAATATAAGACCAATAAGCATGTTAAGAGGCCAGACAGAAGTTGAACTTTATGAAGAACTACATCTCTGCATGTCAAATTTTAGCATATTTACGAAAAACTTGTTTTGAAGCTACATATATTTAAAAAAAATTGACTTACTAAATTATTCTTCCATCATTATTCTTCCGGAATTACATTTCTTGTTTTCCTGTGAGAAATAAAGTGATATTATAATGTGGCAACAGAGTGATATAGACTGAAACTCAAAAATAGAATAATTCAGTTCTGTGGTAATTTTAAAATCATAATTTATCTCATACGAACGAGACTATATTAATATTCATCACGAAAATAATATGTACATTAAACTTTTACACCACCAAAAGCTTTGAATATGGTTATTTCAGCTTACTATATAAGGTTTTGAAGCTAATTTAATTGAGCCTTAGGTTTATAGGTAACAGAATTGTAGTAAACATTTGTCAATACGGGCTTTTTTAAGATATTAAATTTGGCTTCAGTTGTGCATTTATCAAGCTTAGTTACTTATGGGAGTTTTGGGTTAACTAAAAAATAATTTATATTTTTCAATGCAAATTTACCTGAATTTTAATAATACTCTGTAGAAACCGACAGGTTTGCTGGTTCTAATCAGTCTTATTGCTGCTTCTGTAACAAACAAAATAAAAAAATATATATGCAAGAAATTTTCTCAATTAGGTCAATAATGATGAGAAATCAATGTTACATTCAACCCTTAGATGACTTGTCAAAACAAGGCAGCCTACACAGAATGTGTTCATGTTCCTAACCAGAGTCACACATGCAATATTAAATCAACATGTATCGGCTTTGGTAGGGTGAGGAACTTTTAGAAGCTACAAAACTTGTTCTTCTACACATTGATTATAAAAAATTACCCAAAAATGTATTGTAAATTCATTTGAAAATTTTAAGACATTAGATTTACCTTATAATAATTTAGATGTGATGTTTAGTTCTTGAAACTGGAAAAAAAAATGAAAGATTTAAGAAAATACCAGCATAATTAATGAAATTTCACTAAGATGATAAATAATCAGAATTGTTTGGTAATTTTGAAATCATGAATATCATACGAACGAGACATGTTAATCATCATGATGTAAGAATTACAGTCACTTGAACAGATATTAAAATTCTTACCTATAATCAGTGCAGACTACTGCTACAACCTGGAACATAAAACACATTAAGTAAAGAAAAAACATCATAACTCTAAAATATTAACAACACTCACCTCAAGAAAAATCAAAAGGATATATAATATTTAAGGTTGAATTAACACATTAAGTAGCTAATAGTAATTCTTTATTTTGAACAGTCCTTAAAAGTCATACACTTATTTCAGACAAAACATGAATTACTTCTTAGCTGGCTTCTTGGCAGACGTCTCTTTTTTAGTTCGTGGTTTTTTGACGCCTGCTTTAGGGACCTTCTTTTTGCCAAATGCGCCACCGCGCGCCGCCTTTAGTTTTAAGCTTTTGAAAACAGGAGTCCTAGCACGATTTCTCTTGACGCGGGCCGCACTCAGCTTAAACCTGTCATAGTCTGTCATTTGAGCGCGCTTTTCCTTGTTTTCTAATTTCTTTGCCCATTGGCTTTCGGCCCACTTTTCATTAAGTTTTTCTTCTGTCCATGCTTTCCTTACAACACGTGTAGGAGCAGTGAATGGAAATTTAAGACGGAATTTCGTCAGGTGTAACTGGTTTAGGCGGATTTGCTGCCTCGGGACGCCGCTGCCTGGTCCATCAACAAGAGCACGCGTCTGATCAATGACATCTACCACGCTGACTAATTTTCCTTTTAACGGACCCTCTGCCACCAGGGCCACGCGCCCCGGTTGGACGAATCTCGCGAACGGCATGACGTCCTGAAAGTCACCAAACTAATTTATTTCACTTGACACCATAATAAACTTTTTGTTAAAAAATTTTGACAAATAAATTTGATGCCGACACAAAAGTATCAAGTGAAAAAATTAACATTTTTAAAGATTTAGTTCATGATAGTATTAAAGAGGAAATTTGGTAGTTGCAGAAATAAAATATGCACAAATATAAATTTAGATCACTTGGATTTTTAAGGATTAAAATATCCTAACCTTATAACGTCTTATCGAACATAAAACACCCGAGTGAAAGACTTGTCAAACCCGATGCCAGGGTGACCATTTCAAAAATGGCAAATCTGCCCAACACCAGCTAAAAATCTCCCAAAATCTGCCAAACTCAACTCCGCGATGCCATTGCCGATATGCCATCATATTATAATATCGTTGGAGGCAGTACAAAATAATTAATGAAATATGCATTCTTCCGCATGAGGCATTTAACATTTTCTTGTTGGTCGTTCCCTCACTGCTGAGGATCGTGACTCATTTTCACTTGATCGACGAGCTGTCTCCATTGGTTTCGATTTGTCGTCTAGTGAAGTGCGGCGCTTATGAGGATTTCAATGTTTTCAGAAATTTCATCCGCCCACCTTTAGGATTACGGCTTTTAGGTAAAAGATTCCCTCTATTTTCCCCATTTGACATAGGACATGACTTAAAAGAGTTTTTCAAAGTTTGAAATATTTAAAAGTAAATTAAAAATTTTGTTTTTACTTGAAAATCTCTTTTAGAATGATATCTAGCTTACAATTGCAAGCTTTCCAAAATACAACATCATTATCCTCCTTAGCTCTGGAAATCCTGGAAGGAAGCAAATATGTTGTTCACACTCAGGTCGATACGAACGCTCGTATTTTCTCTTCATCATGCATGGAAGATACAACTACATACAATAAACGCCAAAAGAGAAAATACAAAATGAAAAGAAGAAAATACAAAAACATTGACATGAGCCTCGATCAATTATATTAATAACAAAATAAACCTAATTGCTGATTTGTTACCGTTCATAATCATAAGACTTATCTACATTAAAATACAATAATCAGGAAATTCCCGTACTATATATCGTGGGATGAAAATTGTCACTTCAGAAAATAATTTGCTACCAAATATTAATAAAAGTAAATAATACGACATAGAATATTATAAGCTTTTTAAATATTAATTTATATGTACAAATGTATTTCAAAAATAATAAAGATGTCCTTGAAATCTGCCACTTTTTTGAATCGTCAGCCTAATCTGCCACATCTAAAATTTAAGGTGCGAAATCTGCCCAAATGATAGAAATCTGCCACAAAGGTCACACTGCCCGATCCATCATTCGATAAACTGTCGACTTCCGTTTTAAAACGTCAGTTAAAATTTTTGCCTAGGGATACTTATTATTTCGCCATTTTTTGTTTTTGTTGGTAATAACCAAATAAAATACTTCAAACAATTATTGTTCTATTTTATATTAACAAATCTCTAAATCAGATTTCAAAATTAACTATAATTACCTGTAATAGGAGAGATCGTGAAATTATTTATGCAATTGCACTTGCACATTTATTGTTTTAACTGGACATTCGAAGGAACTTCTTAACATTTTAAACATTTTAATCTTTTCTAAACGACAATTGCGTTTGTTTTCGTTATCACTAACAGGAACAGATATGGACGTATATCTCAACATTTCCGAATAGGCAAATTGGCTATTACCTAACTCCTATGAAACAAAACGAATTGAGGGAATCAACGAGGACAGAGGACGTTTTTCCATCCACCATTTTTGAAAAATATCGATATATAATAATTTCTTGTATTTACGCGATTACACATTATAAATGAAACTAATTTTACGGATTTATCGCGTTTATTTTTAATTTTAATTCCCGACGTTTCGAACCCTTTACAGCGTTCATGGTCACATCTCAATTGTAACAAGAAAGCTAAAAGAGAATAACATGCCGGAAGAGTATGCATTACTACTTAAACATTGCCTAACATCCGGCTACTTGCTTTGGAAGGAGGAATTTTACATACAGATAGATGGTGTAGCAATGGGCTGCCCAGTATCTCCCATTGTCGCTGACATATTTATGGAAGACTTTGAGGAGAAGGCCCTTCGCACAGCTCCCATTTATCCAAGGTTTTACAAGAGGTATGTAGATGACACCTTCACCATTTTACCAACAAGTAAAGTTAATGCATTTCTAAACCACCTTAACTCAGTAAATTCCAAAATACAATTCACTATGGAATTAGAGCATAATAAACTCTTTAGCTTTCTTAGATGTTTTGGTCATCCGCAATCCAAATAACACTGTAAGTCACACTGTGTATAGGAAGGCGACCCATACAAATAGATACCTAAACGGTGATTCTCACCACCATCCATCCCAGTTAGCTACCGTGAGTAAATCTTTGTTTCAGAGAGCACAAGGGATCTGTGACAAACGACACCTGACCGCCGAGCTTCAACATGTCAAGCAAGTTCTGCATAACAATAAGCTTCGAGCACCGCGCCTCCGTCACAGTGACCGAGTGAAACCAGCCACAGTGGAGCGAGTACCTGCTGTTCTACCATACGTCAGAGGAGTCACCGACAAGATTGGCTATATCTTAAAGCAGGCTTCAATTGGCCACACGCCAGCCACAGACGAGTTGGGGACGCGTAGGAATATCTTGCGCTCAAACGCCATTGCTGAGTGGGAGCAAAGGCTGGAGCACCCCAGCGCCGGCCTAAGAACCGTGGAGGCCATACGTCCTGTCCTCAGTAGGTGGCTGGACAGGCAATACGGCGCCCTCACCTACCGCGCGACGCAGGTCCTCTCGGGACATGGTTGTTTCGGGAGGTACCTGTTTCGCGTGGCGAAGAGGGAGCCCACAGCGGAATGCCACCACTGTGACGTATGTGCCGAGGAGACGGCCCAACACGCACTGGAGGAGTGCCCAGCATGGCGGGAGCAGCGCCGAGAGCTGACAGCTATCGTGGGGCACGACCTCTCGCTGCCTGCCGTGGTTCGTGCTATGGTGGACAGCGAGAGGGCGTGGGGTGCGGTCCTTGCTTTTTGTGAGGACATAGTCACCCGGAAGGAGGCCGCGGAGCGAGAAAGGGAGGCAACTGCCACCCTGGAAATCCGCCGCCGGAGACCAGGGCGCAGGAGGCTGGCCTACGCGCGCAACCTTCCCCCCTGATAGGGAGCCCTGGGGCGGCAGATGTGGGATTAACTGCTGCCCGTAGGGGGATCGAGAGGGGTGCCGTGTCCCTTGCACCGATACGGCACCATTTGGCTGGACCGGGTGTCTAAAGACCCGGAGAGAGGAGGCCTTAGAAGGCCACAGTCGCGCCGGGGTTCGCGGAAGATTGCGTTTTCGTGTTCCCGTGTCCCCGGCAAAAGCGACAGCGCAGGTGCAACGTGGGTTTTTTAGTGGGTACCCCCATATCCTGGGGACTCCCACATACCCTCGCTGTCTACCCACAAGGTGGCGGGGGATCCATAAAGGATTTTTCCCACGTTAAAAAAAAAAAAAAAAAAAAAAAAAAAGGCTTCAATTAATACATTCTACAAGCCGCTGAAGAAGATTAGTCAGTTTTTACCATCTGTCAAGTGTAATATCCCTCTGCAAGATCCAGGAGTGTATAAACTTGACTGTGAATGTGGGCTCTCTTACATAGGTCAAACGAAAAGAGCAATAAAAACCCGCGTGAAAGAACATATAGCTGACATAAAACACAATAGATTGAACAAGTCTGCAGTTTGTGAGCACATTTTGAATAGGCCCAACCACTACATCAGGTTTGACAAACCACAGATCCTTGCAAAAGAACACCGATTCCTCCCAAGGATGATTCACGAGGCTATTGAAATTAAAAAACACCCTAATTTCAATAGAGAAGAAGGTTGGGTACTACCATCAGCTTGGGATCCTGTCATCATAAAAATTAAATCTAGGCCCAAACGAACCACTACTGCAAGACAAGATACAATTAGCTCCCTCTGCATAGATCGGACACAAAATTAATAATTCAAAAACTGACGGTAGCCCGGGTTAACTATGACAATCAGACGTCTAACACCTCAGTCTGTCCCGTGACCATGAACGCTGTAAAGGGTTCGAAACGTCGGGAATTAAAATTAAAAATAAACGCGATAAATCCGTAAAATTAGTTTCATTTATAAATATCGATATATTTGATAAAATTTATCGATTTATCGATATTTTTGCGGCATCCCTAATTTTTGTGTAAGTGCAAAGCACAAAGTACTTTAACTTTTGTATATAGGAAAATAGAGGGTGCAACGTAGCGGCTAACCTGGGCAACTGGGTCGAAGCAGAAGCAGTTATTAGAAACATGTTATAAAACATAGCTTTTATCGATTTATACAGCTATAACTCAACGATGACTCAATAATGTGATAACAATAGTACTTAGCTTTTCCGACAGAGCAACAGCCTTAACTACCAATAAACAAAAAGTAACCCGCGTACGTTATGAGAGTTGAATTTATACACCTCAAAAACTCTACCAAAAAATATCAAGGCCCCTGGACCCTACCAGGGTGCCTCTGAACCTGAATTATTATTATCCGAATTTTTAGATATATATCGGTTCTAAAGAATGACTCTTTACGGGTATATTCCATGGCTATGTAATTAGTGAATTTAACTCCCACCATTACCCTGTCAACTTAGTATTAGGCCGACCAGGCACGAAGGTCCTTATAAAAATGTTAGGTCAGGGGCTCAAATCCACCTGCGACGTATGTGCCGAGGAGACGGCCCAACACGCACTGGAGGAGTGCCCAGCTTGGCGGGAGCAGCGCCGAGAGCTGACAGCTATCGTGGGGCACGATCTCTCGTTGCCTGCCGTGGTTCGTGCTATGGTGTGCAATGAGAGGTCGTGGGGTGCCGTCCTTGCATTCTGCGAGGGCATAATCACCCGGAAAGTGGCGCGTAGAGGGAAAGGGAGGTACCGCCACCCTGGAAATCCGCCGCTGGAGACCAGGGCGCAGGAGGCTGGACTACGCGCGCAACCTTCCCCCCTGATGGCCCAGGAGTGACAGATGTCGGACTAACTGCTGCTCCGCGGAGGGCTTGATAGGGGTGCCGTGTTCATTGCGCCGTCACGGCACCATTTGGCTGGTCCGGGTGTCCAAATACCCGGAGAGAGGAGGCCTGAGAAGGCCACAGTCGCAGCAGGGTTCGCGGAAGATTGCGTTTTCGTGTTCCCGTGTCCCCGGCAAATGCGACAGGGCAGCTGCAACGTGGGGTCTTAGTGGGTACCCCCTAACTTCCACATTCCCTGTTGCCTACCCACAAGGCGACCTCCGCGACCTCCACGACCTCTCCGTACTTAGATAAAATCTATGATAGGGTAGAGTGACTCGAGACCACCGTCACGGCGATCTCCGATCTCATGTCACACAATCCAATCGTGATTTTTCCGATCCAATCGTGGTAGCGGACGATTGCTGCTTTAATCTCCCGAACAACCTCAAGCGACTATTGCGGGAGAAAAACTCAGCCAGAAGTGCTTCCTATCGATATATTTTGACTGACGCAGGACGTGCCAGGTTGCACCACCTTCAAAGAGAGGTCAAAAGCGCATGCAGGTGCTAAAGAGGAAGAGATTGGCCTTCGAGTCTAGTTGCGATATTTAATGCACTTCTCGACTGCACTTTCCATTTCTGAGCATTCACAAATAAGTATTTAATCTTTACTCGTTGCAAAACCGACTATCGACCGACCGATTTGCTATGGCAAATACGAATACGAAATAATAAATAAAATAAAAAAAAATACAAATATTTTTCAAATATCCTTCATAATTAAAAACAAAAATCTTATAACAATTACATTACAAAAATTTGTAAGAAAAAAGAAGTGGTAAGGGGCATCCTTTTAAATTCCCCATTCGTTGGCCTGTGTTGTGGGACGACATTGATAGATGGCGCTTTTTTCAAATTTATTTCATCGTCATATTATTTCTGTTAGGACTAGTTGCTAAGCAACTTAATCTCTAAACAAGCTGAATTCTCTGTTCTAATATATATTTTTAGTTAAATATAATGCGATTTAAATATTCGAAAACTATATTAGAATCGCAGGTAATGAACGTTTTGGAATGCATATTTCGAATAATATGTAATATACAATTTTCTATGGAGATTTAAGTTGCAAGTCTTGTTTGTTCAGTCCTATTGCCAACCACAGTTCGATGTTTATTATTGTGACTTGTATATGTTTGTGACAAAAAAGCGAGAAATTACAGTTAAATGTGGTGTAGAATTTGTAATTTCAAAATGTTTTAACGACCAGTTTCAATGTCAATTTTAGGGTTGTGACAGCCCAATAGCAGGCCTAAGCTGGTCACCAAATAACGTTAAGTTAGCGGTGGCGACATGCGAACGTCAGATTTTATTATTTGATCGTGAGGGTGTACGAAGGGACAAATTCAGTACTAAGCCTGCGGATGCTGCATCTGGCAAAAAATCATATGTTATTACTAGTAAGTTTATACATATATATATAAAATGAGAGTATCAATGGAAATAATAATATTGTAAGGCATTTATCCATTCACCGAGTAAATAGAGTCGAAATCAAAGAATTTCATAGTGATGCATTCTATCACTGAGTAATCCCCGGCGTACGGTGTAACTTAATCTTTGGGATTGGCCTTGATCTTGTGTGTGTGAGGTAGAACATAAGATGTTTATGTGAATTAAGAAAAAAATACATCTTATTAAGGACTATGAATAGACGGGTTGGCCAAAATTAAATAGCAACAATAGCGTTAACAGCTATAAGATAGTAAATAGGCTACTTTCTACTTATTAGAACAGCGTAACATTGTGTACCAAAAATAACAGAGTTCTAACACTATTTTTTTTGGCCTGGTGGGCCACTGTTGGCCTTAGGGGCCTTTAGAGTTCCGACGGGCTTGAGGTGGCCTGGCGCACGGGGCGCCTAGACTGAACCTCGGCGTATTATTATTACGCGTTATGGTGACTAAGCTTGAGGGCTCTGGGGAGCCTTGGCTCTGGCCGTCACGCTATTATTATCACCGGTTTGGGAGGCCGCCGAGCTCTTAGGGCGCTTTGGCGGGCGCTCCATGGAGTGATCAGGCTCAAGGGTCCCCGAGAGGGGACCTCGGCTTGGGCTGTCACTCAACACGCGTTTAGCATTCCGATTCGAGGTTGCCCGAGAGGGCTCGATCGGTAGCTATTATCTGACTGGCCCTAACAATGAAACATTATGCGCTTATATACAAAAATAAATGAGTCATTACAACTACACTACAAATCAATGCACTCAGTAAATTACTAATACAGTTAATGAGATCGGCCTGTTAAATTATAAATTATTAATAAGCATAATTTATTATATAACATTATACCAGATATGATTTAATGTTAATTAGTTATAATTGTTATATTAAGCAGTGTTGCCAGTGAATTGTAACAATATCTTACTAGGTATAACGTTCAGCGAAAATTCAGAGCTCCTCGGGATAGCCCAATCAGACAACATGGTGTTTGTGTACCGCGTGGGTGCTGATTGGAGTGGGAAGAAAGTAATATGTAACAAATTTCCTTTAACTGGAGCCCCGATGAAATTACTGCCATCTGAATCTGGGTTTTTTACTGGCACCAGTGATGGCAAAGTTAGGTAAGTTGGTATCGCAATTTCATCAGTTTTATTTAAGCGCCAATTAGTGTTGTACTTGGCTTAAAAAATTGCTTATGTATAAGTTTTTGATTTTAAATGTCTTTGATTTCTGCGGATGCTTAATGAAAATAAATTTAATTAAAAACATACATATTTTTTTGATTTCGTGAGAGTGAAGTTTTAAGTTTTTAATTTTTTACTTGAAAAATCTGAATGGAGTACTTGCGTTTATATATAAACGCATGTTAAAAAACGTAAATCGCATAGACACAAATCAATGACGAACCGAACCACGGTATAAGCACTGGTTCGGTTCGGCCTTGATTTGTCCAGCTTGTCAATAAAATCGAACGTATGTAGAATATGTTCGCCGTACGTATAACCGCACACTGTATATTCCACAGCGGGCGGTTAAGCTGATTCGGATAGGTAAAATTAACTACTTACTAATTAATGTCGATTGGCTTATACTGCTATAATAATATAAATTATAAAAACTATAAAACCGAATCAAGTAAAAATTCCTTCAATAGTACTAAACGTGTGCCGCTTCGACTTGAATATGCTTAGATGACGGGTGGCACGAGTCAAACTATAGTCGAATATATCTAGCATTTGCTTCGATTTGTCTCTGTTGTTCTACAAATACTGATGAGAACGTTCCAACCCGCACAAGTGCATAGCAGTACTTAACGGTCTTACTTCTTTAAATTTCCATACATACAAAATGTGGAGAAAAGTTAACATTCAGCCGTTTGTGTATGAATAGATATAATGAAAGTCTGTGTTGCAGGTCCTTAGATTGCAAAAGCAACAAGAGTTCGAGCGTGTGGTCTACGGGCGTGTGTTGCGTGTCACTCGCCCGCTACGAGGCTACGCTTGCGTCGGGCCACGTAGACGGCACCATATTCCTAAACGGCCGTTTGTTGCTTCGCTACGCCTTACCGCCCACCGCCTTATTACTTTTGTTGCCTTACGTACGTAATTATTGTATCACGTTTTGTAAATTAACAATTCATCATCCTCCTGCCCTCAACGATAGTGTTGTTCGTTGCAGTTAATTTTAGGTTCGTGCGATGGCCGCATATCCATATACGATGCCCAAAGAGGGGCGCTCCTACGTAGTTTGGAGCCACAGTTGCCGCCCGATCAGAGAGACTTTATCGCGGCTGCGCCCAGCCCGTCTGGTCAGGTACGTGAAACCAAACGCTGACGAGGTAAAAGCAGTAGCCCTAGTTACGGCAATGAATGTATATAAATTGCTAGCGATCCATCTCGGCTTCGCACGGGTGCAATGCTGAATTTTAGAGGTTTCTAATGCGATTTCGAACAACGAAATCGCATTAGAAACCTCTAAAATTACCAGTGTTTCTCTACTACATTATGCATGAATAATTTATAAACCTTCCTCTTAAATCACTCTATCTATTAAAGAAAACCTCATCAAAATCCGTTGCGATGTTTTAAATATCTAAGCATGTATAGGTACAGACAGACAGCGGGTCGACTTTGTTTTATACTATGTAGTGATAATAATTTTTATTCACTTCAGACAGTAGCATATGGTATCTTCGACGGCTGTTTGGTTGGAGACTTGAAGGAATCCGGTTTGGTTGAACTGTCGCCGCTCAATATTCCAAACTTCTACGCAACGAGGGCGTTGGCTTGGAGCGGTGATAGTACCAGGTTGGCGCTCGCCTCCCAGACGGGCGCTGTCATCCAGCTTGAAGCTGTGCTGAGGTAGAACGGAATAGACCAGAGTAATTTCAATCGATTACCTCGGCTCTGCTCATCGATTTCGATAAATAACCCAAGTGTTAATCCAACGTATAAACTATAACTATTACTACCAATAGGAAAGTAAAGTACGTACTTTCGTATGGATAATAATTTTATGAAGTAATGAGCATATTTAATAATGATATTCAAACATTTTTGTGTCTGGTTTATTCAAATTTGAAGGATAAATGGATAAAAGTTTTAGGCCTCTGCGGGAATCGAATCTACTTTTTCCGGAATCACCCAGTCGCTTTAACCTAGCTATCTAAAAGTATTTATCCACATTTTTTCCCATTTTAAGAATTCTTGGCGCATCAGCGCTATTTGAAATGTAAATTTTTATAGTGCTAATCTCTGCAATAAGAGGTAACATTAAAATTTGTAGAAAAAATTAGCCCAAAAATATTTTCGCTCTAGCGGGAATCGAATCGACGTCTTCTGGATTCTGTTGTATTGTTTAAGAAGACTCATTTATGCCCATAGTCTAGTAAACTACATATCTTTCTACAAAAGAAGGGTACATATTTGAAATTTAATGCGGTCTCTGATGGTTTATTAACTAGAATGCTCGATTTGATTATGTTTTAATACTGTTCACCTATGTAGTTAATATACTATCATCATTGATCAATTATAAGCAATCTAAACAACGAAGCCAGCTCGGGTTAACTAATAAAAAAAAAGGCTTTTCTAACAATTAGCGTGTGTGTTTATTGTTTGTGGTTTATGTTTAGAAATTATTTGCCTTATAGAAGTGAGCGAAGAAATTTGCGGGTAAAGCTATTGTTTTTATTATTGTAATTTATGTTGGACCTGGTAGAAGCCTATCAGACGTTACAGTTGTATTTTTGCAGACGTTGGGTGTGGCGTGACACGGTGGAGGTTCAGCACGTTAGTCCCCGTCAGCTGGTGATGACAAGGCTCGCCAACGACGCACCACCCCTCACGGTCACATCCAAGCACGCGCCTGATATCTTCAACGTTCGTTTTGTTGGTAATTTCTTCAATGCAATCAATGTTGGTTTTTGTTTGATTGTTAAACTATAATTGATTATTATATAATTAATATTATTGATATTATGTAATGAAAAATGCGCCACCTTGTATATACAACATGCAGTGAGCTTTTTATCGTAATTTAATATTGTTCCACTTAATTTTAAAGTTTAGTACCACCGATAGCAAAAAGTTTCCCATATTTTGCGTGCTTGAGTATAAAATTAGAACTAATCTCCCTATCCAATTATCAATTGATTTTAATAAGTTGTGGGTTATTTAACTTATTTTCAACTGTTGATATAACTTAACTTGGCTTTTCAGGTAATGATTGGTACGCAGTGTGTCGTACTAGCACCACTTTGATACTGTGCGATATCGCGCGCGGATTGACAAGCGAGGTACGTTGTGTGTGTGATATTTCTTGGCACAAAAATATGACCAAAAACAGTAATATCTAGCTCTACATAATTATCTTCTACCTGCTTTCAAAGATCTATTCCAGTCTTATAAAATGATTCAAGGTCTTTAAAAAAATAAACGATTTACCACAGCTTTGACCCCTGCTCGATGAAAATAAATGTCCGAAAGCATCAATTTACGGGAATAAAGATGGATGCTACTATAATTTGATATGACAATCAATAATTTCGGTTACGGAACAGACATGTGATTGGGAGCATTATTTTGATGTAACATTTTTTTAATAGTAAACCCGGGAATTTCTTTTTGATTTTATCACGTAAACGACTCAAAAGGATGCAGTTATGGGGCGTATCTATTGTTTCGCATTTTTCAAGGCATTCCACTATAACAACAACCTTAGTATAAAAAATGAAGCGTTAAGTCATTACCGTAAATGACAATTCATTTATTTAACGATTCGAAACAAATCCTGTATATTGCATTACGATTATATTGTAATAGATTCCATGGTCAGGCGGTGGGGAGAGAATTTACGCAGCTGTCGGTGGCGCGTGTCTTTTGCACCGAGCTGGTGAGCTCAGCGTCGTTGAGTACGGACTGGACCAAGTTCTGCACACTGTAAGTTGCTTATTGCAGTATCATATCGTTTCAGTAATTTTGTGTGTAAGTGCATTGAACGTTTTTCATGAATAAAAATGAATAAAATATAAAGCAAATCGAATATTGTATGTTCATCATCTACCCACCCTCTTTTACTAGCTTGTATTGTATGTTTGTAACGAATATTCGTTTGCTGTTTTCACCCGTTACAAAACGTCAGATTGATTTAAATTTTGCACACTTATCGATAACAATGAAATAGTTTTACAATAAATAAATAATAGTTTAACGCCGGGTTTCTGTAACACTGATCATTGTAGATCTCAACTAATCTGCTGTCAAATCGCTTTTCATATTTCATTTTTGTTTCCAAAAGGTTGGTTAACTTCTCTGAATTAACCAGAATGATCTTCTCAATGATCAGAATAATCAGGGCGTAAAAGACTTAACACACTTCAATGGTAAACCCAACAAAAAGTAAAAAATTAATTTCAGTATACGAATAAAGTGATTAAAAATAAGTTTAACGTCATTCGTAAGTAAGCGTGGGGTGCTCGATATCAAGATTTTAGTACAAAGCATGCCCATGCTTTTTTGTTGTAATAAGTAACGAGTGACTTTGTAAAATGTTCACGATCAGGTGCGAACGGAGCGTGTGAATCCGCATGTTCTTAGTGTTCGGGTGAACGAAGGCCCGACGCATTCAGCTGATCGGAAGCACCTCGCCTACCTGCTGGACAGGCAGACCGTCGCAGTCCACGATATGGTTACAGGTGATCTTTTTTTATGTGAAAAGTTAAACGAGCAGACGGTTCATCTGATGTTAAGTGATTACCTCCGCCCATGGACATCTGCCACACCCGAGGGTTACAGATGCGTTGACAACCTTTTGAAAATTGGGCTCCGGCTACCGCACTCACCAAATTTTTTTTATGTGAAAAGAAACGCGAAAGTATTTGTCATACTTCCACTACGCTGGTCTTCTGTGACGTCATGGTACTTACCCGGACGGGCCTGCCCATACATACGTGCAACAGCCAAGGCTGCTGCGTGGCCCTACCACCGTAAAATTTTTCACGTGAGAAAGTCGCAAGCGACGAGGCAGTCCACTTGATTTTAAGTTATCACAGCACTCTTGGGTGTGCAAAGGCAAAATTATGTTACTTCCACTTCACGCCGGTCTTCATTGAGCTTGTGGTCCTTCCCCAGACGAGTCTGCTCAGTGCAGCTGTTTCTGTTTATTTATCACGTACTCGTAGAGCTATTTAGATAGCGAATGCCATGTCCAATAGCATTACACAAGAAATTATTTTCTTTTACAATATGACAGGCTTCCATAAACTATGCTTACTATATATTTCATTAATGAATCCTTTTTTGATTTTTGACTTAATTATATTAACATTCGGTAACTAATTACGATACTATGCAAAAATTTCGCTCGGGTCATCGAGTTTTATCTTAACATAAGAAGGAAATCATGAGAGTATTGAAATAAATTTAATAATGCAGAATGAAACGGGTGAAAAGAAGCTTTTTAAAGATTAAAAAAGTAGAACAGATTAATCGTAGACTGTGTTGAAAGGCTTATTTAAATATTTAGGAGTTCAACTGGGTCAGTGGTGGCATGATACGCGCGTGGACTGGTTGGAGCTAAATGAGAGCGGGCAATTGTTGCTCTTTAGGGATACCCGTCGCACGCTTAACTTGCTACGACTTGACAAGGGCGAAAAGGTACGATAACTAAGGGATAAAAGCTTTAACAATAACTGTTACATATAATTTATTATGTTACACTAACAATGATGTAATGTAGGTTGTAAGAAACTGGTTTCTGAAACGTAAGCGCTTTTTTTACGAGTTCAGGCTTGCTCAGTGTGTGATTTGTGTCAAGTTCCGAGACCGGCGCGCCAACGCGTCAAGCTTTTAGATGCAGGAGAAAATGCATGTACTTGCAGAAAAGCAGCGTTAGCAGGTTTTGCGCGTGCATATAACATACATATTTTTGACTCGGAAAAAAATAGGACGACGTTCGGTCCAGTGAAATCTTACAAAATCTAGTTAAGGAAAGGCAAGAAAGATTTCTTTTCCTGAGCAAATATTTGCATCGTGAATTTCATTTGATATATCCCATTATTTAACAGTTTGTAACATTCAAAACATTTTCGAAAATCCAAATCCATATCATTTTGTTTTATTTACTTGTTTTTTCTTTTTTAAGTTTCATTTCGATACAATGAATATCTATATGTCGAATTTTGATAAACTTTATGGTAATTGGTATACTTTTCAAATTGCAATCAGAACTTTTTCGTTACGACGTACATTTGTTGTACATTTATTTTCTGTGGCAGGAAACGATTGCGCGGGGCGTGAGTTTCGTGCAGTGGATTGAAAACAGCGACGCAGTTGTTGCGCAGACACAGACTCATCTGCTTATATGGTAATTAAAATGCTTTTCATCAATATGCAGCTAAATATTTTGAAACTTTTGCATTGCCGCCATATTTGTTTTTATTTTATAGAATGATTCGTATTCTTCGACATGTGAAGTTCGTCAATTAAACCATGTGGTTGGCTTTTTACCTCTTTATATAAGGAGGTTATTTCCAGCCATGGGATAAGTATGAAGCAACAAAACTGATTAATAAAGTCAACAACCATCGGGGTCATGATCTGTACTGAATCTAATATGTGAATGTAAGTGACGTATCACCCATTTACCCACAAACTTGTCCTTGGTTTCATCAAACGCAGAGATTAATAAGACCTATCAATCTCGGCGTTGGATGAAGCTTAACAGTCTACGAACTGGAAGCAAACACATCAGTTAAAGTTGTTGTCAAAGGACAGTTTTGCGTATAGGAAATCCAATAAACGGAATTTTTATGCATGCTCCCCAATCACATTCGAACTCTCAAAGTTAAGATTGCGAAATTTACACCCCTTACTATTCCATCGCTGACTGTTGTATTGTGACTGGTCGCGGTAGGTATGATGCATGGGAGCCAGGGAGCGTCGAGGCGGTGGAGTGCGAAGGTGGGGCGGCGGTCGGCGTGAGCGCGCATCGAGTGCTCCTAGACGGAGGCTCGCTGTCCCACGTGCAGCTGGACGAGCATCGCTTAGCGTTCAGTAAGCACTCGATTTTTTTTATGCCAAAAGTTGTCATACGAGCAGACGGTTCACGTGATGTTAAATGAATACCGCCGCCCATGGACATCTGCCACACCCGAGGGTTACAGATGCGTTGACAACCTTTTGAAAATTGGGCTCCGGCTACCTCACTCACCAGACGAAACGCGAAAGTATTTGTCATACTTTGTCTTGTCTTCTGTGACGTCGTGGTACTTACCCGGACGGGCTTGCCCATTAGTGCAACAGCCGAGGCTGCTGCGTGACCCTACCACCGTTGAATCTCTTTGTAAAATGGAAGTGTTACACCTCTGCGTTTTGTCTTTTGAATTAGGTAGTTGGGTCTCACTTTACTACTAAAAGGTGTCAATGCATCTGGAACCCTACGAGTGTTGCAAATGTCAATATGCGTCGGTTATCACTTAACGTTAGGTTACCAGCTAAATAGATATATATATTACAAATTTATTCAGGTCACTTAGGATTGTACTTCTCGAATTTTCAAACACCCTAACGGCATCCATGGTAGATATTGTTCAGCGTTATACGAAACACAACATGCTATAAAACCGGGAATGGTTTCAGCTTTTGTTTGAATTTCGACTTCTTGATTGTTAGATAGCGCTCTACGCGGCGGCGATTTGGGCACTTGCGCCAAGTATCTGGATGGTGTGGGTGGAAGCGCGGACGTGACCGTGCTGTGGCGCCAGTTAGCTGACCGAGCGTTGTCTGCAAACGACGTTCAGGTTTTGATATAAATTTTTCGTTGCTTCTCGTGAGCTAAAATTAAAATTAAATTGGCCTATTGATTAAAAAGGTTGCTCACCCCTGGTCTAGAGGAAGCCTTTGGCCAGCTGTGGGATTTGTGTAGGCTGTTAATTTTAACTGACTTTACTTCTTTAAATTAATCTGTGTAAAGGAACTTAGTAAATATGTTGACACAGTTGGCTGCGAAATGCTATCGCGAGGCGGGTGACGAGGCACGGTCTCTGTTCCTTGATAAGACTGTGGAATTGGCCGCCTCACTGACCGGTGGCGACGTCGCGGCGGGTAACGCTATTTTAACCTTAGTAAAGAGACAGAAATTGCAACACTTTTTTCGCTATTGCTGCATATTTCATGACCAATTTACTCTTTTTATTGGCAATCCATTCGTTCTTAGATTCTCGATTGTAAAAGAAATTAATAGTTAAAATTTTAACAGGCTTGAAGAGTCCTTTGGTGCAAGCGGAGCTGGCCATATTGTCTGGAGATCTACCGACCGCGGAGGAATGTTATGTACGGCGTGCCGGCCGGCCTCAGCTGGCCATTGAGATGTACCGCCGGTACAATATGTGGTCACAGGCTATTGCGCTAGCCGAGAAGTACGACCCACCCGCAGTGCTCACGATGAAGCAGCAACACATGGATTACTTGATGTCCACCGGTACTTATTATTTAATCGTTATCACACGTTCGCATTATCAACTGACTTCTAACTGGGGGAGGTTTTCAGTAGTGTTTTTTATGTTAACTCAGAAAGTTGTCATTTATGAAGCGATTTTAAAAATATTTTTGCATTGAGTCTTGGTTTAGACCCCATGTGGTTCCATATTAATTTACTTGTTATTAGACCTTGGACTCCGGCGATACACCAAGGAACTCCCTAAAATCGAATTGAAAGTGTACAGTGAGTGAAAAACTAGAAGTCGGTTATTTTGTCAATAAAAATGTTTTATGTTTTCCATATCACGATTTGTGTGTACTCGTTTTATCGTTAACGTAATAAAGCATTTGCAGTAAGAGAATACACCTCTAAAGGAAAAGCATTGCGTCGTTGCCTAGAGCATTGATGAGTCAAGTTTTCGTTAAGCAAATGATGTAATATAATTTTCTTTGATGATGGAATTGTGGCCTGTCTGGCTACGAGCCTCGGGCTCTTGCAGCTGCGATAAATTTTGTCCTTTCGTAACTGGAGACTGGCACAGCACACTTGGATAACGGTAAACCAGTTTCGGCCCTATTAGTGTATCAATAGAGTTGACTTCGCGTGTGCAAGGTCGGGTGGGCGAGGCGGGCGAGGTGCTCGCGTGCGGCGGCGACGCCCGCGGCGCCGTGCGGCTGTGGCTGCGCGGGGGCCGGGTGAGGCGCGCCGCCGCCGCTCTGCTCTCCCACGCCGCGTTGCTGCGCGACGACGATCTGTGGCACGCCGTGCACGCGCAGCTACTGCAGGTGACTGCAGTTCACTTCTTCGATATATTTTGTTATTCACTTTTATTTTTTATTTTTTTTTATATTGTTGTATATTTGTTTTGTCATTAACTTCGTATTAATTAAAGCGCATAAAAGAAATGGGGATATTTTTGGTAAAATATAACAAAATAACATCTTGTGGAAAGCTGGTTCAGAAGTTATTTTATTAGTGCAATTGCGCAGGCAAGCGTACCTATGTACGATTTACGCCAAGTATCGTAAAAATAGGAGACATGAGCATCATTAGCTATTTTCCTTGGATTAGACTGTTAATCAATATTATGTGTTTTTGTTCATAATAAGACGAATTTTATAACCGTTCATAAAAGTTAAAAAGTAAAAGGTTGTTTTAGGCAAACGTAAATAAATATTATTCATTGCTTTATGATTGAATCTACTGTTTTAAAGAATATATGTAGTCACGAAAGCTTTGTGGATAAAACATGACATTTAAGTATGACAATTTAATAAGAATTTTATGTCCATGTTTTGAATCCGACCAATAATTCCTACTTTATTTTGTATAAGGAGGAGTGGTGGGAATTAGCTGGTGAACTTTCCGAGAGGAAAGGTGATACGAAAGCAGCTGTAGAATATTACGCTAAAGGAAATAATTATGCGAGAGCTGTTCAATTGGCAAGAGAGGTAAGTTGTATTCATATGTATGTCATAAGTTTAGACTAAGATTATTTTTCTTTTTTAAAGAAAAAACTAATGAAAATCCAATGTACTGGAAAACATTTCGTGTTTTTTTGATTGAATTCATGTGAAATTGAAACAAAATATTATAATTTCTCACCATGGGATGCTGTAATTGATGTTAAACTCGGTGAAATGGGAAATGTCTCTACCATTAGAATTACGATTAATCACGTGAAGGTTTGGTTTTTTTAAAAACAATTGATTGCTAGCATCCTATCTATAGATTATTCAGGTCATTTTAACAATTTTTTATTTCAGAATAAGATTTTTTCATTTAAAAATAACAATTAAAAAAAACGCTTAGATCACTCATGAACATCTAGAGAAAACACATTGTAAAAAAAGATACTCTATTTTCTTTAAAGCTATATGTTTAGGAGTTTTATTAAAATATGTAGAAAAAGATTGTCCCCGTTGTGGGAATCGAACCCACGTCTTCGGCATTCGCGGCCTGACGCTCTAGCCACTGAGCTAAACGGCTGATTGCCACACCGACGAAAATCTTAACGCATTCTTCCACATTGTTTTCTTAGCATTTGAAGCAATGCTTGGCGCCATCTATTGTTATATCCTTTCCAGCATACAAACAATTTCGAATATCGTTTTACAACGATAATTCGAACGAGAGATGTCGCCATTGCTTTTTTAGAAGTTTAAATTATTTATAGTGCTAATCTTTGCACTTAAGATTGAACATTAAAATATGTAGAAAAAGTGCGAAAAGATTGTCCCCGTTGTGGGAATCGAACCCACGTCTATTAAACGGCTGATTGCCACATTTAGGAGTTATAAGCATTTTTTTATAAGATCGAGGCAGCTATTCAAACATCGAGAGAGACGGGACTGTAAAAGGACATCAACGAATGAAATGAAAAAATCGTTTTGTTTTTCGTTTACTACTCATACCCATTAAACTAGCGGATACGCTAGGAAGAATGCTGTGCTATGTTTTTCTAATCTGTTCTAGATTATATTGTCAACATCTGTTGCTATAACAACAATAAAGGTCTAAATTATTATTTTATTTCTAACTGTTTTGTAATTTTTAAATGAAAAATTAATAAAATGAACTGATGAACCTATACATACTTATATGAACTTATACAAGTTTATAAAACAATTCCGCTCCCTGCAGGCATGTCCGTCGGAGGTGACGCGTCTCGAGCGCGCTTGGGGCACGTGGTTGGTAGGAGCGCGGCAGGCCGGCGCCGCAGTGCCCCACCTCATCGAGGCGGGCGACACGCGCGCAGCGTTGCACGCCGCGCTGCGAGCGCACCTCTACAAGAAGGCGCTACACATCTTGCAGGTGCTCTCTCTATTCCCTTGCCCCTTTCCCGTTCTCGCTTTCAGTGTCTTATTTAAGATTTTTGTTTTTCTACCGTTTGTTTTTAAAGTTTAAGCATCACCGATCTCAAGGAAAATTTCAATCAACAAGCAATCTTTTATTTTGTAAAATCAAACCTAAACGAAGCTCCGGATCCGATCAGATTTTGACATCTAACATCGACATCGACAACGTATGGACAATAATGCGTTAAATGTTTCGATAACTAGTTTTACGTTTTTAGGTCATTGAAGACAAGGACTCTATTCGGGAGCAATGCGTGCAATTGGGTGAACATTTTATTTCTACCCAGGTATAAAGTTGTTTTTATTATTTTTAATTAAGTATTATCATTTTCTTAGTTTTTACCATAGAAAGTATTGTCTGTTAGCGTTTTTTCGCCAGTACTGTGAAACTCAATTTCGATGGGAAATGTGATGGTAAAAGAATTCACTATATATTAATACAAAGTAAACATTAATATGTATATGACACCGTGACACTAGTTCTTTGATGTATTTAATCAAAATCAAACTAAAATTTATCAAAAAATTATTTTAAAACAAAATTTTATTTATTAGATATTTCATGAAATTTTTCAATAATATGATTTGAATACGAGTGAAGACTGTATGTAAAATTTGTAATACTGTTGAAGTAGCATTATCGTATATACTAACCCCTAGGACTGGGAGACAGCAGAAAAAATCTTGACTTCTTGTGGTATGGCTGAACGTTGTGTCAAAGCCTACAACGCCGCAGGTCGTATAGGAGATGGGTTACGTCTGGCTGCCTCCTACCTCACCGAAGAGGAAACTAGACATATATATCTGCCTCTAGCCCAGCAAATGCGTGAGGAGAGTCAGCTGAGAAAGGCGGAGCAGATCTATATTGGGCTTGGGGAGCCGGATGAGGCTATCTCGATGTACAAGGTAAGATTTACGGCTTTCAAGCCCATTCATCGCCAGATGTCGTTGTGTGTGGTAGAGCAGACGGAGTACTTAAAATATGTAATGTCCTAAAACATTTAATACCTCAATAAGTATTAAATAACGTCACCAAAAAGAGGTGTTAGTTGAACCATGAATATATTTTTTGGTTTGTAATTAACATAGTGTGCATACAGTTTAAAAGATGGGCTCAGTTTTTAACATTAGCTTCTAAAGTATTATATCGTTTCTACTTCGACGGCCAGGAGTGGCATTTGCAGCTTAAAAATATTTTCCTATTTTCACAGATTTAAAGACATGCCTATATATATATTGTGTTACTCTTCGTAGGATATCAGTGAAATAGTACGTAAAGTCAATTGATATAGGTCAATAAATTTCCTTGCACGTGCACGGATTTGGATAGGATTTTTAACATATATGCTAAACTAATAATGGCCGTGTTTAAATTGCTCTTACTAATTTAAATTAAAAACAAAATCTAATTGGTATTCTATCCAAAACTTATGGCTCATTACATATACTCATTTGATAACTCTTTTTAAAATAATCTTACTTTTTAATAGTTATTTATTTATAAATAAATATGTATAGGAGGCATCCCAGTACGAAGCTATGTTGCGACTTGTGGCAGCTCATCGGAGTTCACTACTAGAGGCGACTAGACGTCACGTTGCGCAAGCACTGCATGCTTCTGGTGACTTGAGGGCCGCCGAAAAATACTATATTCAAGCTGGTGACTTTATTTATTTTTAATTTATTTAGTATTGACATACAGCTAATACTTACGGGCTAGCTTAATGCGATTGTGTAGAAGAGCATACTAAGTAAATATACACTAATCCAGTAATACAAAGTTTTTATGCCTCAGCTATATACCAATGTCATGTGACCTTTGATGTATGATGTTCGCTCTTTCAGTCTAAATACTTTATTGTTTTATAGGTTTGGTTATTCAAGCAATATAAGTGGTCGAAAGATAGCTTTGAATCGGTTTTATAGCGGACTGGCTTTTGGTTCAATATAATTCTGCAATCCACACTCGGTTGATTTGATTCTTAACGGCCCGTTTCAATGCTCTGTCTACAGATAGAATTGTTACTAGCGATAGATATCAGACATTAACTACATAATACTTACGTCAAAACTCTATCTCCAGTAACCAAAGCTATCTGTATATTGAATATTGAAACCGGTCCTAAATTTTATGTCAGACGACTGGAAGAGCGCAATCCAGATGTACAAGTCGAGCGGGCAATGGGAGAACGCCGAGCGCGTGGCCCGAGCGCACGCGCCCGTCGCCGCCCAGCAGCAGGTCGCGCTGCAATGGGCCGCCGCGCTGCCCCCTCCCGCCGCCGCGCGCCTCCTAGCTGCCCGGGGCCTAGCGGCCGTGGGCGCGCGTTGGGCGCTACAAGCGCAGAGGTACGCCGACGGCCTGACCGATAGACGTGACATTTTTGGATTTAAACCAAAACTGATTTCAGTAGTGGGCACTATTGAAATCAGTTTTCATTTAAGTGGATGGGCAATCGCGCTTATTATCTAACTATAACGACAAACAAAGACTAAAAATCAAGATTTTCATTCATGATTTAGCCTAGGCTTAAGACTAGTAGAAAGTTTTTTTGACGATTACGTGTAAAACTTTTCCCGCGCATTTTAAAATCGACATATTTGGGACAACGATTTCTTTACATAATACTAAAAATGGAAATGAGTTCAATAATAATAGTCATATTATTTTCATGGCTTTATTTTATCACCTTCTTCAAAATCAATACACCTACAGATTCAATGAGCCATTCCAAGGCCACGGCATTTAATAGAAGTAAACAAGAGCAACAACATCTAGAAGTCTAGCTAACTGTTAGCAACACAATCGTGTTTAGTCCTTAATAGATGCGAGTACTTATCCATATTTTTATAAGCACACGGTTTCCTCGCCTTCAACTTTAAACTAGGTAGGATAGCAGGCCGCTTGTCATAAATTAAGAGGAGGAAGAAAATCAGGTGGGATGTCGCGAGCGAACTGAGCGAAATGGGCGGTGGCGTGACGCGTCGCGAGGTGGCTCGCCACGAGGCGGCGGCGCTCGCGGAGCTCGAGCCGGAGCGCGCCGAAGCGGCGTACCTGCGCGCCGGCGCCGCAGACGACGCGGTGCGCATGTGGCTCGAGCGCGGACACCACCAGCGCGCGCTGCGAATAGCCGAGCAGCACGCGGAGCACATGGTGGGGACATAAATCCAGTTACTATGTACTGCCCTCTTCATACAGTCTACCCCAACTCTAAAATAATTAAATAACAATAATAATAAACATTTATTCCTCACTATAATCCACAGAAGTGACTATAAACTTGAGATAAATATAAACTATGATTGTATGAAGAACTCTTTTTAGGGTAAAGCTCGACATTGTACGTTTTTTTAACGTTGACTTTGGGTTCAATTTATGTTGTTTACAATAAAGAATAAGTTATAAAATAATATACAGAAATATCTGAAAACAGAAACACAATATTAGATAGATGATTGTGGATTTACACTTGAACTAGGACGAATCCTGTAACTATGTTTAAGAAAAATTAAAAATAAACTATGTTTTTCAATTACGATTTTGTGTGATACGAATAGTAGGTAACAAGCAACCAGTGTGAATAGTCACTTTCAAGCTTCACATATTAGAATTAGGAGAGGCGGTATAACGATGTTACGATTTGTATACTAAGGTTGAAGAAGTGCTGGTGGAGGGTGCTCGGGCGGCAGCTGAGCGTGATGACCTTGTACAGTTTGAGGCGCTGATGATTCGAGCTAATCGGCCCGGCGAGGTCGTGCAACACTATAGAGAACTGGGTTCGTGATGTCTACTTGCTAAGGCACTAACCATAGATTTCGGTGCAGCGGGCCGTGGGTTCTATTGCCATTCAAAACGAGTATTATATTACGTTTAAGTAATTGTACCGAGGTAATGTTTCAAAAAATAAGTACTTTCTTTACCAAACGTACAAAGTAATCATTTTGATACATCAACAGAAATGTGGGAAGATGCAGCACGAGTTGCAAGAGAGTATTTGCCTGACAGTGCGGAACCAGTACCTTCGACAGTTCCTCCCTTATTGCAACGAGCCGCCGATCATGCTGACAGGTAAAACCGTTAAAATTACGAAATATAGTGTCCGTGCATAATATAAGAAAAAGTTTGACAACTTAAAGTCAAGCAAAGAGCTGAGTGAGCAAGGAGATTTTTCGTATATTAAGCGTAAGGATAAGCAGTAATAATAAGCAGTAAGGATAATAATGCCGCAGTTTCAAAAGTTGATAAGCTATTAATTACCGCTTGAGGGTTCAGTCTTTGACTTGAACGCGGAGATCGATTAGGAATCTGGCTGGTGATACTGTATGTTTTTAATACAGTGGATATTATTATCTCCAAACTTCATGGCAATGTCATGAAACAAGAAAGTTAAATAAGACTAAGCATAGACGGTACAAATAAAAGAAGACTATAAGAGATGTTTTACCGGATTGTATTCCCGCTGAATCCGTGTTTGTTTTTTTGCGATGTATAGCTGAAGTTGTGGACATGATGACCATTTTTGATGTGGGATCAGAGGTGAGTGGTGGGAGGCAGTGCAGTTGCTGCTGGGTGCCAGTGCGGCCGGAGCTTCGGGCGGCGCCGCACGCTTAGCAGAGCGCGCTGCTCTCCGCGCTGCGAGATTAGCACGTGACCATCTGACTGGGCAACGTCGCCGCGCCGCCGCCGACTTGTTGGCTGACAGGTTCAGTTGTGATTCTTTATTTTTAATTATATACACATAAATAATCACGTCTGTTTTCTCGAGGGGTGGCCGTAGATTACAAACACAGATTTTATTCCAAAACAGTTTTCTATGATTATACTTTATTTTGTTTGGTTATACGTATAAAATTCAGAAAGAAAATAAACTGGCAGGGGGACGTACGTTCGACCAAACATAATTAATACAAAAATCAATGTTTTTCTTAGATTTAACGCTATCGGCCAGAGTGATGTTGGAGAGCAATTGCGAGCAGCACTCGCCGAAGGGGACGACGAAATAGCCTCAGGTAACAATTATAAATAAATGCATATATGTATATGGAATGAATGTTTAGATATTATTAATGATTAGTGAGAAATTGGACTGATTGTTATATTAGCAATTTTTAGCTTTGTTTGCGTAGGTCGCGTAACTAGTTAAAGGTGCAAGACTGGTACTTGTTAAAGATTCGCTAGAGAGTAAATGTAATGAAATTACATAAACTAGAAAAAAAGAAACTAAAAATATTACTAATGCATTATTATGCATTAGTGAGTCATGTTTCACTATGATGGATTATGTACTAATGTGGATTACATTGTAGACCTATCAGATTGATCTAAAAAAATTGTTTAAAGAAAAAAAAAAATTTAAGTTGTTGAGTTTTTTCTAAAATATTTAATGATTGTATACATAATACGAATTTTGTATTTCCTATGTGCAAGCAGAAAAGTAATATATCCAGAAATTAATATATAATCTGAGAGATCTGTAAATTTATGATCATATAGTCACGACTGTGTCGATGTCTAATTTTGTCATCGAAGGCACTCCTGAAGAGGATGAAGCGAGCCCGAGCAAGCTGCGCGAGATGCAAGCGGAAGCGGTGGCGGAAGCGAGCGCTGAGGCGGAGGCAGAGGGCGCGGCGCTGGAGCGGTTGGCGCGCGCAGGCCACTGGCAACGATGCCTCGCACACGCTGGCCGCTTCGCCCCGCACTACGCGTTGCGTCACGCCGCCCACCTCTTCAAGACGCATTCGGTACTTTCTTGCTTCTTCTGCTTCTGCTTCACGTCTGCACTTTGTAATCGTCCATTTGACGTCGTTTGTCCTCTTGTTTGTCGTTATGAAGTCATTAGTTATTTTACTTCTTCTGTTTCTATTCTGATCTTCAGAAGTTTAGGAAGGCTCGTCGCCATGTACAGAAATTTATGTACACATTTTAAATGTTAGTTTCTGATTAATTTATCTACAAATTTTCATCTTGAGCACTGTGACTAGCACTAAAAGTAAAATTTAATTTTAATGGCCAATGCTGTGACTAGCACTAAAAACTGTAAAATTTAAAGTTTTGTAATGAAAAAATATTTAATGGCAAACAGATTTAAACCAATGCGTCATACCTCTTACGGTTACAAATATTCATTCTAAACTGTCATTTGAGAAAGTGGGTTTGCTAAAGTTTGCTGTAAAAGAAATGGCAAACAAGAAAAAATATTTAATGGCAAACAGATTTAAACCAAAAAAAATTCCAGCGTATGGAAGGCGTCGACGTGGATAGTGATGACGTCCCGGAAGCTCTGTCCCAAGCGTTGGATACATTGCGCCAGCATATTGTGGGAGATGCAGAGAACGCAATACAGAACAGCGATGAAGCGCTGGCGAGGGCTGTGTGCAGCGAGCTCCTGGTTCGCGTGTCAACAGCTCCTCTAGCCCTTCAAGCGCTGAAAGATGCCGCTGCTATTATGCTAGCTGCGGGGGCGGACGACCGATCGTTGCAGGTGCTTGATTGTACATTATTAAATGAAACCATTACTAAAGATTTTTTCGGAACGTCTGGAATTTGTTGAAAATAGTCGCTAAAAATTTGTAAGAAATCCGACAGACATTTTTAAGCGATTTTAGCTTAATGTTGAGGATTTTCTACAGACTTCATGGCATGAGGAGGTTCTCAATACGATGTTATTTTTTTATGTATGTTACCATGGAACTCGGTCATTTATGAACCTATTTTAAAAATTATTTTTGTATTGGATTCGTTTTTGCTCACATGTGGTCCCATGTTAATTTCATCTTGGGATCATTGTATAGAAAATATATAGCGTGTGAGAAATTTGTAATTTTTTTAATAAAAATATTTTAATGAAATTCACAATTGATAGTTTAAGAAAATAACTTTACGTAATTGTCAACCTGTTTTTGCGTTCCATTAAATGGAAGAAGTAGGTTTTGAGTTTATATGTAAAGTTTTTCTTTTTATCCTAATTTCTACACATACATGTAAGGATAATTTAGTTTCAATTACAAATTATTTAACAGCATTTTTGTTAATTTCAGGCAATTACTTTGTTGCTTGGGCTCCACGTACCACAACTTGCTCCCAAAGTGGCGCGCGCGCTTCCACGGTACACTGATATTATTGTGGCTGACGTTGGTATGAATTGCCCCTTCCTGCCATAGCAGAAAATGTTTTGTAGCCTTACCAAAATTATTGTTACTCGATTACACGCAGAATGAAAAAAAAAATGATATAATTTCAAACGAATTGTATTTGAATTTCATTACAAATGCTCCAGCTAAACACCTCTGCATCAATTGTAATTGCTCGATTTTCGAAAACCTGTACGAACTAAAACATCATTAGGTGCATACAATCCGTTTTTTAGTCGATCAATAACATCAATGATATTTAAGAAAAAAAAGTTTTACGAATTGCTCATACTCTGTCCGAATTAATTATTTGATTCATTTTTAGGGTTCCGTACCCAAAGAGTAAAACGGGACCCTATTACTAAGCTCGTCTGTATGTCTGTCACCAGGCTGTAATAGTTGAACTTCGCACAGATGATGTATTTCTTTTGCTGCTATAACAACAAATATGAAAAAGAGAATAAAAAAAATATTTAAGCGGCGCTCCCATGCAACAGACATGATTTTTTTGCCGATTTTATAGATAATGGTATGGAACCCTTCGTGCGCGAGTCCGACTCGCACTTGGCCGGTTTTTTATGACGTTTCCTTGTTCGACCAACACCGTGCAGCGTTCCTACGGTGCGGGGTGGCGGTGCGCGGGGAGGGTGCGGGCGGCGCTCGCGAGGCGTTCGTTCTGCTCAACCACTGCCTCGACCTCGCAGAGGCGGCCGACGACGACTCGGCCCACCTGCTCGACTACACGGACTTTGGTAAATGTCCGTGAATGAGTGGTGACATTGGCGGATTTACCAGCAGGCTAAGTAGGCTAGAGCATAGGGCGGCAGATTTTTGGGAGCGGCATATTTGGCCCAAAGTTTTTGTCTTCCACACATGTCTTAGTTATTTTTAAGGCATACCTCACCCCGTCTTATAATTAAAACATCATTTTTTTTTGTTTAGAATTAACTACACAGTAGAAACTGACACAACGGAGAAAACCTCAAAATCATGCTAATAACAAGAAAAAGCTGGTGTATTGAAGAAGATAGAGGCCAAATCATAAAGTTGCAGTTTTATTGACAGAATAAATTAGTATGATTGTGAACTAGGGTATCGGATTTTAGAGGTAAATAGGGGGAGAAAAATTTGAACAGCCTATTGGCGGCAAATTTGTAAATTCGCCACTGATGAGTGACGAATGAGCGGACATGCGTATACGCGAACCCTGAACAGTCGAGTACAAGAACACCGCGATATGCCAACTCGGGTGAACTTGGTACACAAAATCATCAGAAGTTTGCGCGTTCCCTTACGTTGAACAAGATTGGCAAGAATTCTGTTATTAACTCTCTGTCTACACGCTCTGTGTTTTTTGATAGTGATAATGAGAAATACTGAAATATTTATAATAGGCATGGAGGGATGATACAATTGAGATATATTTAAATTCCATTATCAATAAACCAATAACAACAAAATTTGACGATCACAAAAAAAATAATCCACTATAAGGTACATTGATAAAAGTAATGCAACTGTATTGTTCTTTCCAACTATTTGTGCTTTGTAGAGGTGGAACTTATAATGCAGCTTTTATTCTTTATTAGGTATATACAAAAATGCCCACTTTACACTGAATGTGATTGAGACATTTTTTTACATTTACACTTTTAATGTAACGTATCGTATAATGTAGCTTTTATTTTTCATTACGTACAATAATGCATACTCTTTACGGAATCAGATTGATACAATTTTCTTTTACATTTCTTATTCACATGTGATGACAACTTGTCGAAGCGATTTTTAATTGGCGGTCGTGTGACCACACTTGTGCAGAATGCACGGACTGGCCTCGCAGTCCCCTGTTGCTGGAAAGTTCGTGCGTGCGCGGAGAGTCTCTGGAAGAGCTTCGCGAATGGGTGCTCTCTGTTTCTATGGACCAAGCAGTTGACCAGGTCACTATTTTTGTCCTAACACAATGTTTTAATCTTGTCTTCTTCATTACGCGTCGATGACAAATCCGTCTTTCCGGCCCAGAACTTAGGCACTTCGACAGCACAATTTGTGGCATCCATCAAATCCTGCTGCGAACAGGTGAAATGGCAGTTTATTCTTGTATAGCAAAAAAGAGCAGTGACAGCTCGGAGGCCGGGCGTTCGTTTATAATTCAATATACTGTACTCAAATCCCGGTGCCGGCACCAGTAAAATTGTTAATTGCAATTTTAAATGCTGAATTATTACGTGAGGTGATCATTGCCTCTATAATAAATAAGGCGAGGGCAATCAATAGATAATTATTCCCAGATCCGGAATAATTATCAATAGTGAATACGAATAGTTGACACCGGGTAGGATTCGAGCCCACGACCCGCGACTTTGAAGTTCATCGCTGTGGCCAGTGCGCGAACCACGTTATGTTTGTGCAAGCTTTTCTTTGATAAATGTGTAGACAGAGTTAATAATGACCAAGTTATTAATGGTTTATCAATGTTTGTCCCAAACCCACCTCGTTTGTTCACATTTAATTGGTTAATTACATTTTAATATTTTTTTTCAATTGAATCTTAACACTTACAATGTATTGGAAGTGTTAAGATAATGTAAACACGTAGATAAATTAACGTAGTTTCATCTAGCTGCGTCTTGTTAGGATCTAGAATTGTTTAACCTTTGTTTTCAATTGTTCCGGTCGTTTTTGGTTTATTATTAGACCCTGCCGGTAGATGGGCGTGGCATGTACGCGGCGAGTGTCTCAGCAGACGAGCCCTGCTGCGTGATCACTGGACACCCGCTAGGCTCCCGTCTTATTACATTTCCCAATGGTAATAGAACAGTTACTTCTGTCAGTTGACTAACAAAGGAATATAGAAAGCGTCGAGACAAAACTGTCCCAAAATTTTTCCCCGCAACTAGGTTTCGAATCGGCGTGTGCCGGATTACGCGTCCAGACATATTAGCGGTCGACATCCTCACCACGAAAGTCTCGCGTGGTGACGATGTCAATCTACTTTGTTTTTATTATACTATAAATAATAAAAATAATATTATATTATATAGTCATCCTCATCCTCGATTTCATTCGATAAATAATTTGGGTATCAATTCGTTCTGATATTTTATCCCAAGCCTCGTTCCCACGCCGAAATTTCTTTTCCTCTTCAATAAAATATTATTAATGCAACAGCGAAGAATGGTTGCATGTATGGGTCGAAATCGGTTTTGTTTCGTACGTTGGTAAAAGTCAGCAGCAGGATTTATCCGTGTAACAATCTAGGTCGCTGCGCCAACCGCGAGTGGTGGTCGCGCGTCGGCCAGGCGGCCCGCGCGGGCGGAGCGGCCGCCGCTTTGGTGCATCACGTGGCCGCTTGGTGCGGCGCCCCGGACGCGGCGCACATGTGAACCCACACAGCGTCAGCACACGTGCGTACCTCCACATACACACACGCACACAGATACGAACGAGTATGCTATGTTTAATATATAGAGCTAACACACAGCCAAATATATATATATATATATATATATATATATATATATATATATATATATGTATAATAGTTCGTCCTCGTTTCTGAGCACTTGCTTGATTTTTCCAGCCAACAGCCGTCATATTCACGGTCTATAATGAACCTCGGTGGCTAGTAGGTGATATCATCCAATAAAGATAACGCGCGCATCAACATGCGCAGGCCACATTGCTCTAAGAACTGATGACGGAGTAAAGGTTCTCGAGTGGCGACGACGAACCGGAAGACGTAGCGTTGGAAGGCCTCCCTCTAGGTGGACCGACGACATCATAAGAGTCGCGGGCAACCGGTGGATGCAAATGGCAAAGTTTAAATAATGATGATGATGATGATGATGATGATGATTGTAAGTTTGAAATGAATACCATATCCGTGTTGCCACTATAATAAACTGTTATGTTCCATTCCATAATGCACAACGAATTACATTAAATTGATTTCAATTGATAAAATGATTAGTCAGTGTAACGAAAAATTTTGTTTCAGGTATGCACTAACTAGCTTTTCGGTAAGATGTACGTGTACCGGTTAAGGAATAATAGATTAATATGTATGAAAAATATATATGTTATTATACCTTACAATGTTAGTTTCATTTCAAACAAACATCAGTTTTATTTAAAAAAATACTTTCGTCTGACTTATACAACTGAAAGAAAAAATTGTTTCACTGAGTGTAAAATATTCTAGACTGGCTGCGACTACGTTTGCGTACAATAGGCTGAAGGCGTAATATTCAGACAGAAAGATAGATATACATAAAAATATATATATATAAATTATAGCCTATGTTTTATTCTGATGTATAAGCTATATTATTGTAAAAGTTTCATGAAAATCCATTCAGTATTATTTGAGTGAAAGAGTAATATTAAGAGTTTATAATATTAGTAAGGATTACGAGTAAATTTACCAATCAATGGTTTCCGGCATAGCCATCATGAGAACAAAATATCAAGATGCCTTACTTATTATATAAAAGCTATTCTCTGGTTGCTATGCTAATCTACAAACAATGTATTGTGTTTTAACCACCGTTGGGTGGTTTTAACCATCGTTGGTGGTTACGTAACGTACGTACGGAAGAAGCGAGTTTGATACTATTTTTTTTATGTGTCAAGTAAAGTAAATACCGCCACCCATGGACATCCGAGGTTTCCCGATGTATTGAAAACCTTTTGAAAATTGGGCTCACTCACCAGACGAAACACGAAAGTATTATACTTCCACTTTACGCCGGTCTTCTGTGAGGTTGTGGTACTTACTCGGACGAGCCTGCCCATTCGTGCAACAGCCGAGGTTACTGCGTGGCCCTACCACCGTAAAAACCTAGCAGCGGCAATAAAATTTTCGTCCATTTTTTCTACAAATTTTGTTGCTTCATCAGTGAAGAGATTAGCAGTATAAAGACTTAATATAAAATACTGTGTCTTAAATATGTCTTGTGTAGCTAATGACATGAGGAAGAATAGGAAGAACTTTGATAAGAAATGTCTCACTTGTATCTGTTTATCAAGATATTTATAATTATTATTACATTTAGTTTAAAATAATATTGGGATTTAGGTTTTAGGTATGCTATGGGCTAAACAAAAAAAAACATCATATTATATGGCTATAATAAACTCTTTTGTATCACATTTATTTTAATAATATACTTTGACACACATACTTTTACGTAATACAATTTGAAGGATATCCGTTCCCGTGGCGAATGCAGCATAAATATATTCGAAAGTTTTGTATATTCGAAAGTGGTTGTGTAGCTATAACCTTATTATAACGCTGCCACCAAAGTATATTAAATAATTCAATTGTATAAGTAAAGTTAAAATCGTTTTTTAAGTACATAAAATGAAAATATTTATTTTATTAATTATTATATAGATAAATAAATAAGCTGCTTCGACACGAAAACGGCGTTTGCAAATAGTTTAATAGTATCTAAACAGATGTAATACAAATCTAAGGTAGGTTGTATATTTAGGTAAAAGTTAGTTTTTCTCCGATACCATGCCACATTTCGTCACGGCGATGTGGAGCGTGGCGGGAATTAGGTGAAGCACCTTTCTCGTGGTCTCAACGAGGATATGTGTAGGGTACAATTTACTAAATTGTCAAACCAACAGGTATCGGGGTTATCGAGGCACAATATAATTTTATAAGTTAATATTAAAATGTATTTGTTTCTTACGTAAGAATATTTTTTGTTATACATATAATATTATCAAGATAGTAAGCGTAAAGTAGTTTGATCAGTTCCGACGTCGGAACGATTGTTACAAGTAGGTATTAAATATCTAGACTTTATTGATATATTGAAAAAAGTTTTCACAGCTTTCATAATATAATAATATATTAACCTAACTCAATAAAAATTTTTAATGTAAAAAAATATGTACGTACGCGTTGCGTGTGGTGTATATATTGTGAAGGCGTTTGTAGATTCACAAGGACTTAGATATATCTTTCTATATGTTACTTTCTCTCAGAAATTGTACGATCAAGTTAAAGTAATGCAAGGTATGTAAATATAGTTTTCATATTGTTACTCTAAGGCACGCATCGCTAGCGGTGCATTAAGGTTTCTACTGGAGTAGACGGATAACGGCTCTGCATGCGTTCAGGAAATATTTTAAGATCATGCTACATCAATAAATATGAATATTGTCTGCCGAGCAACTACACTAAGACAGCATTGGAAGAACACAGATTTATACCATTAAGATTGCGTAGATATGTAGTTCTTATCTAACACCGATGATATAGATATATATATATATATTCTCCACAAAAAATATCTACATTAACAATATATTTGCAGTTATCTAATAGTTTGCGGTTAGGCCAAATGGGAAAATGAAGAGCTTTCAATCCTCTACAACGAATTGTCTACTTATGGAAACCTAACACTATGTTCTCTGCTACTTTATATTAAGGGTGACACACGAATTACGCCGATACCATTTTATTATTCAATGAGTATTTAATTTTAACGACAATTACTAAATTATTAACTAAGGGACATTTAGGTGTATACATATCATATAATATGTAATTATATGTGTATTTGTCAATTTGCTCCAAGTAGAAAAACGCTATAAAAGACGAACGATAAGGAATAGTATCACGAAATTAGTTGTGCGTAGAAAAATTTTGAAAAATAAATTATTTACAGTTTGTAAACCCATGAAGGAAAGAGCTCTTACCGAACTTTTTAGGGAAAATTCACTAAAGCACAACCTTGGAAGAATAGTACCTAGACGCACTTACACGCTAAAGTCACGTTTAAGGTCTAGTTTAAGGCAAAGTTATAGTTGGGGTTATTAAGATGACCATAATAGATACATTTCCGGTGCTAGTGACCGATAGTACAAATACATCTTATCTTAATACTACATCAAGTATTATCAAGAACTAATGCAACTCACAACATTAAATATATGAATGGGCACTACAACGACAAAATTTATTATACAAACATGTCTAATATCCGAAAGAAATCGATAATCAAGATCTAGAGATGTTTTTGTTTTTTTGATTTTTAATGTCTTATAGCTAACACTTAATTAGTAAATATATTAAAACATAAGTTCATATAGATAATTACAATTACAAACACATTGAAAATAGCGTCGGAGTTAAGTCCTTGCTGATACGAGCATCTGTTTTGTAGATTAAAGTTTTGAAATATTCAAATTTTTTAAATATGCTGGCAGAATGTATGGAATGTCTACAGAGAGATTTTATGTGAGGTCCATATGTCGTAATATATGTACCCCATATATCTTAACCATTAAAGGGTATTTCCTTTTCAGATAAATAGATATTATTAAGTATTAGACCGATCATCTCGTTAAATCGTAATTTTAGCACATTTATTTTCGAAGTTACATACGGTGAGCGTAATCCAAGAACTACTCGTTAATTCACACGCTTCACCTGATTTTTGAGAAATATTACCTATTCTGTTTGCTCAAGCAGTTTCGATGTCGCGACTAATTTTCGTAAATTGATCACAAAAGCATTCTATAAGCTCCTTTACAAATACATATACACATGAATAAGTTTACATACAATAACTCCCTTGAAGATACATTATATAAGTAAACATTAAAGAAGTACTCCTAAAGATATTCACATCGCCACGAAAATACTATAAATAGACACGACTCATATATATATATATATATATACGTTGAGCGTCCTCGGTTTGATTACGGGGCGATTTCCGAACGTTGTGCGGATACATTTATGTGGTCGCGGCGTGTCGTGGTGTGTTTGGTGGGCGAATCGAGGGGGGGCCGTCGAGGGCGCGCTAGTATTGGCGCTCCGGCGACGGCTCGCGCGATCAGTCGGGCGACTCGTCGGCCGCCAGCGACGTGGCGGGGAACAGCGGGTACCAGCCGTACGTGCGCTGCGGCAGGGTCAGCTTGTCGAGGCAGATCTCGACGCCACCTAACGCGAGGTTGTGCTCGAAGCCGCCGCACCGCTGCCACAGCATCACCACCAGCGTGCGCCCGAGCGCGTCGCTTGCCTATGAGACAGATATGATTAGATATTAATAATAAAATTCGTTATTTGTAATCAAAACACATCTGCACAACGGCCCTACCCACTGAAGAGGGCCTCACGGCCCTACCCACTGAGAAGGGCCTCGCGGCCCTACCCACTGAGGAGAGCCTCACGGCCCCACCCACTGAGGAGGGCCTCAAACCCATGGGTTCTGGCTAGCCCACCGATTCTGCGTTCGATGAAGCTTTAATAGTCTAAGAACTGAAAGCGTTACATCAGTTATACAAAAACAAATACAAAAAAACATCTGCACATTACAGTCATCTATCATATATTAATATCATCCACAATTTAGTAAAACCTACACAGGTTAATGGCGCTACAATGACTGTAAAGCACGTTTATTTGTCAATTTGTTCGTTTTGAACGAACAGATCGTTCAGGTAAATAAGCCGTATCATTTTAATAATGTAAATAAATAAGCCGGTATCATATTCTCATAAAATAGTCATAGGAGATCCCGGAATCTGAAGGGGTAGACTCTGTGACCCCGCAAGGCGACGCGGTATCTCTAAAAAGATATCCTAAATTATATATTTAAATTATCAAGAAAATAGAAAAAGGAGACCCAGGCCTACCTGATACTTCAGAGTCTGCTTGAAATGCGGCTCTGTGGTGCGGCGGACGACGCGCGTTTTGCGCTTATGAAGCCATTTGTCTCCGTCGCGCAAGTAGCACTTGACGTACGAGTCGGGCACTTCGCCGTTGACGCCGTACACACGGCGGGCGTGAGATACCTGCGAATATTGACAGTAATAACAACGCAACAAGGCCAAACTGGCAAAAATAACATTAACTACATCGTAAATCGTAGGTTGCACAAGAGGGCTTAGAAAGATAAAGAGCAAGAGAGCAAAACAGGGAAAGAAAGACCAAGACAGAGAGACGGGGAGGGACATAGAGGGAGAGGGAGAAAGAGGGAGAGAGAGGGAGACGCCATGCGCACCTCGAGTTCGAGTTGCCCCTTGATCATGATGATGCTGATGTTGATCTCCGCGTGCAGCGGCGGGAGCAGGGCGCTGCGTGGCGGCAGCTGCCCCGGCCCCAGCTGCACCCCATCGTCGTCGTCCACCCCCGCCACCCCCTGGGCCACGGGCACCGCCGCCCACATACTGCCCTTGCGCCCCGTCGCCGTGCCTGCGCAACACCCCCGTACTGTCCACTCCGCTCGCGCCGAACGCCCCACCCACTCCCGGCTCATCCTTCCCGCTCATTCGTCGTCAGTTCAACTCGACATAGAAGAGCTTCACATCCTTAACGATCCATAAGCCACTCAACATTTAATTGACTCTCAGTTTCGTAACATACAAACAAACGGTACAATACAAATGAAGTATAATAATGAACCATTTAATTGTACATTGAGAAATCAAAAACATAAAGCACGTCAAACAGCATCGTGCCAACGTTAACAGAGTATTGTTTACGTGGAACTCGAATTGACTCCTCTCCTAAACATATAGATGAAGAAGAAGCGTATCAACGTGAGCAGCCAAGAGTGTATTCGACTTTCTAATAGTTGCCTGAAGCGGTCTCCAATCAGTATGGTATAAGCATTCCGTGTTATGAACAGCCATTAGAGAAAGTTTGTCGCGATCGTTAACTGTGAGTAGAGCTAAGGTACAGGGCTCGCGCCGGCCGGCGGCGCGGCCGAGCTACGGCATGCGAGACCGCGACGTACTGCGGCGACGCGTTCGCGTTCGCATATGCAATCATTCCCTAGCCTAGTTCATACTTCAAATAACGTTTGGAAAAACTTTGTAATCTTCTACGGCCTAAGATTAATAATATATGAACAGGAAATCTAATAGAAGGCGCATCGTAACAATGAATGACATTCGCAAAGTTAATGATGTCCATTCCTAGGCGAGACAATGTCATCGATGAACGGAGACGGGCAGCCGAACAGACGGTACACAGAAACAGATGAAGTGAGCGTGATCGCCCGCGGCCGGGCATGCTTCAGGACAGAACAGAACAGACACAGTGATGTGATGGAAAGCATCGGGCGCAGCCACATTCAACGGTGCGTGCGCGCGGCCGACGCGCAAGCGATGTATGACCCATGCTACTACGTGCCCCACCGTCCTATGCTGTTGCCCACCGCCGCGGGGCCAGTGTAGCGTCGTACCGCAAACATGCACATGTCTGTGCACGGACAGGTGCATGTTCACGGTATGGGGCTCACCGGCTTAGCGAGGGTCGGGGAACAGGATCGGAGCTGGGGGCTTTCGGCCGTCAGACGTCACAAGGGATCGTGTACCGACACCGCGCACGAACAGACCCTGGGTGGGCACGCGCGGGCGCGGGCGCGGGTGGCTTACCGAGATGCTAACGGTCCGTCGCTGCTGACCAAACAAGCACAACATGTACATGTCAGTACGCTCATTTTTGAATCGGTTAATAGCCGCTGCCATTGTAACTTGAAAGTAATATATGACACATTATTCAGAAATACAGATTCTCCCAATTAGTGTAATTAGCAATCGCCATTTTTCATCAGCAATCGCACCTAATCAAAGTGTTTTTGTAATTAGAATTGGGATGTTCTTTTAGGATACGGATAAAAAACAAAATGGATCACAATAATAAAATAGTATTTACACGTTTCACAAGAACTGATTGTGTACTTTTAACGTTTCACTAGAAAACTAGTTTTATATTTTTTAAATTATATATCATATATTGTGGACCCAATAGTTTATAGCTTATTTAACAAAATTTAAGATGTTTTTATCTCTTTTTAGAAAGCTATCCGTCGCTATTAAAAAGAAGTCTATCGAATATCAATTAAATTCAAAAACTATTGTTGCCACATATATGCTTGGTCCTATAACCTAAAAGACGTGTTTTTAATTCCGTGCAATGAATATAAACAACAAGGAAACAGGAAACATACATATAAACATATCTTAATAAAGAGAAAAAAGTTTTGTAATACTTTTGTAATATAAGTATGGATACTTTATAATGTATGAAAAACGTGAAACAACTTACATGAAAGCTTTTATTACATCGTAAACATTGATTTGTAAACAATAAAAGTCTATAAAAATTCATTCCACGGAACCAAAACCATATAAGCGGTATTGGGGGAGCTATTTTGGATCGTTCTACAAAGACGGTCGAACGCGTCGATAGGCTGTGGCGTGTCGGGGCGAGACTTACGCCTGGCGGTGGAGCCGGAGAGCGACAGGGTGCGCCCCAACTCGCCCTTGACGGCGCGCAGCGAGCGCAGGATGTCGTCGGGGTCGCGGCGGACGCACGACGAGCGGCGACGCTCGCTGCGTCGCGAGCCCGTCGGCACACCGCCCTCTGCGCCCTCTGCTCATGTACGTATGTCGGTAGATCACGGCCGCCACTGCCCTACCGCGCCCGTAGGGAACAAGGCCCCAGCCAGGCGAGCCGCCACTACCCTACACGGCGCCCGTGAGTAACGAGGCCCCAGCCAGGCGAGCCGCCACTACCCTACACGGCATCCGTAGGGAACGAGCCAGACGAGACCGCATTCGATACGTCTGGCGATCCTATGCAGCCTGTCAGGCCTCTAACGAATTATTCGCCGAAGACCCCAAGTTTGTCACTATCTTGGACGGTAAAGTTTGTGTCTATGTGCTGTCATGCAAACACCAACGCCATAGACTACGTTTACAAATTCGGTCGCTACATTTTGTATAGCCGATTTCCCACATCGATTTAAAATATTTATAGATGATGATGTGAATTGTTAATGAATTTAAGCTATAGGTCCAGTTGCGTTTTGTTATGTGCAATTAATAAGTCGTAAGGCACAAAGCTATATTTTATACGCAGTGCTTTATTTAAGGCGCATCAAGTTTGTTTAAGCTATCTACAGTATATGAGTATACTCGTATCAGCGCACTTTGTTGTGTAAACACTTTACCTTTTTCCTGTTGTTGGAACGAAGAGCGGCGTGATCCAGGCAGAGAACGGGAAAAGTCCTTCCCTAGTTGGTAGACCTCCACTTCGAGGGTCTCAGACTGCGAGGACCCTCGTCTTGATCCGGCCACCCAGGCGTGGTCAGGGTGCAGTAAGGATGCACACTCGCCGATCGAATCAACATCATCTATTAATATAAGTCAAGATATACCTAATTAAAAAAAAGTATCCAAAATCTGTATTATTTACATAACAATTATAAAGCACTGAATTAAAGGGTGTCCCATAAGTAAAGAGACAAAACTGAGTGTTCATATCGGCCAAGAAAAAGGTTTAAAAAAAAGAAAATAACTGTTGCCACAAATACAGTATCGGTAACAAATCTGTCAAATTCGCGTGGCTTTGCAAATATTGTCGATATTTTTCTAACATGTAGCGAATCGAACGAGAATCGTTTGCAAAAAGAGTAATTCAGTACTATCTGAATAATGGGAAATCACAGTTCGTCATTTTTCTCAAGAAGGGGCTATAAGAAAAAGTTTGCCCGGTCCAAAGTACGCGAAAGACCAAGAAGTGCGTGCTAAGCGAGCCGTCGAGTTTACCAAAAAACTTTGAAAAAAATTCTCAAGATTGATGATGAAACTTATGTACCGGTTGACCCCTCTGATATTCCTGGGAAGCAATACTTACATAATACCAGTCGTGATGAGGTGGATTACAGCGAAAAAGTTAAAATAAAGGTTAAATTTTTAAGAAGTATCTGGTTTGGCAAGCTATAGACGAAAACGACAATGTTTCCGAATTATTTATGTGTGAACCCACAAATTTATCTTCAAGAGTGTATTATGAAGCGATTAATACCGTTTATAGACAAGTATTATCAGAGGGAAGACGTTGTATTCTGGCGGGATATGGCTTCGTGTCATTACGAGTCTGAAGTCACTCAGTATTTGCAATCTATGGGCGTCGAATTCATATCGAAATAAAACAATGCTCCAAATGTTCCTCAAGCTCGAGGTATCAAAAAATGTGTGTAAAAAGGAATACAAAAATTGTTCAGAAAAATCAAAAATGTTGACATCTTTCAAACAAAGATTGATTAGATTGGCCAAACGGGTGGCAACAACTTCTGGAGAAGCAGTCATAAGACGTGCAAGCCTTAATTTGAGAAAAATCGACTATAAAGGCATCGCAGGAGCAAATTTGATATAGATTGTATTTTTATTATTATAATGCATAATTTATAATGACACACATAACAGTTGACATACAATTTTTTATTAAAAAAAATTTCATTGACTTGTCTCTTTACTTCTGGTACACCCCATGAGTATAGCATTCAATATTAAAATTCTCTTGGTATCACAGATACACAGATGTTTCTTTCATTATTGTTTTTCAATGTTCCACTAAATGTAATAAACGACCGTGATCGTTTTACAGAATTCACAAGAGTTATAAAATATGGTACCTACGTAAATTCATGTTTTAAACTTAGGTGCAACAGCTTTCGCAATGTAATTATTGTCTTAACATTCATGGTTAAATCCGCTGTACTATAATAGGTAAACCAGGTCTTATACGGTGTTCGACTCTATAATCGTATTTGGCTGGAATGAATGATGATGATTTTTTTATGTGAGAAGGTGGCAACCGAGCTGGCGCTTCACCTGATGTTGAGTGATAACCGCCGTCCGTTGACATTTGTAACACCCGTTCGGTTGCAGATGCGTTGCATAATAAAGTGGGCCCCGGCTATCTCACCGGACGAAAAGCAGAAGTGTAACACTTTCAATCAGTCTTCTGTGAGGTCGTGGTACTTACCCGGACGGACCCGCCCATTTGTGCTTATGTGTCACTACCACAGTACACAGGATGGTGTTATTTCGTTCCTAAGGGCGATCACCGACCAGATATAGAGCGTTGGGAGGCGAAGTCGCCACGTCGGAGCGCACGTGCGCCGGTGAGCGAACCTCGCGGCGACGCGTTGGCAGAACGGGTGCCACGCTCCTCCAGGGTCCACCACACGGCACGCTCCTCGGCGAACGCCTTCTCCAGCTCCATCTGGTTTCAAATTCAGATTTAAATTAAAATGTATATATTCAATATAGAAGCATTACATTTACTAATGGATTGTCAAAAAACACTACAACCAGTACGCACTAGTAGCCGTGATAGCTCAGTGTCCGGGTGCTCGCTTTTAATTCAATATACTCGAACAACCTGAGTTCGATCCCCGGTGCCGGCACCAATGAAGTTTTTAACTTTAAGTGCTAACTTATCACGTGCTCCGCGGTGGAGGAAAACATCATGAGAAGAGAAACATCATCTTCTTTATAGAGGAGGCCTTTGCCCAGCAGTGGGATATGTATAGGTTGTTACTTTACTTTTTTACTTTTACCAATTCGGAAAAACTGAGAAGAAATGTCTTTTAGCCTTAAGGACAAGGCAGTGATATGAGAAACGGCAAGACAAGACAAGACAAGACAAGAGTGTTGTCTATACTGCCCTAGAGTTAGGCAAGTGCCTTACTAAAAAAAAGAAACATATGACCATACATAATATAATGATATACTTTAAATATGAACTAGCTAATGTTTGATGTTTACACAAAAAGCGGAAATTTCGTTTAGGATAGAGAATTTTTACATCTTATATACAGAAGTATACAACGTGGCGCTACTAACGCGATCATAAATCAACACACATATAGAGAAACTTTTAAAAAAATTGTATTAAACATTTACTTTGTTTAAACATCAATATTTACCAAGTTATTTAATTTTCCAAAACAAATAATTTTTGAACATCCGTACGAATAAAACTGTAACGTAAAGTTCATTTATAAAAGTTACAAAGCATATGAATTGTTTCAATGAATTTAAAAGAGATAAAACATACTGTTAGAAGGTGAGACTTGTAACGCGACGTTATGGCAACAAATTTAAAAGTCTTTGAATGTATGAATAAGTCAGTTGTAGTTGTATAGGATGTTACAAATTTTGTTTCTTTTTTATGTAAATAGTTTGTTTGAAATTTATTTATTTTTAATTATAGATTTTTTTATTTTTTTATGATTATTGGCAAGTAGCGTTAGAAGTGTGTTCATTTATTGTCACGGTTGTAACGCCATGCTGTATATCTAATGTTACCGATGGGTGAGTTGGGAAGAGTTGTAAGTAGTACACATTTGTATGAAAATTACTAACAGTCTATTAAATTTTGCTTTGGGTGTGCCACATTTTAGTCGAACAGAAAGAAAAAGCATGATATATCTAAGCGACACCGTCTTCTTCTAATTTTTGAACTATTTAACACATTATATGTCAACAAGAAAAAAATACTTTTTAACCTTTAAACCACGTGATATATATACCATATTACTTGGTTACTTACAGTGCATTCTCCGATTAGCACAGGATCGATTCCTGGGCAGGCATCCCAGAGAGTGAGTTCCAGAGCGCGACCTGCCAGCAGGTCGGCTGTTAGACCACCGAAGCCGAGGGTAGCGTTCCACACTGGGCTGCATGAGGCCGATGCAGGGTCTGTCTCCACAGGCGGGCAGCTCTCTCTGGGAAATTTCGAAATGGACACACAATAGAGATGTCTGTGCACCTTTAAATGTTATATCACCAAGATATGTCAATATTTGAGAAGTGGGAGGGCCACGCAACAGTTTTCACTGTTGCGCGAATGGGCGCACCCGTCCGGGTAAGTACCACGACCTCACAGAAGCTCGGCGTGATGTAAAATGTTATATTTCTGTGTTTCTTCTAGAGTGGCGTAGCCGGGGCCGTTTTTACAGATAATGGTACGGAATTCTTACTCTTCTTGTGCTCCGACTCGCACTTGGCCAGTTTTTTGTAAGGGGGTTTTACATTTACAGAAACCTAGATCAGGGTCAATTAACAAAAACTCTCCCTCACAGACTGGCACAAAGCGGTCGTGCTTTACCACCTGCATCTATCGACTACCCGCATATTTGCATAGGTCGTCACTATCTATTCATTCTAGTCATTCTACGACTCGAACGGGCTGAATTGATGATGACGATGAACTTACAGCGACGGTAGAAGGCGTATCCGGGCGAAGGCCTCGGGCTCGTCCCCGTAGCCTAGAGTGTGGTCGCGTGGTGGGAGGTCATCGGCCGCGATCAGCACCACCACCAGTTTGCGGAGCTCACTCTCGAACCAAACTTGCAGCTGCGCCCTGGCGGGCGGACGCTCCCGGTATCGCTCGTTCCGCTCTTGCTCCTGCACCCCAACATTCACTCACAATTAGTCAAACAGCGATACGAAACTACTCGTCAGATTCCGTCGCACGCTTCGCTGCACCTACAACTAACGCATCATCTAAAGGGAGAGCTGTTGTATTGGCAGCATAAAATAGAAATGAAAAACAATCCCAAAATTTCAATGAAAATAAACTATTTGTTTATCGTAACTTTTGGGGGAATGCATTGTATCAACATGCAAATAATCAGCTATGAATCCATTAGCAGGAGATGCTTTGAAATAAATCCACAACCATTCTTTGCGATCAATAACGATGGCGAATGCAATTTCTTTAATCCATTGAGGGTAGTTAATGTTCATTTCAATTACATACACTTTATTAAATAACATGCTTTTCGGGACATTTCTATTTATACATACATTAATGAATAAAACCTGACGTTCTCGTCCGCCATGCAGAAAGCTGTATCATGCTGATACTGTTTCAAGCCCCATGTATTGTGGTTTGGAAATGTTATTCAAATGAGCTATTTAAGGGTTTAAAGTCTTCATTTTCAATCATTCTCTATTAACATTCTCTAGGGATAAAATTAAATTTAAGTAGCTTGTCAAACATGTATTGTAAGTCGCTATTGCTATCTAATGTTCATGTTAATTAAATTCTCTACAGTAATATGTCATGACAGTATTGTATCGTTCAATGGGCTTAAAATATAAGACTAGACTAAAATTATTTACAATTTATAATCGAAACAGATAGCTGACCACAAATTTAAAATTATAATGTCTCAACATCACAATAAATAATGAAAAGCCAGGGAAATGTCTAATAAACATTTCGATACACGAGGACATGTTACAATAAATTTTGTTCAAACACACTTCATGGCATAATATTTCGTGTCACAGGCAAAGGTACCAGTTCGGTACATCACTATCGGAACGCACACCTCACATTGTGTGACTTCATGCATGTATCGCGTTGGTTGTTAATGATTGTACATTCAACGTAAGTCAACTACATTCATCTGAGGAGCGGTTATTTACATCATGGTGTGCGGTCGCATCGTACGCAAGCTTCTGTAGCGCGCCTGTCGCATAAGGTTTTCCTCCAAGCTGCTATTGGACTAACCATTGCGAGCGTCTTTCATACAATGTGCGGCATTACACTACGCTAAATCAACAGCAAGACTCTTAACGGACACTCGATGCGCAAGACATGACACGATACAAACGGGGAAGTGCGGCGTCGAGTGTGCGGGTCGTTGACAAGATAACTCTAGGGCGTGCCTGGCCTGTACTGCGCTCACCTCGCCCATTCCTAGTCTCCTTGAGGCCGCTACTAACTTTTTCGTATTGTAGGCGCCATCTGTTCCACTAGCCACATCTTGATCTCTCTATATCACTCAATTCCGCGTAAAATACAATCGTATTAAGCAAACTGGTCGTTGTGACAGAACTATCGCTTTGATTTTATTTATGTTGTTCATGTTCAGTGTCGTATATCCTGCTAAGCTGTAAGCGGCAGCTTCTCTAGCTTCACTACATCGTATTTTATGTCGGTATCCAAAGAAACTAATCATCCACAAATATCCTAGTAATAATGTTCGATATCAGGATGAGTTTCCTAAGACTACCATCGAACACTAAAACTGAACGCAGCGATGGTTAAACTTACTGCAACATTTTAGTATCATTTGGTTTTTGTCACTTTTGCCGATTGTGCCCTAAATTCAACTCCGGCCGGCGACGTCGTCGGCATTATGTAATTGGTCGGGTGATAGAAAAAATAAAAATCTGAAAATAAGTAGGTAGCATTTTTTCACACACTTCACTTAGATTTATCATCATATAATTGATATATATATAACAAATGTTAAATATAATTAATAGGTAAGTATTATAAATACGTTAACAGAGTATCCCTTTTCTATACGGTTAGGATAACAAATCAAGATAAAATTCTACAGCCATGAATAAAAGTACTATCATCTTACAACTAGTTTAACGTGGAAGATTTCGGGCTGATACGAGCAACAATATCACAGCAAACTAACGGAAACCATTCTATGCGCTATTTGGCTTTACTCATCCACAACTAGAAGATTTTTTTAATCTTACTATAAATTAACATGTAATTTTCGAATATGCTGGAATTGGAATTGAATTGAATACATTTGGCATCACGAAAATGAGTTAACGCGGGATCGTTGGGCTTATTTATGAATGAGGAAAGTCAATAGACCACGGACCTGCAGCAATTTTATTCACGCTTACCCAACTGACAGTCAATGCTCGGAAAAATAACGCGTTAATAGACATTTAGTTCGATCGAATAAGTTACTGGATCATTAAACCTTCACAATTCCTATTCTGTTAACAGTTAAGGATCAAGACGAAAGATAATTCCGTAAAACTATTTGAAATATATGTGTTGTTTCTGTTGAAATGTCATCTACAACATGTAAGTCGCTAAATGATCCACTAACCTTAGTGTTACAGAGGATTAAAAGATCACAGGTAGCACAGTGATTGATTGACGAAGAGCGGAGGAATAGGCACCGAGTGACAGTCTCTACAAGAGTTTACAAGGGTACGAGCATTTCGCCCAATGTCTTACGGGTTCACAACACTTATTACAATTAAGACCTATAGGTATTATACCGGGGTTTTCGGCAATTTCCGTCGAGTCGGCGACGATGGTGTTTTGTCTGTATCTGGTTCTGGAAAAAAATATATAATATATTTATATATAATAGCTGTAATGTTTACATATATTTTTTTTATAAAACAATTTACTACCGAAGACAGGTGTCGACAAAGAGTAAAAGAAGAAAGAAGAGTTGATTATTTGAAACTAGTGTTTATATACACATAATATTAAAGCAGGCATATAAAGACGCAGGAGACGTTTACTTAAAGTACTTGCGAAAAAAAAAGAAAAGAAATAGTGAATGTACTGAAACATTATTATGAGATATAAAAATGAAAACAAACAAGAAGCAATAAGATCGTCAGAATGTTTAAGCTTGTAAAGGTATTAAAACATGTAGAAAAAGTACGAAAAGATTGTCGCCGCTGTGGGAATCGAACCCACATCTTCGGTATTGGTGGCCTGACGCTCTAGCACTGAGCTAAACGGCTGATAGCCACAGCGACGAAAATCTTAACACCTTCCTTCTACATTGTTATTTAGCATGTGAAGCAATGCTTGGCGACAATCTTTTCGTACTTTTTCTACATGTTTTAATGTTCAATCTTAAGAGCAGAGATTAGCACTATAAAAAAAACTTTAAAATTTATGTAAAGGTAGCTAAAAATAATTTTAAAAGTTATCTTAAAAATAACATAAAAGCAGGTAAAAATAGTCATCTACGAAGTACTTTGACTACAGTACTTATAATTTAATGAACGTTAAAGTGTGTATGTATATACACTTATAATTTGTCATATTTTTATTTGCCGATAGGTTTATAAAAGAAACCCTCAAATTTGATTTTTTTTACTATACAAATACAGAAAAAATGATGAATTCAGTTCCGATTATAGTTAATGAGTAAAAATAATTAAAGTAAAGGTACTTTTAAGTTATATGTACTCTGAGGTACTATTACTAATAAAGTAGTCTCGTCTCGTCAAAGTTTGTGTGCAAATGTCATTTGTTCACTCCACATGTCGCAATGGGCTAAGGGTTTGATAGTATAACACGAACTTATTTTTTTATATATTAAAAATTAAGATTATCGTTTTCAAGACCGCGGATCTAACTTAATACTAAAAAAAGCTTTTCATAAATGAGAGGAATACGTCGCTTTATGGTCTTCGCTGGAAGGTACCGTATAGAGCATGGTGGTGGTGAGTGGTGTGGTGGGTAGGTGGTGGTGGTGTGTCGTCCAGCTGCGGCGCCGGTTCCACAAGCAGCTCCACCGTGTCGCCACCACGCTCCAACACGGCGCACACCTCCTCGAAGCTGCGTTCCGTTAACGGCACTCCGCCCCATTCCAGGACCTTAGGCCAGAGATCGTAATTTTTTTTATGTGAGAAGGTGGCAAGCGAGCTCTCGGTTCACCTGATGTTAAGTGAAAACTGCCGCCCATTGACATTTGCAACAACCGTAGGGTTGCAGATGCCTGGTCACCTTATAATAAAGTGGGCTCCGGCTACCTTACTCAGCAGAAGAAGCGCGGAAGTGTAGCACTTCCACTTCACGCCGGTCCTCTGTGGTACTTACCCGGACCTGCCCGTTTGTGCAACAGCGAAGACCTGTTGCGTAGTCCTACCACGGATAGTTATTGAAATGGCTGATGCTGGCAGACCCCACAGGTTATGAAAAATTCGTAACCAGCACTGGATTACAGAGTTAAAAGCAGGATATTGAACAACCTGGAAAATGCGTGGATAAAATCCATAAGAAATGAGAATTATGAGTAACATGGGTAGAATTGTAAAAATATAATTTATACACATCACGGTGAAAAGTGCGTATTCTGTTTAACTTTAGTCCATCGCTCTCTAACCCCAAAAACACGAGCTAATCAACACAAAATCCTAAATCTACAATTTTGAGTATATCCACGTGGCCCCTATCAAAAAAGTTTCCCAACGACAGAATACATTGTAGAATGAAGAAGGCCCGTTCACGGCATGAAAAATCAAAAACTTTCGTGAGGCTGGTTAGTTAAAATCAATGTTGTGTTTACGAAAAATTACTAATTTGAAAACAATTTCGTATACGTTAATAAACGAATTATTGTTTATTAAGATTATTTAGTTGTAATTAAACATTACTTATAGGAAAAAAAATTCATGTACATTACACGTTGCACGAATTGATTGATACCTTATCACCCTGCTGCAATCCGGCTAGATCTGCTGGTCCACCGGGTACAGTCCACACGATGACAGCCTCCCTGCGGCCGCTGGCGTCAGGCTTACCCCCAACAACTCGCATACCGAATCCCCGAGCTGCTATCATAAATATCACGGTGCCGTATGTGCGTGTCACGATTTTAAGGTAATTCGTAATCAAGGCGTCTTTGACTTTCGTCCAAAATAGCTTCTACTACAAGGGTATTGGAAGCGTCGTCAGCATTTAAATTTTGAGTGGATTATTTATTTATTTATATATTATCTATTGCAAACAAGGTTTTGCAAAGGGTGCACTTAATGCCTTTTGGTATTCTCTCCTAGTCAACCCGGGGCGTGGTGAAAAAACTTGGTAGGCGCATTTAATTATTTATATGGATTGAAAATGTATGATATATAAACACATATATATGATGACTCGGTGGCGCAGTTGTCAAGGTGCCAATTGGTTCCGGCGCCCGGGGTCGTGGGTTCGATTCACACATAGGACAACCAATTGTGTGACCCACAGATAATTGCTTCGGATCTGGGTGTTTGTCCCAGTCAAATTTAAGTTTGTAAAACGCTCTTACAACACAGGATGACGTCCCACAGTAATTGCAACGTTTTTTTTTTTTTTTAAATATTATAATATCATTAGTACTTAAACACTTTTTATATTTTTTATTAACACTGTTTTATCATTTACAATTTCATAATATTCTTATTATGAACACTGCTTTGTAACAACAATTATTACTATAGTGGTTACGCACAGCGGTGGCCCTTGTCGTTGGGGTCGCGGCGCAGTGTGACGCGGCGCGGCGTGCGGTCGTCGACGTCGTGTATGACGATTTTGATCGCCTCCGCGTCGACGGACATCTGGCGAGCGGCCGCCACGGCCGCCGCGGCCGCAGCGGACACCGACGCGGACTCCGCGGCGTCGGAGCCGCGCGACGCCAGCGCCGCCATTGCGCTCAGGGCACCGGTGCGCTGTTGCAGCGCCGCGATGTCCGGCCTGAGATTGCAAATCCATAAAGTTGCAGACGCGTTGCCACCTTTCATAATGTGGGCCCCGAGTACCTCACTCACCAGACGAAACGCAGAAATATGACACCACCACTTCACGCCGGTCGTCGATGACATCGTGGTACATACCCGGACGGATCTGCCTTTTCGTGTAACACACGAAGCTGTTGCGTGGCTCTTCCACAGTTAGTTTTGGATAAAACTTTTTAAATTCTTCAAATCAATCGTGAAAGCATCGTTCATCATAGTCAAAAGATTGCACGATTACACTGATAGTATGATCATGCCGATAATAAAAAAACTTACAAAGGTAGCCTCTCAGTTGTCCGTACGTTATTGTATCTACTGTATGTGTAGTGTGATTTTACCTATTTTGTCATAGTTAATCGCTGCTCTACTTTCTGTATAATTAATTTTGCGAGGATTATACTCATTTTCCTCATTTTAGCTGTTTTAATTTTTCTATCAGGTCCTAAAAGCAGGGTATTGAATGTTATATTTACAGCTGGCTTCCACGGCGACGTATAGGACGTTCTTCATCGACGCTCAGGCCGGTTATTTGCGGTGCGGTGTCCGCTGGCTCCTCTACTCGGTACGAGCTACGTCGGGATCCGGCCCCGCTTACCACGTCCACGGCCGAAGCTCTGAATGGAAAAATTAGATATTATACTTCTGTAATAATTCTATTCTTAATTGAAATTTATGGAAAATTATTTTCTACTTTTTAGTTTGGTTATATACAAAAGCGTGTTTCGAGTTTTTTTTAATATTATTTGTTTTTTATTTCAGCTCACACAAAATCTTGCTTTTTATTTTTTAAACATTTTGAAATACGAACCTACTTGGCAGAAAGACACTATGAGGTATCAAATTTGGAAAATCGCTAATTCTGAAAGTACTGATCGAGATAATGGACAAACTATTTTAATTATTGCATTGTCATCGGTCCTTGACAAAAGTGCAAACCTTCGAAAAGTATGTTTAAATATGTTTATCAGCTACAAATAACACAAAAGCTTTGCAGAGTTTAGGATTAGAATTTTTTCGGAGAAATCTTGGAAAGATTTCTTTATGTCATTATATGACAGGGTTATGTGGGGTTCTTACCCACTTAAACCCTTCACCACCTTCTGTAAAAGTAAAGTAAAGTAAAGTAACAGCCTATACATGGCCCACTGCTGGGCAAAGGCCTCCTCTATACAGAGGGTATCAGGGCATAGTCCACCACGCGGCCCCACTGCGGATTGGCGGACTTCATATACCTTCGAAATATATATATTTTTTTGTTATTATTTCGAAAATATGCAGGTTTCCTCACGATGTTTTCCTTCACCGCGGAGCACGTGATAAGTCAGCACTTAAAGTTAAAAAACTTCATTGGTGCCGGCACCGGGGATCGAACTCAGGTTGCTCGAGTATATTGAATTAAAGGCGAGCGCCCGGACACTGAGCTATCACCACCTTCTGTAATCTCTCCTAATCTCCGGGATCTCCTACCGAACGCATCCATGTCCTTCAGTACTGGGCTCCCTCGCCATATTGCGGCAGCTTGAGGCCACTTCGTGCTGCTGCCAATCCGTGTTCCCTTTTGGTCGCCTTTTACGACAGGCAGGAGATACCTTAGTCCCATTGTATGAGCCCGGGACTGTGGGACTAGATGACGTCGTGTGAGTAATATACTTACCGAAATATTTTATTTACTTGACAAACTCGCAACAGGCGCATCGGCGTACCTGCGCGACATCGGCGGCGGCGCGGAGAGCGCGGGCGCGTGGCCCGGCGCCGGCTGCTCCTCGTCGCAGGAGCGCTGGCGCGGCGCGCGCACCGAGCGACGGCGCGCCGGCGCCACGGTACTCGAGCGCCGCGACTCGACGGCCTCCGGCGTCACGCTGCCACCGCCGCCCTTTAACTGCCGCCGCGGGCAGCGTCGTTACAAACTCAACGTTTCGCTTGTACGATAGTTTCAAATTGAATGCTGCTGAGCTACGCGTGAGCTCTACTATGTTTAGCGCACTTATGATAAGCATCTAATCGCATACAAAAAGTCACATTTCAAGTTTCATCTTGAGTGCAGATACTAGCACAGAAAATAAAATTAATAATAAAAAACTTAAAATTTGAAGGGACATCTCTGACTATAAATAGTCGTCGTTAAATGTTATTTGTAAGGTGTTTCATAATGTAACATATGCACAATTTCTAAAAATGCAATTGAAATTAGGTGAGTTTATAGACCGCTTAGCTTAGTTGCTAAACATATTCGTTACGGAGGAGTTACCCGGAAAATGCTGGTTCGAATAGCTCAGAGCCGAAAGTTTTCGTTCATTTATCTACTAAAGCTCAGATTAAAATTTTTCTCAGATTAAATTTTTTTATGATATATTGAGTGAAAATAATTTCATTAAAAATACTGATTAACAACAGAGTAGTATTCGAAGTTTTCAAAGCTTTTTTGAGTTGTCATATATAAGTAGTACAATGTTCGCATGCGATTAGGCATGGAGGTTGCTTGGAAGAAATTACTTTAAATAACAAGGCCGTACATTGTGAAACCCATATGTTAATGTTCTTATCGTGTATATTTTCCAATGGTGTGTGCAACAAAGAATATTCGTTCATACATTACCTTCTCCAGTTCCTTTAAGGATGCGGGAGAGACGTCGGAGTGGCGACGGAGCTCGGGGGATCTGGGTGGGGCTAGGCCCGTGGACGCGCCGCCGCTGCCAAGGCGCGCCTCAGAGTGCCGCCGCTGCAGCGCTTCCAGCACCGGTACGTCCAGCAAGGAGTCCGTGCTGTCCTGAGCCGCTGGTGGCAGCCTCGGCCCAGCCTTGCGACGGCACACCGAGCAGCGCCAGGAATTCTGCCATAAGACAAAGTAAAGGAATGCTCTATGGTAAAAGGTAACTATGTACATACTTATCAGTTATATGTAGCATTTATTAATAATGCGGAGTGCGACTATACATTTTTAATCACGGTCAATGCAAGTTTTCTGTTACGAAGAAAGAATTGAATTATGAATGTATGGCAGACGCTTCTGAAGCGCAGCCATAATGTTTCAAAGCTCAAAATGAGCTCAAAAAATTGTAAACATTCATATTAACTTTTATCTATTAATAAACGTCATAATTATTCTTTATTTCTTAAACTTATGTATTATGACATATTGAATTTTTTCAAGGAAAATGTTTTTATTAATATATATATCATGGGTGTCGCCTTATGTTTTCTCACCGCTTCCTCTTCGCTGGAAGGTTTTGAGTAGGATGAGCAATCCTCGCAAACGCGGTGCTGGCAGCCATTGCAGATGTGGAACACCTCGCCTGGCTTCAGGGCCTTCAGGCACACGCGGCAAGCCCCAGCACGGGACGGGGCTTTGCCCGCCTCGCTGCAATACCACGATGAACGAAGTTACATAGTTAGATTCGTTAATTATGTTCAGTAGTGACGGTGGCACAGTAATTCAGTTATTACAGGTTTTTGCTCAAGTAGATGTAGTGTTTGACACATAATTTTTATGGAAACTATTACTGTCTTATTCATAATAAAACGCTTATCGAAGGTAAAAAACTTATATTAGTTAAAACGTCTTTTAAGCGTATCAATGGTTCGATAAAAATCATTATTCATAATCATTTGTTAAACTTCCCATAACTAAAATGTCTTTATAATTTTTTTTATTATTTATATTTATTAAACATAATGTTGCAATTTCGTAGAAATTTTTTGAAATTTGAATGATATAAGAATGGTTTGTCTTATTCCGTTAGTATAATATAATTGCAGTTCTGCAGACAATCAAAGATAAAACAATGATACCTCCTTCACATCAATGATATTTTATTGTACACAGCATAAAATATCATAAACACGATAAATTACGAACGTTGCGTCCGCTTGCAAATTAAACAGCGTTTGTTTGGCTATTTTCAATTTATCGTCAGAACTTCAGCATTCTGTCTTAGACGAATCTTTGTTATTCCAATCAAAATACGTAAAGGCTTCGTATTCTATGGAGACCTTAGATTTCATACATGAAAATATTGCGATATTGTAGGCTTCGGTTTCGTAATCCGCGTAATTTTCAGTATCTTATTTTATTAAGATTTATTAAATAAATACCCAAAGAACATTGACATACAAATAGGTTAAAAAAATGACAACCCGGCGTTGGCAAAACGGCGTTCTGGATACTGTACCCGCGTTCTGCATCAGTGGGTGTGGGTTCGATCCCCACTACTGGAAAAAAATATTGTGTGATGAACATAATGTTTTTCGGTATCTGGGTGTTTCTATGTGTATAATATGTACGTATTTACAAAATAAAAGTATGTTTAAGTATGTTTAAGTATGTTTATGAGTTATCTAGTACCTATAGTACATGCGTTGCTTAGTTTGCGACTAGAGAACGTTGCGTAAAAATGTGTCCTAAAATATTTATTATTTATTTATTATGTTAAAAAAAAAAAAAAATTAGAACATAGCTGGTTAACGTAATGTAAAACTATAAATATTTGATCGGTGTATATAATTTTTTGTTAAGTACCTACCTGTCGTTTTTCAGAATGTACAGCGTGTCTTTACCACCGCGACAATAAATGAACACACGTCTAACGCTACTTGCCAATAATCATAAATAAATATTAACTTTAAAAAAAAGCCATAATTAAAAATAATATTTTTCAAAAAAACTAATTAAGTAAAAAGGAAAAAAATTTATAACACCTATACAACTATAACTGACTGATTCATACATTGAGAGACTTTATCATTCGTTGCCACAGCGCCGCATTACAAGCCTCTCCTTCTAACAGTATGTTTTGTCTCCTTTAAATTCATTCAACCCATTCATATGCTTTGTGACCTTTACAAATGAACTTTACATTAAAGTTTTATACGTAAGGGTGTTCTAAAATTCTTTGATTTGGAAAATTCGATAACTCGGTAAATATTGATGTTTAAAGAATGTAAATCTTTAGATAATACAATTTTAAAAAGTTATCCTCTATATGCGTGTTCATTTATTGTCGCGATGGTAAAGACACGCTGTATATTGTAGGTACATCAATTTTCTGAAAGTATTTAGTATATTTTTTGTACTTTATATTTACAAATACAGTTATACTTTTTTTTTATGGGAAAAAAGCAGCAAACGAGCAGGAGGCTCACCTGATGGTAAGTGATCACCGCCGCCCATGGACATCTGCAACACCCGAGGGCTTACAAATGCGTTGCCGGCCTTTTATACTTACCGTTCTGTTTTTGCCGGTTGGGGCGGAGGTTGTGCAGGCGGTGGGGCAACCGCTGGGGGCTCCGGAGTAACCTCCACCGCGACTGGTCTTGGCCCGAGTTTCGTTACTGGAATATACGGAAAAGTATATACAAAAATCCTACAACGCCCCACGTGGATATTTAATTGTTCTCGCGTGGACGCGATTTCGAGCCGAATAATTCGTAAGGCTCCACGTGGGCGCGTACAAAACGGAACGTTATTAAAGCACGTGGGCGAGGAATTGGAAAGAATGTTATTAAGGAAAACACGTGTAACCTTAATTTTATCGTTACGATTGCTACGGTTGCTCAACCTATGAGAGGAGTAGAGATTGCAATGAAAAATTTTTGCGAAGTGCTTTTTGCTTTTGACTTTTTAGCGGCAATATAATTTATTTAATTTACAATACTGTATGTACCATCATATTATCACCATTTTTGATTTACGACGAGTCGACGTGTAGTTTCATATTGTGTGTATTATGTGTTCAGAACTAGCATACCATAAATCGCTCTTAGAATTGCAAGTTGGTACATTATTTATTTAAATAATGTTTATTAAAATTTATTAAAATTTTTATTAAAATTTATTAATTTATAGTAAATTTATCTCTTAAGCACAATGTAGTATTTAGTGGAACCGGACCTAAGACCGAAACAGTTTCAATGAATGATCTCAGTAAAATATTTGTTTTCGCGATTTTTAATTTACATGGAATTTCCACTTGTTTTCTCTATTATGTGGTAAAACCTGTTTCATTTCATGCAGATGCTCATGGGAAACGTGCTCGATGCAAATAGAAATATGCAATACAAAACATAATTAATTTAACTATAATAATCATCGATCGCAGCTCTTTAACACCACTGGCTTTTTGTTTTAGTAATAAATAAAGTAGCAACTTCTAATTTCACCGAAATTTAATATTGCCCTTCATCGTTACGTCAAAACCAACGTTACATTGAGTCGAATTGAAAAGGTTTCAGAATCCAGTACTCTTGTGTATATTTACTTATTGCCAATTTAAAAAAAGATTGCGGCTTCAATAGGTTTCAGAATCGTATCGAATCGTATAAGAAAGATATTTGTTACAATTCGAAGAATGTATGTGGTGTGGCAGCAGCCTTTTGGAACGATAGTTTAAAAATAATTTTTCTTTCCTAAAATGCGAGTTAAATCTACATGATTTCTTTCATTTCATGTGTTAAATTGAAAGTATCAAATAGATTACTTAAACTGATACTCTTAAAATCTATTTACGGCTAGACAAATGTTTTGTTGTATTAATAAAAAAGTAAGGCACTGTTGGGCAAAGGCCTTCTCTTTACAGAGGGTATTAGGGCATAGTCCACCACTCGGCTCCATTGCGAATTGGCAGATTTCACATAATTACCTTTTTTTTATTATGTGTTTTTTACAAGAACATGCAGATTTCCTCTCGATGTTTTCCTTCACCGCTGAGCACGGGATAATTCAGGACTTAAATTTGAGTCTGAGAGACTGAGCTAACAGACTGTCTATGTCTTAGATCCACGCGAATCACTACGGCTTGCTTTTGAAGCAAATAAACGTTTTAACGCTCTCCTTGCTGTACATACTCGAGAACATCAAGTTATATACTTATAACTGCAGTTTCTTGACGGTTTTTCTTTAATCAGGTCTAGTTTAGAGAACCAGTGATAGTTATTTGACGTCCAATAAGAGTTTAAAATCATCCTTAATTGAATAAAGAAATTTTAACTTTGACTTTGATGTGAAAATATATAGCTAGTAAATTTAAAGTAAAAAAATGTTTTAATAAACACAATTTATGATAGATAGAAATTTGCTAAAATAACATTTAATTTCCACTTAGTTTGAAAAGAATCTACATAGGAACGCATACCAGCTTGGGATCCCTTGAGATCGCGTATCTCGCGAAATTTCAGTATGAATATTGAAAAATGCTCGTAAATTCTGCTTTGAGCTTCACTTAGTTGCTATCAAATACTGCGCGTTTTTGCCGCCGACGTTCGTATTATTATGAGCCCTATATGAGACAAAGAAAGTTGTAAATTGATAGATAATAAAGAGCTACGTCTTAATTTACTACGGTTTAAAACTATAAATAAGTGAAACACATTAAACTTATCTATGATTAACGTTACATACATAACACCAATTACATAACTATTTATTATGCAGAAACCTCAACCGGTGACACATAATATACGTAAAGTGGGTGCATAATCTGAGTTTTGAAATAGCCATGATTGTGGCTTTTTTTCAAAGTAAACAAGTGGCTGTGTTTTTTTATTTTTCACAGCGCATGAAGACTGAGAACATTAAATGTTGCTTGAGTGCTGTGCACCTCTAAGTTTGTGGTCGTTACCTCCCTCCCCGGATGAAACGAAAAAGTTAAGTTCTTCATGCAGCTATTTTGTGAGGCAATAGGACAATAGACGAGGTGGTCTATTTGTCTGTATGAACTGTTTCGTAAGTGTGGATCTGATACAGTGAATTTATACCCGTCATTTAAGACATTTAATATACCGTCTGAGCATGACGTAATGGGGAACATTTTAGGTATTAGAGACATATATTAAGGAGATCGAATTGAAATGTAGTATTCTTAATTGTTTATTTAAATCGCCTATCATTACTAATATTATAAAGGCGAAAGTTTGTATGTATGGATGGATGTTTGTTAATCTTCCACACAAATACTACTGAATGGATTTTAATGAAACTTTACAATAATATAGCTTATACATCAGAATAAAACATAGGCTATTATTTATATACATATTTTTTATGTATATCTGTCTTTCTGTCTGAATGTTACGCCTTCAGCCTATTCTACGCAGACGTAGTCGCGGGCAGCAGCTAGTATCAAATAAACATAAACAATGCAGTTATTGAGATAATATTATAACAGATATGTGGCAATACAATTATAGGCACAGTCTGCATTCGACCTCCCTAACCCTTACAATAATTTGGCCTCGTCGATGTCATTTCTATATACAGCACGTGCAAGCACGTAAGAATGTACGTAACTAGCTTTAGTTACAATATACATGTAACCCGAATATAAGCCAGATCGTTAATTTAGGAAGGCAGGCGGGTATTATCCTTGAGATGAAATATGGATATTGCTAAGCTGCGGAGTACGGTATTATTTGGTCCAGTGGGGCATGTGGCACGTATCGATTTTATGCCGAGCGGCATCTAGGAATGCTCTTGAGCAGTTGGCATCCATTCATTGTCTACAATAAAATGTCGGTACGGTATTTATTCTAATTCTATTCCATTACAGGATTTTTCATTTATGAAATGTTTTATATGTATTGTTCAGTGTTCGTTACTTAAAAGTGTTATACATTTTAAATATTAAACTTTTTTCTTGTCAAGTGATTAGATATGTACATAACACATACTTTGTGATGACTTTTATTTGCAATTGAAAAGATAATATAAGACATTATCATCATCGGGTAATATTTAAATATATCCAAATATTGAATCCATTTTCAATGAAGGTGTGTTTATCTTTATTGGACATAAATAATTGTTTAAATTCATTAACGAGCGATGCAGTCGGAGAGAGAAATTTAAATATATATACAAAACTCTACTAAAAGGAAGTAGTCAGTAAAATTTTATAAATATATTTGAATAAAGATTTAAGTGCAATAATGTAAATCGGATAACACTTTGGACTTTATCATACTTCGGATCTTTAATGACAAATTTGATGGTAACATTGTCCTTCAAGGGCAGGTACAGACCTACACAGGTTTAGGAGTTTTAAGATTTAGTAAGCGAACTTCAGAAAGTGTCTTTAATATTTAGAACTTCACTAAACTTAGGGTTGACACGACATGAGGCAAGCTCTCAACCGTCTTAAGTAAGTATTATGAGTATGTTGTATAAGATACCTTTACAGTCAGATATAATTCATGGCGGAAACTAATATTTTAACCGATAAATAATTGATTTTTATAATCATATAAAATATGAGTTCTCAAAGAAACATAAACACGTGTGTATGTGTGTGTGTGTGTGTTTTATAAAACTGTATAAACTCTAGTTAAATCACACGTCGCCTCAACTGTAAATGCGCTCTAAAGGGATTAATTATGAGTTCTATCCAAGTTGTAATTGGGACGTCAAGTTTCAATTCAACTTAATCTCCCGACGACAGAAAACTGACAGAGCCCGCAACGAAGGGACACAATGGATTTTGGTACGAGATTGACAGAGCTTTCATGCATTGAGTGAACATGAAAGGAAGTACTCGTCCGATTTATTTACTCAAATGTATGTACGTATATTAGTGAATTTATACTTAGTACAAGTATTTATAAGTTCCCTTTTATTCCCAAATGAGAGGGTGCATTTATAAGTGTACGAGTTTGTTATTATTTAAAGTAATAAAAACGTTAACATATATGTATACTTTTTAAATATAATATTGAATTAATAAAAAAATAGTTATAAGTATATTTTTTTGTTATGTGAAAAGTTGCCAAACGAGCAGACGGTTCACCTGATGTTAAGGGAATACCGCCGCCCATAGACATCTGCTACACCAGGGTTTGCAGATGCGTTGACAACCTTTTTGGAACTTGGGCTTCGGCTACCTCACTCACCAGACGAAACGCGAAAGTATTTGTCATACTTCCACTTGACGCCGGTCTTCTGTGAGGTCGTGGTACTTACCCGTCTGTGATATTCATGATGACATAATAATAGCTCTTTTTTACGTACGAAGGTGGAAAACGAGCTGGTGGTTCACCTGATGTTAAGTGACAATCATGTATGTATTGGTATTTACTTAACATCAGGTTCCACTTGCTCGCTTGGCAACTTTTCACATAAAAAAGGAATCATATAGAGCGTGTCTTTATAATCGCGACAATAAATTAACACACGTCTAACGCTACTTGTACAATAATCATAAAAAAATATTAACGTTAAAAAATATATAATTAAAAAAATATTTTTCAAACAAACTAATTAATTTAAAAAGAAACAAAATTTGTAATATCCTATACAACTACAACTGACTGATTCATAAATTCAGAGACTTTTTCATTCGTTGCTACAGCGTCGCATTACAAGCCTCTCCTTCTAACAGTATGTTTTGTCTCTTTTAAATTCATTCAGCCCATTCATATGGTTTGTGACCTTTACAAATGAACTTTACGTTACAGTTTTCTACGTAAGGGTGTTCTAAAATTCTTTGTTTTTGAAAATTTTATAACTCCGTAAATATTGATGTTTAAAGAATGTAAATGTGTAATAAAATTTTAAAAAGTTATCCTCCATATGTGTGTTCATTTATTGTCGCGATGGTAACTACTCGTATACGCTGTATACCGCAGTAGGATATAACAACATCAAAAGCTGCTTCTACGCTGCGCTGCTTCACTAAAGTAATTATATATACTACAGTAGCAGTAGTAACAGTAGTTAGTACATATTTTCCACTTGCCTTTGTCTTGTGCAGTAAGTAAGGAAGACGATAACGTCTGTCGCAACTTGCCGAATGTGCCGGGAGATTCAATTTGACCGGGGACACTGTTCGACGTGTCCTCCGTCGCCACCATCTAGAGCAATAAAAATATACGTTATAAATCAAGCGAATTTGACAAAATGATGTACAGTAGTTGGGACCAAGGTAGGTTATAAACATATACTATGTCAGACTTTGATCAAACTAAATAGGTTTTATGCAGTGATATTATATATAAATACGAGGTAGATATGACACTAACGCACCGAAATCGAGACACTCAAATAACACCAATTGATGTAATTAGACTGCAATTCTATAGACTGCTAAATCTTTCCGTATCATATACCTGATATACCTGAACTCTCACATTCACTTATACATACATGTTATATAATGCAAAGCGGATCAAGTTGTTGTTATTAGTAAATGAATGATTATGATGTAAATTAATGTAACGCTTAGAGAATATTTTAATTAAATATCTTCAAGACGAAAAGTTTCTTAAAATTATCCCATCTGAGCGCATTTTAAAAACAAATTAAAAAAGCTTTTTGAAGTGAAACTTCTTTTTCGGGGTTGGAAAAAAATTTAGTGTAACATTTTTGCGTTACGCGCCATCTTTTTCTTATCTTAAAATGTTCCTCTAACGCCATCTAGTGTTGAATAGGGGGTTTTATGTCGTCTTTATTCTTTAGTGGTTTTAATAGTTGACGCTAGATGGCGTTAGTTCCTTCGTTTGTTCATAACAATATATATATATGTGTTATATTAAAGTGATCAGCAAAATCAAAGGGTTTATTTTAATTCTAATTATAAAATTTAAACAATATATTTCGTATTTCAGTTACCATAAGCCATTAATCACACAAATATATAATAACGACATCAATGAAAGTAATAATTCTATTACAATTAATGAAATTGAATAATAATATTTGTAGTAATGATAGTGCTAGCTCTAATACTTCAGAGCACGAATGCTTTTCGAAGCCTCGATCGGCCCCTGGAACTTGCGGTTGCGACGACGATCCAAAGTCCGCAAGTTGGGTTTTCCAAAAAAACTTCACACTTCACTCACAACACTCGCGCGCGAGTCGAATGTCTGCCTTCTACTCAATGGCTGACTATTCGGCAACGAAGGACCATGTACAAAAATTCAAAGCGGTTGTATTTTGGTGAGGTTAATTGAAATAAACAAGGTTCACGTTGCAAGTTTTTTAATCAACAATTTTTGCGGACCCTCATACTAATTACAACGGTCAAACGATAGTGTGTTTTAATTTACTACTAACGCCACCTATATATTACAAATAAGAAACTAAATATTATACAAAGCAAAAATGAAATAATTGTAGAATTTGTATTTATGTCTATGATAATAAAAGCCTTTTATTTAACTTTATCAAATTTAACTTTATTTAACCAATTTCTGTTAAGTTGCATATAGTAAATTATTTCTTGTAAAATAACGTCATAAAAAAGTTTCACTTCTTATGAGTGTACGCTAGTACACGCACACATTTTTTTTTCTTTAAGCTTTGCTAAAGTAGAAGCAAACTGCCAATGTGTCACAATAGCCGAAGCTAATTGCAACATTTAATCTCTTTTTTGAATACAACTATACCTTTTAAAAACTTTCAACATGTCCTTATATTGCAGTTTAAAAAAATATTGGTAATTTTTCTGTTTTGTCGGACCGCGAGCTAAGGTTAAGTATAGATTAGAAAGAATTTAGTTTTTTGACTCATAAATATGTTAAAACGATATATATCCGACACTATAAATACAATGGGAAAATCTTCGGATACCATCAAACATATCTTATTATCGTGTTGACTTAGAATTTGGTTGATTGATTGATTGATAGATTGATTGATTTTTATATACCTACCTGATATGGACTATAGACCTCAGTAAATGGTATAAATTTCAACTTGCTAGGTTTATTCTATCCCAAAAAATAAATCAGTGGTGACACATGGACATATAAACAGATACGAGAGTGATTTAATAAGGGTTCCTTTTTTTTACCTTTTAAGGTACGGAACCCTAAAAATGCACCTAACGAACTCAACCAATCAGTTAGTGGTAAATTAATACTGAAAATAATAGTAAGTCCTTATTTAGAATAGTGAATTTTAATCTTTAGTTGTGCAAACTACGAATTCTGGCCGTAACATTCGACGTCAACGTCATTTTCAACGGAAAAGTATCGGAATATATGGACTACGCATTTATGTTCTTTTCAAAATTAAGTGTATGTTAAAGTAATGATTTATTACAGTGAACACTTTGAATACTTTAGCATCAAATCACATGATAGGTGAAAATAAATAATCAGTTTATTTTAAGTTTGCTATTATAGGTTACATATATGAGTATCCTTACATATTAAACTTAAAATAAACAATAATCATAACTTCGAAAAGAGTTTATATTTGGATTTAAACAAAAAAGAAAACTTTTAAAGGGGCTATACGTAGACCAGGTAATTCTGGTATTTCGTGAAATTTTGTTTTAAGATACCTACGTTAAAAATGTTACCTAATAGTATTATTAAAACAAAAATACACAAAAATTGTATGAATTAGCGACGCGAATAAAGTAAGTCGGAAACTCGTGTCAAGCGACAGCGTGTAGTGATAAAACTCTTCATACAAAAATAACGACCCAGTAATACTGTCGTGAATTTTATGGAGAGCAACAGATGGGGAATGAAATACGCTGGAGACGGAAAATCAATATTGTCGTCTCCCGAACTCAGCTGCGAACTTTTTTTTATTGGTTTTGCTCATGCCTCGCGAGATATCTTCCAACTTTTTGTTTGGTAAGCATCGTAAGTGGATGAATCCGCCGTACGCAAAATAGTAAGGCGTGCGTAAATTGACTTTTATATTTCATAATATTTGTTTATCTATTATTAGTTTGAATGAAAAATATATTTGATACCATATGTTAACCTATTAGTTTTTACGTATTTAAATGGTAGTTTAAACACAGGATCAACTGAGTACCGCAATAATTCTGGTGTTTGGCCTTCTCTTTTACAATCATTTATTTCGTATTTTACATAACAATGTAAAAACCGCCCAAGTGCGAGTTGGACTTGTGCACGAAGGCTACCATTATCTATAAAATTTAGTAGTTTTTTTTATAGCGGCAACAGAAATACATATCTGTGAAAATTTCAATTGTCTAACTAACACGGTCCATGAGATACAGCCTGGTGACAGCCTGAGACTGACAGACAGACACACAGGGCAGTCTTAGCATTAGGGTCATAGGTTAGCATAGGGTCCCGTTTTACCCTTTGGGTGCGGAACCCTAAAAATTACATTAATTTATAATATTCATGTATATTATATTAATAATAGTTAATACATATTTTTTCATGTGAAAAGTTGTCAAGCGAGCAGGAGGTCTACCTGATGTTAAGTGAATGCCGTCGCCCATGGACATTTACATCTCCAGAGCGGCTTGCAGATGCTTTGACAACCGAAACAAAGTGGGTTTACATATTTCTGAGGATACGTTTTTTAAAAGTAATTGCTGGATAAGAAAAAGAGAGGTATTCTAAATTCAAAAGCTTCAAACGTTTCGTATAGAAAGCAGAAAAATGCTCCTCCGGCGGAAGGAACTATGTAAGGCTTCAACAGAGCTAACTCTTAACGGACGTTGTAAAACGTGAATGCTCTGATGAAATCCGGCAAATTTACCGGGACAGCGGCTATAACTTCGTTATAGATACCTCTTAAAATATCGCTCCCCTCACCGAATAATATCGTTATCGATAAATTAAAATTTTACAGGAAAAATAAAAGAGTGTTTTTTGACGATTATTTTAAAGATTGTCTAACTTATGAGGATGAATTATATATCAAATGAAAGGTAATTTTTATTACATCATTTTAAACAAAGTTATTCATTTTGTACTTTCTTAAAATAAAGTTATTATAGAAAACATTATTTACTATAAATGCTAGACAAAACATTTATTTGCAAAATAATATTACGATATTATTCGTGTAAAAAAAAATAGATGCCATGAACAATAATGGCATACCACAATTTTATTCGTTAATGAAAGGTAACCAAACATAAACAGTAATAAATTAAAAGGGGGTTTTTCGCGGATGTAATGTATGTTACATATTAAAGTTTTGTTTGAATACCATTGTCTTATCGTATTATCTACAAAGTAATATCAGTTACTTGAAATATGATTCTCAATAAAACGATAGCTTTTTATGAAAGAAAACCGTTTATTAAGGGAAAGACAGGAAATGGTTGAATCATAATCATAATTGCAGCCTGTTTGAGTCCACTACTGAACTTAGGCCTCCCACAGACTGCCACGAAGCACGATCCTGAGCTACCTGCATCCATCGACTTCCCGCACACGTGTACAGATACTCTTTGGAAACTTCGGCATATCTTCTCGTCTAATATCACTCAATGTTTGAAGACAAAAGTCTACAATCAATGTGTGTTGCCAGTGATGACCTACGGAACCGGGACGCGGTCCTTCACTGTTGGCCGTATGAGGAAGCTCAAAGTCGCTCAGCGAGCTATGGAGCGGGCTATGCCCGGTATTTCTCTGCGTGATAGAGTTCCTAACCAAGACATCCGCAGAAGAAACAAGGTAACCGACATAGCGCAGAAGATTAGCAAGCGGAAGTGGCGATGGGCCGGCCATATATCTCGTAGACCCGATAACCGTTGGGAAAGAAGGGTTCTTGAGGTGGCAGCCTCGTACTGGGCATCGCGGTGCAAGACGATCCCGCACTAGATAGAGTGACGACCTGTGCAAATGTGCGGCAAGTCGATGGATGCAGGTGGTTCAGGATTGTACTTCGTGACAGTCTATGGGGGGCCTATTTAGAGCAGTGGACTCAAAGTCAAGCCTTGTCTGTTGAGATGAAGAAATAGCGACCTATTTCTTCATCTTTTAGTTGGCGTACTTTAGCCTTTCGTAGTAAATACTGTTTATATTTCTATTCGAATTTAGCTTTCTCAGCTTATTCATACAACGAGCACGTTCCGCATAGATCTTTTTTGGTTTGAAAAATGTGTAATTATATTGTGTGTTAA